GTTCCAGTTCGACCAGGTTCAACGTCTTCAAACTTCCTGTGAAAAGTTTGACAAAGGTTCGTCAAAACGGTTCAAACAGGTCGAACCCTGAAAGTGCGACCTAAAAATCCAGTTCGACAAAAGTTCTCGACACCCCTATCTACAACAATTGCCGGATCGTGCTTCTCCACTTGTTCGCTGCAGCGCAAGTGAAGCCACTGGACGCCACCTTGCTCGTAGACGATTTGCGGTTCTGCTAGCGTTGCAGAGGCTGGCGGCAGCGTGCTGTAGGCACATTTTCTACTTGTTCGTTGTCATTCGTCAAAGATTTTTAAGACCCTGTGTAAGGGTTTAGACTTGCCGTTGTGAACACGTGAAAAATTTTACAAAAGCGCAGTGCCGCAGAAAAAACGCGCAACTCGTCGAAAGCAAGTTTCACCGAGTCTCGCGGTGGGATCTAAGCTTCCTTGGCAAGCCGAAGTGCTCTCTCTGTGCCTGTGCACGCTTGGATACCGATACAATGTGCCTGAAGCCGTACAAGCCTCTGGAGCAGCGTTTTACTTTACTCTGACTGCATTAGTAATTCGAGGTCCAACATCGACAATGCGCGGGATCTTGCGCTGCAAGTGCTGTCTGTGACCACTTGCACTTGATCGATGACCACCGATTGGGACAATAAAGGTGTTCCTACCTTTGTCCAAAATTCTGGGCAAGTCTTGGTCGTGTGCAAAACAGCTTCGCTGGTCATCCATCTTCAGAGTGGAATGGCTCACGATTTTTTTTTGGTTATTTACTTCGGATCTTTTATATGGGACAATATGTGGCACATAAACACCATTCCCGCATTCTTCTTGAAGTTTGGGTAACTGATCAATTATCGTGTGTGTGACCAAAAACTCTACACTCGCACCGCACTCTCTTTGTCATCGTTCCAAGCCGCTTGTGTGCCTAGTTTCCTTTCCTTCCGCTCTCTGGGGTAGCGGTCCCGTCACCAAGTCTAGTTTCCTCTGGCTCCTTGGGGCGACGATAGTCGTCGCGTATGTATTAAAAAATCAGAAAGACAAGTTGCCGTCCACCCTGTTAAATTTTACTTCTCTCGTCGTAATGGGGAGGCCACGATAGACCGGAATCCCGAAGAGTAACGCACCTACGAGGAGCAACTGTGGGAACGGCGAGAATGTCAGTGGCGGCAACGGGCTGAACGTGTGTGCGCGTACGGATCAAGATAATAAATGTGTTCGTACCTTTGTTCAAAATTCCGTGTTACGTCTGTGTCGCGAGCTACACAGCTTTATGATAATATGGTAGACTAGTTTGTTATCCATCGTGTGTATATATAGCACAAAATAAGGAATAGCACCCTTCCAGTCTCAGTCGTCCTCTTTTTTTTGCACCACATTTTGCCACTCCGCTAGTAAGCACCCTTCACACAAAAAGGAATAGCTCCCAATTTGTTTGAGGAGCGGTTTGAACCACTTTTGCAGCACATTTTAAGTTCAGTTTCTCACAACGCAGATGCAGTTTCGTGCTTTGTTTCAAACACATGGGCCCAACTATTGCAGAATCTCGGGGTTCAGCAAAGCAGAATTTTCGCTGAACTTTAACACAAGTTTGGCACAAGTTTGGCGAAAATGCAAGGGTTGTCAGTGTGGTTTTCTGTCAAGCCTTTTCAGATGCTCAAGACTTAAAGGGCAACTCCGCTTAATTTCAAAAATTTTGAGATAGTGGCCGATTTTGCTTTTTGAAGCACTCACAAACAATCCCCGATCCTTTGTTTCGCGAAAAATAAAATATTTTTCGTGTAATTTTACTTTAGCCATGATCACAAACCGAAACCGAAACGGTGGCAAAGCCGGACAACATTGTATAGGCTCCTTGCATTGACGTCACGTCGCACACATTTGCACACCAAGTAAAAGGAGGAGAGGGAAGCTGCTTTTGTAAGAATTTTGAGTGACGGGTTAATCTTCTATAATCTTCTGGGAGGAGAATAGCGACGCCTGTGCAAATCCGGAAGGCACAAAGGAGGGTCCTGATAAGAGGGGAGCTCCTTCTCCCGCTCTTTTTTGGAGGGTATCGGAAATGACGTCATGTGCAAGGAGCCTATATTCGGCATCACTAAGCATGTACACCCACGTGATATACACCTTTTCCGTCTAACCTCGACCCAGCGCGTAACGTGCGTAGCCTCGACTCGGCGACTCGGCGCACAGCGGAAATAGTTCTTCCGGTTCTAACACTTCCGGTATGCGGGAGCAGGCCTAGCCGGCTGGCAAGATGCTGAAGTGGTGCGCGTTAAATGGGTTTTGAAGCCCTTGACAGCAAAGTGAGTAGTAATAACGTGGGTTATACGTCGATGTATCATGTCCGCGCATATTTGGTCATCGGGCTGCCACTGCGCAGTCGTTGGCTGCAGCAGCAATTTCCGAAAAAGGAAGATAGCGCGCGACAAATTGTGCACCGAACACAAGAAGCCGCAAAGCGAATGCGGCTGTAACGTATACATTTTGCATCGCTTCCCCGCTGATATCAGCGGGAAAGCTATGCAACATCAGCACATAAAAAAAAAAAAAGCAAATAGGCAGTATAGAAACGGACATCTACAAGTGCAGTAACAGGCCTCGATAAGACAAATGCAGAACGAATTTTGCAGCTTGTGGTGCAAATGTAAGACCCTGGGTGTAATGATTGTTATTGTCTACTCATGTTTTGCTTTTCATTCCGTTCATTCCTACCAGGATGTGCACTATAATTTTGTGTGTTGCTCGGTAGCGACGCCCGTTAAAGTACGTTAATGGAAACAATACAAAAAGAGAGCGCAAAATCGTCGTCGTCCCGTCGTCCCCCCCCCCCCCCCCCCCCCCCCCCCCCCCCCCCCCCCCTTTTCTTTCACCCCCATCTCCTGAATAGTTCCGAAGCATCTGGGCGTCATACGAAGTAGAGATGTCCCGGTACTAGCGATCGTACCTCGACGGGGCACCGTCCATAACAATAAACCGTTCGGCCCGCGTCGCCAACTCCCATTGTGAGTATTTCTAAGATTAAACGATGATACTTCTATGCCCAGGGTCGCCCTCGCTCGCGCATAGAAACCCTCCGTTAGTCATTCGCAGAAGGCAGTCATTCTTCACAAACAACAACACGCGAAGAGTAAACACTGGTAAACGTCCTCAGGAAAAGTGAACATGCCTCCGATTTCGATTACCGGCGACGCTGGCGACGAACCTCTCGGTGCTGTTGGCGCAACAACGGGCGCCATGAGGGCGAATAAACACGCCAGAACACAAGAGTAATTCACACTTTCAATAACAAACAAATTAAGAACTCACTAAAAGGAAAACAATGAAGATACGATGCACGGGGTCAATGGGGACAACGCGGGAGCTAGGAACAACGCTGCTCTCCGCATACCAAAATGGGCGCACAACAACCGTACGCCAGACGCCAGACGGCGCGGCTGTCGCTGCAACACGCAAGATGGCGACGACTACGCGGAAAAGGTGTTAGGAGCTCCCCTCTTATCAGGGTCCTCCTTTGTGCCTCCTGGATTAGCACAGGCGTCGCTATTCTCCTCCCAGAAGATTATAGAAGATTAACCTGTCACTCAAAATTCTTACAAAAGCAGCTTCCCTCTCCTCCTTTTACTTGGTGTTCAAAAGTATGCGATGTAACACAAGCCGCGCTCAACGAGGCGATCGGCTTATCAGTAGTATCAATAGTCGAGCGCCGGGCCGGCCGAGCGCGTCACTCACGTCTTTCACGGCGCTGGCCCCACCCGTGCTCTCTTCAAGAAAGGAAACAAAATTGAAAAAAAAAAAAAAAAAAGAAGCTGTACATGTTTGATGACGTCGCGGACGTGCCGGGAGAAGGAATTTGGAGGAAGCGGAAATGCAGCCGGGCAGTGTTGTCTGGCCCGCACGTCTCATCCAAAACCAGCGGATTCGTGCTTGTCAAACTTTGACAGCGATTTTAATGAACTTCTAGGCGGAATTCCGTCGTAATATTTGCCATGGGGGTTTTGTAGATGATAACAAAGAGAACTGTATAGTTTTGCACTACTGGAAAAGAAGCGGAGTTGCCCTTTAAAGGGGGGGGTGCAACGATTTCCGGACTTTGGTCAAAGATTTCTGGAAGTTGCCCTCACACTTCTGAAGTAAAGAACAGAAAACCGATTTCGCCTGCGTGTCCTAGTTGTTGCGTAAAAGATAAACATTGGCATTTCTGGCACCCCTCAACTCACTCCCAGCCTTCAGGGTCACACCTGGTCCCCCTCCCAGTGACGTCATTCGGAGTGCCGTGTAGGTTCCAGTGTGCATCTCTGAGGACGCTTCCTCTCCCTCTCTCTGCTGACATCAGTGGGCGTTATGCTGCAGCTTAGAGCCGAGCGAGGTCACGTAATCTTTTCGCCGTGGTTCCTTCGGCTGCCACTTGGGGCTGCAGGCGGGGGAAAAAGCTCGACTTTTGCTTTGCGATTGTGCAGCGGAATCGCGAAATGAAGGAGGCGTTTTCTTTATCCTCCGGGACACGTTAAAGAACGTAAAAATGACGAGATGCAAATTCTTTTAATCATAAAATCGTTGCACTGCCCCTATAAAATATTGAGTATGTATGAATGCCAACCTAGTGAAGCGTTATCAGTGATAGAAGTAGGGTTGGACTTTTTCAACCCATTATACAGCAGAAACACTGCCTCTCCCCCTTCCCATCGTTCCTCACATATGGCAAGACTGTCGCACGTTTCCCCTCCCCTGGCCCAAAAAACTGCATGATCACGGGAAAGGAGCTTTTTGCCCCCCCCCCCCATCATTCCGGCTACATACACATACATTATTTATGCTTATTTTGGTGCAGATATGGCACATCTTAGAGCCTTTTGGCAAGAGATGTGGAAGACTCGTTCATAGTGCAGCTCTTCCACGACTTATTCTGCAGGATGGTTGTGTTATTCGTCAGCATCTGTTGCAAAAATTTAGGCACACATCTCAAGGGTCCCTACAAATGCCTGGTACCACACAGACGACTTCAGAAGGCAGGAACTGCTTTATTAGAGCCACGGCAACACTCGCAAAGTTGCAAAGCACATAGACTATCCCTTGATTTTTGGATTTATAATAGTACAAAGCTGAAGTTGAGTCATCTCTGCTTAGTTCATTATTCCTTATGTCCTTTGACAACTTCACACTTTCAAGGGCTGATAGTCTGAAATAAACTACAGAAACTGGAAGGCGTTCCCAAACAAGTAAACATCCGACTGCTTAAGGAAAATTTATTGTTTCAGACACCAAGAACACACACCTAACATTCAACCACAACTTCTGCAAAAACATCTTCAAGCTTGACCACGCGTGACTTGATGTAAAAAAACGAAACTTTCATGTCACCCTCACTTTTCCCGAAAAAGTTTTCATTACTAACATTCGTCAGAAAAAAAAGATACTTCATGTCTGAAACTTGCTACTTTCAATCATATATTGTCATTGCGATTTCTGTATTGAAATAAATACAATAAGTCCAGTTACAGAAGAAAAAAAAGTGCAAGGTTCAACTAAGCAGCACCAACAATGTGAAAGTAAAAAAGAAAAAAAAAAGAAAAACAAAGTCAAGCAAAAATTCAGCTGTGGTTCTTCGTTTCCAGGCACTGGAAAAGAATCAGTATGGTAGACTATTAATTCAAACACCAGGAAGCCAACAATTTTGTTTGAATTATCACAAGTCTGGATTATCAGAAATTCATCTAAATATGATGCAAGACCAAATTATTACTTTCCATATGAATGGCTACACATACAAAGCAGAGATTTGATGATTTCTTGTACATAAGCATACTGATCATAAGCAGGTATGCCACACAAAAATTTGTGAAGTGTATGACAAGTTTATTCATCTCTCCAAAATGTTTATCGTGGACTGTTAAAGGGGCCCCACTGAAAAGAAAAAAATGTTCTTTTTAACAGTCTGGTTGGGACACACGTGTCAAAAAAATAATTTTATGCAAAAAGGCTCAATCTTGCAAATACTGCAAAAGCTTCGCTCTAGTGAAATGCAGTTAAGGGGAGACATGGGCCTTTAGAGGCAAAAACTTCCTAAAACATCGGCCTAGTTAGATTTATTTGTGCTTCGAACGTAGTCCACCACTGTCGAATCTTATCGAGTTTAAGTTACCAGCTCTAAGTGCGGGGAGCTTGTGCACGTGCTCTCGGAGGAGACTTGAACGGCTGTGCGTACTCACCGCCCTAAGGGATGGGGGCCGTCACTTGGGTAGGGTGTAACGCACGTAGGGCACTTCCACGTCCTCTCCGTCACGGTCATTGCAGCACAGCTCAAACACCAGTGCCTTCACGTGGGGCTCCAGCTTCTTCTGGGACACATTTTTCACCACTTCCGTCATCCTGCGTGCACGGGAGGGGGTGGCATCGTCTTAACGATTGGGAGGGGGGGAGGGGGCCTCGACGTGCATCACTGCACTTCTTTGGAAGCGTACGAAAGTATCTCTCCAAACGGGCACTGGGCTTTCGCCTCTGCTGGGGGTGGCATCTGGTTTCCACCTTACACTCGGCATGTACGAATTTTAGCTACATTGCCGAGGGTCACTTAGTTTCAGCGCCGCAGCTTTGTGCTGCGGCGCACACTTGTGAATAACTTTCGTCTTGCCCCCGCAATGGTGCTGCAGAAACTATGGTAGCCTCAACATATCCACACACACACACACAAAAAACTGATGCAGAGCCGCAGCTCCCATTACAGCATATGCCAGACCGACAAACAAGAGGTGGTATGAAGCCTCTAAACGATAAACAAGATGCAACCTAAAACAAATTAGGAACTTAAAAGACTAGAGCAACGATTTTCATGTTTAAAAAATTGGCAGTGTGTATTTTTTATATTGTTTATCCAAGCACAAGAGGCCAAAAACTAGGGATGGGCGAATAGAGGATTTTAGGTCCAAATCGAATTCAAAGCGAATAGTGATTTTGGCTGAAAAATTTCAAGTCGAATAGTACAAGCAACAAATACCACAAGATAAGTTTAAACTATAGGTTTATATTTGCCCTTATTTGGTACTAGAAGTACTGTAATTGTTAATTTTAAGTGTACCGAGTTCGGGAACACGAAATGATTGAAATGGTCGGGAGCTTGCGCAACCTGGCCGGAAATCCAAGCCAGAGTATTTGGAAAAGTAAAATAATTGAATATTGTTGAATACTTAAATTCAATTCAAGCGAATGCCGAATAGAACAGAATTTGGTGACCTATTCGTAATAACCGAATATTCGCCCATCCCTACCGAAACACATCACCCTGCCCTGATACACTGCTATTTTGTTGCGTAATTGCTAAGTAAACAAGTAATTATTTGCACATTTGGAGCCGCGTGTGGCTGTTAGGAACTACGGTGACAGTGTCACTGGGGGATACGTGGAAGTCAACAAAAACCTGTCCCCCTCTGCTGCTACATTCGCCGTCAGCCCCGTGGCGAACAGTCTTCTGTGTCGAACGGATGGGGTCTCGGAAGAGAGAACCCGAGGGGGAATTATGTGATCCCCCAGAGTATGTCACTCGAAAGGCGATGATGAGTTGAGAGGCACTTTGACCTTTGATTTGTTTCATTTTGCTACATAAAAACTAGCGCTCGCAAAAGATAGTTATCTGTTCTTCGTTTTATGGGAGACACAGATTAATTTCCGCAGTTAATTGGCCAAAGTCCGAAAATCATTGCACCGCCCCCTTTAAACTATAAACACCTTCAAAATATTTTTAAAAAAAGTTACATTTGGGATTTAAATGACTTAATCGAGAGTTTCTTAAACAGTCTGGTAAGGACTGTTTAAGAAACAGTCCTTACCAGACTGTTTCTTCCAGACAAAAACAAATTTTAGGCAAAAAAAAAAAAAAAATTTGGAGCAATTTTGACGGCAAGATTTAATTGAAATTCAGCGCGGGAAGACCATGACGTCACTGGTCATTCCGGAATGACCATCTCGGTCGTGAAGGCAAAGCTGCTTGACCTCTCTTTCACGCGCCCGAAATTCCGAGAGAAAACAAGTGGAAAGAAGGTGACTGCCGACTAAATTGCGTCTCGTGCCAACAATATTGCTCTAAAACTTTTTTACTTTTTTTTGCAAAAAAAAAAAAATAATAATAAAAAAATTTTGGGCACTTATGTTGGCGCGAGACGCGATTGTGTTGGCAATCTCCTCCTTTCCACTCGTTTTTTCTTGGGGGATTGTGGGCACCTCGGCTGGCGCTTGCCTCCGAGTCATTGAGGCACCCTTCAAATCGAGCAAGCGCGCGAGGATCTGCAAAACTCACGTCTGCTCCAGACGTTCCTTTTTCTTGGAGTTGGGCATGAAGAATGAATAGAGCATGCAGACGCCTTGAGAGAGCATCGTGATCTCCAGCTCATGCTTATCCTAGAAAGAAACAGGACGACACAGCACCGTCAAGGACAGTAGTAAGGTGTGAACACTGGCGAGTTGGGGCACAATCAGAGAAATAAACAAAGGTGCAAAATATGAACACAAGGACAAGTAGAAGATGCACACAAACATAGCACTGACTTAAATGGCAATTTCTTTTGGAACAAATTAGAGTGACATATCAGAAACTTGCGATATAAAGAAAAGAAGTAAACCCATGACATGAGCCTACTTCTCGACCAGTTACGGTTCCATGTATACATGCTAATGCTCACAGGCTGTAAAGAAGTTTGATATGCCTGTAGTCCTCTCCCCACCGCCAAAATTGCATTGCCTATGCTCTAAGCTCAGCAATTAAAAAAAAGCAGGACAATAACCCATTACGCAAGGTAAAACACTGTTGTAAATATGTTGCATGTGCTATCGGCATAGTTTACAAAATCCCAGTTATGCGGAAAGATTTACATAGGACAAACAAGCAGATGTGTAAATGCCCGAAATTGTGAGCACTCTTTACGAAGCACTGCATTGGGACATCTCGCTGTACATTGTAACAGATGCGGCGGTACTTTGCGGTTAAGTAATATTAAAGTACTGGCCAAACATCACACTAAGACCGTTAGAAAAATTCACGAGGCTTTTTTTATTAGACATTTGGGAACCTATGTTTGTGTCAGTATAGAAACAACTACCTTTTTGACTGAATTCTCAGCTTTAATCTAACATTTTTGTGACCATGACTAACTGACTGTGATGGAAACATGCCCTGTATAGTTTCCTCTTTTGTGTAAATCTGTGCTGATCGACTGCGATGGAAAGAAAAATCCTATGTAGTTTTTTTCTTCTTGAGGAGTGTCATTATAGCTTGTTCTGAAAGAAAGCTAGAATAGTTAGGTAGTGCTGAGTTTTTCTGGGTCTTCCCTTCTCCTTGTGTTCATTTTCGCAGTTTTCATTTCATTGTCAAAAACCAGCCAGTGAACGCTGGTGCACAAAAAGAAGAACAACTAATTAAAAAGCAACACTTGAGTTGAATGTTTTGAACTGCAGCAAGAGCCTGATTTGAGCACAAATGACAGTGAATTGTTTGTGTTCTATCTTCAATAACAAAAAGGCTTGAGGTACACCTAAGCACTTGAGTTATAAATGCGAAAGCACGAATGCCGTTCTTGCACGCCTCCTCATGATGTGCTTGCGGTGTGCTGGCATTGACCGTGGCGCCGCTCTCCAGAGCAGTGGCACGGCCATTTCTTATCCTGCACGCTGGCAGTCTGCCAGAGTGCGCCAGCAGATTTATTGTGCCCGCGCCGCGCACTGGCGGCGCGGGCACGCAATGCCACGGGGTGGCCCACCTGGAAACTGACGTGCAGCAGCCAATGGGAGCCTCGTTCCTTGAAACTGACGCGCGCCAGCGAATGGGACTGAAGCCGAAATCCATCAGCTTTCGGCTTCACTGTGCTCCTTGGGAGCGGGATAACTAGTTACCGTTGGCTAGGCTTTCCGCACGGCTTCAAAGCTGGGAGCCGTCAGATCGCGGCTTCACTTGGAGAAAGGAGTTTAGGTGCCGTTTCGCATAACTTCAAAGCTGACTACGTCTGCTCGCTCCATGGGACCCCAGCTGATGCTTTCGCATTAAAAACCGAAGCCCACCTTGAAGTAGCTGATGAATTCCTTGAGGGTCAGCTCTCCGGTCACCTCGAAGCGGTCCCACAGGGTGAACTCGTGGTCATAGTACTGCGACAAAATGACAGCCATGTTGTTATTGTGCGCTTTCGGGCACAAATACCTGGCTGAATATTTCTCGAACGCTCGCAACAAAAACAGCTAAGGTCAGGTAAAAAGTCTGCACAAGTACTGGCTTCCACAATGCATCCAAGCAGACATCGTACAGTCCTTTATACCTGTATAACGAACGCCTCTATCACGAAAAAGTCCGTTTAACAAAGTAAAATAAAATTCCGGCCTAACTTCCATGTGTTCAGTGTGTTCCTGACTACTCCAACGAATTCCTGCTTAACAAATATTTCTGTATAACGAAGCTATTTCATGGCCCCACCAAGCAAAGAAGACCGGTGTTACCAAGTTTCTGGGTGAAAAGAAATTGATTCCGTGTAAATTGTTACACTCAATCGACGTGTGCAGAGAAGAGAAATACTTTGGCAGCGGTGACAAAACCAAGAACGTCCACTGCCCCGGAAGTTCTTGGTTTTGGGCCTAAATATAGTAGAACCACAATATGTTCTCTCAGTTGATACGTTTTTACGCTGGTCCCGTTCTACTTCCATAGAGATACATGTATTAGCTTCCTCTCTGTTAAGTTTGCTTTCCCGGTAGTTACGTCCAACAACTAAGCCAGAAAAAAAACACACACAAAAAAAGACCTCACTAAATTTAGGCAGCAAGAAAATAAAAAACTGGGCAAAGCAACAACCGCCAAAGAAAAAGGTAAACAAAGATAAGGCATTCAAAGTCTGATTGCTCAATCACTCTTGTTGACGCGCTCGACTCGACTAAGACTTTTTTGTTTATTTTATTTTGGGGCTAAGGAGCTCGCGCATACAGCGGTGTTCAGGGAAAGAGCGGACGCTACCAGCGCACGCCACCATTCCAACAGCGAGCACTCACAACCCCCTCTACAGCGCCGTGTGCGCCCTCCCCCTTGCAATTCTTCACAAATTTTTTTTCTTCATTTTTACAATTTTTTTTTTTTGCTGCATATTCCCGTGCGCCTATCCTGGCTCGGCGGTCTGCCAGCTCTAAACGAGAGCCATCACAATCTCAGCCGGAAGAGATCTGACATCGCAAGAGACCTCGGACCCGCGCCTTCCACTTCGAACAGCATCGTCGCCAAACGAAAGGGCAATTGAAGCGGCAGGCGGATATTACGCGCTTTTGTTAACATGTGCGGGTCCCCAACAGTTCTGCAAGTACACATAAAATAAACCATTGTATAAGAGCTGCTTTCTATTTCATGTGCAGTTCTCCTAAGTCTGTTATCCGTTATTAAGTTTCCTGGACGATACATTTTTTTTTTCTGCGGTCCCCTAAAAAACATTAACGAGGTTCTACTGTAATTCATTAGTGTGAGGCCCTGTGTCTAGACGGTGCTACGCGACTGTTACTGCGCAGAAAGCGTGTACGCAGCAGCGTAGTGCAATCTAGACACAAGGTTGTATTTGGACCCAAATCGAAGAATGCACGGTACGGAAGTGGCGGCGGAAGCAAGACTACGGAGGCGGTGCAGCGCCCCCACCGTATGCAGTAGCACACACACCTTTGTTTTGCTCACGCCACTGAGTACATGTTAGGGCACTGCAAGAGCCAAATTTTTTAGGCCCGGCCTGACAGGATATTTAACCTCTGGGTTTGGCCCGAATGCTTACACACAAGCCCAAGCCCGGCCCAAATCTGACAAAATTGTTTTAAATATGAGCCTGAGCTCAAGCCCAACAGGTTATAAACACAAGCCCCCAAAAATTTGCAGGCTTTAACCTAAAAACTGCCTAAGCATAAGGTGTGCACTCTCCCACTATGCTGGTGGAATACACGCTTTCTTTTATCCACGCAGTCGGAACTTGCTTAAATTTGTTCGACCGAAACGCCAATCTCCGTCAGATTCTAAGATCCCCAACCTTGCTTGATTGGAGTCCCTAAATTGTTTGGCCTCAGAGTGATAACAAGAGGTCGAAGAAGCTCCCTTCTACCTGCGACGCCAAAATCTAAGCAAGTCCCAGTACTATGAAAATATTTTACCGATCCCACGGATGTTTTTATAAAGGCGTTTGACCGTAAACAGTAAAATATTCGTAATGAAACGACTCTTTTGGCAAAAATATTTCACAAACTAAACAAAATTAAACAAGTCATATAGGGCCGAAGACGAGGGATCACAAAATGTGTCGTGTACAAACCAACCACACACAATTTTTGTAATATTATTTGTTTGCGTGTGTAACGCACACGGCATGTCTCTCTTATACAACAACTGTTCAGGACACTTTTTTTGTAGAAAACAACCCATGAAACACATTCTGCATTGAAACGTTTTGCAAATATAATGCCAATGGTACTAAGTTGCTGCACAAGCTTGGCACAATCATGAAAAATAACCTTTTCAAAACCCAATTAAGCTAATCTGGCCCTCGCAATCGGATCAGAGCAAAGACAGGGATAATCGACATGGCAGGCACTAGACGGCATGCATGCTTGGAAGGGAGTCCATCATGTCGCGGCAAATCGCAACAGAAGGCATTCCTTTTGAAAATCTGACCCACCTTCTGCTTGGGTGCCGAGATGGGCTCCGAGAAACCGAAGAAAGGTAGGGCCAGGTTGACAAAGCCGTTCTTGAAGAGTTCCAGCTTGTCGTGGCCTTGAACCAGCTGCAGGCAAACGGGAGAATCGTTGAACTAATCCCTCAGTGCAGAAAACTATAGTCGCTGACAAGGTGTCAAGGGCAGGGAGGAGCATCAGTTGCCCGCCTCCAGCGCCAGCATCCCACCCTCAACGGCGCTTCAACGTCTCGCGCACCTCTAGCGTGCGTGGGCACAGTCAAAGCACGGCGGAAGGCACGGAGCCCACGCTGGAGAAGCCAAGCATTCGAAAGACGTGCCCTGCCAACCTCTTTCCAACGGCAACAATTGAAAACGTGCGCAAACGAAAGCATCGCTTCAAGTTACCCTCCACGTGTGGCCAAACGCTCACCACGATGCCTGGAGTTGGTCTGTCAAGTTTGATGGCCCAAGCTTAAGGAGGCGATGGAGGTTCGACCATACTTTTTTTTACTCGCACGGGACTCTTTCTGGAGCCTAACCCACCTTGTACATCTCGAGGCAGACCAACCCTGCCACAAGCGAGGTGGTCGTGGCGATGGCCGGGATGATCTTTCCCGCGATGAGCTTGCTGCGGTGCCGGTCGGCCGGGGCGATGTCGTAGTTGGCCGCCCGCAGGTTGGAGGCCGCCACGATGAAGTCCATGTGAAAGTTAGAGTCGTCGTCCTTCTCAAATTCCAACGGGGTCAGGGGCAGGGAGGCCAGGGAGGCTGCGCTGGGTAGCTCCTGCTGCAGGACGCTCAGCCGGTCCACGTCCGTCGAGCCCGTGTCTGCCTGGGCCTCCGCATCCGTGACGGCAATGCGTACGCCGGATCGGGGCACGAACTCCGGCACGTGGACCCTGGACAGCAGCTTGGCCACCTCGTCCCGGTCCCGCGAGCCCGGCAGGCCGAACATGGCCGCCCGCAGGTTGGCTGCAGCCACCACGTAGTCCATGTGCAGGGGCTATGTACGGGCAACCGCCAGTTAGAACGCAAGGGCGTGTGGGATCAAGCTTAGTCACTCTTGCACAAGTTGTAGAAGCTCCTGGCAACTCACGTCACGAGCACCGCGAGCCAGCATAGTTAGAAAAGAATAACCTAATACTGTCCCCAAAAACAACGAAGGAACAGCACCGACCTACCACGATATCCTAAGAAAAGGCATTGATCACGTGCCGGAGGCTGGGCTTTCGAAACAGATACTTTGCCGCTCACGTGTTTGCAGTAAAATGCACATCTAAAGTTTTTTTTTGGCTGATGTGCAATGTGGGGAGGGGGTTCAATTTACAATCATGTCAAAATGGTACCCTCTGCCTTTGATAACACTTCCATTGCGAAAACCGACTGCAAAAGCCTCCCAAACCCCGAGTTGCTGGTTTCCGAATGAACTAAAACGAGGTAAAGCAGCAGAAACTCAGCAGAGCGCTTCGGCTCAACGCCCCGTGTCCTTCGAAAGACAGCACTTACCTCGTTGGGATCAAACTCGATGTGGTGAGGACAGCGCTTGGGTCCCGACCAGAAGGGAGCCCCGGAGCTCGTAGTCTGCGAGCCAAGCAACGAATGGGTGAAGGGCAAGTACAGAGAGAGAGCGGGAGAAAGGGAAACCCATACCTGGTCTTTGGGGAAGTTGAAGAGCAGCTGCCTGATCTGGTTGTTGTACTGGTCTTGGAAGCGCAGCCGCGCCCAGGCCACGCAGTCGGCAAACGAGTGCGGACGCTCGTCCACCAACACCTGCTTCACTCCTTCCAGAACCTCCAGCTATGGGACGAGATACACTTAAAATTGGCGCCACAGACTGATCCTTTTTTTTGAACGTGTTATCTTGCTAACGGGGCATTGCAGCACACTGCAGGCTTGAGAAAGCGTTTCAAGATGCGCTGCCAGAGTTCTTGTACTAACGAAATACCTCACAGCACAAAGCCAAGCACGGGGACCACATACACTGCGCGACGACGGTAGCGCAACTATGGCACTGGTACTTTTTTACACTCAGCAAAACCTTTTATCGCTTAAGCAAGTGCCCCGAATAAGCACCTTCCACCACACAGACGACCTTTCGGATCCAAGCAAAAGCAATGATCGCTTGAGCGGGCTAACAATTTTCAAATGGGGGTCCGCGGATCTTATACCCTGAAACATGAGTCGTTGAGAACAACTGCTGTACATCTTGAGAAACTTTCTCTTAACATGTTGTAAGGTTCTGACAAATCAAAGGTGTGGACCAAAGGGTCAGACACACACTGTACCAGCCCAAGAAAATGGTGCCAAAACCACAAGGCTTTGTTCCTAACCGAATTGCACATCTATCTGATCTGTGGCTCATAGATCCACACTCCAATTCTTGCGAACGTGAAACTTTTGCTATCCAGCACCCAGTGGCAAACAACGGAGCTCACCGGCTGATTCCCGGGGAGCTTCAAAGTCTTTTCCATGAACCTTGGGTCCCTGGAAGCAAAAAAAGGGGAGGCACGAGCTCCGCATAAATCACCACCCAGACATACACAGGCAGTCACAACACAGGAGGAGGGAAGGCGGTCCCAGAGGAAGGAAAAGGGGTAGCACACACTTTTGGAAAAGCTGCACATACTTGAGATAGTGCACAGCATTCTCCGCACTCTGCTTGAAGAGGCCCTCAAACTCATCACGAGCCCACTGAAAACAGAAACCAGTACCCACGTCACACCGTGACCCTCAAGCAGAGTATTACTACAATGGCACTGCAAACCACTTCATTGACAAACCTATACTTTAGTAGCTGTATCTGTACTTTCTGTTTACCTTAGGCTAGAGCAGTCAAACAAGCAAGCATATGTGGGCTTAGCACTGCTGCCAGTTATGAGACATTTGATTGTTTTAAACAATTTTTTTACGGATACTGTACAACATAGGCTACAATACTCTGGAGACCAAATGTTTTCAGCAATACTGGCACACTAGGTGGTTTCAGAGCACAACCAAAAAGTTGCCTTCAGCAAGGAGCAGAGTTCAATAGCCAGCTTTCAAAGAACCAACAAAACTGGCGGCAACTACCAGATCAAGAAATGAGCATAAGACTATGAATCACCGACTACAGCTTGCATCCCCAACGATGCACCACGAAACTGCCGCCCCAAATACCATGGCTCATATCCTACACACTAAAACGCAGCTCTCGCTGCTATGGGGACACTGCTCTAGGCAAGGTAAATGCCAATTTGTCTTTAAACAATGTTTTCATCAACAGGAAGAAAAGGGCTATAAGCTAGCACATAGCGGAGCAGCAGAAATGGCACTCACTTGGAGCGTGTGCTCAATGGCATTGGGGAAGTTCTTGAGGGTGCAGATAGGAATGGACTTCTCAGGGGGGTCCTGGGACGAGGAATAGGACTCCGTCAGGTGGGGGATCACCACCTGCACATTCCCCTTGGTGCCCAGGGTGCCGGACTCCAGCAGGGGCTTGCGGTAGTACACGCACCGACGGTCCATGTAAATACCTGCACATGGCCACGGCCCTCATCAGACGTGCACAAACGACGGCTTTTGGCAACACATCCAACGAGAACCTAATCGTTGAATACCATAGACAGGATTGCTTCATTTTTGAAGTACAGAAAAATTAGTTTTCCTATACCTTTTTTTTTTTAATGCTTGCTTGACATTCCCTGTTAAATTTAGCACAAGGGTGGGGCAAAATCTGGTGCTCATCTTGCAGATTGTATTGAAAGGGGACGCCACTCTGATCTAACCTTTTTTTATCCAGTAAGAGCCAAGCGGACAACCCTTTTATCCAGAACAGCCTTTGGCCTTTTTTATATCAAAAAATCTTAATCTTAATTTCAAAAAATAAATGTGTATATTATACTAGTCTTTACCTCAACCACAGTAGTAAAAAAGAGTTTGGCTCGTCACGCAGCATTACTAATTTCCCACTTTATGTAGAGAGTAAAGATATAGGTAGGTGCACGTTAGGTTAGATATATGTTATCTTATGAAGAGGTGCAGGTTTCAAACACCAAAAGCATTGCTTCTTTGTCCGAGACGACCATATTTTTTTTAAGAACTACTTCGCGCGGCATATGAACAGTGCGCAAACCTTTCTTCCTTGAAATGAAAACGAGTATACACTCCGTGCGGGAACTATAGGGGGCGCATTGAAAAACGCGCGCAGTGCCGCTAGCGGAGGAGCTGGCGTTCGACAGTGAGGCGCGTTCAGCAGCCTGCGGCGCCTTTTCGCATGCCAAGCTGTGGCGGCGGAAGCGCGCACGGACGAAACTTTTGCTTTTTGAGCCGATACATTGAAGCTGACGTTGCATGAGTGCTGGGGCAGAAGGGCATTTAGCTGTTCTCTACATCTTATATATTGAGTTTGAGTCGTTATTAAGGGTAATTTCTCTAGTTGCGGCCGAAAAGGAGTTGGAGCAATTTTCCGAAAAGCAAGACGGCCGCCACCATAATTGCTCTGAGTGGGAAATTTATTTCGCTCGTCGCTGTAAACGTAGGACTGTTGGAACGATAATATTGGAGGCGAGTGAGATGTTCACCAAGTTTGTGCACGAAGTGTGCCAAGTTTCATTAAGACAGCAGGTGTGAAAGTTGTGTTTCTAACGAATGAAGAAATAAAGCTGTACGGGATATCCAATATTGGACCCAAAATGTTGTGTTATAACCGGGCTCTGCGAAGTGCAGATTTGGGCACACAGGTGCTTGGACTTGACAGTAACATGATACAGCACTTATTATATCAAAAAGAGGTGGCAGAGGGAACCCAGGAGGAAATTTGGTTTGGGCGGCGTAACTCAATGGTAACCGGTTTTGACCATGAAAGGGCTGTCAAGAGAATACCACTCGTCGTGGGAGGTGGAGACTTTACCGGTAGGGACTAGTGGACTGTACTCCCAATTGAAGCAACTTTACGAAAGGTGGTTCCAAAGCCGAGAAAACAAAGTTGTCGGCCAACAGACGGTTTGGCCGCCAACTGCTTTTGCGGTCAGCTGTTGTGTAATAAATAACCTGTTGTACGAGGTGCTGATTTTTGGCGCACAGGTACTTTGACATGACCGTAACTTGGCACAACACTTATTATAACAAAAAGAGTTGGCATAGCAAAACCTGTGGCGGCGTAACTAAATGGGAACTGGCTTTGACCGTCAAAGGCTGTCTGATAATATCACTCATCGTGGGAGGTGCACACTTTACAGGTAGGAAGGGACCAGTGGACGGTACTCCCAGTTCGAACCACTTTGCAATAGTTGGCTCTAAAGCCGAGAAAAAAAAAATTGTTGTCTACAGAACTTGGGATGTCAGCGTTTCATCATCCAAAAGGAGGCTGATCAAGAAAGAAAGCACACCACATAAACTTCCATACTCAAACGTCGATTCTCCAGTGATTTCGAGTTTCATTGTTGTTTTCTTTAGACTTATATTTTTCACTTTTTTACCGTTCGAATCTTTCTTCATGAAGTACAGATTGCGTGCCATACTTGTCCGGAAATATCATCGACACGTACGATGGGGACGAAACTTCTTTGGAGGGCATTCCTCCAACAAAATTGGCACTGCATACCCGCGAGGGTGGGATGGCATTTCAGTTCGTCCCATCGGCGCTGACACATGTAGGCGTTACTGGTACGAAAACAAACGCAGAGCGCCAAGCGGCAGTGTAGAATATGTCAGCCGTCCCGACACAGTGGCAGACATGATCGAGAGACCAAATTTCTCGCGTCGTACGGCACGGCTCCATCGTTGTCGCTGTCCCACAAAAGATCGGCAAGCTGAAAAACTGTGAAACTTAGTCCCCACGAGATACGATGCATAACTATTGAAGCACTTAATGAAGCAGCACAGGCAGCACTTCATGCTGTGAACCCAGCGCAACCGCACCGACCAGACTTCAACGCGTACCAACGTACGCGGCGTGGTTTCGGTTTCATTTTCTCTGGGGTTCTCACTGCCTACCTTCGGTACCGGCCGCGCGGCGGCGCGCCAGTCGCGTCGCACGGAGTGTATAGTTACACTAGGCAAACAAACAACCTTTTTCGCCGAAACAAAAGCAACTTTCTGGCAACTCGAGCAATATCCCACACTCCCGCCCATTAGCAAAGGGGACAAGAAAGATTTCTGGCGCTTCTAGCACGAAGGTCAGCAACATTTGTCCTGGTACGTTAGAAAACACCCGGGGTAAACACAAACGCCACAGGTACCGTGGATCGCACGAGGGAGCACTCACGCGTGTCCACATTGTCGAGGGCGTTGGCCACGCCGTCCAGCTCCTCAAAGAAGTCGTCGTTGTAGACATGCTCCGTGTCTGGCCCTACCCGGTTCTCGTGGGCAGTGATCTTCACCTTGGGGTTCATCTTCTTCACTGCAGCTGCGGCAGTGCTTGCCTTCAGCTTCTGCAGGGATTGAACCGGGCACACCTCACACCTCCACGAAGGTAAATCAAACTGAACGAGAGCTGCCCCGCGCACGGCCGCTTGGCATTCCAGATTTGGCACTTTAGAGACAAAATAGTTTCTGGTGCATGTTCCAAGGCACAGGCTGGGTCAGACTGCCAGTGAACAGGGCAAAGTCCACCCGAAAACACCCTGAAAGTCTTTGTGTTCCCACAGAGTCCGCAGTGCAAGCCCCACAAGGTTCAAGGGATAGCACCTCTACAAGTGGGTTGTAAAACCTGCCTCACTCTAAAACACTCCCACGTGCAGTGTGCACAGATGTGCACAGATGTGCCCGATCCAAAGTTTGCAAGACTACAAGGAGTACTTCACTTTCACAATCGAGGCACCGGAGTACATCACTAGGCAAAAGACTGTGAGGAAAGACCACTCACGCCGACATCCCATGGGCGGAACAGGAACTGTCGGTTGAGGTTGGACCTCTCGATGACGTCCATGTCCGTGATGTAGATCTGGCCTTCCTCCGCACCCAGGCCCATCATGGCGAAGTTCTTGAGCAACTCGCATCCAATGGCCCCGGCACCCACCTGAGAATGCGGATTTGGGCCATGTCGACGTGCTAAAAGGCACTGGTAAAGTCCCTAGGAGCATCGCTGCAGCCTTTCCAGATGCAAGACGTACCAGCAAAGCACTTGCCTGCACTCTTATCATTTTGGAGAAAAAACAATAAGCCACTCCACTCTGTCAAGGTGGATGACCAGCGAAGCTGCTTAGCACATGACACAGGCCCGCCACGAAGAGGCAGAGGAAACTAGAAATGCACAATGGGACCACCACCCCAGGAGAGCGGAAGGAAAGGAAACTACGCATGCAAGTGCTTGAATTGATGACAAAGAAAGCGGTGCGAGCGCAGACACGGCTGACGCGGGTTGCAGAGCAGCAAGTCTTCGAGAAACCTTGGTCTATTCGAGTCTACTGATCTTGAAAATGGTGCCTATTGATAACTAATCTACTGAAAAGACCCATTGCTAAATTACCCAAATGTCAAGGAGAATGCAGTGAATGGTGCTCCACGTGCCAGCAACAGTAACTGTTCTAAAGCAAAAGCCTAAAACAAATGGCATCTTGCACGCGCGGTCGTCAACGCTTTATTTTGGTTATTTACTTTGAATATTTTATCTGGGGAAGGCGTGCGTGCGGCGGTGCGAGCGTAGAGTTTTTAGTCTCTGCACACAAAAAAATCCACGGAACCTTAGCCATAAACAGCTTCGCTGTAAAATACTCACCAGGAAGTACTTCTGGAGACCCAGTTTCTTTTGCACTTCGGCACCCAGCACACAAGCTTGAGCGCCGTACCGAGTGTCCAGCTGCGCAACAGAAAACATCAATTATTAGATATTCTACCCTATCTAGTTTTGTCATCCTATAAAAAAAAGATAAAAGTAAACCCAGAGGCGATCTACGAGATGAGACAAAGAACCAAACATTTTTTTGCACGCTGGTACCCAACTGTGCTTTCTGCAGTGCGCACATCGACTGATCAGGCACGAGACTCAGCCTCTGCAGAGACCGACAACGGCGCAACTTTACCGCATTGTTCCCCCCATCTGCAACTTGTGCCGCCAACCACCAGCGTGTCGTATACAATTTTTAAACAAAGTCCGTGTTCGAGTAAGGAACTTAAAACAGTCTATCAAACCACTACCACTACAGTAGGCAGGATCATCTAGCACATTTTCTCTACCAACCGACATGAAGAGACAAAACTGACCAGAGCGGTGGCGTGCTCCTCCGAGACCTCGCCGGACGTTGGGAGACACTCGAGGGCATCGAAGTAGAACCACTGCTGGATTGGGCTGAACTTGCCACTGCAAGCCTGGAAATAAAGATGTACAATGCATTAGGTCCCGGCAAAGGCAAAAGAGCAAACAACCAAAAATTAATATACAGTTAACACACATCATTCTGGCCAGCCACAAATTCTTTCGGGAACGCATCACAAAAGCTGCTCCATTATGTGATCGCACTGGTATCGGTCTCCAGTCTTCATAATTATGGCAATCTCTCGGTGGCAAGCGATCTAATAGAAAACCACGTGCACAGGGTCTATACTTCTTTTCACAACAACATGGCGAACTGTGGAGGCTACAGCCTCTGCGACCCAATGAGCGCGTCAAAGCGAGGCAAGAGGTACCCATCACGGGAGCCAAAGTCAAAGTCAAATTTGGGAGTTTTACATGCCAAATCAACGACTGACATCTGGCACGACCGAGCGGAGGACTGAGGATTAATTTCGACCACCTGGGGATCTTTTGAGGTGCCACTCAAATATCAGTTACCCCCTCACGGCGCCTTCTCTGCAATAAGCCTCCGTCAGACTGCGGGCACCTCGGCCGGGATTCGAACCCGCCACATGGGGATCCGTACGCCGGCGCTCTCGCCTCGTTTGTGTCACTGCGCCAAATGCGAGGCCCGGAAGAACCGGTTGTCGTCTGCTGGCCAAGAGTAGTCTGCTGCAAAACCAACCGACTTCGGATGAATGTCCCCTGTCGCAACATTGCCGTCCACTAGAGTAGCGAGCTTTTCGGGAACATTTCATGAGACGACCATACGCTCAATTTACCCCCAAATCTGTGGCAGGTGCTAATGCCACAGCTAAAGCGGTCGATTATGGAGCTGCAATCATTCAAACATTGCTTAAAAGCCACGTTGCTCTCGGAAAAGAGTCGATACAAATAAGCACCATTGAAAAGTAACGAGTCTTCATCCTCCTTCCGCGTCGTATAGCGTAGTGCGGATCAAGATGGAATCACGGGAGTTCAATTGCCTTTAAAAGAAAAAGAAGCCTAGGACCGCTTTGAGTCGCGGACGGTGCTGTTGCTGTGGTGGTAGCAAGGCCTCCGTGGCCTCGACCATGGAGCTGAGCTTGTCGCTCCGGCGCTCTTATTGTAATGCGGTAACCTCAGCGTCCGCAACCCGCCAAGTTATTGTGAAACAGTATAGAAAGTTTGGGAGACTCGCGCTGCTATACACATTAATTTTCCCCACCGAAATAAGCAAATGCCACAAGTTCCTTAGAATTGATCAGTTGAGTAGGCAACGAGTAGTTGCCTACATCACATCGCTACAATTTAATCAGTCTTTTTGTTGAATGTAGTTCCAGCCTTGGTGTTTATATTGCGGCGCGCGCAGCCGGCCAAGTAGGTAGTGCGGCCGTGGCCCAACAATGTGTCCCCCCCCATCGTGGTTGCCTCCCACGCGAAGAGCCAGGGTTCGATTCCTGAGAGTGACGAATCTTGTTTCTTCTTGCAATTTAGTGTTCTGGTAAATTTGAGAATCCTGTTACTTGTTCAAGGTCTGAATGTTCTACGAGCCAAACTTTCTACACAGATTGTTCCATAACCCCACGCGTGTACATAAGGGGCTCCGCGTGCCGAGCCGCAGTCACTCGCCCAGCGTTCGATCCTGCTGTTACGCCGAATTCGACGCCCGCGACGCTCTGTTGTCATGTTCTGTTCTCTTTTTTGTTTTGGGCACAAGTTTGCCCCATTTAAAATTTATTTATTCCAGTTTCCTTAGTGCTCTTTTGGTCACCACCCGTGACAATATACATGGCGTGTACTGACGTCGCAGCGCATACTTTTGACCAACATGAAAGAGAAAGGGAAGCTGCTTTTGTGAGAATTTTGAGCGACAGGTTAACTTTCTATAATCTTCTGGGAGGAAAACAGCGACATGTGGGCAAATCTCGGAGACACAAAAGAGGGTCCTGGTGAGACAGGAGCTCCTTCTTCCCCTCTTTCCTGGTAGCCATCGGAGCGCTCTGTGGATGACGTCATGTGCAAACCACGTAAAAAATACTGGCAGTAGAGAAATAAATAGTAGAAAACATGAACACCAGAACAAACAGTTTCGGCAAACTGCAAAACAGGCGATACCTTCATTAGCTCCTGCGCGGCGATGCCTCCGATCACGGCCTGCATGGGGCACAGGGAACCGGCAGACACTTGCGCCAGCAGGGAGATGAGCTTCTCGTCCAGCTCGTCCACCTTGGCCGTCGTGGACGCGTTCCTCTCCTTGGCCAGAGCCACCACCTCAGCCGCGTCCTCCTGGATTGAGTCGAACCCACCCAACACATCCGGCTCAGTGCTCTCCACGAGATTCGTGCAATGCAATTTAATGTGCAACTTAAAAGCCCCAGATAATGTACCCGACCTACCCCCTCGTAGAGCGGGGGACCCTCAAACCTTCCGTTCTTCAAGGATCTCAAGGACCCAACTTCCTCCAATGGCACCTCGGTCTCGACACTGGTGCAACAAAGTAGTTTAGGAGCCTACGGAGCCCGCAAACAGTAGTAAACATACTAGGCAGTGTTTGGCTCGTGGGCATCTACGGGTAGCATAGATCTGCTAAAATAGTGCTTAAATTGAAAGGACACTTTACTTAGGGGCCGGGGCTGTCAAGGAAATTTGGGAGCCAAGTATTCCTAAGCAAAGCTTTTTCTCATTTTAGGGGGGGCACGACCTTAAAATCACAATTTTTTGAAAAAGTCACGTTGTTGAAAAATAGTCTTATCAGCTTGTATAACTCCCGAAGAATGATGTCAAAAAGTTATTCCTGTAGATCCAGTATTTACTCCGAAATAAATTATTTCTGATGTACAGGCGGCCAGCGCGCTTCATAAAAACGCACGCGGTCACACCAATTTGCCATTCTCAAAGTGCGCTTGCTCCGCGTTCATTAGGTCTAGCACAGGCAGGCACCCCTCATTAGAAAAAGTGCTTAGCCCTCCTTTTGGTATAGAGCTCCTTGCGAGACGTTGTGTGCACCAGACGTGAAACTGCATAGAAAACAACACCGCACGCTCTCTTATTGGCCACACTGGTGAATAATAAACTCTGATTCGCTTAAACCTGCCACGTGACCCAATATTCCATGCAGCGTGGAGTGTATATGCCAGTCTCCTGCATCAACGCCTTGCCTGCATTCATACCACCCCCCGACAAGGAGCCAATTCATTTCGCTTCTTCCACTGGGATGGAGTCCTGGTGCCACTTGAACCGAAGCAAGGCTCTCAAGGAAGCGAGAGAATCACCAGCATCTCGGCCACATAAGCCAGCTTTTCCAAGGAGATAGCGAAGGAGCTAGTGCCCTTGTACAACCGCCTGTCACGGAATGATTTTCTTTAAAGATGTTCCCAGATGAAAACCCAGAACGGGAATGATTTTTCAACGCCTTGCTTTGGAAGAGGTGCCCAAAGGTCGCTCATCTAAGTACTGTCGAGTGTGCTGCGACTCTTGCAGTCTTCGACCTGGGTCCTCTAGGCTTTGAGAAAGTTATTTCGGAGATGGGCATTAAGCAAGGGAGCCACCAGACATCACGGGCTGTGAAGGTCACTCGGACGAAGGTTGCAAAGGCCCAAGTGAAGGCACCGAGGCATCGCGCAAAAGACAAAAGATGGAAGCTCTGGCCAAAGCACAGAAGGACAATGCAGAGGAGAGACTGCCGTACGCTCCTGGAGCATTTTAGGTCAAGTCGAAAGTGCCATCGAAAATGGAACACAATATAAATTTTAAAACGCGTTTTCCTCAGCTTTATGTTTTGAACATTTTTTCATTGCTCAAAAACTATCATTCGATGACTGAAGTACCTTCGTAACTGCTGTGCGGTTTTTCTGGAGTGAAATATACAGGAGAACTCGACTATGTGCTTACTTTTTCAAGATTGCTATTTCTTTAGCGAGAAAATGTCAACTTTTGTAACAGTAAAAATATGAATGAAATTAACCCCTTTTTCGAAGTTTACTTTAACGCTAAATATGGCGCTTAAAATTATTTGAAACCCACTACCGATTAGTCTAGTCAATCGTCCTTATATCCAAGGAAACAAATTGTGACATTTTGGTACTGTTTTGTAACGATAGTTTTTTCCCCTAGGCACTACACTAATTGCATAGTATTTTTGACATAGAAGGCTGTAACTTGGCACGAAATTGACGTTTTCAGCTGAAAGTTGGTGTAGCCTCCCAAGTTTGCATGCCTAGTATACCCTGCCAATTTCATTGAAATAGCACTAGTACTTAAAAAGTAGACCCTCCAAGGGAGTGCCTCCCCTTAATCACTGTTTTAGCAGCCCTGAGCCACCCATTGATGCATAACATCCGGGGAACCCTGAACAGGGTCCCTCGGATGCCATTCGAGGCAAGAAACTTGACGTGAAATTGAGGAGTTCGATAACTTTTGCTCTAAAGAAACTCTAAAAAAGGTGAAAACCCCACATTTAAGGTCGGATCAAAAAGATTCTGCCGTAAACTAGAGCTGTGTGCCAGCTACACTGAATGCGGTTAAGGCACATGTCCGGACTGGATTACATCTAACAAATCAGAGGCACATTGTTTCAAACATAGAAAATGGATGCACTTCTACAAAACTTCTGGCAATACTAAAGTTTCTGGATGAGAGACCCACTCCGTGCTTCTGACAGTAGACATTTTTTAAGGCGCCGACTAAGTGACTGCAAGTTGAGGCACAGCCACCTAATAAACTGCAAGATGTCACTTTGTTCCCACCAGAAGTGCTTCGTCGTGCATATATTTGTTATCATTCGTAGAAGAAAGCAGCGCTGGACTTTAAGCAATAGAACGGGCTCTCGCGACGAATGTTGCTCGGCCCGGGCTAGAGCAAACCCCGCACTGCATTCAGGGGTCTGCCTGAAATGGTCGAGGATCGTTGGTTTCCCCACAAAGTCCACAGTGCCAGTTCCATATTGAGGAAGTCGGGCACCTCTACAAGTGGGTTGGGCTGGAGCCACTACACAAGCCGCACTCTAGGGTAACAACACTTGAGCCAGTTCTTGTTGCCATTTAGAAGCTATATCAGGTATTGCAAGAACTCATTTTTTGTTTATTTTTGAGAAGGGTTAAAGCCCCTCTACGCTGAAAGTAGCACAGAGTCTTTTGTACCTCGAGATTTTCTCTTTTCTCCTCCCTGCAAGCCTCTCCCCCATTCATTTGGCACTAGCACCTCCAAGGCTACCCTCCGCCAGGCACCGCGACAGGTGACTGCTGGCAAACCCTAGCGAGACAGGTGTTTTCTTCGCGATTTTGACTATCAGCTTTTGTGTTTTTGCTAGGACATAAGTTGCCAGTGTCCTTGATGTCTAGGCTACAGGGTATATCTTTCCATTGCTTCACGTCCGAAGCAGGCTCGGGGGTTTACTTGAGGCTACGACTGTCTGCTTGGATCATTCGGTTTGAGATCAAATGCTATGTTCCACTTTATAAACAATCATACAATAAAACTGAATGGTGAGACAGATCTTTCCTTTTCAGCAGACAGGGAAGCCATGGCGATAAGCGCACACACGCTTCTGTTATGGAATGCAAAATGAACTTACGAAGCAAACCGAGCAAAGTACACCATCATTTCGGTGTCGCCGACGCGCTCATTTCCAGAACAGTCGACAACAAAGATCACTGCTTGTTCCTTTTTGTTTCTGCCATTTCACACTGAAGAGACGGCAAGATAAACAAAACGTGAATGAGTGTTTGGTAAGCAAGCGCAAGTGATTTAGTAATGCAACATCATCTAAAAGGGAAACAACATGAGCACTACTAATAAAAAAAGCTTCAATGGGCGGCTGGAAAGTAACATGTAAGCGTATGCACGCTGCCGGAAAGTGCGAGGCCCTGACACAGTAGGGCACAAATGGCGGGTGGAAGTGGCGAAGTGAAATCGGGCGTACGCTCGACCAATCGGTGATAATGGCGTCACAGGATCAATTAATGTCACTACTTTTCAGTATAAAAGGGCTTTATAAAGGGTCCATCGTGTCCTCTCTCCATGAGGCGCTAAAAATGGTGCCCACGAGAAAATCTGGGAATGGTGTACCGGTACTCTAAACATTGCCGATTCAGTGGCTCAAAGTTGGGATGGGCTCGCGAAATGTTAGACAGAGATTACGAGAACAGGACACCAACCTTGTTCCAGGGGCCGGGCAGCCGTCCGTGCTTCTCCCGGAAAGCGTGCAGCGCCTGGAACCCTAGGTGGAACTGTGCCGGGCGCTCCATCTTGCCGAAGTCCGACATGACAAACTCCGGAGCTTCCAGGGACACCTTCAGGGGTTTCTGCAACGAATGTGTGCATCTCCAACTTGTTTGTGACGCTACTCCATGTTGAACCGGACATTAGACACTGAGGAACTCTAGCATTGGTCTTTTTGCTACCCAATTCAACGAAGTTTCAGTTCACAGTTTCATTTCAATTCATACGGGCAAAAATCTTGTTTTCTATTTTAGAGCTCAGCTCTTAGGCGCACGTTTCCGCCTTGAGCGGCGCCGCCGTAACTGCGCGGTGAATTATGGCCAACGTCCCATAATGCGCGCGTTGCATTGTAGGACGTTTTCCATAATACACCGTGCTGGAGGGAGGAGGAGGGGAGGGGGGAGGAGGAGGGGAAAATAACAAGATTCCACTGTAGTAGGAAACGTTGAGATTCAGATAACGCGAATGCAACATGGGACGCAAGTTAGCTCCATCGTAACAATGTCTTTATCAGACACCTGCTCCATTCAATGTTTCCACCATGCCCCATAACGCATCTTTAGGACAACCAAAAGTGCAACTTAGAATGCAACTCGCTTTCATTATTGTATATATTCTTCAAAGATTTAACTGCACATGATTGACGTCGAGAACTAAACAATTCAAGCCCTCGGGGGCTTCACTCCCTCAACATTGTGTCAACAAGCTGCATACAAAGGTTAGCATCAGTACACCAATTCCACATCACCACAAGCAATTACAAAGTACGAGAAGTTGTAGTACTCAACGCACGAACAGAAACCGAATACATAGTGCGTCGACAAACGAAGGGCCGGAAAAGGTCACTCACAAACTTGATGTCTTTGGGCATCTTGACCTGGGTGGCCACTCCACCCCTGACATAATCCGAAAAGTTGGACGTGTCCCCAACGCTGAATGTGTAGGGTCCTGCAACACACCGGCCAGAAAATGCCATCCGCAATGCCATGTCTTTTTCCTCTCATTTTTTTTTTTTCACCCATTGCACTATACATTTACAAAAGCATTGCATAACCCTGGTATTGGCTACAAGAAGTATTTTGCGAGACCACTGAGACCTTCACATAAGTTTTCTGAATAGTCCGCTCTAAGTAGCAGATGCTCAGATTATGTATTATCACCACCAGGAAAAATCTTATTACAGGCCTATTTACAGTTGCGATACGAATTTCATCAAACATGCCAGACACTCCACCCTCAGTGCAAGTCTTCTTCTAGTAACATTACGGGTCCCGCAAACACGCCCGGCTGAAGCACAACAAAAGGCAACGGGCACGTGCCGGGGTTGGGAGCTTTTAGCATCAACTAGTGTCTGACCTTAGCACATTCAGCGAAGGACAGACGAGTGATTTAGACCACCTAAGGATTACTTCGATGCGCAACAGAAATTTCAGCTTTGTACGCGCAACGAGTTTCTATCACGCGGCAAGTTAAGAGGAAGCGTCTCACCAAGAACCTTGACCTTCATGGGCTGACATCCGTTGATCTCGGACATGCCGTGCACCTCTGAGAAGGTGACATAGTCCCCGTCCTCGAACCCATGCCGCGTCTCCTCCAGGCAAGCCACCACGGCTTCCTTGTCCTGCACCGCCCCAAGTCACGTGTTGATGCCCGTAGACTTTTTTTCGTCCGAATCATCAAAACCAATAGAAAAGTTGCGATTTTCAGCGGAAAATCTCTAAAACGACGACGACATTATTTTTTCTTGGATATATATTTTTTTTCTTCGCTTTTCGATTACGTGCGACAGCTGCGTCAAGGAATCTTGCGCACCAGTCCAGGCGTACAAGAGACCCTTTTGTACATTTCCATGAGAATCGGAAGTATTGTAAAATCCCGTAAGGGTGCCCACCCGAAATGAAGAGATAAATGGTGAAAAACACGAGTTGGGCTACCTTTGGGGACGAGACAGCAAAACTATTAATGATAAACACAGGGGCTCCCACTACACGCCATGCGATACGGGAACCGATACCGCAGACCGTGGCCACTGCAAACTGAACGCGATGAGCACGCGGGAATTCGCGTCCTCGAACCAGGCAATACGGTCAAAAGAGAAAGGCTGAAACAGGGACCAACAACTTGCCTTGCTGATTGAGGCGACCATTGCAGACACAGGCTGCTCTCCGTTCGTGTCCACCACACGGAAGCTCTTGCCAAAGTCGCAGAAGATCTGGCTGCAAGTTACGAGCAGAGTGAGCTTCCCACCAAAGCGATCAAACTTCCTAGGGCCCGAAAGGCTTATAACTAGGGTTCCGCGTTTTCGGTTTCTATTTTTTCAAAATTCGGCATACTTTTTTCGGTGTTTATTTTAAAATTAAATTTTCGTTTTTTTTCGGCGTATATTTATGCCCACCAAAATTTATCGGCTTTTTTCGGTGTATATAAAATAAACACCAACGGACACCGGATCAGATTATCCTTGTAGCTCTGATATTTTTTTATCACTTAAATAATAGCGGCACAGATATATTGAAAAAGAAATGGACACTTTATTTGGCAAATGTGTGCAACTGTAAAGAATCAATAAGGAAAAAACAGAAGTAAAAACAAGTCAGATATGAAGCCTATGCCCAAAAAAACATGGAACTTCACCTTCTGTATATCAGTATTACGTGATCTTATTACAGTACACACGCATATATTTTCCCAGATTCTCTTCGTTGATCCGCACCCTTTCTTTCCTGTTAATATGACCCTGAGCTTCGAGAATGCCCTCTCAACGCTAACACTGGACACTGGCGGGCTGAGGAGATGAAGCGCTGCCTGAGTCAAAATCGGCCAATCAACCAATTGTGACCGCCAAAAGAGACACGGTACGACGTTTTGAAGCACAACACAACATGCAGAGCTTGCATCAAGTCAGTCTTCCTTTCAACGAGTTTCAAAACACGCCCGTACATGGCGAAGTCATGGGGCATTTCAGACTTTACGTTCCGATCGATGATGCGCACAATAAACCAAAACGTCGTGATGGCATCCGTGTATCCCATACATTCGGAAAACATTTCGATAGACGCTGTCGTTCCACTTTTTCGCCACGGCTCTGCGGTAGGACTGGAAGGTGAAAGTGACCGTTTCCGGTTAAAAATTATTTTCAGAAAATAGACTCGACGTACTTTTATCGGTTTTTATCGATTTAAATCGAAAAAGCCGAACCTAAAAACTGACCTTTTTCGGTTAAAACCGAATTTCCGAAATTGAATTCGGCGTACTTTTATCGGTTTTTATCGGTTTAAACCGAAAACTCCGAACCCTACTTATAACCAATGGTTTCAATGCCTGCTATCAGTTTCAAGGCTCACAAAACATTCTATGGTAAAAGAATGTGAAAAACTGAAGACAAAAAACTGCAGACAGGCGTAAGTAGCCTGCGACCCCTCATCTTTTTTGCCAGACTTTTGCATACTTTGAACAATCCCACTGGACAAACTTTCTGGCCTTCTGCATATAAAAAAAGTGACTTTTCCAACTGTTTCATTGCTTGATAATGTAAAAAGACAAGAATAAAAAAAATAAACCCAAAAAACTAATATGGGATGGGCAATGCAGCTTTCCTAGCCCCACCTACCAAGAGAAACACCAAAACCACAGTGAAGAGTTTCAAAAGCCACATCCAGGGGTGGAACTCATGAAATGCATTTGGGAGCAGCCATGGGAGCAGCTGAAACCGCTGTTTTGGAGCAGGTTGGGAGCAGCTAAAACTACGTTCTGGAGCAGGCTAGGAGCAGCTCAGATCAGTTTTCATTGCACTTCAGCTTCTGTCTTAGACGAGCACAGGAGCAATTTCAATTGTGCTTAGCAGCGATGAACATGAGTGGTTAGGGACCTAGGTAATGGGATAACAGTGTAACAGATGCCAAAACTTGAAACTTTGTAAGCCTTAATGAGAATCAAAAAGCAAGTACCATATGTTTCTGAAGACGGTGTCCTTGATATTTTCTGAGTGGCTTTCAGCTGCTCAAAATGCAAATCAGCACTGCTTATCGCACAACCCACACGTGCTCGACATAGTAGTTATATGTGCGAACCACATGACGTGCGTAAGCAACGGACGTGCAGTAGCGTGGGGGAACAGGGCAACAAATTTCGAGTTTATCCTATTGTGCAACTCAATATCGAAGCAGCAGACTACAATTAACGGAGTTATCGTATTCAAAGCGATTAGCGGGAGCAAGGTTGAAGTACGCCGAGCAGATCTACCGCTCTCGTGACAGCAGCTGGCAGGCAAGGTTTCGGATCGGACCGCGTTTCAGTTCTATCAAATCGCAATTATCTTGCGGGAATGCGGTTTCAACTTCTAACGATGAAGTACTAAAAGGAGTATTTTGCTCATTTGGTTTCGATTGGCTGACGTCCGGATCCCGGGCTGCAGAGCCTCAGGCAATCTGACGCTTAAAGTCTCGACCTCACCTCGGTCGACTTGCTTAACAGCTTATGGTTGAAGAATAACAGTCCAGTCGCAGGTGTAGCGATTCGAATCCGATCCCCGAGTTTTTTCGCGCGCTTCCGACTCGGGATACACAGGGAGAATAAACAGAACAAAGGATTGCAAGGCCGACCAAGCTAAACGGGCTAATTGATGCCAATCGAGTCGATAGGAACCGAAACCAAGACAAAATACTTTTTTGTTTTTGGCGCACGTTGTGCGATTTGGTGCATAATGGCGCAAGGTATTGGCTGTGGCGCAGTTTCCGTGAAATGGCGCAGGATGGCGCAGACAAATGCGTCTGGCGCAAAATGGCGCAAATGGCGCAGCCGTTCCACCCCTGCACATCAGCCTCAAATGCACTTTAGCCTTCCTAGCCCTACCTACCAGCGAGAACGCCGGATGCAGAGAAAGGCAAAAGAATGAAACAGACTCGTGCATAACAAACACAGTCTCACCCGACAAGACCACGGGTTTCGGCCACAACAAGGGCAATGTCCTCCGAGTGCGTGAAGTCACTGATCCGAAGCTGCTCGGACAATGGAACGTCTGTCAACACCACCACCTGGTAGGGAAAGGCAAACGACGACCAAACATGTAACCGTGCCATTTCTAGCAGCCATTGTCAACCACACAGTCACACAATAACTAGAATCTGCAAATGCATTCGCCTCGCAGGCCGGCATACAACATATTTTTGCCCGAAGGATCGTAACGGTACATCCTGCCACCCAGTTGTGCCAGTGTGAAGTACACTCAGCATCTGGCCTTCACCCAGAACAACCAACTACAGATGGGCACTGAAGTGTGCTGACACAAAACTCCTCTTTTGCAGAAACAAGAAATTTAGGAGCCCAAAAACTCAATTTTGACAACACGGCAGAAATCCGATATGCCGATTACACTGCCTCTTTTGGGACACACAAGTCGTAAATGTTAAGCTTACTGCGTGAGCAAAGGAAGAAGACTTCAGCCACACCAAAAGTTTGTAGACTAGTTATAGGTAATGGGATGACGGTGATCGGAGAGATGACTGCACTCACCCGAAAGCGACCCAGGTACTCCTCGGTGAGAGGCCCCGTGTAGGCAGTCACAGACACGTAAGTGTTTAGTTCCGCCAGAGCAGAGACGCAAGCCTCTGCCCTGTTCTTGCCCAGGCATCCTTCATTCAGGTAAAACTGCGTACACATGATACAATGGTTCAGTACGACACTGGAAAAGTTTTCAATACTTGTATGAAAAGGAAATGGGAGGGGGGGGGGGGGGGGGGGGGGGTGCAAAGCAGCCACTGATTAGAGCCCGCATTATGGATACCGTGAAAGAAATGTTCCTTTTGAAAAAAACACTGGATATGCTCACGGCCCTTAACAATTTGCACGCCAGGGAGAAAATCAAAAGCCAGTGGTTGCTCAAAGGCGTTCAATGTGGCCAGAAACGCCAAAGGGACCATAAAACGGAAGCTGACAGTGATCCGTTTCTCCCTCCTACTATTATGTTGGATTAACGTGAACGTCCAGAGGTGCCGACAGTGGCTATTAGCACGGCGGTTTCACTTGCCTCGTTCGCTACTTCAGACGCACACCACTGCAATTGTCGCACACCTGTTCAGAATCGAACGAGCTAAAAAGCAAGACACCGGCACGACAAAAAAACCTGACATGTTGCAAGACGTGTTGGAACAACGAGCAGGCACCGGCCAAGCGCTACATTATTTGTCGCTGTCGTCTCGAGCTTAACCCGACGAATTCTCCACTGCCAGGAGGCAATCTCACCATTGTTGGTTATGCTACGGAGGCTTTGTCACTAGGGCGTCGTAGAAAATCGATCTCGCACTTCAATAACAGCACCCAACAAGGATAAAGCATGCTAAAAGGTGCCGGCAGACTATCGAGCAACATTATCGGAATACAGAACCTATACCACCCGACGCACCACACTACAATACAGTTAGCATGAACAAGAAATTAGCACTTTTCTGCTTTTACTAAGATGGGACATTGCCGAGCACCACAATTCGCCACTTAGGTTGAATGAGGTCTTTCCGTCACAGCAGTAGGATAGCCCGTCAATTAATAAATAAAACCAAATAAAAGAAAAGCGATCGCTTGTTTGCAAACAGGGTCTCACCGCATACATGTGACCATTTATTTTCGGGGGGAAACCCAGATTTGGGTACGCTATACTGGAACAGGAGATGACGAGCGACAAGATGAACACGGGACGCCCAGAGCACCAAGGCAGCACTGATACCAACTTTAAGATCCCGCTTCCGCCATCTACCCACCTGCGAGGAGAGGTCTGCCAGAGTGCAGGCGCCGTCGTCATGCACCGTCACTGACTTGACGCCGCTCAAGATGACGTTCTTGGCAATCTCCACGCCCAGGCCTTGCATGCCCGAGATGAGCACGTCCGAGGTGGCCATCCGGCGCATCGCCTCGTGCCCAAGCACATACCTGGAACGGCCCCAAATGCGGATTACAGAAGAGGCTTCCGCCATTCTCCGATTCAACCGTTCAGGAAGCTTTCGCAGATTGTTTTCGTGCTCCAATAATAATGCAATGCAAGCACAAAGTTGCTGGTGGAGTATGAGTATTATAATCGTGGTTTTCAAAATGATCCCACCAAAGGGCCATCTGCAACGATGTGCAGAACTGAAAAGGCATCCGTGATGAGCATATTCCGCCGACAAGTTACTGCCCGTTTGCACTGAACTGCCAGCTTGCACTATCCACGATACAGTAGATTAATAGCAATGGACACACCCTCAGCATTCCGCAAAAAAAACCCTCTTGTTGTACTTCTAAATTCCTAGCCTCCTCATTCATGACGTGCATAGACTGCTGACAAGTTGCCACCTGTTTGGGTGGGCTGGACTGCCAGCGTTGACTATCTACGATGCAGCGGAAGAATGTCGACATTGGGTGCACCCTTAGTCTATCGCAGGAAGACCCTCTTAAAGTGCCACATTCCTGGCGTTCTCATGTTTATGCTGTAGTTCACAAGTGCTGCAGGACTTGCTTTAAGCAATTTTGAGAACCCTTAACATCTACAACAATAGCATGTCATACTCACTTTTGGTTCTTAATTTCTAGGCTAGGTGGCGCGAACTACTGCCCGTTGTAAAGGGTACAGCCGTTAGCGTCCATCGATCCAGAGCCGAGACTCCTTAGATGTCACAAGCCCCATTTAACCACAGAATATTCGGTACAACTTGCAAGGCTCGACAAATGGAAAAAAAAAAAAAAAAAAACGGGAGACAAAAAGTTTGTAGGTTACTTAATTAGGGAAAAAAAGACATCAATCTTTAAAATGAACTATATTTTCGAAATCGCCATCTTTTACTCTTTCCGGTATGCTATTTAGTATCGAGACACTCAAAATAGTTATTGTGAAATCTGCCTATGAAAATGATGCCAAAACCAAGTTTCGAATATACCCATGCTTTAAATAGCGGGCTGTCTAAAAATGAACTATGCCAAGCATTTGTTTCATGCTGCTGCTGTGCAAGAGCTGGAACGACCTTCCAAAGCATTCATTTGACACCATGAAACTGTAATCAGTTGGGAACAGTTTACAGCCCAAAGAGGGAACCCCTGCATTCCATGACGTCACTCTTTCAATGTGGCCAGTAGAGCTTTTCCCTTTGAAAAACACGATGAGGACCAAAACCGTACATTTTATAACTCCGCAAAAAAAAAGTTATTTTGCCCATATATTTGGGTCACTATTTCGGCGATGTTTGTTGGAGTGTTTAGCAAGTTTTTAGGCAAATCAGGGACTATGAAGAAAATGCTGGAGTACCCCTTTAAGGCAGGGTGCAACTGGACACATGACACAACTATCTTCATCCACACATCAACAAATCAAAGGAACTTCTTTCCAAACTCACAGCTGTCTAGAGTAGAGGCCCTCATCGATGTCGCCGGCATTTTGTGCTGCGGAGCCATTCTGGGCCATGTCACCCTGCAAAAGAAATAAAGGACTGAGAATCAGCAGTGCACAAGCAATGTCAAGTTGCAGCAAAGAGAAACGGCAAAACCTCTACTGCGCCCAGTACCTAAGAAATAGCTCGCTACACAATTATTCATTACATTATGCTTGAATGCAGAATACGAAAAAAAAAAATGTGCAGACAGCAAGGTAAAAAGTTGAATTTGGCAAACCGCTAAGAAACAGTTGTTTCACTCGACTACAATGTTTTTTCTTTCTTTCAAAATACAGCCACTCCCGTAAAAACACGACATCAATGAAAAAAAAAAATGCTAACTACCTAATGTGCAACGAAGTAGCCGTTAAAATATGCTACGCAAAGAAACAAAAAAAAAAAAATTTAATCGGTTTGGTGTTAGTTTAGGATTAGGTGACCTCGACCTCAAAGGCGTCGCAGAGAGAATATCTGAAAAATAGGGGAAAGCGCGCTGGGAATCGGGTGCGGGCACGACAGACAAGATAACCACCCTCGCGCTCCAGACGTCGAAGGCTAGAGTACAAAGGCGACCCAGACATTGCGGATAACTCACAAAGAGACAAGGAAGCTGGCCGTTCTCGGGCGAATCTAGATAGAAAAGGCACGGACGCCAGGCAAATTTCCGCCGAGTCATCGCCCGAAGTTGCTGATGCAAGAAACCCGCCGACCTTAAAAAAACTACGCTCGCGAAGAAATATACGAAAAAGTCGAACACACACACACACAAAACTGGAAGACCGCGGCCAAGGTAGGATTTGTTAAATACTGAAATAAATGAATTAAACGTCATGCGTGTTCCCAAAGGCTGACTGTTCGACACGCTTCTTGCTCGTCCTAATTTATTTCCTTTCACCCACATCGCGTCATGCAGCATGCAACGTACCGCGGCAGTGCCACTAAAAAGCGCCATCACCCCGATCTCTCGCCATTTCGAAACATACACCCTTCAAAACCAACCTGCCGAACCCATCGTCCCTTCATCGAACAACAACCACCGCAAAATTCACCACGGAAACGGCAGAGGCCGCAGGTAGAAACGCCAGTTTCGAATCCGGTGTAAGTTTCGTATTCACTGGTACAAAAATAAAATAAAAAATTAAGTAAAAATAAATAACGAATGAATGAACCGAGTACTACCCGGGCTTAAAAACGTCCTAAAACTACGACGGTTCGACGCGACCGCAGACGAACGCAACCATCAGACGATATCGTCGCACTCGTGCAAAGAGACACGTCATCAAGACCAAACAAACGAATGGAACACGCGAGCCACACACAATGTGAAACACTTGCGGATAAAAACATAAAAAAAAAACCAGCTCCACCCCCTTCCCCTCTCACGAGATAAGCCTAGCCCCGTCTGCCTACTCGGCTAACGGAAAAGTACAAAGGGGGAAAAACCCGCGAAGTCGGACATCCAATTCACCTGTAGCAACTCGCTGCGCAGCGAACCGCGGCCACAGACAGCCTTCGCCAGCGGGCGCGAAGTAGACGGAGCGATACATCCAGCGATACTGCGACCACAAGCGGTACCCATGGAAACGCGCCGATAAAAAACACTGCCCGCAACCCCTCCACTACCGCCGCCTCTACGAGAAACCAGCACCAGCTGATCCGACCCAGCCCGAAGAACCGTCAACAACGAAAAACTCGCAACTTACGTACCCGAGAAGGTCAAGCGCAAAAAAGGTTCCAAGTTCGACGCTGCGGCGTTGCAGCACAAGCGCGCGCACGGCCCTGCCGCGAGTGAACGCAACTTGGCAGTAAAAGTACGGTTCTAGAAAAACTAGGTCGTTCCTCTGCCGCAATAACACCGCGAGAGCGCACGCAGACAAAATGACCGCTCGGGTGAACTTTCTTGTTCCCCGCTTCGAGAAAACAAACAAACAAAAGCGGTACCGGTGTTGGAAACGCGCAGAAGAACGCCCTGCCCTTGCGACGAGTTCGGTGGTCGGTGCAGTCCCGAGAAGGAGTACGCGTGGCACACGCACGGCCGCCCGTTGGTGCGGGGGTCATCGCGCCTTGCGCTCTCTCGCCCACCGTTCGGCGGCCGTCGCAAAAAAGGAGGCACGCTGGAGCGTGCCCCCTCGAAGCTCCGAGCGGAACGGCTACGCTACGTCCCATGCCCTTCAAAAAAGAGGCTGGCTGACAACTCTTCAGACACGCCAAGTTCTCAACCAAAAGATTCGAAAGTCCCAACTGTCAAGTTCGCGATCTATTTTTTTTTTTTTTTCTTTCCGATTTTAGGAGCCTTTATTTAGCGTCCGATATGGCGCCCTTCTGCTTGGACGGTGAAAAGCTACCCAACAACATTTCTATAAAAAATAAAAATATTAGGTTTCACACGTCGATGACCGGGACCAAACACATCTTTCAACGGACCACATACTGGCTAAACAAAAGCTCTTCGCACTGCGTTGCGAAAAGCTCCAGGCCGATGAAAGAAGGCAACCTCTTAAAATTCATCCTGCTTCGTCGTCGACCAGTTTCAGACAGTCTCGGGTCAGCCAGGTATGAGTCAGTTCAGCTTGCTACGCGTACCGCAGGAACGGCAAAGTGGGCTCGCGGGGTGGGTGGGGGCAATCACGCGTCAGGTGAACCGCAACCGGCGGTTCTCGCGTCACTAAGCGCCGCAGGGTGATGACCTCACCAGACGCACGAGTGTCGCCGCCGCCATGAACCCAAACCCTTTAATTCGCGCCATTTTTTTTTTTTTTTTTACTAAATGGAAAGCGCCGAATAAACAAGGGCGAAGAAGGGGACAGAGACGAAGCGTCGCATTTATTTATGCGTTGAGGATACCGCTTAAAACTACACGCTATATTCGTAGTCACAACTTCTGCAAATACGACAAGCCGAAACTAAAAACCAACGAAAAAAAGTGATATAATATGTTTGTTGTTACTATGTATAAAGTGTTTCAGCTGGACCATTGCCACAATGGGGTCCATATCACAAGAGCGAATGACATTTTAGCGAACGGCGACATTTGAGCGAATGGTCGTTTTAGCGAATAACAGGGGCGCGCGTTAACCCATCCGTCGCGCTGCGCTTTACGCCGCTTCGCGGCGACAGTCTGCGGCAACTCATTACAAAAATATGAACTCACTTGGCCCACCCGAAAACGCCGCTTCGCGGCGTCCGACTATTCGCTAAAGTGTCATTCGATGAAACGTGGGCGTTCGCTAAAACGTCATTCGATCAAGTGAGTGCCTCCCGCCACAATGGTCCAGCTGAACTCGCTTTTCACACGAGTCCCCGATTTCGGTGATCAGATTTCCCACCTTCGTCAAAACATCAGAGTACATTCGACTTTTTTCATACTTCCGTCAGCTCTCCCGCGCACTCGGCCCTTGGACACAAGCAATCGGTCACCCTAGGCACAACCTTCGAACCCACTGGCCTAAAAAAGGCGTGACAGTGCGACAAGTCAAAAAGATAACAGCAGCGACAGTTCCCAAACGCAATCGCAAACCGACTTTCTTTTGCAACCTGGCCCGGTGGGCGAAACCGCTTCACCCACAGAACCCAGCTATTTTTAGCACCTTACTCCCCCGAAAGCACAAAAATGAAATGCGTGGCAAAATAAAGTAAATTGTTCAAAAAAAAAAAAGAAGCAGCAGAAAGAAAGGAAGACTTTGGATGGCTCACGATCCCGTATGCCCATAGTAACTCCCATAGTAACAACATGGAAGATGGACGGAACAGATCTCTTTCCCAAGAAACAGTACTGGAAACATAGGTAGTACACACGCGTTCGCTTTCTTCGTATATATATATAAAAAAAAAGCAAAGTATCTTTCTTTGTGTAAAAAAAAAAAAAAAAGCAAAATATCTTTCTTTGTGTAAAAAAAATGCAAAGTAAATATTAAAAAAAAACCGTTGAGGAACTCCCCCCCCCCCCCCCCCCCCAAAAAAAAAAAAAAAAATAGAGTGCAGGCGAGCTGGTGTAAGTTGAACATGATTGTAAACCTGACGTTGCCTCCTCCTTTACTACCTTCTGTTGTGTTCTCTTTTCTGCCCCAGTCTCAGATTTACAATCATGTTCATGTTTCAAAAGTAGCGCAAGGTGCGTCGATGCACGAGACACGTGCAGCCCTTGGGAAGATCATGGCGGTACACGGCAGCACTGAGCTAATTTCGGTGGCGCGCGGCACGTGCCTCGAGCATTTCTACACCAATGAATGGAGCCACTTTTCCCAGAATAGAGGGGCAGGTTGGACATTTACATGCATTTGAGAAGGGACGGAACAAACACGAAGTCTCGAAACTTTGTGTTTGTCCGTTCCTTCTCGTCCCAGTCTCGGGGTTTTAGTCAACTGTTTAACCACCACCAACCAGCTCGTTTGCGCCCTAACATTTTGTTCATTTACATGTACATTTTAAAAGACCACGGAAGTGACGCCTTGGCATCCGAATGGTGGAGGCAATGACTTTTTAAAACATTCATGTAAATGTACAACCGAGGTGCCCAGACCTTTCAACAATATCGCGCCAGGTCAGCGAGACTACGCGCGTGTAGCAGACGTCTAGTCGCGCCGACTTGCTGTTTCACGCCGCGATAAGGCGTCAAACTACCGGCCAGTCGGTGTTCACGCGATATTGTTAAAAAAAATTAAAAAAAAAATCTGGAGGCTATACCTACGTTCCCAACCTCCACGGGGATGCCTCGGTAATCCGACAAAAGGTCTATTACAAAACCAAGGTTAATCATAAAACGCGTCCTGTTATCTCCCGACGCGTGACACGGCAGGTTGTCCTTTGTACGAAATTTGTTCCCTTTACCAATCTCCGTCTATTTTCTTTGCCACCAACTTGCGCAACAGCGTCGGCTTTGCTAGCTTATGTAATACATCATATCCAGCTGTTGTGGCTGCTGACGGAGGTTCCGCGTCCCAGGCGTCCCAGCACCGAGAAGCCGTAGTTGGTAGTAACACTATTTCAAGCACTAGTCGTAAAAGAAAGTAAAATAAAGCAAGAACCAGGAGCAAATATATAAGTATAATCATGACAACCACGCTTTCGCAACGAAGTTGCGGTAAATCACCACATGACGAGGAAGCAGCAGGGGGGGATATAAACATATATAAAGTAGATTTTCCTACGCGTGGATGAGGGCGGATAGCAACGCAGATGAGAGGGCGTGGTTTACATCGATACCAAAAGATGGCGCTAGATGGCAGCCCATTCATTTTTACGTCACGCGCGCTCATTTTAGTATTTGTTGGCTCAACCGTTTACTTTAACAAAAAAAAAAAAAAAAAAAAAAAAAAAAAAAAACGGCGTGTCTAATTTCGCAAATATTTTACCTACGCGGCGCCTAAGGTTATCAGTGACTCAACGCAATAAAAAGAGGTTATAACATGTGTGAAATCAGCGGCTAAGCTGACAGAAACAGCACTAAAGACAACAGCACAGCTAACACCGGTTTAGCCCCGATTTCAGGTTTCGACCGCCTGCAGTTTCTGGTGTTCCACTGTTAAGGTAGCATCTGTTCATAGAAAAACAAAAACAATACCTAGCTCAAAATTCTGATGGCTTATGGAGTCCCGTGGCAATGGAGCGTGCTGAAATCGCCGAGACCTGATGCTAAAGGAGCGTTGGTATCAAGTTTCAAGTCGTATTCACCAACCCTTCCGCCCACATCGAAAAAACAAAACGACCTGTATAGCTATTGCTCCTGTAATTAAGAAGCAACAATTTAGTGTTAACCGATCTGAAGGGATTTGTAAGTAACCAAACGATAAAGTATATCAAGACGAAACGCGAGCACAAAGGCTCACAAAACCACGGACAAAACTGCGCGGACAGCTGGCGCCATCTGTGGAGCCGAAAAGTCAATCTAATCGCGATTTCTTGTTGCCATCCCCGGTTCATTGAAAAGAGGCTTTCTGCTACTCTCTTTGCTGGACAAATAAGAACGGTCTGGCCTTGATCTTCGTACATAAAAAAATTTCAGTTGTGGCACGGCGTAAAATTACATGTCTCTCCGCTTTGCGCACTACGCTATTTAGTTGGCTTAAACGCAAAACTTGCTCCGTTGGATACTTCATTTGACGAGGCTTAGGCCTACCCACATGGAAAGACAAAACAAAAGCACGCGCAATGCGCAGTAAACGCTCCCGCGGCCCAGAGGTTTTTCGCTGACATTGAGGGACACTTACAACAGTCTTCGCAGACTTGGAGTTGGTGGAATGAGCTTCACTCTTGCGCTTCTTGGCCGGCGGGCTTTTGGCGTGTTCAGAGACAGTGTCCGCTGCACAAGACATCTAAAAGTTTAGAATCCCGGCACATGAATACCGCATACGATAACTCCTTTTGACGAGTATGCTTCTCCCGGTAAGCTACACCTTCCTTCGCAGTAGCTATAACAGTCTTCCGACTGTTATAGCTCGAGTGCCGGCACGCCTCGACGCTTGCCTGCGCTGGAAGCACTGGGAAAAATGGCCGTCTTGAACAAAAGGAGCAAAAAAGGGCGCCTGCTGCATTTTCTTTGTCCCTGCTTTTTTTCACTTTCTTTCATAACCGAAAAAATATACTAGTAAACTTTGCAGTATATGCCTTAAAAAACTTTATAATTCTTTTATAGCAAACAATGATGGTCAAAAATAAGTATAAACATGTTATAAAAGTTTACTCAAAACGCTAAAACCCTGTCGGTCTTTATGTGAACCATTTACTCGTAACCATGACAACCGAATCGCGTTCTCGCAGAGGCCATTGTTGCTGTTGAATTTGCTGACGCGCTACCATGTGCTCGTCTCTTTCGTGAAGCTCAGGCGGTCCGATGATGTTAAAGCGAACTGTGCACCGCTGTGAGACCGTGTATCTTGACGTTTCTCTGTATGTCTTGCTTCCAAATTTGGTGCACTTTCTCATTACATTTACAATGTTTCAGAGAATTCGAGGGCAACCCAGACTTCGAGTTTGACTCCAAAATCTTCAAATATGCCATCGTGACGGCGCTGAGGAGGCTTTTCGGAGAGGTAAGTGCTGAAATTTCAGCGTGCCAGGATTACCTAGGTTACGATGACGACAACAAACTCAATTGGTATACGCGACTTTGCTCCTATTTGATGTAAATTAACGCGGCTGCTAGTTCTCCTGCATAATTTGTTGTACGGTATGTGACGCCTGCCCTCAAATAGATACCCGACTCCTCGCTCCACAGGTTGGAGCTTCGATCCAGGTAGATGTCTTGAGGTACCGGGAGCACGACAGGAGGGCATACCTTCGAACTTCAATCAAGTAAGACATTTTTTTTTTGCAAACATTTTCCGGATGCAATAGTTTTTGAACTATACCGGAGTACGTTCATCCTCACATCTGCCTGCTGCTTGGACTTCTTTCAGAAATTTGGTTAAAGTGTGGAGTTCTCTCACCCTGTGCACTTCGTACGACGGAAAGCCCTGTACCTTCCGGATATTCAAGGTCACTTTTATCATTACTTTTCTCGGCGCACGTTTTGTTTTAATAGTTCTGCGGCATTGTAACCAATGGCTTTTCTGTTCTCGATTCCAGGTATCCTGCAGTCTCGCAAGCCTTAGCGTGTGTAGTTCCCACTATGAACACAAACCTGTTCGACAAACCACGGATATTGATTAAACAGTGCCAGCTAATATTCCATGTAATGGCTCCTCCCTTCACCGAGGTATCCTTCACCGAGGTATGCGGAAAGCAAGTCATCTGCTTCTTGCCCGAAGTTCCAGCGACATCAGACTGACACCGACCGGATTGGCTTCGATTGAAGATAGTGGGGGAGACCTCAATGGACATGTTCCAAAATTTATTCTATCTCCACTCTAGGGTAAATGCTCTTTGCCTTGGTGTTCGAAAACCTATCCGCATCCAGCGTTGCTCTGTCTTGTCATGCGACATGAAACACAGGGGTAACTTGGATCCATTTGAGTAAGATTTGGAACACAACCAATGCTAGATGCCTCGAGGTCTACACAGAATTTTTTTTTTCAATCAGCCCAATAAGAGCTTGGCGTCCTGTCATCATCGCAACTCCCGTCCAAGAAGCAGACAAACTTTCGCTTTGCATAACTTCAACGCTTCTAGCAAGCTTTGAATCGGTAAGCTACCATCGACTCTGTTGATCAGCACCTGGACTGCCTGGTCCTTTGCATGGTGCTTTTCAAGTGATCTCAGAGGTAAGCACTAAAACAGTCTTCCAGCACTTGCATAGATGGTTAAAACATGACACCATTTTGAGAGACACTGACCTTTCTCATGATTTTGGCCAAGAAGTGGACTGACCACAATAATGGCGCAGCTGGCCCAGGTTCCCTTTATGTTCCCCAGGCTGGCATAGGACAAACTGTGAGCAGCAGGCCAATTCTCTAAAAAGCTATTCACAATAAAAAAAAAAAAAAAAAAGCTTTTTTCGCAGGGGCAGTGCAGGGCACATCTACAGTACTTTCTTGCCATATATACTACTGCATTTTTTTTAGAACATTGTAGTGCCCGGAGACAAACCCCAAGGCACTCTTTAGATAGTGTACTAATTATTTTTGCTAATCGAAAACACTGAAATATTTATTGTGCCAAATCTAATATCTCTATTGCATGGTGCCCGAGGGACAGTTAATCCCCAATCACGAAAATTTGGTTTTGTGGAGTATATTTAGAAGGATTCATCTTGCGAAATTCCCAAAATATCGAGCCCGGTAATACAACAGTCTTATTACCACCGATGTGGGCTCACCAGAGTGTATGGCTGTTGATTTTAAAAATCGTATCACACAGGCAGAAACATTTTATTAAAAAAAAAAAATCAAGAACAAATAAAAAAAAAAGGTATGTACACGTGTTGGTCGAGGTGTGTGAGGTCACTTGAAGACCTGATCCACAATCTGAATGAACACTTGGACCAGTCCCCACTCCGACAGAGGGTCTGGCGGAATCTGTGGTCCCCCAGTTCTGGAAGCACTTGGCGAAACGGGGCCTCCTCTCCTTAGGTGCCGCTGCACCTGCATCTTCACCGAGCTCTGCAACAATAACGCCACTCGCATGAATCCCAAGTCCAGGGCCGTAGTGTCTTCTCTAGCTAAACAATAATTCAGAAAACGTTAGTTTAGCAGTGGCATTGACAAGCGGGGTTGAACCCCCCTCTCACACACACAAAAATCCTGGCTACTTTGTTGTAGTTTGGTACAGATGGTTGATGCATTATATGCAGCCATCCATGGAAGTTTATGGTTATCTCGATGGTACTTCCACTGAATCCGGACGTGTTAAAGCGGAACTCTTGAACGCCACAAGGGGCAGCTTCTGCTGCGGAGTTGCAAGCAGGGGTCAACTGAAATGAAGACCATGCTACGTCACTTCATAGTACTAACATTTAATTATTGTAATACTCTGGACTAACAATATCTGTAACCAACTGCTTTGTAAATGTTACCAAGCCTATTTAAAAGTAGGTGAGTAAAGCTTCTAGAATGCAGTTCCAGACAAACAGGAAACAGGTGCATCTTGCCCTGTACAATGGTGGCAACCTGCAGTATTCAAAATGCCTTGAAATGGCTAATTTGCTAACATATGTTTCTACACAAACTTGATGCTGGCCCGTATGTGTGTGATCCTGTTCTCTTCAGGTTATTTTTGTTTTATGTCCTGCCTGCAATGCATGTGCATTTTAGAAAATTGACGTAAGAAAAAAAATACTTTGCACAAATGTGTGTTACGGGACAGAGAACATACCCAGTACTGGAAGTGGTGCCCTGGCAAAATAAAACAACCTCGCTCTGCTTCGTTTATCACTGCTGACAGTTCGCACAGGGCTACATCACTGGCCATTGTCCCCTCTAGCTTTTGTTTCATATATTTTGTTACAATTTGTTTGCAAGATTGGCTGTTTCCAAACCAAGAGATCCGAAAAGGGTACTCACAATTTCGGCGCTAAGTTCCCTGGAGAGTAGCTGCTTCTCCCTGGGTGGTACGTGGGGCTGCAGGCGACACAGGATGGCCTGCCCCAGGACGAGTGAGAGGCTCATCTCGAGCACGGTCAGGACGAGGGACCTGGACACCACAAACCTTTAAGGATGCCTCCTGACTCAAACACTGCAGGTGCTCCTAAAACACGCCATCCTTGTAAGGCGATTTTACGTGACATACTCCTGGCTTCTGTACATCTTTCTAAGTGTAAAAACACCATTTCCCAGCTCTGCCAATTTTTTTTTTGCTTAGGGATTGATTGTGTTTGTTTGAGCAGTCGACAACACAAAGGAGCAGCAAAGGAACATTGTCTGGTACTCGATTCTTATACACAACAGCCTTTATTCGGACTTAAAACGAGCTGGCGATCGAGAAGTCGACCCGTCGGTTGCCATGAAGGCCCTAGCAGATGCTGCCCGGGCGACTCCGAAAGGAAACCAAGTCGGAATAAACTTGGATTTATGCGATCGAAATGTGTCCCTGATCATGTGTACAGACTTCTCTAGTCAGCGGAGCCCCTTGCCAACATCAAGACCAGACAAGTAACTACATGTCTGCACGTAAACAAAGGGCAAAAGTGGCGGCGGTGCTCATCAACGTGGCAGTACACAGCTTATGGGAAGGGGAAAGGCGTTTCGTGTAACTGCCGTCTTACGATGTAGAAAACCAGCACCAACAAGTATGGTTAACCCCTTTGCCTTCCTAATAAACTGATTTCTCTTTTTTGTAGGAGACTGTGCTGCTCGTCTGAGTAGGATTGGAGATGAATCGAATTGGCTGAAATTCAGGGGCAGCATTTGACAAAAGTTTGGCAGATGCCCATGAATGCACAAACACGGCTGCTGTAGAGTTATCTCGCTGGAAAACAAAACTAAACATATTGCTTTTTGGTTCAGTTTGTCAGTGTCTAAATGCCAACAACTGGAGACAAATAAATCTATATAAAGCTCCATGCAGAACTGTATAATATTGAGTTCCTACATAAAATAATAACTAATGCTTCTCAATCTGTGTTGCACTGGTAAGCTTCTCCTCGCTTGCTACGGTTTTCTTTAGAACTTGCCGAAATCATACTTTATTAGGTTATCTGAACACTACCACAGTTCAACCCTGTCGATTCAATGATTCCCACGGGATTATGTGCCGCGGATGTCTGGGCAGCAGACGGCTTTGCGTCACAAAACTGACAACTATAAAATTCTGTCAGCCTTGTGAAAATACTGACCAATAATTACACCCTTCTTTTTTGTGTGGAACCCAGGGTTAAATACCTTTCTGGATGAAGGACACCTGGACTTGCTCCTGGCGATTTTGTGAGTCGTTCACTCTGAAGTGCAGAAAACATGGAAAAATGTTAGCCACTTGTTGCAACTTTTCTGAGACTGATGCAAAGTTGTATTGTAGTAATGTGTGTCCTAGAGCTCTGGGCACTGACAAAAAATGTGGGTGTCAAAAGTGGTGATAGGCCCTCAGCATACTGAAGAGCGCTACAAACAACCCGTTCCAGAATGGGAGTCTATTTTTAAACATTTTGCCAACAATATTCTTCCTCTTTCATATAACAATGAGATACAGTAGGCACTCAAAAAAAAAAATTCAGCACACAATGCAAGGAGCTTGTTTGATGTATATCTAGTGTAAATCCTGTAAAAGCTTGCAAAAACAGAATAAAAAAAAAATATATATATATATATATATTTTTTTTTTCTTTTGTAGCACACAGCAGCACTTTAGGCAAGCCAAAACTAACAAGAACGTCTTAAACTACAAAAATATATGAAAATATTTCAGGCCATACACTAAAAAGAGGAGGGTGAAATGAGCCAAGCTTCTGAAGAGTGCAATGCCGCTAGCGCGAGCAACATTGGATGGCAGCGATCTTTCAACAGTCCCGACTCATCCTTTCTGCAAAGCTTTTGTTTTCTCCCAATGCTCATTAAGTTACCACCCTACCTTTGTGAGGAACTTGAGGCATAGGTGCGACACCTGGAACAGGGTGCCAAACGTCAGGTGGTGTTCTTGCTCGAGCGACGGCGACGAAAAGGAGACCTCCACGATGGGCGGCCACTGATCCACATCCAGAGACTGGAACGCAACCAGCAAGAAATCCCGTGTTCAAAAAAGACGACGCAACAGAAACCACAAAGGCAGTGGCACAGTGGAAGAGGGTAAATATGGCGCAAAACGACGAGGAAGGAAGGACGAGGTAGACAGGAAGGGCGCTATGAAGTTCAAGCACATTTTTTTAGTTTTTGGCTGGCCTTGTACAGACACCTTTTTTCATCCACCGTGGGTGGTAGTAATACAATAAATCTCATCACTTCGGATGGCAACTTACAAAAGCAAGCTCTTTCAGTTTCCTAATCTAGCATGTGTTTCCCAGCAAGTGTTTGTGAATGTTACAATTCATCTGCTATGAAGCCTTGTGGCAGCATAAATGACATCTTGATGTCTTATTGTATGCTTTGCGAGTCTATAGGTTACCGGACCAGTAACTTGTCTCCAAGTAAACACAAAATTGTGACTACTGAAGTGTTTGAAGTTTTATCTGGCTGCAATAATTCTGTAAAAGACTACCGCAAAATGGATTTTATTACCCTAGACGAAAACAACACTGCATTAAAACTACTATTGCACGTGTGCAGGGGTTACAAAGACACTGGAAGCCCTTCTGCCTTTCTGGTTCTTGCCTTACTGCCTGAGCTACCCGAATGCGATTACAAAATACATTACTACACAAACTGAAGCCAACAAAGCGAGTCGCTAAGACTGTGTCTGATGCTACACTGACCTGATCAGAGACGGCTTCGGCAACACTGGGACTGAACTGCTGGCAGCAGGCCAAGCAGACGGACAACAGCTCAAGCAACCTGGAAATCATCGCCAAGAACAGACCAAATACGTAACGAGCATTGGGTAAACACCTTCCTTGTCACCTAAACAGCTGAAACTACAAACAGGGGCATCTTAACATGCTGCTTAATTAAGATGCACTGAAACAGAAAAACTTAGATTGCGGTGTCCGTGGGGTACTGACTTGCTCCGGGCCTCAGTGAGCTTAGGTGAAGGATCGCACACGTCTTCGGTTGAGAGCTGACGGCGAGGCTGGTTTGTCTCTTCTTCGCAACGCAGCTGTGCTGGGGATCCTTTCTTGTACTGCAAATGTCAAAAAAGAAAACGAAAAAAAACAAACAGAAACAAGTCAAGCTCAATTTAATAAATGAATTCCTGATCACCGAGAGCTTACTTCTAGTTTTGGAAGCCTGATTTCGCTTTGTTTGGGTTTTCTACTTGCTTGCAAAAATAAGTTAGACATCTCAACTCCCCAAAACAATCCTCCAAAACCAGCACACAATTTTCTACAGCTACAACAGGTCAACTACACAGAGAAGAGAAGGCCATTGAACTGTACATTTCTGCATCTGTGCTCAATTATACAAGTTTTAATTTAGAAATGAAAAGGACTGAAGAAACAGCTTATGTGAGGGGTACACAGAAAAATGATACTCTAACACCGAGTGCTTTTTATTTTTCCTTCTAACATGATTAGCACTAACAAACATACCACTTCAAGGACTGTTAACTATAGTCCCATAGAACAAACAGGTCACTATAAATGATGAAACAAATTTAAAAGCTATCCCACGATTGAGCTCACCACAGATTACCGTAGGCTTTATATAAGTGCTCACCTCTATCAAGTGCTGCAACAGGGTTGGCCTGCAGAGGTAGGAAATTGCAGCAGAGGCAGCACTGCAAACGCCCCGCTGTGTACGAGTGTCGATGAAAGAAAAAAACACAATGTAGTTGTAACATTTCAGACAGATTGGGCAGGAGAAAAAAGAAACTGACCGAAGGTCAGAGTTCAGCAAGAGAGATATCTTGACCTTCGGTCACTTTGCTCCCACCTGTTCATCTCTGATCTAGTGTCCTTCATGGAGGCAGGAACATGCAGACACTCAACTTTTATGTATATCTCTACTTTTCGCAGTGACAAGCCATTGCCACATTATTATCAGATTCAGTGGCTTGGCGTGTCGGTGAGATAAGAAATGGATGGCTCATTGGAAGCACGCTGAAGGGGACTCTTACTCTTCTATAAATCTTTTGCCAAATTGTCTAATCACCAAGGAGAATGCTGGGAATGTAGGCCTTATCTGTATAAAACACATAAAGTAAATAACCAAACCAAGGCATTGACAAACACAGTTGGAAAGTGCCATTTGTTCTAGGTGTTTGCTTTGGAGCAGTTACTGCTGCAGATGCCAGCACGTGCAGCGCACGTAAACTAGGCTTCACAGCATGCCCCTTGGTGCTTGGGTAATTTAGCAAAGGATTCAATGGGACCAAGTAAGAATTCTCACTAGTGAACCCTAAAAGAAGACAAAAAGTGCAAGTTTTCCTTGTTTCTTACCCTACAAAGGCTTAACTTTTTCGAGTAACGTGACTTTTCGCCTTGTTGGCCCGCCGATTCAGGATTATTTTACACTAAAAACAAGACAATCACTCAGTGGTAGTAAAATAAAATTCGTCGTCAAAGCGTTTGTGAACCATATGGACTGTATGAGAAGTTTCAGAATCTTGGTCTGCATCAGTGTAGAGGGTATCCAGATTTGAGAAATGGGAATGTCTTTAACGCCCTCCTCATCACTCTCATTCACAGAACCGTCACAATTATTCTTGGAGGATTTATCGCAAAAACTTTTAGAGCCCTCTTCATGGTTGTCTTCTCCAAAATCACCTTCACTGTCACTTAAGTCGCTAACATATTTTCTGTAAAAAGCGAACGGAGAAAAAGCTGCCATGATATACAACATGTAAATTTGCGTGCTAAATTCCAGAGAAAAAAAAAATTCAGCAGTCCTGTGTTAATACACAGTATAGTCACAGCGATAGCTGCAAAACATCATGGCGAAGTCGTTGGGCATCGGCGTCGTGTTCACGCACCGTTGGGTAAGTGAACAAAAGCATTCGGAACAAAATAGACATTCTGTTTTGTTCCGAACGCTTTTGTTTCTTTCTTATTCCGGATTGTGTGAATGCATGCCTGCCGGGACGGGCTCTTGGCATTGATAGCACAACAACAACATTTTATTATTGGCTGTATTTTTTTTTTTTTTTCAGAGCGCATGCAGTGGGCATTGGGTACTGTAAAAATTCAAAGCATAAACCAAGTTATTAACGCCGTGGCACGGCTCAGTGGTAATGTCTCCGCTTCGCATGCAACGGACCCAGATTCGACTCTTACGGGTCAGCAGGCGATCTCTTTCGAGGATTTTGCAACATCGACGACAGATGCCCTGCATCGCCAACTACAACATCAACAACAACAACTACTACTTCTACTTTAACTACAACATGAACAACAGACGTCATTTCTGGTGGAGGGAAGAACCCATAACAGGTATTGCTCTGAAAGTAGAAAAGATTTGCACCATCTTGCGTAAAGCTAAAAATTCAAAAGCATCAATATTACACTTCCAATTATTGGTTGCGCAAATTGAAATTGTCGGGGCGCGCACGACAATTGACCGCGGAGCGTAAGGGAGACGGTCGTGGGAGCCCCGAAGTCTGACCGCAACAGGAGCATTTCTTTGTAGGGCAACGTCTGACGCGTGACCTCATAGGGTCAAAATGGGCGCCGGCACGGGAGGGTCAGTTGGCCTCACCATGAGCGTTGTGAGGGGGTTCATCTGATCGCAGGGCCAAGAGGTCCGCAGGGACGCCATTATGTACGCCAGGTGGCAGGTCACCAGCGCCTCGTGGACGTTTGCGGGAGAAGTGCGCACCTGCATCAAACACTGAAAGGAGACAGAACGCCGTCCCAGTCAGCCAGGTCGCCGTGACTGCACGGTCGGGTCCGTTAGCTTCCATTAGCTTGCTAGTGGGGGTTGTGTAACTTTGAAAGCCTTGCTGGACTCGTACCATATTCTCCTACAGATCTGAATTGAGAAAAGAAAAGTGGCACACTTTCATATTTCTAAGGTACTCCATGGCACACAAAATTTCCTTTCTGTTCTTTCATTCTATCCCCAAACGAGGTGTATTCCCATATAAAATTCAGTTTTATGCACGGTTGAGCTGCACATTGGTGCACCACTATGCCTAAAGAATATAAACTTTCCTCTCTTTGCAGCAGTACTTGCTTAAAGCTTTTTAAGCTTAGCATATGGATCCTAAGCACCCTCACTCATGAACACATACATTTTTTTTTTTGCTGCACATTTTTTTTTTATTTTATTTTTTTGCTGCCTTTATTGCTCAAGAAAGGGGGTGTGTAAAACAAAAATTGGCTGCAGAAACCACTGTTGTTGGTTGTCTATGAATTGCGATAACATTTGTCATGCTTACCTCCTCCTTTTGTTACGAGGCCATAGACAACGCCTTAGAGGATGACACAGGGACGACCCATAAGACAACCTCTATACTTGGGATTCCGAGTTTTCGGTTTTTATTTTTTCAAAATTCGGCATACTTTTTTCGGTGTTTATTTTAAAATTCAATTTTCGGTTTTTTTCGGTGTATATTTATGTCCACAAAATTTTACCGTCTTTTTTCGGTAAATATGAAATAAACACCAACGGACACTGGATCAGACGATCCTTGTAGCTATGATATTTGTGATCACTCAAAGAATAACGGCACAGATAGATTAAAAAAGAAATGGGTAGTTTTAGCAAATCTGTGCAACTGTAAAAAAAACAAGAAAAAAAAAAACAAAAAAAAAAACAGAAAGTACAGACAAGTCAGATGTGATGCCCATGGCTAGAAAACATGGAACTTCACCTTCTGTACATCAGGATCACCTGATTTTATTATAGTAAACATGCATGTATTTTACCAGGTTCTCGTTGATCCGCACTATTTCTTTCCTGTTAATATGACCCTGGCCTTCGAGAATAACACAGGACACTGGCAGGCTGAGGAGATGAAGCGCTGCCTGAGCCAAAATTGGCCAATCAACCAAATCTGACCACCAAAAGAGACACGGTGCGACGTTCGAAGCACAACATATTTCGTGTACTCACTAAACTATGGCTGCAAAGCTTGCATCAAATCAGTCTCCCTTACAACGAATTTGAAAACACGCTCGTACATGGCGAAGTCATGGGCATTTCGGACTTCACGTTCGGATCGATGATGCGCACATCAAACCAAAACGTTGTGATAGCATCCGCGTATCCCATACATTTGGACACGTTTCGATAGACACTGTCGTTCCACTTTTTCGCCACGGCTCTGCGGTACGACTTAAAGGTCAATGTGGCCTTTTTCGGTTAAAGGTGCGTTTACTCCAACGTAACGTCGATGGGCGTGGCGTAGCGCAGCGCGCACAGATAGTAATTGGTCGAAGATATCGAGTTTCTGGTTGCCGGCCAATGAAAGGCGCGCGTTCTACACTACGCTGCGTTCACTGTGCTCAACGTCGGAGTATAAACAGCCCTTAACTCCGAATTTTATAAAATCGATTCGACATACTTTTATCGGTTTTTATCGGTTTAAACCGAAAACGCTGAACTTACAAACTCACCTTTTTCGGTTAAAACCGAATTCCCGAGAATGAATTCGGCATACTTTAATCGATTTTTATCGGTTTAAACCAAAAACTTCAAACCCTATCTATACTCCAATCACCCTAAGGAAACACGCCCCCTAGGGGGGTCAACTTTTGAGCCCTAATGAAACTTGAAGGGTAGGCTTGTGGTCGTGCTAGAGGGTGTATAACAAAATTTCAGGTCTGTCTGTTCAATGAGAAGGAAATTAGAGTAGCTTCTATCAGCAACACGCCTACATTGTTTAGTTAATCTATCGTCAGAAAACTATCACCATATTCAAGATTTTTATTTGCTAGATATGTAGCGAAATGCCTGAGGGGTGCAGCTATGGATTGTTTTTTCTAAAAAAGTCATTTATTTCTACAAATTTTCTCTTCTGCAAAATTGGTCTACTTTTTGGTCTTATGCGTCTTCGACAAAATGTCAACATTTTTTTTATAAAAGACATCTGGAAAGTGACAAGAAAATTCCATAGCCGCATTCCTTATTAAATTTCAGTTAGGAAAAGGGAAGAATGAGCCTTCCCTGTTTTGCCATTATCAAACGATAGATAGACTAAAAATGGAATTTATACCAAAAAGTGGAACGGAGAAAAATGCGTTCAAAGTGCTCCAAACCCTACCTTTTCTTCAGATTTGGTGGACCAGAATAATTGATAAAAAATGAGCTATGCAGTGTAAACTAATTAAACTTTCTGGGAATACTTTCTAGATGTTGGTGCATGTATTAATGTCATTTTTCAAAATAAACTTTTTTTGCAAAAATTTTTTTTTTTTTTTTTTCTGGGTGGTATCTTTTTTTAAGCTCAAACTAGAAGCTTTGCCTTCAGCGTAAGCTCGCTGGCTTCCTTAGTGCTTTGGTTGCGTAAGCCTGCGCATTGACACTTGTGCTAGCAAGGGCAGAAAGCTCATGCTGAAGGCGAAGCTTCCAGTTTCAGCTTAAGAACAAACTATAGGATGACCTCAGGGACGACCTTTAGGCAGACCTCAAGGAAGACGTCAAGGACAACCTCTAGGGTGATCTTGAGGACCACGTCTCGGACGACTTCAAGGACAACATCTAGGGAAGTGGGGGTGGGGGGTAACTAAAGAATGCTATTGCATTAAAACAACAATCCTCAGAGTTGGAACTGTACATCTTTGTGTCTGGATGTATGAATGGACAAAAGTGGATACACAATGCTTGTACCAGACGTTAGCTCATGCCATGTAGCCAGGAACATTTATATCCCTGCCCTTCAAGCTCCGCTCTAAATTATGTCTTTCGTTAAATCACCGAACCCACATATCTCATGCAATACCACACTTCTTTAAACCTCTTCAACCAATCTTCTAACCTCCTCTTTGGGACTGCAGTCCATTGCGACTAATCTTTTAGCGCATCATCAAAGGCCCATCCCGGGCAAACGCACAGGGGAGGGCACCCTCACCGAGATCAGTCTGTCCAGGTGAAGCACCATGAAGGCGTGTGCATCCTCGATGAAGAAGTGCCTCAGTGTGTGCAGCATCACGGTGGCCAGCTGAACCAGCAGCCTGTACACTTCCAGCCAGGAACGGTCACCGCCCCCGTAGCAGGCACCCAGGTATGGGCTCGCTTTCTCCAAGACGCCGCACAGCTGAAGTGCCTCCGCCATCTTGGATGCAGCACAAAAGTAAAATGAGCTGATTGGTCAGACTTCATGTACATAACAGACCGATTCTAGCCCGCCAGTTTGGCTATGCCACCACTGCCGCGATGCATTGAGGAACCTTTAGTCTCTGTACAAGCACCAGCCGTTTCGTGCACTGCTGCCTGCTTCATTTGAATGAAAGTTATGGTGGCGTGTGGACAAAAGCTATGGCAGTGCTTGTTGAGATTAGTTTGTTAACCCTTTAGCAACTGGGTTTATTTTCCAACCAATGTTTCCCGGTGCTCGGGTTTGGTTTGCGAAGGAATAGTATAAAAAAACTGAGCAGTCCTGTGTTTATCCACAGCACAGTCTCAAAGCTTCAACACGTCACGGCGGAGTCGTTGGGCAATTGGCATCACGTTCACACACCATGGGGTGCGAGAACAAAAACGTTTGAAAGAAAATAAAAATCTGTTTTGTTTAGAACGCTTTCGTTTCTTTTTGTTCCAGAGCGTGTGAAGGCGAGTCTCCCAACACGAGCTCTCGGCATTGAGAATGCTACAAAAACAAAAACATGCGAAAGTGATCATCTCGCACATATCCCATGTGCGAAGCATATAATTTCAAAACTAGCGTAAATAGCCCAAGCAAATCAAAACAATGTGTGAATATAACATTTTAAGTTCCCCAAAGACAGCGAATAACAACACCTCCAGCGGTGAGCATGGTTTTGCTTTTAAAGGAACACTGACAGGTCAAGATCATATCTTTTTTTATTATCGAAAACGATTGAAAACAATGCCTGGACATTAACCAAGAAATTAAAAAATTGGGAACTCAGTAATTGTGAAGTAAAAAACAATTTCCAAAAAGCAGAATTTGAAGTTCGGGCGCAATCCGTGTTAGCGCAGTGACGTCAAAGATTGAGTCGTCCTGCAACTCGAGTTTCTCTGATGCCTCCGTGTCTTGTTCACCCGCATCCCGCGATCAACCCCTCCGTGCAGGCCGCCTATCACTGTGAGCAGACGTTGCTTCACTTTCGAGTTTGAAGTTCTTTAAAGGCTTTTCCAGCGATCTCAAATTCTTTAGAAAGGTGCGAGTTTGAAGAGAAGGTGCAGTGGACTTTTGTAAGCGACGTGAGGGGCCACGTCACGCCGGTTCTGCATGAGTTCTGCGTAAAAGGCTGTCCCGGCGGAGTTTCAACCGAAACTACGGTACACAGACACCAAACCCAGTTGTTTTGACCGTTCGACAATTTCCTTTTTTAAGTCTGAGAGGTCGTCAGGCACCTGAAAAAGAAAACTCTGTTCCATTCCCCAACCCACCGATCATCCTCAGTAGAACATGCGTCGAGCGCCACCATGTTTTCCGAGGGAGGATAAAAAAAATTGCAGAGCCATCTGCCTCGCATGAAGATGGAGGACCAGCAAAGCTGGTCCTCCATCTTCCTGTGAATTTTGAGTACGATTCCTAGAGGACAATGTCTAGGACGACCTCAAGGACAACTTCTGGGACGACCTCGAGAACAATGCCTAGAGGATGACGTCTAGGACGACCTCAAGAATGACTTCTAGGATGACCTCGAGAACAACGCCTAAAGGACGTCTAGGACGACCTCAAGGACGATTTTGAGGATGACATCAAGGACAACTTCTAAGAAGACCTCGAGGACGACGCCTAGGATGACATCAAGGACGACTTCTAGGACTACCTCGAGGACGATCTCAAGGACGACTTCTAGGATGACCTTGAGGATGAATTCTAAGACGACCTCAAGGACGACTTCTAGGACAACCTCGAGGACAATGCCTCGAGATGATAACAAGGGATCAGGACCTCACTATCTAATAATGCCAAGGAAGGCTGACTCATGCTGTTTGCCCCCTCTTATTCTTATTTATTCAAACTTGCCTCGACCAAAGGGCAGTTTTTTGTTAACATGTGAGGACGCATTTTTCTGAAGACCCTAGCCCATAACAGCTTTGCTGTAAAAGCCAGGAGGTGACACCACTCCGGACTTCGCTTTTCGGTATTTCAAAAAGAAGGGCCGTAGTGCATTCGCAATTGCGTTAAAAAACAAAAAACATGTTTTATGAATGCCCTTATTAAATATTGCCGCGCGCGCCGCTGGCCAAGTAGGCAGGGCGCGCGTGGCCTAACGGTTATCGCGCTTGCCTTCCGCGCAGAAGGCCAGGGTTCGATTCCTGCCCGCGGCTGCACATTTTTGTTGACTCTGTAAAGTAATGTTCTAGTAAATTCGAGAACCATGTTGCTTGTTCGAGGCCAGAATGTTCTACGCGCCGAACCTTCTACGCCGAACGATCCAGAAACCCACGACGGTACATAAGGGATTCCACAAGGCGAGCGGAGTCAGTTTTCGCCCCACCGTGCGACTCTGCTGCTACGCCGACTTCGACGCCCGCGACGCTCTGTTATTATCTTTTGTACCCTTTTATTTTTGGCACAAGTTCGCCACATTCAACGTTTATTTCTTCCTGTTTATTTCTTGTTTATTGCTCACCACCCGTGACAATATTATAGAAATGTTGCTCTCAAAGCTTCCAAATTTCATAATAAATTGTGTCACAAATAGAAAGGTTTCAGGCGTTACGTTGGAGTTGAAATATTGATGCCAATTATACTACCAGACGCCAGACCAATTAAAAGAATTTGCAAAAAGGTAATGGTTTTTGAGATATTAATTAATCAGTTATTCACATTTTTTCGCCTAATTTAAGAATGGTGCACAAAAAGAGCGCACTGAGCCCTGCCTGCACTGACGCTTCGAAGACTTTGGTAGTCATTTAACTCCCGTCGTTTCTTGTCATCGGCACACCGACTAAGGCCATGGTGCCAAGATAGCAACTACACAAGAATCGATTGGTTAATACCCCAAAAACCCCTTTTGTATATTCTTTAGATTGGTCTAGCCTCTAACAGTAATGGCCATCAAGACTGTAATTCCAACATGACCCCTAAAACCAATCATTAAAAAGGTACTTAAGAGATTTTAGTCAATCAGACAATTTACTGTGACTGTTATGCCCCCTCATCTACCCTAATATTCCGAGTCATCGGTTGTGGCTGTGATGTCATGACCCTATCGACCAATCAGGATTCGTGTCACACCACCAATGCCGGCTGTTCCACCACGCTGAGGCCGGCTTTTCTGCGACATGAGCTCCTTAGTGTTATCGCGTTAAGATAAAGGTGCAGGTTAGCTACTCGCATACGCCCAACTGCTCGTGTGAAATTCAGAACTGATGTTTCGACAACGAGCAAAAGAGAACGATTTGTGTGACATTTGAAAGAAATTTTGAAGGTGAAGAATATGGACAAAAGCAAATGTAAAGAACCTGCAAGTGAAACCTTGAAGACTGGAGCACAATGGGGTAATTTTTTATCTACTGCATCAAATCTAAATTTTTGAGTTTTCTTAAGGTGTGCATGAGGCATTCTGTATTAATTAAAGGGCCCATGAAACGATTTTTGGGTTGGGATAAATCATTTCAGATTGGGATTTTACTAATAGCACATCGTTCAGCGGGCCAAAAGAAAAAAGGTAGAAAGTCAAAACCCTGACTTTCAGTGCGAAAATTTGAAAACACTGCGGACTATTTCGTACCTCCTCCCCTTCTTAAGCTCTCTGCCTTTTCACTGTGATATATCCGCGGTCCCAAAACCGCGTCATCGGGTCCAAACTGACGTCACACGAGACCGGACCTCACTTATTCCCTTCACCCCTAAGCTGACATTGTGGTGGAAGCTACGCGCTTGCCGGACCAATCAGCCGCCTCCCTTTCATCACCTGACCTCATTCTCTGCAGCCACATTTGCCATGCTCACGTGGCAAGTGTGGCTGGCCCAACTAGGGAGCCTTCATGTGCGCGTAGCTTCCACAGCACTGTCAGCTTCGGCGTGAACGGGTTGGGGAAAGTAACTTTTCTCTGAATTTTCAGCGATGGGCTAATCTTTTAGGGGGACAATGGTTCTGTCCGGGTACACAATCCAGATTCCGAGCGAGAGGGGCCTCCCTTCTTTTCGTCCTCTTGAACTGTTTGGTAGAATGCGTGATTTATGAGTTGAGGAGGAAAGCTAAACAAGAAAAAGTTAGAAACGCGTTTCATGACCCCTTTAAAGAAAAGATATAAAATAAGGCAGTGTTTATTCTTCCAGCAGTTAGGAGAATAATTCTCCCGAAATTCTACCGGCAGTCTCCTATTGTTGGCTGTCTGATGTGACAACTACTGAAAACTATTATGTGACAACTGTTGGTTAACATTTTTGTAATGAGCTGTCGCAGACTGTTGCCTTGAACTAGCATGAATGAGTGAGCCGGGTAGGTTAACACTTGCCCCGGTGATACATGCTCGACAAAATGTCCCTAGAGAGTACAATAGGCGTAACGAGTGTTGATAAAATGTTAGTGTCGATGAAATGTGTGTCCATGAAACGTGCGCCACGAATGTTGCGAAGAGCTTGCCAACCACGATTACTGCATCTTCGGGAGTCGGTGCTGACATGGTAACGCACACGCGAAGATTTGCCCGAGGAGGATTTGTTCACGGAGTACCAAGAGCGCAGAAACTGTTGTGCCAAATAAACAAAGGTGCAAACATTCTGACATTGCTGTCTCTAGCTACTGGGCCGGGCAGCATGCGTGGACGCCAAATTTACCGAAAGTGTCAAAAACTTCTGGCAAGTTGTCATGTGATTTCAGAGAGCCAATGGGAGGTGAGTGCCAGTAGAATTTCTGGGGAAATTGTTCTCCCAGCTGCCGGCAGAAGAGACACTGCCATAAAATAATATTGCTGAGAAAGTATGCATGTAGTGCACAGATTATAAAACATAAAAATAGTGTTAAGTCTTCTGGATTTTCTAAGCCTCGACAAGAGATTCAGCGAAGCTGGGGGTATTTGTAGGCATCAAACGCAAACCAAGAAACACGTGTGAGCAGAAGCAAGCGTGCACATCTTGACCGATTGAGACTTCACTCTGCAACTGTTTGTGCTTCCACTCCCATCTTCAACAAGTGCCTCAAATTCTGTGGCAGTTCCTTAACACTGGGAAAGAAGAGCATCATCTAGTACAAGCGTCCCTCACCTGAGGTGTAGAGGCCAGCGAGAGGAACAGGTGGCAGATGGCATGGGCCAGGTGGTTCCCCTTCCGAACCTGCGCACCATTGGTGTTTTATGAGCTTCAGTCACAGAAGATGGATAATGGATGCCAATATATGCACCACCAAATGCCACAAAGAGAAGGCAAGCGAAAAAGGGGAAACTCAAATTAGAAACATGTCACACCCTAGCAGGCCAGCACTACTTATGAATTTGATCAGAAGAGCGTGGTAGTAAGTATACATTTTGATGCATTCTTTGGTGTCAGGGGGATCAAAATAACAACAATCCAAAAAGTCATGAGATCAACTGGAACAGCAAAACCTGACTGCTCATTTTGTTTGTGTAGAAATGAGTTTGGTGTTTTTAGAAGCTGAGGTACAGAATCGTTTTCCACCACGCAGAAAACCTTTTCTCTGCGTCCTTCATCCTTCCCCCCCTCCCCCAATTCCCTCTTGCTCTCTTCTCCTCCACCAGAAGAGTGTGGTTTAAGCTACTCCCCATACAAGGAAGGGTTTCTTTCATATTTTAATAGAAAGAAGGAATTGAGAAGCTCTTCAATCTATGAAACAGTCAAGACAGGGGCAGCAATTCTGCCTGAGCCAGGTCTTGAATAGAACAGCCACTACAACCTGCACAGTTGCTGTACTGGTATTTGAAGGCACCAATTGTAATAACAAACCCAGCATTACACTAATTCAAAATTTTAGTTGCACTCATGCTGCCCCCGTAAAGCAATACGAGTCATTTGTATCCGTTTTCAATTTGAGTGCGGTTATGCGTAAACTTCCATCCTGCACATGAAATTAGTTTACATAGAGAATGAACGCTATGTGTATAACATACAAGAAATTCAGTTTTACATCAACTAGGGCCCATGTCTGATCAGATTAGCTTGGCCCCGGCTAGTCAGACAAGGTCAAATCAGGTTAGTCTCGTCAAAAGTTAGCAATACAGGGGCCGGTATAGAAAACTCATAAGTATTCCTGTCCAACGTTGTTGGTTAACTGTGGAACGCAATGCTGAAGCCCTGAAGAGGACGGACAACCTGAAGACAGGCGTGGAGGACTCGGCACAGCGTTGAGACGATGAGGTGCTGCTGAAGAAGAGGACAGCAGCTTCCCTTCTCCTTCGACAGCCCGAGCACATCCTTGAGCAGAATGACCAAGCTGGTGCAGACCTTGAGGGTGGGAGAGATTCAAACTATCAACACAAACAATCATGTCCTTTTTTTCCTTTTTTTTTTTTGTCTGCCGTGGAGCAATGGTAGTCAAACACATTATATTTGTTTTCCAACATATTGGTCAATTACCTAACGTTCTTCAGCCTTTCCGATGAAATATTATCCTCATTAGCATAACCAAACCCTCCGTACAAGCGTTAGATTATATGTGCAAGCATTTTTTACATCAATCCGTTGAATTAGCACTTGGGATACATTTATTGATTTTATAGTGAATACTAAAAAAAACTGAAGAGCACTAAGGCATACTCGGACAGAGAGGAGATGGGTGGTCTTGAGGTCATCGATGCACTGCTGGCTGTAGTACTTGAGAAGAACACAGAGGGACTGTGTCCATGAATCCAAGTGGAATGGCTGCAGATCTGAAACAAGACAGAGAACATTATAGTACTTGTGTGAATGGTGAAATGTGCTTAATTTTGATAAACCTCAACACTTCTCGTTTAATAAAAAAAGAAAAAAAAAAAGTCTAATTATTAGTTGTCTTTCACTTTGGGACATGACCAAATATTCATGCATACCTCCTTTTTATGTTGTAAATATTTGTAGATAATTACCTGTTATTTTATCATGACTGATACATATTTTTAAGACACATCAAAGTTTTATAAACAAATCTCAACAAAAATATGCATAAATAACAAAACTAATGGCGCTTCTCTAGGCATGCTACATATGATTTTCATTGCTAGCGCTATATGCCAAATCCCAAAAATGCAAATCTGTGCTGGCTGGTCGGCTTGTCAGATGCCATGCCCCATATTGCAGCATAGATGGCACTCCCCCACAATGTTAATTCTTTCTAGTAATTTTGATGGACTCCAGTTTGTAGATGGTTAATGAATGGCTATATGCATGCCCTGTAGGAAAACGGACACAGATTTTTGACCATCATAAATAATGCACATATATTGTTTGAGCAAAGTTGACAAAGTTCTCAGATGTTGCCTGCAGTCAAAATCTTACCTATGACCATGCAAGTGTTGTGATATACAGCCCCACCAAACTGATTCAAATATTTCTGATGGTTACACCAAGGGTAGATATTTATAACCAATAATGAAAATGACCACCTCCTAGGACAGAATAATAAATAATGCTTTCAGAAGTCCCCAACCTCTTGTGTCAAGCTTGACTGCATTGCACTAGTGCTCTCACATCAAGCTTCACCGTACAGCACCACTGAAGGAGCATCAAGCTTTACTGGATTGCACCAGCCCTCTCACTTCACTCTTCACCACATAGCACCGGTGCACACACGTCCAGCTTCACTGCATTGCACCAACACTCTTGCATCAAGCTTCACCGCTTAGCACTCGCAAACCCGCGTCAAGCTTCACTGCATTGCACCAGCGCTCTCGCATCAAGCTTCATCTGATAGTTCCAGCGAAAGTGTATCAAGCTTCACTGCTTTGCACCGGTGTGCTCAGAGAAATGGTTGACACAAAAGGGCACCTCCGTTGGTTTGATGGGCTTGGTCACATTTGTAGCAAACCGTAATATTAAAAGAAAGTGCGGGGGAAAAAAAAAGTCTATCTATATTATAATTAAAAGATTTATTCATTGCTGCATTTGCCATGTTACGTTATGTCTTGCCCAACTTTCCTCATTGAACACAGGTGTGTAAAATGTTTCTTAAACAACAAAATGATTCCTTTTTAAAAGTATATTTACGGAAAAATAAGATTCACATTGAATGCAAACAATTCATGTTCGAAAATACTTCATTTGATTCGGCGTCCAATTAATAATATTCATATTAATTCCCCCCCCCCCCCCCCCCCCCCCAAAAAAAAAAAGAAATGGTCCCTTTCCTCTCACTATTGTGGCAAAGGCACAGAGTATGATGCAGTGTCGAGCTAGATGGAATCGTAACACCGTTGCTTCCGGCGCCGCGGCAACTCCGACACAATAACTCCAGGAGCGAGACATAGTGGCGCGGCGGAGAAACGAGACTCGCTCAGCGCTGTTGCTACCTCGTAAACAAACCAATCCAAAAAACGCACAGAAAAAAAAAAGAAGTGAGTGCGCTTGGCACTTATTCTTTTTGCTCAACCGTAAACATGGAGAGTTTGCTTGTTTAGCGCATGCTGGGTGTAGTGGCATCGCTGGTGCCTATGTTCAATCGTATCCCGTGAGCCGCGGGAGTAACCCGTTTTGCTAATAGCCGACCTACCCTTGTCGCCGGCGTCCATCTTCAGTCTCAGAATCCCGACTGCTGACGCTAGGAGTGTGGCCACGGTGAGGACCAGTCTTGGGTGCACTGAGGTGACGCCGGGGGCGAGCATGGACAGCAGCTTGTCGATGTTGCTGCACCAGCTCGGAGTCGTGGTGTCACTAGCGCTGCAGTCGAAACATGTCGTTTGTTGTGTGGGGCAATTCATTTCATGTTTTATATAAATCAAACATTTTGACAATCAGTTGAGCCCGGATATATTGAACTCAAAAGGGATAGTCAAATAGCCTGATATATTGATAATTCGATATAGAAAAGCATGTTAAAGACCGACCAACGAACCCATTTTCCGCAAGGTAGGAAAATGTCCCTCGCGCCCTCCTCTTTTCACCCTCTCCCGAAAATCACGTGACGGCAGGGGCTCGTTTTGTGTCGGCTTTTTCTGTAGGGATAATCCTCAAAAACCGCGAAATGAGCGGCTAGCTGCGAGCGCAACAACGACCTTGAGACGTCCGGGTGTCTTCCCTCGTTTTCGCAGGCACGCTCAATCCGCGAGATTGAGGAAGCCAGCGCGACCGAACGCTTTTTCTCATGAGCTGCAGGTCCGAGGCCGCTCGCTCGGTGTTGATCGAGGGGTTCTTGGTATGCTGTGTTCGTTCCAGCAGCCGCTTTCTGGCATCGCGCGGCTGCTGGAACCATTCCCGTGTCTGCACAAGGATTGGCTTGCGCAATAAAGGGTTCAGGTCGTTGATAATACTTTTATTTTCTAAACTTATAAATCAAGTGGCTTTCCCTAATCTCTTCATTACTGTTTGAAACACATCTCCTCTCATAGGTTGTTCATCCCATTTTGGACTCTTTTGCGGAATTATTCGTCCTTAACTCTGCTTGATGACTGTGTGATAACTTGATAAAGACATTTAAATATTAGCGCGGGCTTGCGCGATCAACGCTGTCCCGGATTTACCCGAAATCGGAAAGATTGGCGTCAGGAGGAGTTGAAGAAGCAAACCGAAAATCTTGCTTCTAATGAAGACGGCACAATCGTAAGATAGGTCTTTGCTTCACTTGCCTCCACAACACCCCATCGTTTGCACTATTGCAACTTCTCAGTAACATAGCTGTATACCACATTTTACTCATTGTTACTATAGATGTGGCCCCATAGGCTTTCCCGTTATGAGCGAGTCGACTTTATAACGACCGGCGACTCTCCTGAGTGAGAATAAATATTATCACCTTCCCACAACATCCACCCCTTTCTCCCCCCTCCCTTTCCCGAGTTGGGGAGATATCAGGCCACTCCAGGAAGCAGCCTGCAGACTGCGCTTTTCGGCTACTCATTCTCAACACATTTGAACGTGGAAGCAAACACATCGCATGAACGACGCCCAGTTGATTTGCAACCTAAATAATGTGGCTGTATACTGTTGGGACCCAATCAATTTCATCATCAATCATTATTTGTTACGATTTCATGGTGAAAGTGTGTTCGTCGTGATGCCACAAAAGTGATCGATTCAAAGTTTTGCTGAAATACTCGCTCCTGTGACGCTCTAGTGCGTAAGGTCAAAGCACCCGAGGCAGTGCGTAATACTTTTCAACTGTCGTTGACGATAAAACATTTGTGGGAAGTGCGCAAAAATTGTTTACGCACTTCCCGCAAAATTGTTAAAATCAGCTTGCGAAAACCGTTGCTTCCCCCCCCCCTCTCTCTCTCTTTCTTTTTTTTCGCGCCACTACAAAAAATAGCGGCCGAGCAACGAAATTCTATCAAAACCTCGCTTCTTAGAGAAAGGACATCAGGCTATAGGGTACTGAATCTGCCAGGGAGTTTGTAGAAATAAAGGGCGACCATTGAATCTAGCCTTCTGCACATCATGCCCGGGATATTTCCATTTTCCTTCCACGCGATTAGAAGGCAAGACGCTGGGGGAATTTATGTGCACTAACATGCTGCTTCTAAAAGAAAGTACCAGATTTCTTGTGCATGTCAATCTACAAGTAAATAGTTTAATCAGTGTGCACAAACATTCACGGCCTGGAGGATGACATGGAAGCATGGCCGAAAGCAGCTTGCTGGAAATATAAGTCTCTATTGCATTGCACTGGTGTGAAAAATTATTACGTATTTTTGTTTTATTTCCGTGCGAAAATAAAAACAGCGTTTAGAAACCGAACACTGTGTGTTTCGAGGTGCGCCGAAAGGACATAGAAAACCGGGACAACCTGAACAAAACGAGGCGCCTTGCGTCACTCAGCTTTTCCTGGTTTCTTGTTTTTCCGGAGCCTTTCAAAAGGGGATGAAAAATTATGAACCGATTGACCCGACTTGCCACATTAGAGCAGTTCATTTTCATTACGACAGGCTCTCTTAGAGCGTCCTGCATAGTTCAGCTTGTACTGGTCCGTTTTTATTTTCGGTTCTTTTCAAAAAGTGAGCTCTAAGCTACTGGACCAACCTACAACATTCAAAATTTACGGAAGCGGAGAAGTGGTTGGGAGGACCAAGCGGGCAAGGGTTGCACGCCCCTCGAACCACCGTCCGTTACCTTTGCTTAGCGGCTGGGCTTTGCGAGCAGAATGCGAGCTTGCTCGAGTAACTTGGATCCGTTCAGAAGATAATCCCCTCTAAACAACCATCTCCGCCGCCTGGGAAGAACGTAAGTGGGCGAACGAGACGCCTCTGGGTTTTGCGTCACGCCTGCATTTCAAGGGTCAGACTTACTGGTTCCCGACACCAGCACGATTGACGGCACCGCCCGTGTCATTAGGGAGTTTTCGTAGATCGTTTTCGCCGCCCCGCAAGGCCCTCCGCAACCCGCTACGATAGCGGGAACTCCACAGTCAAGGCTATCGGCGCGCAGGCGCAGTAGCAACTTCTTCGTTGCGGAATGCTTAGCGGAGGAGGCAGCGCGGTCTACGAAAACTCCCTTTTGATTGTATATTGATAGGGAGAAGAAGGAGAAGAGCGCGACGGCCCGCGGCCGTAGTGCGTTAATTTTGGCTCGCACTCTGGCCGGCAATCAGATTAAAAAACTACCGCTGAGAACCATCCCGTGTACATACTCGAAAACATGATAAGCATCGAATGGGAGTGAACGTAAACGTATAATGATCCCATACAAAGTTTCGCTTGATTCCTAAACGAATAATGCCATAGCCAAGTACACCTTCACATCAAATTGTTAGACAGAATTAAAGAGAAGATTGTGTGTTTCTTGAAAGAGATTTCGGCCCCCTTCTATCCAGTCTGCTTTTCTATAGGCCCCAAATAACGTGGGCAATCTTTCCTTTTGTTGCATTTCCACTTCTCCGCTTCCGCAGTTAATGAATATGGTAGTTTGGTCCAGTGGCTTAGAGCCCACGTTTTGAAAGGAACCGAAAATAAAAACGGACCAGTACAAGCTGGACTATACAAGACGCTTGAAGACAGCCTGTCGCAATGGAAATGAACTGCTCTAATGTGGTAAGTCGGGTCAGTCCATAATTTTCAACCCCTTTTCAAAGGCTCCGAACAAACAAGGAACCAGGACAAGCTCTGGTTGTCCCGGTTTTTTATGTCCTTTCGGCGCTCCTCAAAAAGGACAGGGTTCGGTTTCTAAACGCTGTTTTTATTTTGGCACGGAAATAAGACAAACATACGTAATGATTCTTCACACCAGTGCAATGCAACAGAGACTTCTATCTTCAGCAAGCTGCTTTCCGCCATGCTTCCATGTCATCCTCCAGGCCGCGAATGTTTGTGCACAGTGATTAAACTATTTACATCTAAATTGACATGCACTATAAATCTGGTAATTTCTTTTAGAAGCAGCATGTTAGTGCACATGAATTCTCCCAGCGTCTTGCCTTCGAATCGCGTGAAAGGAAAATGGAAATATCCCGGGCATGATTTGTGCAGAAGGGTAGGTTCAATGGTCGCCTATTATTTCTACAAACTCCCTGGCAGATTCACTACCATATAGCCTACTGTCCTTTCTCCAAGAAGCGAGGTTTTGATAGAATTTTGTTGCTCGGCCGCTATCTTTTGTAGTGGCTGGAAAAAAAAGAGAGGGAGAGAGAGAGAGGAAAGCAACGGTTTTCGCGAGCTGATTTTTTTTATTATTTTTGTTTTAACCATTGCGATATTTTGTTGTCTTTCGGTATGCTTTTGTGGTGTAAACAATTTTCCGCACTTCCCACAAGTATTTCATCGTCAACGACAGTTTTAAAGTATTACGCACTGCCTCGGGTGCGTTGACCTTGCGCACTAGAGCGTCACAGGAGCGCGTATTTCCGCAAAGTAAATACGAGGACCTATTTCTACCTTTGAATCGACCACTTTTGTGGCATCACGACGAACACACTTTCACCATGAAGTCGTAACAAAAAATGATTGATGATGAAATTGATTTAGGTTGCAAATAAACTGGGCGTCGTTCATGCAATGTGTTTACTTCCAGGTTCGAATATGTTGAGAATGTGTAGCCGAAAAGCGCAGTCTGCAGGCTGCTTCCTGGCGTGGCCTGATATTTCCCCAACTCGGCAAAGGGAGGGGAGGGGGGGGGAAGGGGTGAGAAAGGTGTGGATGTTGTGGGAAGGTGATAATATTTATTCTCACTCAGGAGAGTCGCCGGTCGTTAAAAAGTCGACTCGCTCATAACGGGAAAGCCTATGGGGCCACATGTATAGTAACCATCAGTAAAATGTGGTATACAGCTATGTCACTGAGAAGTTGCGATGGTGCAAACGATGGGGCGCTGTGGAGGCAGGTGAAGCATAGACCGATCTTACGATTGTGCCATCTTCATTAGAAGCAAGAATTACGGTTTGCTTCTTCAACCCCTCCTGACGCCAATCTTTCCAATTTTGAATAAATCCGGGACAGCGTTGATTGCGCAAGCCCGCGCCAATATTTAAAGGTCTTTATCAAGTTATAAAACAGTCATCAAGTAGAGGTAAGGACGAATAAATACGTAAAAGAGTCCAAAATGGGAGGAACAACATATGAGAGGAGATGTGTTTCAAACAGTAATGAAGAGATTAGGGAAAGCCACTTGATCTATAAGTTTCGGAAATAAATGTATTATCGACGACCTGAACCCTTTATTGCGCAAGCCAATCCTTGTGCAGAGACGGGAATGGTTCCAGCAGCCGCGCGATGCCAGAGAGCGGCTGCTGGAACGAACACAGCATACCAAGACCCCTCGATCTCCACCGACCGAGCGGCCTCAGACCTGCAGCTCATGGGAAGAAGCGTTCGGTCGCGCTGGCTTCCTCAATCTCGCGGATTGAGCGTGCCCGCGTCAAGGAGGGAAGACACCTGGACGTCTCAAGGTCGTTGTTGCGCTCGCAGCTAGCCGCTCATTTCGCGGTTTTTGAGGATTATCCCTACAGGAAAAGCCGACACAAAACGAGCCCCTGCCGTCAAGTGATTTTTGGGAGAGGGTGAAAAGAGGAGGGCGCGAGGGCCATTTTCCTACCTTGCGGAAAATGGTTTCGTTGGTCGGTCTTTAACCGAAGCACCAATTCGGAATTCTGTGTGTCTCTGCTAATACCGAAGATTGTGACAAACGGTAAATTAGCAACTGCTGCATACAAGAACTGCTAAATACGGTAGAACCTTGTTAAAGCTTAGTTGGAAGGGAGCAGAAGGTACCGCCGCTTCCGCGTGCACCTGGCCGTGCTTACGCAAGCGCACAGCTGTGACTGGGTGTTGCAACACGAAAAAGGGCAGGGCGGGACGCATAAAAGAAAAGCAACTCTTTCTTCACCTACAGACAAAAGTCAAACAAGCAACAAAAAAAGAAATAACATAAAATCAAAGACAGCAAGAAAAAAAAAGGAAACGAAAAAGAAAGAAGGTAAGCAAAGATAAACAAGGCATCCAAGTGTGATTGCACAACCGTTGTCCACAGGTTCAACTAGCTAGACTTTTTTTTTTTGGGGGGGGGCGGGGGAGGGGGGGAAGGGGGGGCTTTTTTATTTGGTGTTATGGAGTCAAGGCAGTGTGTTGTTTTTGTCCTCTGCTTCTTTGAGTCTTTTACTGCCCACAGCAAGAGTGGTTCATCCTCGCCACATGCAAACAATGCAAACCACCCAGCGATGACAATGTTTGGAGGCCGGTGGAGTTCAATACAAATGCACAAGGCACCTCTACTTTTACATAAGATTTTCAAGGGCATGTTTCGATTGTTTGAAATAGACAATATTTTGAAATTCCTGGGTTTGATGTAACCAGGCTTAACTGCAATTATTTACAAATATGAGAGAGCATTTTCGACAATGTTTGTAAAAACAAGTAAAAGATGCAAAGATTCCAATCATTTAAGCAAGTGCTCTACCCCAAAGTGAGGGGTGCAGGTTTTACACGAGGGCGGCTTATAAACGAGTATATATGCTATGCTGGTAGTAGCTCCGCCAAAACACTTACCGTAAAATTCCGTAAGGACACCCTCCCCTGAAAGATTGCCCATCCAGTTTTTCTGGCTAAATATCTGTAACATGAAAATTCCGAAACACCGCCCACCCCCCGACCCCTGTCGGACGTCACGCGATGTCCGGTAAGAATCGCATCAACTGCACAATCTGCGGTACTTGTACGTCTGACAAGCGAGTTCAAAAGGGTTTCCGTGTTTCTGTCTGCGGTCCGCATACACAATATCGCATTCCGTAACATGCGAGTCGTTCCCGCGTGTATATCGCATCGTGAAATGCGAATCTGCGGCGTCCGCGATCTGTGGTATCCGTATAAGTGACATGCGAGTTTGTAGCGAATTTACGCGTTTTTGTCCGCGATCTGTGGGCACGATATCAATTCCCATAACACGAGAGTTATTTCCGCATGTACATTGCCTCCACGATCTGTGGTATTTGTTCCTGTGACATGCGAGTTTGTAGCGGATTCCCGCATTTTTGTCTGCGGTCTGTGCGCGATATATCGGTTCCTGTGACTGGGACTGCAATATGCAGTTTCCGTTCCTGTGGGACGCGAGTTCTTGGCGGGTTTCCACGGGTCCTTCGCACCATGAAACGCGAATCTGCTGCGTCCACAACCTGCGGTATCCTCTCCCGCAATATAGGAGTTCATAGCAAATTCCCGTCTGTTTATTACATTGTGAAACGTTAACTTGCCGTTTTAGCGATCTGCGGTATCAGTTCCAGCGTCACGTGGTTTGTAGTGGATATCCCAATCTTTATCATTATTTGTTGATGAAGTTTTGCTGGGGCATTCCCAAAGATAGCCTAACCTATGTTTTTCACCATTTGTCTTTTCATTTTGGGTATTAGTTCTTACAGAATTTTACGGTAATGTTACATGCAAAGATACCAGTCAGATAATGCTACCACTATGATTGCATCTCATTCATAGAATTGCAGTACCCACCTGCTCCATTGATTTAGCAGGACAAGATACAGTTCACCTAGGAGGATGTTGATTTTGAAATTCTCCAGAGCCTCCTGTAAAACATATGTATAAGACAAGAAAACACAGAATGTTTCAGATAAGGCCAGTGAACAAATAGCTGCATATTTCTTACGTCAGCCATCAGGCCTTGGAGTATGTCCTGCAGGATTGAGTGCTTCTCGCTTGCCGTCAGCTGTACATGTTGACACTGGGAATGAAGAAAGCATAAAAATTGCTAGATCAGAGGTGGTCGATTATTGGTGTCAGAGGGCAAAAGACAGACACATGCGAAAATCAAGAATAGTGTCAATATCATTCTCGGCATTTTCATTTGAATTCCTAGCTTTTTCTTGTGCTTTGTCATGCCAAAGCATTGTTATGTGTTCGTCAATGAATAGTTTGGAACAGTTTACTTCACATTACATATGTTGAAGATCTCCAAATAGACAAACCCCATAGTACCGTTTCGTTTCTTTCAATATTGCCAACAAAATGACAGAGAATAAAACTTTTGAAACATACTAACACCATGCTATAGAAAGTTACAGTTCAAGAAGGCAGGTCGAGGAAAAGAAAGGCCGAAGAAGAGGAAGTAGATGGAACGCTGAAGAGAGGAGGAGGTTTCCCTGCTCTCCTCTCCAGTGTTCTGTCTGCTTCCTCCTCCCCGGCCTTCTTTTTCCTTATCCTACCTTCTTGAGTTGTACGCACTATAGTCCTAGCATTGTGTTGCTCTCGGAGCGGCAAAGCTTTTAACAAGGTGCATTCATCTTGAAAGATAAATTGTCAAGAAAGGATCTCACCTTTGCCAGCGTCACGCAGAGGTCCCGCCAGCCTGAAAGCAGTGCAACTGAGTCGGTCACCGAGTTGCTCATGTCACTAGCATCCATGAGAGTGATCGAAGCATTCATGTCGGAGAGGTGAGGAAGACTGCTGTTCACCAACTAAAGGAAAAAAAAATTAGTTGGCGCAATGCTGCATATGTTTCTGTAGAACTACATGTAGGTAGCACAAGAAATGAGAGGGGGTTGAAGGCTCGCTCACACAGCTGCATTTGACTGCGTTAAGACTGCTTGCGTCCAGCTATTGCTATAGCAACCCTTACAAAGTCAATAGGAAGGCGCTGTGCTGCACAGAGAGCATAGCCTACGATTTCGTTGCACAATTCTTGCCGGGACGCCAAGGCTGCCCTCTTCGCTTGCCTTTGCTCGCTTCGCGCGGCACGGCGGATAAAGTTACGACTTCCCTCTCCCCACGGAAAAGAAAGAGGGAAGAAAAGTTTTGACAATTTTTGCGCACATGGAGACGACATGCAACAAGGACAAAATCTCTGCAAAATGTCGCCCATAAAGCTATCGCTTTAAAAAATATACAGTATAAACCACTTACAACGTAACCGCTTATAGTGCAGGACCGGGTATAACGCGGCTTTTTTAAACCACCGGTTCGCCTCCCATAGAACTCCATGTATTTACATACCGCTTAAAATGCAGGCGCGCGAAGGGAAATACCGGTTATAGTGCGGTTTTTGGAACAGCGCGCCGACTGACCGGCGCTGCGAGCACGCTTCCCTGTGCGACACTAGATAATGGCGCGAGCCGCAAGCGGCACTCGCGGGGCAAGCAACCCGCTTGCCCCGCGAAGAGAGAGGCTTCAGTTGCCATAGTGACGGAGGGACGCACGCATGTGTCGTTCACGTGCGTGCGTCCCTCCGCTGCATTGGAAACAAACAACCGCAACGACAGACCAATCGCAGGTCAAGGAGAAGTGTTCACGCGCACTGCATGCCGGTCGTGGGCCGGCTGCTTCTATCCGCAAACATGGCGTTGGTTTTGATCGTCGACGTAGACGGCGTGGTAGAAGCTCATCGTTCCGTGTAAAAGCGCTATCCTTGACTGTGAATTTTCGATGTGTGTCGCTATGATAACCCAGCATGTACTAGAAGGGAAGATCCATCTACTCGTGCGGCGATGTTGTGGCGGCACTCTCAAGACGGCAGAAACGCCCGTGTCGTTGTGTTTGTTTACTTCGACTACAGTGGTGCTTTCTAAGCATTTCTGTTTTCGAACATCGCCCGGATTTCTTATTTGGAGCATTTCATGCCTGTGCTCAAGTTGAAGGTATTACTGGCGCGTACCGTATAAAGGATGTGAATTTTCACGCATTTTCATCGCCGGAGAAAAGTGATTAGGGTTAGCAATCCTGAACACTCGCAACGTTCGACCGCGACCCGCGAAGCCATTAAAAGGCTGCGCCAGGCGAAAGTCACTCATTTCTTTCAAAATGTGTGACACACTTGAGAGAGAAGTGTACTAGTCTAGTGAAATAAAGACTTTCCTCAAACTAAGCTTTATTTTTCATCTAACATAAAATAAATTCTTTTACAGAGGTAAGTTGTCTGATGGCGTGTATTTTGGCCTGAAAAATTGATGTTTTGGTTATAGTGCGGTACCGCTTATAGTGCGGATTTTCACGACTCCCACGACATACGTTACATGCAGTCTACACTGTATTTATTTAGACCATTTTTTTTAAAAGCGTTAAAGGGGGCATGCTTTTTGAATTGTATTTGACAGACAAACACGAGCTCTATGGTTCACGTTTTTAATTAATGGACTTTAGTAATTTATAAAAACAAAAAAAAGTGTCACATGCAAGGATAGCTCTGTAGCATATATGATTTCAAAGTGCTCAAGCTTCAAATGTTACAACAGCAAAGGCCTACCTTTGACCACTTCTTGATAAACCCATTCTTCTGGACTCTCTCAAAAATGGACTTGACATTCGGGTCCAACTGGCTCCTACCAGGCAAATTTAAAAAAAAAAGAGAGCATAAAGAGCATTGCCGCATCAATAAATAAAATCAAGTCAAGTTGCCACTAAATATTTTTACAATTTGAATCTACCTGAAAACTCAATCTAAACTCAATCAGATGGGCACCTAAAAGGACCTTTACGCCAAAGGACGTTTAGTGTAAATGTCATTTAAGCACTGCCACACGGCACGTCAAATGGCATTTAGCGTAAAGATCCTTTTCGTGAACCTGAGTTCCCACAACTCTTTTATGGCTGCTAAAGGCGTACTCTCGTCAGCAGCGGTCTACACTAGAGAAGCGAATTGAAATAAAAGATCATACTGATATCTAAAATCAATGTTTTTGTATGTTTATTACTGAAAAAGAGCATGTGTCACATATATTCTGCACAGACTTCGCTCTACTAATAGTTTTCTGCACTCACAAACCCAGCTATTTAGTAAACCTCGTCGTCCCGCTGCTTGCCTGCATGCATTGTCCACTTCGGCACTTTGGTTTTCCTCCTCTCAGTTTCCCTTACAACCATAGTTACCTAGCTTTTATTTTTCTACTTTATATTTTATCATCCTTTAATATTGTATTGCTAACTGCACTGTGTATATTAAATATTTTTTGAACATGAATTTCTGTATCTCATTCGCGTTGTGCGATATGTCGAACGACAAAGGAGCGTCCACGACTAGGAAGGGGTCGCCGCGCTTCCATTGGAGCGTTGAGGCGACCTGGGCGCTGATACGACTTTGGGAGGATCAGCTGGAGGACCTCTGACACGTGCGATGAAACTCAAGCGCCAGCACGACGTTGAACCGAACAGGGCAAAAGCGTAGCAGAAGCACAGAACCAAGCGGAGGCACTGAGCAATGTTAGAACTGGGACTGAGTGAGCGAGAGACGCTCAGGGTAGCCCCTAATTGGCAAAAAAGCTTTTCTTGGGCTTAAAATGGACTTTGTTGTAATCCCTCGACTGACCTCGGCATTTTGTCTGTTTTAATATCTTGTTTGCTTAAGAAAAACTTTAAAAATTATTTATATCGCCAAAATATTTTTTTTTCTGGCGTGAATGCGTTTGAACGATTTACGAGACTTCAATCGCTGTAAACATTGCCTAAATGACATTTACTTGCGCTGTCTGGCACAGCAGAACTTAAAGGTCATTTAAAAATCCTAAAGGCCTTCGACGTAGAGGTCCTTCTAGCTGCCCGTCTGACAGAGGTATAGGGAATTTTGATTTACTGAAGGGATATTACTTTTTTCCAAAGATCCTTGGATGACTTCACAGGTCCTTCTGTTTATTTTGTACATACTGTCGAGACCAGTTATAACGAAGTCAACAGGAATCGGAAATCACTACGCTATATCCGCTATTTCGTTATAACCGACCTCGGTTAACGAAGTGCAAAAGGGAATGGGAAATCGCGATCGCTTCGCTGGTGCCGCCATTTCATTATAACCGACTTTGTTTTAACCGGTCTCGACAGTATAGTACTTCTGTATGCGTACACTGAGATAAGAAAAAAAAACAGGACTATTTTGGCTAACCCAAGGGTCTTCTATGCCATGGCTGCTGGCGCTGCTGTAACCATGAACAGGTATACGTAAAATGTAGACTTCTTTTTTTGGAATTTGAGACAGTAAATCTTTCGAATTTGGAAAAGAGTCTCCCAACGTAGCTCCGTAATAAAACGACGCGATAAACAACATGCATATGTATTTCATTCTCTTGGGCAGGCAGCACTTCTTTTTGCTTTCTAAATTGAAAAAAAACCAACCAGGATAGAACACAGTTGAGAGCACGTCTTCAGCCTTGTTCTTGTTTATTCTCTTCATTTAAAAAGAAAATACACCTACATGCTCTTTCCAAATTGAAGCTTTTTTTTTTCTTCAGAAATTGTATAAATATACAGAGAGAAACAACGAAACGACTTCAAAACCAGTTCGTAATTACAAAAGCTGCTCCACTCAAACTAATACTTCCAACTTCAGGTTAATGCTAGTGAGAGCTCCGAATTGGTACACATTTTGAATTTCCTTAAAACAAAGCACAGAAAAAGTAGAATCCAGCTGGTAGGTGACAATGCAGAGAAAGATATTAAAACAACAGACACCATATTCAAAAGCAACCAGTGAAGCGACTCACTTCGAGTGGAAAAGCTCCAAGGCAAGCGTCCTCAAGATGAAAGCCACCAGCCTCGGGTCTTGCGTCAGCACAGAGTTGCTCAGCACGGGGAAGCAGACGAGTTCCCAGAATGTTTTGCTGCAGAAAACGTGCAAGAACTTTTGCTCACAAAATGCGGACTTTAAGCTTTGAAAGCTAGTCTTCAGAGTAGCTCAACATTGAAGCAAATCTGCTGAAATTCAAGTCGAAATTTGACCACATTACATAGGGAAACAAAGGCTGACCTACAGAATGGTAGGGATGGGCGAATATTCAGCTATTACGAATAGCCCATCGAATTCTGTTCTATTCGGCATTCACTTCAAATCAAATTTAAGTATTCGACATAATCAAATTATTCGAAAATATTGAATTATTCAACCTTTTCGAATACTCTGGCTTCGATTTCCGGCCAGGTGGCGCAAGCTTCCGACAATTTCGACCATTTCATGCTCCCGAACTCAGTGCACTTGAAATTAACAATTACGAGACTTCTAATACCAAATAAGAACATATATAAAACTATAATCTAAACATATCTTGTGGTATTTGTTGCTTGTACTATTCAAACTGTTTGATTTGAAATTATTCCACCAAAATCACTATTCGCTTTGAATTCGATTCGGACCCAAAATCCTCTATTCGCCCAAGCCTACAGAATGGTCTTCTGCTGGGCAGAAAAGTGGTTCCCAGTTTCCTTCTCTCCCCTCCCTCTCCCATTCTTCTCTCTTCCTCTCCCCACAGCAGCAGGTCTCTGAGCTACTCCCCGCAGAAAGAAGAGGGGTCTCACTCTTTCTCGAAGGGAAGGAAGGAATTGAGGGAGAGCCTCCTCCTTTCTGGCTGTTCGTCGGCCTTTAAAGGGCAACTCCGCTTCATTTTTGGTTTTGAAAAAACAATGCAGTCCTCTTCAGTATCACCTAGGAAGACCACACGTGCAATCTTACGACGCAGTTCTGTCTAAATTTTCTTAAACGGTCCGGCAAACTTTGCAACTCGCCAAGTTGCCGAAATCGGCTGCCTTGAGCGGGCGAATTCAGGCGCAACCAACAGCGCAGTCAAGGCTACGGCATGGGCGGAGCCAACATTGAGCTAAACGCCATCTACAAGGCCCCCTTTTGCTTGTTTTCACTTCTCCAGGCGAGCGTAGCGCATGACGTCAGCAACGTTGCCTCTCGGCGCTCAGCAGTGTCCACGTGATTGGCGTAACGCGCCTGCGCAGCGCGTTTCTCGGGAGCCGTCCGGCCGCCCGCCGTGGTCCCGCCGTTACCGCCGTCTTCCGCGTCACAACCGCCGTCGTCGTCTCGCCGATTGTGATTAATGTCTCTCGGAGTTTAGTCCACACTACGGACACCACGTGAGCGCACACTTATGCCGCATGCACGTGGCGAATGCGGCATAATAATGCACGTGGCGAAGAGTGCGGCGCAGACGACACTCGCGCCTGCCACCTGCCCGCCCCAATCCCGCCCGTCGTTAGGCCGAGGATCACGTGACATCTCGTACCACGTGATGGCCATGTACTTGGCGACCCGAGGCCAATGTTGCCGGGCGGAGCCGAAGTTTCGGTTTCGATTTCCGCTCGTGTTTAAAATCAGATTTAAAAATATATATCCCATTTTTCGCAAAGCAAACGACGTAGTGTGTTTTACTAGGGCTTTTTAATTCGAAATCAATCATTATCCCGAAATCTTCGGAATTGAGCGGAGTTGCCCTTTAAGGTATACTCATAATACTAGTATACAGACATTTGACACGGTGGTGTAGCAAATTATACTAGTAGCATCAATGTAGTAGACATATAAAGGATTATTAATACAGAATGAATTTTGAAACAAGCCAAGTTGAGATTTGTGTCGCATCGTTGTGCTGTGCCATCAGAGCTAAATTTAGTGGCTCATATGGTCACGTGACTTGCATCAGGTAATGCCAGGTCACGTAATGTCATAGTACCACGTTGTGGTGTCACGTGGCATGAGGTTACAAGATGCCAAAGTGTTACAAAGCAAAGCTGTGGTATCGCATGACATCCCTCTGCCAACATTAATAGATTAGTAGTGTTGGGTGTTAAGTCATGGTGTAATGCAACATCACATCGTGTGACCATGTCGCATGATGTCGGGTCAGGGTGCCGTGTGATGTCACAAGATACTGTGCTATGTGGCGTCACGAGACACTGTGACATCATGTGATGTCACGCTGCCCAAATTTACATATATATTGTGAATGCTTTCTGCATATGGGATGCTTGGGTGGTAAATCAAAGGAGCGTTTTTTTTTTTTTTTTGTTATTTAAATTTACTGGGAAGAGGTCCCCAATGCCTTACTCGTTTCTCAGCACTTCCATGGCCCTCAGCTGATGGCAAGCCCAGAGGGTGTGAACGACTTCCATGGCCGAGCAGTGGAGTTCCGTGGGACAAAAGTAGACACCCTGAAACACGAGGCCTCAATCCAATGTCCGTAACAATGTTTAACATAAAACAGTTGTTTACACTACAAACCTCACGCTTCATCTTCAAAATCTTCAACACTTCACCTAAGCATGGGCTCAGTTCTGCAGTCTTCTGCAAATAAAAAGAAGTTTCCTTCAATGCATAAAGATGGCAGTTCATTTATTTGGTTTGTATAGACTGTGTTTTGCAAAGTCAATTTTCGATGTCGGACAAAAAATTCCGAATTCATCGGTGCTCACGTTGGAGAAAACGAGACACAGGAATGAGATTCCCCACCCTCAAGGGACCCGTATACTTAAAAAACGTGTCAATACCAATAAAAGAAAATGAAAAAAAGAAATAAGAGAAGCAGCTTTGTAGACAGTTCAGTCAGGGTTTTTTAGTTTCAAAAAAAGCTGAAGAAGTTTTCTCACCGAAAAGCCTGGGTTTTTCACATCTAAGGAGAGTTTCAGTCCGGGGTTGTCAGTTTTTCCCCGATTTTTAACAAACCTGCTTGTGGCAATTTCTCAAGGTGTATCGGTATGCACCAAAAACGCAAAACTCTATTTATAACAAAAAAAAAAGGGGGACGTCCAATTGACCTAATTGGGGACCCAACGTTTCGGGGCCTGCTTGGTCTCTTCTTTAGGTTCCAAAACCGAAACATGTGCACAGAGGCTCAGAGGAGAGAGTTGCCATAAGTCATGTGGCTATTGCTCCCCACCCAGTTTTTTTCCATTCTTCCGCTTCTCGGGCATGGGAAGCAGATGACGACAACGTGGACATTGCATGCACCGTTTGCGTGCTACTGTTTCGCACTTATATCACTTCCGCTCCATATTCTGTGCTTAAAGATCGATTGGCCGGTACCATGAACCACAGTTCCAAAGTAGCGGCTCCACGTCCGTTGCGACGATGGTCTGTCGTGTGCCGTCATCGCGTCGTCCAGCCCACTCTACGTTACCATATTGAGAATGACGCACACATGCACTTCCCGTGATCTGTGCAACAATTTCTTTCGACCAACATATTTGCAGCTTCTTGGAAGCCACAAAAAATGGGGTTCAAATTCTTTTCTATTTTTAATATTGAATGTGCGCACTAGATGACCAAGTTTGACAAGCATCGGTTTGACAAGCACGTGACCGTGAGAGAGAGTGAGCGCACCTGAAACCGGCCAATTCTCGACCAGCGGTTTTTGGGCGGAGAGAATACAAATTTCGAGCCGCAAATTGTGCTCTGGGTGGTTTGGGCTCTCGTAGGTCATGTTCAAATGGAAACATAAGCATGCCTAAGTACCCTGTCAATGTCCCTTCAAGGAGGGACACCATCTTAAAATTGCAACTTTAGAAAAATGTTTTTCTCATTTTTATGTATTGTGGGTCCACAACTAATAGTCCTGCAAATTTTTATTGCAATATCTGAAATATTTACGGAGAAATAAAACCTTTTCGGTAAGCCGACGATGCAAAATCATATGTTTTGGAAATGTGAAACTTTCATGTTTCCTATTTTCGAACTGCTGTAGCCCTGCACCATTACGCACTAGAATGATGATCATGCTCCCGTTGAAAAGAGCATTTCTTCACAGTTTCAGTACATCACAAATCTTTGATCAAGAGTAAACTCTGTTCGGGCAAGAACACCATAGTCCAGCTTTCACGCGGAAGAGGCTATGCACGTAGCCAAGAACCAAAAAGCCCGCCCCGATTGAGCAGAAAATTGACTAAAACCAGCATTCGCTTATAGAAAGTCATGTGGGCTTGTCTGCTTTGTATTTCGACAATGCTTGTTCTGCCCACTATTTCTGATGCTGGTTCGTCTATTGCAAGGATACCCAATTCCTCACTCGTTTCACAATCAATACCCCACATGCCGACAACAAAATGACACTTGAAGAAAGCGTTTTAAGCTCGGACTCACTCAGCAAAGCCATGCACGAGATCGGGTGTAAGCAGAAGGCACCACCTATGCTCTTGGTGCCTTATAGTGGCCACCACCACCAGTAAAATCAAACGTAGTGATGTGGAAACTTCAAATAGGTTTTTCTCAATTTCATTTTTTTTGCAGCAACTTTCGTTTTAGGAAATCTATCATTTCAATGAACTGTGGAATTTATTCTTCGCTGTGGATGTTTCTGAATTGAAATTTAATGAGGAACGCGGCTAGATATTTATTCTTCTATTTAAATAAACTTCTTCGTATTGCCAAAAAGTAGGGTTTTGATAAGGAGAAAAGACCCCATTATGAGGAATGCTTCTCAAATTTACACCTTGCACAGAAAGAGCGCAGGTTTTAGGGTAAAAAATAAGTAGCCCCCCCCCCTTATGTTCTAGTTAAGGCTGAAGCTGAGAAATGCTATTTTACAGCAATGTTATACAATCCATTTCCTTGTCAAGTGCGCCGACTTACTCCAATAGCTGTATACCTCCCCCTGTAGCTTATAGGGAAATTGTCCTATGGAGATGAAATGTTATACAGTGCATTTAGGCAACAAGGTGAATGTATTCTCCAAATTTCATCAATATTGAGCAACTGGTTTAAGAGACCACACTTGAAGGTGGTGTCACCCCTTAAGAAGCGGCATATTTTCCTTGACGTTTTCTTTTACGGTGGCGCATTTCGTTTCGAGTTGGTGATATCTCGAAGCCCATGGACGTTGGGTTCCCAAATGGGATTCGGATGAATGGACTCCTTTTCTTAATTATTCCACCAAACCAGATAGACCTTAATCTAATGTTCATGTTCCAAGTCTTATTTATGATGTTTCACGTCCTCCAACGTAAAGACAAAACGGAATATGGCAAACCTGGGCATTGTTGTCGTTGCTGCCACTGCCGCCGCTGCCGCCACTGCTGTCGGGCGACGAGAGAAAGAGCTGCGAGAGCCCCGGCTGGGTGCGTATGCAGACGTTGAGGAGCTGCAGAATGGCCACCTTGAGACGGACGTCCTCAGTGAGCTTGCCCAGCCGCAGCAGGGCCTGATCCCTGAAACCTTCCGCGTCCCTGCCCAGGCAGGCCAGCAGCGACATTGGGTACAGCTGGATGCAAAAGACGCGCTTGTCTTGAGGCTCGTATGCACACTGACGTTGGCTCACGACCAAGTTCTTGCGACCTTTTACAACGAAAGTATGCTAGAAAGCTTAGGTTACAAAGTGTCCAACTGCTCAACAGGGCCGTGTGGTTTTTGGGCCACGTTTGAAATGCGAGTTGTGAGGAGGGAACAAAAGCGTCCTTCGTCTGCACCGAGATAACTTCAATTTGAGAAATTCAAGATTTGCAGTTTCGGGGCAAGCTTGGTGCTTCTTTTTGGTGCTCTTTGTACGCACCCTCAAACATGCTGGTCTAAACCTGGAATCAGTTACCGGAATCGTAAGCCCTGTAACGTGTCCTTGAAACGTCTCAGGTATGACACACGAGATGGCGCTACTGAAACCACTGACTTCTGCTATATCGGCGCTATATTGGTTAAAATGGAGAAGTGATGCTATAACAAAATCTTAGAGCTGCATCAGCACTAAGTCGGTGCTTCCATCTTTGCTATACTCAGCACTGCTTCCAGTATTGATGTAGCGCCGTGCTACACGTGGCTTTCACGTGACATCATTGCATCATGCTGGTGGTTATTCCTACCTGTCCTTACCAAGAAAAGCTTTATTATTATTATTGCTATTATTATTATTATTATTATCTTTTCTGACCAATGAACTCCTCCTGGTCTTAGTATTGACACAGCAAAGCAGCTCGGAAGTCTACAGAATTTGTAAACAAGAGTCCGAGGACACTTTTAAGCACTTCTTATGAGTTGTGAATGCGAAAGCATGAATGTCATTCTTCCACTCCCTTAGTTCATCTATACGGTGTAGTAATGTGGACGGCCACATTTCGCCGGCTGACGGCCAAGCGCGCGCTCTCGTGATGTGGCCGCGCTGCACTGAGCTTGGCCATGCACCCTCTCCAGAGTTTGCCCGGGCGGGCTCTGCAGCCAGGCCTGCATTGCCGCACCTCTTACTGGCGACCGGGCCGCTGCGTGCGCTGCACCTCCATGGAGAGGACTTCTCTGGTGGCGTCTTTTGGAACTACGCCGTACGAGAGCCAATGGGAGCCTATCAATCAGATTTCTGCTACAGACGACATTGGGACAGGGAAAGGGGTAGTTTGGCACGGCTTCAAAGCTGATGACATCGGTTCGCTCCATGGGTCCCAGTTAATGCTTTCGCATTAAAAACAAACTCAATGGTCCCCAATGTATACGCTGCAGAAGGTATGTGCTAAACGGTAAAGCCACCACAGTGACCGCGGATGTGATATCAGTGCAAGCCACCCAGGTGGCATGCCAGAGAAACGCCAAACTTGGCACAAGCTTGGCAATCCTTAATGCTTAATCCTCATTTAATGTCATAAGTGGAGCAATGAGCAGATTAATGCCTACCTTGGGCATCATACAGTCAGTGCCAGAGCGCTTTCCCTCAACGTTTCATGACTTTTCTCTGGCTAGCCACGTAATAGCCAAAGTGCTAGACTAGAGACAAAGCTGTCACGTAAAAAACTTTCAGCCTTTCCACTCTGGTGAAGAGGTAAGACCAGCAAAGCTGTACTACGATAGGACGACCTCAAGGACGACTTCTTGGATGACCTCGAGGATGACTTCTTGGACGACCTCAAGGACAACGCCTAGAAGACGACGTCTAATGTCACATTCGTCTGGGGCGCGCACGGCACCGAGAAAATGTCGCCCCCAAGGCCACGCCACCGTGTAGGTGCACCACATGACGCACTACCAGGCGAACGCGAAGCATCCCGCCGTGCGACGCGCTCGGTGTGGTCACTGCAAGGGCAAAACATGAACGGGTGGACGGTAAAAAATATCCGCAAGAGTGGGGCGGCGGCTCGCGCCATCTAGCGAGGAATGAAAGTAACAAATTGTCTTTCAAGTGGATGGTTCAAGTATGTACTTGTTATACCAAAAATTCGCCCGCCAACGCAAAAACAAAAACACATGGTCTATAAAACAGAGTGTTTACATATCTGCGATTTTATTGTCGGACTGGTGACAAGCGATAGGTCCAGGTCCGGTGTGAAAATCAACAAAGGCGAGGGCATGCAGGGGTTAAAAGAAAAACAAGAAATTTAATTGGGCGATAAAAAGCCGCACACGGTGACAACACGACGAAACCATCAGAACGAAATGCGAACACGCGTTACTCCAAACACACTGACGAACCTTTGGGTGCGAAAAAAACAAGACAGCACTCAATTCCCGACACAACGCGAAACAACTCACCGCTCGAGACCCAAACTGCAGCCGGGAAACAAGTTCGCCGGTGCAAAGAGAAGACGAAAGTTCCGAAAAGGAAAGTCCCCACTGCGGGACCCAAAGTCCAGGGAAAAGTTCAGACGAAGTCCGAAGACTCACCGACGTCCTGAATCCGACGAACGACGAAAGCTTCACGTGCCCGGTGTGGTCGACTGATTGCTTGGCGGCTGACGCAACGCAGCACCGCACACACACACTTCCCGAAAAGGAAAAAACCAACGCCCGTCGTCACTGCTGGAATCGTAGCCAGAGCAGAGGGCTTGAGGGAAAGAAGATAGCAGCGCCGACATCACATTCTCTCGAGCTGCGGGCCGCCATGTTTCGCGAGACGAGGCGAGAGAGAGAGAGAGGATGTGCCGAAGGAAGCGGAGAGCGTTAACTCAAGGTTGCAGTGCCAGGACCTGCATGGTCTCCTTCCGACGGTGCAGCTGGTGCAGCAATGCACCGGTGCCGCGCGCCGCATGAAGTCCCAGGCGAACGTAGTGCAGCCGCACCGACACGACCAGGCGAACGTGACGCGTCCGTCGGTGCAGCGCGGTGCGGTGCGGTGCTGCCCAGGCGAATATGACATAAGACAACGTCTAGGGCGACCTCAAGGACGACCTCAAGGACGACTTGAGGGACGACGTCCAGGATGAACCCAAGGACAATGCCTAGGACGACCCCAGTGACAACGTTTAGGACGACCTCAAGGACGACTTCTAGGATGACCTCAAAGATGACTACTAGGATGACTTCGAGGACAGCGTCTAGGATGACCTCAAGGATGACTTCTGGACGACCTCAAGGATGACTTCTAGGACGACCTCCAGGACAACCTCTCGGACAACCTCAAGGACGACGTCTAGGACGACCTCAAGCAGACTTCTAGGACAACCTCGAGGACAACGCCTAGAAAAATTCAGCCTATCCACTCTGGTGAAAATTAGAGTGGAAAGGCTGGAAAGGTTGCCGCCATCTACGAGCGAGGCCGGCAAGCCGGTTCTCTGGTTGCTGCCGTCACTCATAGATGGCGGCAGCTGTCCAGAGTTTTGTGTCGACATTTCTTTGCGGGGGACACAATCCTGGGGAACCTAGCCCTTAACAGCTCCGCAGTAAAAAAGGCTCGAGGTACACCTAAGCACTTCTTATGAGTTGTGAATGTGAAAGCAGGCATGTCATTCTTCTGCTCCCTTATTTTGTCGGCAGCGTACTTGCCTCGACGGCTAAGCGCGCACTCTTCTCGCAGCACTGACCTTAGGTGTTGAGCCGCTGCTTCACTCGGCGGTGAGACGCTTCGTGGCGCCGGCGGCTCAGACACGCAGCGCCATGGAGTGGTGGTCATTGAAACTGACGTGCAGCAGCCAATGGGAGCCTCGTTCCTTGAAACTATGACGCGTGCCAGCCAATGGGACTGAAGCCAAAGTCCATCAGATTTTGGCTTCACTGCGCTTAATTGACAGCGGAAAAACTAGGTGCCTGTTGGCTAGGTTTTTTGCGCAGCTTCAAAGCTGGGAGCTCGGCTTCACTTGGAGAAAGGAGTTAAGGTGCCGTTGGGCACGGCTTCAAAGCTGATGACGACAACTCGCTCCATGGGACCCAGTTAATGCTTTCGCATTAAAACCGAGCAACCAGAAATTAAGCCTAACTCTGGCACTCGTTCGGCGATTTAGGCCCAAAGATGCTAGATGACGGCTAAACTATACTGGCTGTGAAGTCTAACTTTGGCACCTGTCTAGCGAATTAAAGCCAGAAACCCATAGTTTGGACAAAGAAGCTAGAGTGTGGCTCCACCTTGTGGAGACTGAAGAAAAGACAGCCGCTTCACTGGTGTCTACGCCCGTTCTAACCCGTGCTCGTCCTCAGCGCGCGCTAGCTTGACCCACCTCACGAGCCAGCTTTATTGTCGTCCTTTTCAATCCCCACGTCATTCCCCCTCTCGGGGGGGGGGGGGGGGGGGGGGCGGAGAGTTTCTTCATCAGGTGGTTTTCGTTGGTCCCCTCCCCGAGCACATGCCATGATTGTGGAGTTTTTGGCAGAGGGCATAGTGATGCCGTGATTCCAGTCACTGCACAGCCTCCGTCGACGATAGGGTTGCGTTGGGAGCTGTGCCTCGGCAAGCGATGCAAGGGTGGCCAGGACAGACGTGCTTTCCTGGTCACGACTCGTCGGTGGGGGGTGGTTGGTGAGGTCGTGGTGATGGGCGGTGGCCTCCCCAAGAGATGGCTTCTATGTGGCGAAAGATCTCTTGTATGTGAACGTAGCTCGACGGTTTAGGTATTATTTTGCTTGTGAGGCTATAGAGTTTGATGTGGTAGTTAAATTTCATCGTCGCTGAGTCTGATGTTCGCCAGTTCTGGTGGTAAGGGTAGTGTTCGGCGCAGGCGTTCGGGGCAGGCACGGCCAACAATAAGGAGGGCGGCCTCGATGTTGGCAGGTGTAAGGGCCCGTGATCCAGCTCGCACCAGCGCTCGGGGTACCCTTCCGGGGAGAACTGGCCGTGACCCATGCTCGTCCATGGATTGCCTGGTCGTGCCTGTCCAAGCGCAGGACGGTTCCAGGCAAGCCTCCGGCGGTGGAGGAGGCCGATATCTTAGTTCGGCCAGGATGTCCGCCTGGATCTGGTGGGCTGCTTGGGCCAACTCGTCCAAACTCCGGAACACCCGCCCACGCAGGTAGGGATGAAACTGCGGGTGGCTTTGCCGGATAGCCCGCGACACCTTGTCTGAGTCGGACGCACTAGGGTCAGCCCTGTCATAGAGAGTTTGGAGCGCCCGAACAAACTCGACTAGGGACTCGTCGCGGTGCTGAGTGCGCGCCCTAAGCTCATCGAGCATTCGCGCGCCGTAATCGGGAGGCAGAAATTCATTTTTGAACTGCTCCGAAAAGTCTTGTAGCGTCGAGAAGGGTGATTGTCTCCGACGCCATGTCGCGGCGCTTCCCGTGAGGGCGATCGGCAGTACGCGTGATAGAAGTTCAACCTCAGACATTTCAGACACCGCCTGGTATTCACGCAATTCGTCAAGAAAATCAGCAACCGATTTTCTATCTGCGTAGCCTGAATATTTCGGAATCTCGGCATGAGGACGGAGGTGCGACGTGGTTAACTCTCCTAGCAGTCGTGGTTGGTGTCGTGGATGCCCCTGACGACCGCCACCAGTGCTCGGTGATCCGTGAAGTAAGTGGCTAAGCGCGGTGGAAGTTTCTAAAACCTTTCAACATAACCGTACGCGTAGCAACTGGATACTGCCAAAGTCGGATTGCACACAACGCGGGTAATGTTTGAAAATAAGCCTTTCAAGCGGATGGCAAGGAAGACTCTCCTTTAGTTGCGTCGTTACTGGCAAGATGCCAGGGCCCTTCATCTCCGTGCTGCATGGCCGTCGGGAAAACCCGACTTCCCTGGCCTCGCGCCAAGAGCGAAGAGAAAAAATATTTTTCCTTGTTCACGCACGCGGCGATGACAATGGATGAGGTTAAAATCTCTTCAAAGTGTCGCCCGTAAAGCTATCGCTTTAGGAACAACTCTGGCCCACAGGACAGTGCTACCTGGGCAGGTATATGTGTGAACAACCCTTTACGGTCTGTGTCAATCTTGTCGCTTGAACCTCGTACATGCCCTTTCCGGCACTCACCTTGGCGATGCGCTTGAGCAGCTGGATGGCGAGCGTGCACAGCCGGGGGTCGAAGCGGAGGTAGAGGAAGTGGCCCACGGAGGTGACCAAGCAGGCAGCGCTCGACTGGTTAGGGGAGACCAGCAGCCTCTGCTCCAGGGGAGAGCTCGCTCCGGCGCCGCTGCCCGTGCTCAGCAGGAGCAGGCGGTTCAGCAGCGAGAAGCACAGCCGCACCGACGTCAGCAGGTCCTCGCTCTGCTGGCTGGAAGAAAAATGCTGAATGTGAGCGAAAGAACAAAATCTTGAACGAATGAGACCTGCGTCGGAAAGCAATTTTAAGCCTGAATCGCAATGGCCTCGTAAGCAAGGATAAGTCATACCGGGCAGCCTGTGGACTTCTAAATTAAAAAAAACTCCCATGGCAGCAACTGGAAAATTTGGTAAGTTGTTGTTTTGTTTGTTTTTTGATAACCTACGAGATTTAACTGGTTATCCGCAGTGCAAGCACAGACCCAACGTTTATGCGGAGCCTTTCCACCGTGCAAAATGTTCACATCACACGTACAGGTGGTGCAAAATTCACACTAACTTTTCTTGAGCGACCTACAAAGCACGGGAATTCCGAAGTGCATGATTTCAAGAACACTTGAAAGTATTTCTTTTGAGGGTTCTAGCACGCCATCGCGCTGCAAAGCTGCTGCGACCAGGGGATAGACGTCCAACAAGCACGGGTGTCCGACCATGTTGGACAAGGGCAACTTGTTACGAAAAAAGTTTCAACAAGATCCACAAGGAAACTAGCCCTCAACAGCTCCGCTATAAAAGATTAGCACAAAAGAGTGATTACACAACCGGCAAAGAGGCGACATGCGGCGCTGCAATTGTGCAAAGACAGTAAGAAAGGTGGGAACAGCCGACAATGGCTCTCGGCCCGACTACTGTCGCCCTCGGTGTCTTTGCAACATCGCAGCGCTGCGCGTGGCTCTTTCCCCACCCCGGCTGTCAATCACTTGTGCTGGTCCCTTTTATTGCCGATGTACACTGTGCGATGTTGTTAACATAAACACGGCACTAACGGTTTTTTCCCATTTTTGCTCGAAGGGGCGCTGGCAAGCACCAAATTTTAAACCTTAACTAGGTGTCCCAAATGGGCACCACACTAGTAATCTCAATGTCAGCCTTTCGACTCTAAGAGAAAAACAATAAATCGCTCATCCATGCTGATCGTGTGGCACTCTGTACACATCTTTGTCCTCACCTGCCTTCCAACTCTATGGCTCTTGCCACGGAAGCCTCCCCGGCAATGATGAGGCGGAGCAGAGCCTGGCCCGCGTCTCCGTGCAGCAGGCTGTAGACGCACACTTCGCAGCTCCTGCACAGACGCCAAATGCAGTCACCTGCGCCTCGTTGTTGATAGTGACGCTCCTCAAAAACTACACCTTTATTTAAGGTGACAGATTTTTGGCAGCTTGCAAAGACATTTTTTATTAGCCTTATGGGATGTGCGCGAACGCAGCAACTGCAATATTATTTTCTTACAAATTTAAGATCCAACCTCGAGGTCAAGGCATTCAAGTGAGCACAGCTCTTACAAGTACATTCTTAGGCTGTGAATTTCTTTAAACACATTAGTTGGTCCACATCAGCAAATAATTTTGTAACGAGCGATTGTAACTGTATTGCATGTATGTTTTAGCTGGAAGGAAGTGAGTCGGCCCCAATGGGAATCTGGTGTCTCTGCTGTAGATAGCAAATTTGGCCAGAGCAGTACAACCGCTAGCATGGGGGGGTCTTTAATGTGTGTAACGCAGTAGAGATACATGAGCGCACCCCAGAATGACGCTTACTTAAATTAGAGCGGGCAGGGGCGAGGAATGAAACCCGGGATCCTTGGGTTCTGCAGCACGAGCTTGCGCTAACAGATGCGGTGCGTCCACACGCTCAGCCACCGACGCTGGCCGTTTTGCTCCGGCCAGTGTGGTTTTGATCGTCTTTGCTACATCCGTATTTTCCCAGAGTTCTACCGGAGGGTGGCAGAGGCCCAGTCAGGCACCGTGCCTTTTATGGAAAACAGTCATTAGTGGGAATCTCCCCGAAAATTTGGACGGTCGCCGTTCACAAAAACTCTCTACGACATTGTTAATTGCACGATTGCTTCCGCCACAGCTGTGGAATTTACAAGATGGGACAAATATCCGTCCGTCAGACCGGATTCAAACCAGCGACCTACGAATGCGAGCAAATCGTTCCCTCTTGAGTTAACCGCTCTACCAACAAAGCTATGTCGACGAAACAGATTTGAGCAAATTAAACGCAGCGTTTGCTCCATTTTCTTTCTACCTTGAACAATGTAGTGGCATCTCGTGAGCTTCAAGCGCACACGTGACAAAGAAGTGTGAACTGGAGGTTGGGCGTAGTCTATGCCCGACCTCCAGCCGACGCGCGTACAAAGTTGCCCGAGTGGATGGACTTGCACACTACGTGGCCAGTCGTCGGAAAATCCTTTTGCGGGACCGAAGAACGCGAAGTTCGGTTACGACACACCGAGGAGGCCAGTCGTAGGTGAGGAACGGATGAGGCACGGGAGTGGAATCGAGAGCTGTAGCGAAAACGGGGCGAAAACCCTCGGAATCGTGCTTGAGAGGCGGTGCAGAAACGACGACGGCACTACAATGGCGGTGGATTACGCGAGCATCATTTGTTGTCACTTCGCGACCGATTCGAATGCGCGGTCGAGACGGGACAATAAGGGGGCCCGGCAAAAACACATTCGGGGTGCGCCGCGGGTGCACAAGGGGTTCGCTCACCCGACGGTGCTGGCCCTGAACGCCGGCGACAGGGTGAGCACCCTGTGGAAGATGACGAGGCAGCGGTGTCCCACCACGTCCCGGTCCCGGGCGGTGGCGTAGGGCCACTGGTGGAACGAGGGGAACAGGTCCCGCAGCACCACCACCAGGCACGCCAGGAAGTCCTCATCCACCGTCTCCACGAACGTCTGCGGTGCGGTGACCATACGGCATGTATAATTCGGAAACTTTTTGACCTCCAGGAACCACCCACCTGCCTCGAACGGCAGCCAAGGAAACCCTTCCGGTCTCGATGTTGACGCGACCGAGCGGTGCGGAAGCCAGCGGAGCTTTTAAACAAAAAATGGATGCATCTAGACGTGGTGAATGATGTTGATTGGGGCGAAGCTCTGGTGGTGCTGATGATACTGATTTTGTTCATAGGTGGTGCTGATTTTTTTTAGAGTGCAGGTTTTAGGGGCCCGTTCCCGGCTTGAGCGGTGTCGCCGTCGCCGCCGGCGTAACCAAGGTCACGTGACCCCCAAGGTCATCCCAAGGTCACGTGACCCCCAAGATCACCACAAGGTCACGTGACCCCTAAGGTCACCTCAAGGTCACGTGACCCCTCCCTTAGGGTCACGTGGTCCACAAGGTCATGTGACTCCCCAAGTCCCGTGACACCCCCCACCCCCGAGGTCCCTCATCGAGGTCACGTAACCTCCCTCGAGGTCACGTGACCACCCCGAGGTCACGTGACCACCCCCAGGGTCATGTGACCCCCCCCGCCGAGGTCATGTGACCTCCCCGATGACGTCATCGTCACTGATGACGTCACCGGCATCCGCATCGTCATCATCACTGATGACGTCATCAGTGACGTCACTGATGACCTCACCGGCATCCGCATCGTCATGGATGACGTCATCAGTGACGTCACTGATGACGTCACCGACATCCGCATCGTCATCATCGCTGATGACGTCATCGGAGTCCGCATCGTCATCGTCACTGATGACGTCATTAGTGACGTCACTGATGACATCATCGGCATCGTCACGTGACCCCCCCAGGTCACTTCACCCCCCCCCCCCCCCCCAGCACCCTTCCCTCCTCCTCCTCAAGAGCTGCGCTCTAATTCGGTGTTACAGGGAGTTGTAAACGGCTTTCACTTTTTTTATTGCTCATAGGTAGTGCTGAGTTCCGGGTTGCGTTTCACCTTCATTATTACTGCTTTATGGTCGGTGATTCTTCTAGCGGGTCAGCTTGGATCTGCTAGAAGCCGTGGGAACGCATCTCCACCGCTTAAGTGAACAATCCATGTCAGAAAGAGAATGTGTGGTATGGATCGTGGTTATATACGCAGTTGAGCATTTGACCGCAGCCCCCTCTCGTCTATAAACGTTGAGCCAATGCATGCAAAGTTTGACGCGATTATATATGCATTTGACCGCAGCGCCCTCTCCTGTAGAGACGTTGAGCGGCTACATGCGACGTTTCATCCATGACATCCCGAGCTCTTGAGTTACTACCACATTTCAGAGCCCCCTACTCGTCCCGCAGTCGTGGCCGAGTGGTTAAGGAGATGAACTAGAAATTCATTGGGGTCTCCCCGCACAGATTCGAAACCTGTCGACTGCACAAACATTTTTTCTTTTTTTTAAGAAAGACAGATGGGGTGGCAATCGATGTGAGCACAAACGCCGGACAAGGCTAGACCCTAAGGAGCTTCGCTCCTAATAACGTGCGTACTAGGGAGTGCTTGGCCCGTAGTAAGGCGGTGTCGGCGAGGGGCTCGGATATCTAGAAGAGCACTTGAATTGGAAGAAAGATTTGGGAGCTCGGGGATCTAGTACAATCTAGTAGAGGAAAAGGTCCACCGTCGACGACGCTTTATTGTATGCAAAAAGCGGCGAAACACCGCTCGCGAGGAGTGTACCTAGCTGTGTCCTAGCTTTATTTTGCACAAAAACACCCAGTGTCGTATGCTGCGTAAAAAAAGAAAAAAAAAAAAGAAAGGTTGACAAGCACTTAAACTTGTTGCAGCAAAACCAAAATGCTAACCTATTATCTGCTATTTTTCCCCACTTTTTTGTCATTCTTTTTCTTGGGACCACCGAAGTCAGTGCCTACGATTTGCCACTTTCTGCTCTTGTGATTACCCCCCTGGGTGCAATGGAGAATGTCAGATAGCACTGCCATGGTTGCCGTAAGCTGTATGAGGCAGAACCTTGTATAGCTTACGAAAGAAAAGTATCCACCCTTTCTCTCATAATTGTTCCGAAAATATACGAGAAAATCTACATCTGGATCTTCAGCACAAGGCTAGTCTGGGTCTATTCGAGACACATGCATAAGCAACGAAGAGCTGGATTACGTACGAATAAGAACTACAGCCGACACATTATGAAGCATAAAAACAACATAAAACACCTAGTGAAGAAAGGTAAAAAACACAGGCGAGCTGGTGAATGTTGTACTGTCCATTTTTTTTTATTTTTCCTACGTCTCAGGGTTACTATGGATATAAAACACCTAACTGTGAAGTACAAAAGAAATTCAAATCAAAATAATTGAAACAAAATCTAAACCTGTTGATGAACATAAAACAGTAACCAAGAATCAAAAACTGCGCTAACGTCCACTGCTTGCTACCTGAAAAATGGAGTGTACTCTCATTAATAAATGTTCAACAAAAATACATATATTGGTCTGACATTAGTGTCTATGAGTACATTCTAGACATTTATATGTGAGGTTCTTTCACTGGTAAAGCTTATAACAGAATTAGTAAAAAAAAAAAAGTGAATGTCATCGGTGCCACAACAGGTGACAGGACAGCAGCTCCTACTGACCTAGCATTTCATTAAAAAGTGCTAAAAAAGTGTCATTGTTATTCTTTACCTTGCACCATGTCAAAGCTGTTTTATGACATCTCTTCTAGAAGAAGCAGCTTGTCCAAGCGAAAGCCAAAGATTATTGCAAATGTGAATGCCCTAGACACAAAAACCATACCTCGGACACAGATGCGAGGAGGCTAAGAAATGCGAGGCAGACCGGGTGGTTGCCCACCACCCTCTCCTGGGATGCCATGGCCTGACTGAGCATGCTGTCTGTGACCAGGTAGCCCCTGGATCAAAATCGAAAAAGGTCCCCAATAGGTTTGCATAAAATATTACTGCCAGCAAGTAGAAAACACTGAAAAAAGCAAACAATCACCAACCAGGAAACAAGCATGTTCACGAAGTTTGACATATACAGTCGAATCTCGTTAATTCGTACTCCAGGGGGACTTTAAAATATGTTTGAATAAAGCAAAGTTTGAACTACCGGGAGTTTCCTCCCATAGAGACGCATAGGATGGGACCCGCATGTTAGTTTGAATTATCCGCAACTTTGAATTAAGAGAGTTTGAATTAACGAGATTCTACTGTAATAAAGAGTATGGCAGCGAGCCACCATCTTGACAGCACGATAGGAGAGCCGTAGGCACGGATGCCACACTTTTTTTTCTGGTGTAAAATCAATGTTTCTTAACTGGCAGAACCCAAGGCCCCTTTGCAGGATAACATTTGACCACGTTTCACCAAGTCAAAAGGAGAAACGTCGAGATCCGACCGCAGGTTACCATGTAAACTAAGCGTTGCGCAGCTCAGTTGCTGCGGTTACTCGCTGCTATATCTAGGCTTAAGCACCGGCAACACGGACAAACGTACTAGTCGATTGCTACGTGTGAATGGGCCTTTACAGTAGTTACCATGAAATGTCAGACCGGTATGGAGACAAAAAGTAAATGCCCTTGTGAGCTTCTCACTTGGCAAGCTGTGCCGCAGATTTGGGTTTGGTGCTGAGCGTCGGCAGGATTCCCGTTTGCACCAGATGGCCCCAGATGGCTCTGGGATTCTGTTTGGCCAGCACGGCCGCGACACGCAGGCACTCTCCCAACAGCTCCAAGGGAGGATGTGAAAGCGTTGTTACCCTGGGGTCGAAAACAAATCCGCACTCACACTCCTCGTCTCAGCAGAGGTCCTAGGAAGCTCGCACGTACCTTGCAAGTTGTTCGGTTCCTTCCGTCATATTTGAACAGATAACCTACACTAGAGTAACTGTACATGCTTGGATAGTATTGCAAAAGTCTAAAACTTGAAGTACTGCGGGAGAAGCAACCGTAGCCCTTGCAGAAGAGCTGACTAGCACGACGACATGAGGAGGCGATTCACAGCGCATGCGCCGGTGCCGACGCGCGTGTCAGACTCTTGTCAGACTTCAGTGGAAGATCTACATTTCGCGAAGGCAGAGTGAAAAATTGCAGTGGCTTAGCTCGGCTATGCCAGGATATATATAGCGTGAGCTTATGCGCACAAAATGAGAGGCGCTATCAAGCAGCTCCGGTGCAGCGTCAGACTTGGCTACTGCGCAACGGAGGCACACAGCTGGGCACGCAGTGGCGCCAGTGCGTCTGCCGCAGCTATGACGTCACTCCTCTGGAATGCGCAGACAGGCGAGGCGCGCACGGCGGCGGCGGCTTTGGCGCACCAGCTGTGCGCCGTGTGACGTCACTGCTCCTCGCGCTTGCGCAGCACGGCTCTTTGGGAGCCACGCGAAACTGCTCAACCTCGGCCAGTGTAGCTCACGCTACAAAATATGTCCCTCCCAAATCTGGCGCTCCTCAAGGAGGCATCTCCGCAAGTGCTGCAGTCAAATTTGATGCACGTGACCCTTCTCTACCAGGAGGGGTTGGCGGAAAAAAGAAAAGGAAGATGATATCCTGGCTCTGCCATCTAGTTACTCAAAATTACACCCGTTCCTGTTGAACAAGCAACACGTGCAAGTCGGAAAACTCTTTTTGAGCACCATTCTTGTTTAAGTTTTTCGTTTTCTGAACAACATAAAACATCCTCTCGCAAGTGCTAATCTTCATAAATCATTTTGGATGAACAGGCCAGGTTTCAAAAACCTAAATGGAAGTCATTTCATGAGATGCACAGAAAAAACTGAGGAACAAGATGTCATAGGACAACGGAATGTTGGGACGGTGGATAAACAAGAGGGACTTGAACATCGTCCCAACGTTAATTTGTACATTGTCAATGTTCCATTCATCATATTTTAGGAAGGAAGGCACATAGAAGAGACGAGCAAAAAACCAAAAGCATTGCTTTACCTTTCGAGCATCGCAAAGAGTGCATCCACCAAATGCGCCAACAGGTCGTGGAGGGAAGGGTCAGACTCGAGAAGGCTGCGCACTAGACGAGTGATGTGGAGCACTCTGCGAAGCCAGGCTTGGTCCATGTCCCCTGAAAGAGGTTTCCCCACAACACGTCGGTCAGAGCCTCAAAAAGCGGCCAGCAATAATAGAAAAAAATTTTTTTTTTTATTGTTTACAATTTTTAAGTGAAATGTTTACAGTTTATGGTTCTTAATCTTCTTTTTATAAATCTGGTGTTAGATTTGACATACTAGCTTGTATTTTTAGGTTCTCTATGCAATACATGCAAAAAAAACAATGTTCTTGTGCACACGTGAGAAACGGCAACATACTTAAAAAAGCCTAGTAAAATAAAATAATTCGCTCCTTTCAAACCTCTGAATGCAATGAACAACGAAAATAATGTGTGCGACACTTCTTTCATTTTAAAATAAAGAAAAAAAAGCAAAAAGGCCATTTCAAGGGACTACGTAACAAAAGTTCCTTAAATTTTTCATTACACATATTCTAAAGTATATGCATGCCAAATTTGGTTGTGATAGGACAATATTAAGAACAGAAATTATTGCACACAAACTGCGAAGGTGTCCCAAAACTACATGAAGAGAAAAATGCATTTTAATGTTACCATAGATATACTCTTTAGCGGTGTGGAAATAATATTTTGTTAATAAATTTCCATGAGAAATTGAAGCTACAGAAGACTGCAATGAAGAGGAGAAAGTTAGGCCTACTTGTCAGAGTAAATCTGATGATGGGCGACACAACAACTTGAAGAACCACGCTGAGAAAAATTACTCAAATTCATGACGTACTGGGTTGCCTGGAGGTCTTCAAATGCGCATCTAGTTTCACGATTATAACTGGCACTAGTTATTTTTTATACCTCAAATGTAAATATTCAAAAATAATAAAACACCATAAAACCCCAAATCACATTTTTTGCAAAACATGGCCGATTTTCTACTTGCACCACGGTTCGCACGTGCATCCCAGCACTGAGATAGCACTAAGTTAGCGCTGCCTCAGCACCGAGTTAGCACTCAGACCTGAGTTTGTGCTCCATTTTGTGTGTGAACAGGAAAGGGCCGGGAAGCACCGATACAACGCTGATGTGGTGCAAAATCAGCATTGTGTCTATCGCTCTGAGCATTTAGGAAAGCAAATCCCCAACAGGCCTTTAGGGAAGCCAAATCCCACACTGGAGATGGAGAAAGGAAGCACCACAGAGAAAAAGGAAATGAGGAGCTGCATTCTTTCCAGCCAGTCTCTTGAAGGAAACCTTGAATGCCAGAAAGACGAGGGTCATAAAATGCTGCTTATCGGCTTCGACTGAAGAAATAGGCTTATTAGGCTTACTTTTATGACTTAGTGCGCTCTGGCAATCTCGAAGTCTGCTACAGTAGATGCAAACTGGTAAATTTCCGGCAAAAACAAAGGATGGCACTTTTTGTAGCTGAAAGTCAAGAACAATGTGCAAGGATACCAGACAATAGATTTTTTTGTATACAGTAGAACCCATGAAATTGCAGTCAGCAGGACCTTATGATTGTAGGATTACATATGTCTTAAACAATAAGCAAACTCCAGGAAATATGCAGCACACTTACAGATACTTAATTGAAAAGGGTGAGTCATTTAAATACTGCTTATAACATCAGAGATCCTATGTCTTGTGAAGATATTATTTAGCTCATTTACAAAATCAAATGCTTACGGATTGACTCTTCAGCATGGCTGAAATTGTTCACTCATGTGAACTAGTATCAAATAAAGTCTAATTTAAGTTTCGGAAGGACTACCCAACTTACTTGGCTTAGCCATCTCACAGAGGCAGATTTGCCACCCATTGACGCCCACGTGCCACTGGATCATGGAAACTCCTGAAATACAAATGCCATCAAAAACTGATCGAGTCAGTGCAAAGTATACACATTAATGGCAATGTACCTAATAATAATGACAAAACGTAAAAAAGAAAAAAAACAGACGGGCACAAATAAAAACAAGATGAAAGATCTTCCACCAGGGCTTAAATTTAAGTCTTCAAAGTTGTCACGTTCCATTCTTGCACTTTCCTTTTTCACTTTGAACTTAACCCCTATAACATGCTTGTCCCACCCATATTAGTATTTAATTTCCTGTCTTCTTTTGTGCACAAAGCAGCTTTGATATGCCAAGACCCAACAGAGGTGCACAAGGTAGTGTACGAACCTTCTGATACAAGCAGCTGTCCTTCCGTTCCTCTTGGCAAGATGACGGAACCTGCGCACATTATGTTCGCCAGAATCCATGGATGCACATTGGTTCCGGGAAACACGGAGTGTGACGCAGTTCACACGAACAAGCGACGACCGATTTTGTACCGTCTTTTCCTCATGAATGACAGGTTCCCATAAAAAATGACGAGCGTGGTGGAATGTGCTGTAAATCCAAGGATTCAACTTAGGAGGCAAAATATAGAGTTTTTCGCTGCCTTGTACGGGTAGAACATAAAAAAAAAAAAATTGGGGCTCCAATCTACGCTGTGAAGCTGGTTCTTCACTGTGCTATCACCTGCAACGACTGCCTGCTGCACTATATAAAATGCCACCGCCGGTCGCAGCACGCCGCCGCGAGTCGTATTGCCGTTTATTTTCCCTTTGCCGCTCCTAGTATTCACGCTGCTCCTCGGGAGTCCTAACTATGCGTGGCCTATTCATCGCGGAGGTGCAGCAACAATGAAATTAGTTGCTATACTCCGTTTCATCAACGTTTAAGCACAGCGGATGTTACGAGCCATTGAAGCCAATCGGAGGCCGTGTGAGTGTCACGTGGCCTTAGAGAGGGGGCACAGCGAAGCACGGAAAGTGCATCACAGGCCACGTCCACGGAACGGGACTGGCTAAGATAGCTCGTAGCATCCGCTGCGTCCGGACGTAAGGTGAAACGGGGTATAGGGGGGTTCTTTTATGTATGAAAGGCTAGTGACGTCACTCCCCACGTCGCAAGCTGCCGTCGCCACGGCAGCAGGCCCCATTATCATCCATTATGCGGTTCACACTTCACTCAAGGGCTTCGAATGACGTCAACCCCTTTCGAAGCAGCTGTAAACCTAATCTTTACCGGAACGCGTGGGAGGGTGTTCCTATTGGTCACACGTGCCTTATCATGCATTATGTGGTTTTGATGCATGTTTTGTGGTTTTCTTTATTTAAACGGATACTGAGCTGTATGCTGTTTGCCTCATTTCAAAGGAGATATGCTGTTTTGCCGTCAATTGTTCGCTGGGAGTTTTTTGTTTCCAACGACGACATGAAACTTTCCTTGGATGGTAAAAGTATACAGCTTCGCTGTAAAAAAAAGTCGCCCCTTTGCCATACTAGAGTGGCAAAGGCAGTGGTAACACAGGATGTGATGTGTTGCTGTGGAGATATTGTGCACACATGTGGCGACTGGATGGCGCAAAGCGGCCCTGTGTCGTGCAAGGTAGGCGCGTGGGTGATCTGTGGGTGTCTTACTTGTGGGTGCCATTTTCTGCAGTTGCAATGTAAATGCGACTTTTCAGGAGCCTGTTGGAGTGTCAGACGCAGTAGACGGAGAGCGTGCAAAACAGAACAATTGGAATGTGGCAGCGCCGAGCAGAGCCCTGGTGCCAGCTAGCAGCAAAAGAGAACCAAACACTCGTGGCAAAGTGAGCGTCTGCCTTCAATTCTTTTCTGCCGCTCTCCCTCGCGCTTTTTCTCTGGGGAAGCTTTGGAGCACGCTTGTCTCACGGAGCAGAGTGCCACTGTATGTTTGAACACGTGATGCTTTCCTCTCGACAAAAGTAACACGGAGGCACTCAAGGAAGAGGTTCGGCTGGCACTGGTGTAAAATTAGCAAGGACACGAGCACCGCGTCAGCATTCGGCTGGTAGTCGGCCTGTCGACTTCCGTTGCTGACACCGAATTGGACATAATTAGGTGCCAGTTATATAATACATTCTGCATTAAAAAAGTGCACTTGTCATTCGTGCAAACTGTGTCAAACGGTATGCAGTCCAATCAACGTCCTAAAAGAATGTCGGAACTACAATGGGGGAAGGCAAAAGATGTATCAGCGGGCAAGCGACAATGCACGCTAAGCTCTAAAATTCTTGTTCGTACATGTTCTAACTATGCTACGTGGTCTTTGTGAAAAGAGTGACCTAGAGACGCGAAATAAGCCGCACTTAGAGTGTTGGCACCCCTTTCGCCCGCTCCACACTAGGCACCAAAATGGCGTCGTCGACATGACTATCAGGCAATTGGCGATCGTTAGGATTAGAAAATGTAACTGCCTTAGATAGGGTGTCCGAAAGCTGAGACGATATTGTTTTTTTCTCTTGCAGGCCGTTTTAGCATTTCTGTAGGACGGGAAACGGATTCCTGGGATCTTAGATCAAGTTTCAGATAACTGGCAACAATGATTTTTAGAACCAAGATGGCTGAAATGTTGTTAATCTAAAGCGTAGCCTATTTAGGGGCTTTGGCACAACTGGGTGTAGTAAGTACTACATCCACGAGTGAACTCAACCCAGTGTTCTTAGAGCACCAGCTTTTACGCTGATTCACATTCCATCTTTCTGTAAAGTATCTATGCCTGAAAAGGCTCTCGAAGTGTCAACTGGTAATGATCAGCAAGACTTCCAATCCACAGCCACTCCTTTAACGTAGTAGGTATCTCGAGGTACAAACAAGTAAGGGAGATACATATTACACCTTTGCTCTTGCTAAGAAATTGTCCGAAACAATTTTTCCAAGACATTTTCAGAACAAACTATTTTTCAGACTTCTGTTTTCCCCTTGCACAACTTGAGGTAACATCACTCTAAGATCAAGAGTGTAGACTTCCAAAAGTTGTCACAGACGCTGTATCCAAGGACAATATTTAAAGCCTCAACTTCATCCTGGAGATGCTTCCATAAAGCAGGTCTATAACTTGACTCAAAGAAACGCACCTTTGGAAATACGGAAATCAAAACCCTTGCTCACGTGGTCAGCCATCACGGATCATCCGTACAAGAGGTGCAGAGTGCGACACTCTTGGCACAAAACATGCAATTGGCGATTTTTGCTATTTTATTCTTAAACCTGAACTGCCAAACCTACTATGGGTCAACACACCGTTTACAAACAAACTGGCATTTTCCCACACGAGGGGTGGGCACTGCACACGAGGGGTGGGCACTGCATGTGTGCAGAAACCAGATTCACACGAGGTGAAGCACATGTGCATGTGCCAAGCCCACAGCAGCAGCGTGATGTCAGAGTCACGTGTTTGTCTATACCGTGGTGCAGAAAGCTACCTCATTCGGGGCTCCAATCTGGGTGGTCAAACTTCATGCTCATCAATACCTTGTCTTGGTAATGTGCGAAACGGCTCCGATATTGCACTAGTGCTAGCTGTGCCCCGCAGCATACGGTATTGTGGGATGTTGCTCGTGCCCTATTCTGAAGGCCTGCAGCATAGTCTCTTACCTAACAGCAGACGTTCCTGAAGCCGACACAATCGCAGCACCGTGAGCTTTAGTAAAATATGTATTTTGCCTTGTAATTCTACTGTGAAGGTACTGTGTCAACTTCAGGCCAAACGTAAAGGCCGGTTCACACCCCTGCGGCTGTTCGCGACCGGAGAGGCTTGAAAGCCGGTTTTAGGCCTTTTGTGACTGTTTATGACCGGCCGCGCAGTAGTGCGGTTGGTCGTGAGTTGTGACACAATCACTTGTAAACAGTGGCGAATGTGTGAACCAGCCAAACTAAAGTGCTTTTTGAGATCCTCGTCTTATTGTCAGAACTCAATCCGCGAACTCTAAGCATCCTAAAAAGCCCGAAATTACATTCATGAGCGGCCGATTTGCGTGTTAAAAAAGGGATTAAAGATCCTGACGCTTACCGTTGGCATAGAACGACAGATGGCACTTTCGAATCTTGTTGATTAGAACGACGAACGGCGATTGTCAGTGCTTGCGAGCGCTGGGTTAACATGGACGAGCGGCCGACCAGTCCCGCTCGTCCATGCGGGAACCCATCGTTCACGAGTGGTTGACAAGCGCCGACCAAATTCAGCCAGGTTCGGAAGTGCCATCTGTCATTCTGCACTAATGGCAAGTGTCGGGAACATTTATCACGTTATTGAAGTACAAATCGGTCGTGCATCATGAATCTAATTTCGGGTTTTTAGATTGAGTTATGACAATAAAAGATCGAGGTACACCTAAGCACTTCTTATAAGTTGTGAAGGCGAAACCACGTACATCATTTTTGCTCTCAGCGTGTTGGCGCTGACGGACACGCAGCGTCATGGGGTGGCCGGTCGTTGAAACTGCTGCGCAGCATCAGTTTCAATGACCGGCCGCCCCATGGCGCTGCGTGTCCGGCGAATGGGAGCCGGGTCGATGCGTGCTAGCCAATGGGATCGAAGCGGTGTAAAAGGTGCCATGGCTAACCGGCGAATGGGAGCTAGCTTGACTTGAGAGAAGGATTTAAGAGCCGTTTGGCGTGGTTTCAAAGCTGATGACGTCGGCTCGCTCCATGAGACAGTTAATGCCTTCGCATTAGAATGAGGATCTCAAAAAGCACTTCAGTGCCCCTTTAAGACATCACCTAAGGCTACAGCAAAAAGGAGCGAAAAGAAGAAAAGACTGCTATTCTAACGACCTTCCACATGCTCACCAGTGCCGTAGGGAAAGTGGTTTGTTTTCAGCTGCACTGTAGATCCATCTGACATGGTGTTCATTTCCTGGGGATCAATGTGATCCAGGGACTCCACAAAGCACGGAAGGTCTTGCAGGTAATGAATAACCTGGGTCGCAACATATAAAAAAGAAGAAAGAAAAACAGATTGGCAACACATTAAAGGTGTGGTTTCAGCAAAGTGATGTTTTCGGCCAGTTTGTTCATCGTGTAAAGGAAACAGTGGTGTAATGAACACAAAAATATACGCCAAAACAGGAGGCGCCTTGTCCTGCTCCGGTCTATCTTCGTCCCCGGGTTTCTTTTTGGCACCGTTTTCTTGTGCATGGTTTCAATTAGAAACTTTCTGGGCATCATCCCAAACTACTAAATCAGCCCATTGAACAAAAATAGAAGAAACGCACAGCACTTGACGGCCTTCCAAAAACGCTCAATTTGGACGCGTTCACAAGTTTCGTATTGGCGCAAACATGCGGCACCCTAACAGAAAGCCAAAGCCTAGAAATGCATCCAAGTTGGATGCTTCCTTGCAACGCCGTAAGCCGCTGTATAATACCTACTATCTTTCTAAAGTGTGTCAATTTAGTGATTTTAGACCATGCCCAGTAATTTTTAACTAATTAAACCCTTAATTATATAAAAATTAAAAAGTTAATTACTTGGAAGTAAATACTAAACTAAGAATATTGCACATTTTTTAAAATTTTACCAAATAGGCCGTTTGGCGGAGACCAATGTGACATTAATTTTTTCTCTGCGTGACGGAAACTTTTCTCACAAACGCTTGGCCTGCGTTTTGAAAAACACCCGGTCCTTGCTGCCGTACCCACCAAACACCTTAGCATGCAACTCAACAAGTGAGTTAACCTCCAGAGACATTCAGATATGTCGTTTGAATCTTGAAAATGTCTATACTAATAAGGGCTCCCTACAGATATTTGTTGCTGGAAAAGTACACTGTCTAACAAATTTACGTACTCCGTTTCACATTAGCATACGCTGTCAAAGCAGCTGGCACGAGCACATGACTTCACCTGACATCTTATTTCTGCAGAGCACGTGCAAATCAACCATCGCAAGATTAAGTCACATGCTCATGACAGCACTTTTGTAGTCAAAATTTCAACACTGCTCGCCATTACAACGCCGCTCCAACACTACAATGCTTGCAAACTCATTACAAGAGAATTCGTCTCGTCATCTACAAATGGGTTTTATCACACATAAAAGATGTCCAAGCACGACACGGCAGATACAAGAAGTGCCTCGCTCTCTCCAAGCGTCGTGGCACTCACCTTCTGTGCACTGGCTTCTCCTGCCCTTGCCAGTGACGCCGTCATTTCGAGTAGAGGCTCCGCATTCAAGGGGAAAGCTCGCTTCGCTTCAGCAAACAGGTGTCCCAGTCCCGTTGCTTCACCCTGAAATAAAATGGTGTGGTGGTGGTGGTTCTTACCGCTTAGCCTACCACTGTGAAGTACTATAAAGGCGGCTTTCTAGCGGCCGTCGAAGAAAAAAGTCGACGATGCACTCAAGAAAGGACGAGGCCTGCACGTCTGAGACGTTGGCACGTTGGCGTTCATGTCGTACTTGGGTCTTATCAATCTGTGATACGTGGTCAGCTCTAATACCCCTTGATGTCGAAAAGTTTATGAAGGGGTGATCTCGGTCTGTGCCTTGTATTCACCGGTTTTTGTGTCGCCAATGAAACTGAAACAACTGTTTGGTGAAGGACACAATCTCGACGATGACCAATGAAATAGTATGACTTTTTCGTTACTGCCACTAGCACGGCCAAAGACAAACTGCTATTCAAGCCACTAAGTGGCAGTGGGTTTCAGGAGTGTCTATTGAGCCAGATCAGGGGAGGGAGCAAGGCATCAACCAGACGACGCCAACAGGCGATGGTTTCAACAATTTCGAGGCAAACATTACTTGTATGTAAAACTTTCCAAACGTGATACGCACATCTTCCCTCCACTAGCAGCACTCCTGTAAGTCAAATGTGAATCGATGTCACCCTACCAGGAAGTTGGTCATCCTTGAATGCTCACCTCCCTCCAGAAGTCTTCAGCCAAAGCTGGATAAGCAAGCAGCTTCTCGGCGAGGCTATACAGTGGCTGTAAAACAAAAAGACTACTATATCACAAACAACTCGCACACGTCTTGCGGCGACTATTTCCCGCAAAATTCGCAAATTGAAGGCAGTTAAAAAAGACTGACCACTCAGAAACAAAGATAATCGCTACACTACTTAACAAATAGAATATGTGGCTTCACTTCATAAAGTTTGTTTCAACGAAAAGTTTCGAAGAAAGGTACTGGGCGAAAATTTGCAGATTACTAAAAACTGTGACCCTCTCCATTGGAGTAGGGTGTCAAGACCACCCCAATAATTGTTTGTAACAAAACTGCGCATTTGTCGATAAAGATGACCAAACCAAACCAAAGCCAGACTACCTGTGCAGAGAAACGCGATGGCAGAGTCTCTGCAAGTCTCGAGTGTTGCATTTGAGTTATCTTTAAGTCAACATATTTTCCGAGTGTAAGAGATTATAAAAATTATATCTTATGGATTTTATTGACCCAATTATACAGGTGTGCCTCAGACAGCTTATTGCTTCTCACATGTTCCAAGTTCTGCACCACAATGGCATAGGACTGAGGAAATAACAGTGAGAGAAGCCCCGAGCTTTTTCGATTTTTAACTGTGCAGAATTACTCTTGATACTCGGTATGTTGCAGGTTGCGCTTCTTTAAACATCTAGGTATGCATAGATACCTCACCAGACACCTTATAAGCTTGCGACCATACTGTCGTTCGTAACATTCCAATCCTAATATATCCAAGGGTCCCCAAAGCCCCAGGCTCCAAGGATGGAGAGACTGTTCAAGAAGTGTTGGCAGTTACACCAAGTAAAAAAACATTCTTTTGTTAGCTGTGTTTTAGATATTACAGTTTTAGTAGATTTTTTCGATACTTCCGATAACGATACCCGATGACGACATCATGCATGTGCAAAGGCAGTGGTGTAGTGTCGGGTATCGTTATCGGAGTTGTCGGAACGATCTACTATAACTCTCTACTACTGAGTGTTGGCATTATCTTTCATGCACACTGTTCCTGGTGTCCGAGTTCGTCGTGACTAACCCTCATTAGCTTGTTTGTGGCCTGCAACAGATAGATAGCCTTGGCTTACCCCAATGGGACCGAGGGTGTGGTGTTCAAAAGATGACACCAGAAGTAGCACGAGTTCGTACACGATGGCGTGGACCTTTGTCGGAACAACCTGGACAAACGACAAGATTGTGTGGATGGATGGATAAGGCTGAACCCTTGTAATTGGGCAATGGCTTACACCATTTAAACAAAGCTTTCATTTCAACTACCAAATAATCTTCAATTAGAAAAAAAACAACTCCAGTAAGGCTAAGTCTTTTAACAGTACGCTTCTAAATTCAAAATGAATTAGTGTTGTGCGAATATTCTAAATTTTTAATTGTAGTTCCGAATAATACATCATCCGATACTCGCTTCGAGATGAACTGCGATATAGTATTTTTTAGGTGCTGATCGCGACGGGTTAGCCTAGTTGAGCACTTCTTACTGGTGCACTGCGGAGAGGCAACAACCGCGAAAGCCAGCTGTGCAATTTTATTTATTTATTTATTTATTCATTCTGCCAGCCGTGAGGCCAAGGCAGGAGTGGTACATATTTTCAAAAACATACCAAGGACACACAAAGAATTCAATAATTCAGTCACATCCCTTGGTGACATGGGAAGAAAGAAACATTTTAATTTCATGAGGGGCTACATGCAATAGTGGTACAAGTGCAAATGCAGAGCTCGCCAACAAGTCGCTCACTAATTTTATCTGTGCCTGTCAATGTCAATATAGCGTTTGAACTTCGTATATATAAGTGTACAGTGTTCCCTACCACCAAAAGTAGAGTACCACATGTATAAGCGTAACATCTGGGACCAAGAATATCACAAACAGTAAAAGTGTACTTGCACCATTAATGCACGTAGCCCCTCAATTGTTGCTTCTCCGCAGTGTACTGGTGCTCGATAAAAAAACAAACTCAACGGGGCGCGAGCCGCATGCGGCTCTTCGTGGGTTCAAGTGTGGCTCGCGGCTCCCTGGTAAGTGTGCCCCCCTTCCTCTGCTGTGCCCCATGGCAAAGAAATATTCTAGAATTAAAAAGAACAAGAAAAACTCACAGTCTTGTACTACACTACGTACGTACAGCTGGACTGCTTTTTGACACATAGATGTGTGCAGTGATCCCGTTTTCGTTATTGTTCTAGAAAGAATTTCCGACCGTATACGCACAATGGGTGTCAGGGGCTGGCTAGCGAACCATGCATTCATTTTTGCTTAGCGGTTGGAGAAACATTCTGCTGCCTGGTGGTATTTGTTGTAGTTGACAATTATAATTCTGCCCTCTGGAAAGGACTGTTCCCTCCGTATTGTTTCTTGTTCAAAGTAGCCCCCCCCCCCCCCCCCCCCGCCTCTTTGTTTTCCTGTGGTTCTCTGAACTTCTGTAGTTTTGTCCGCAGCTCTCACCCCATGTCACTCTGGCCGCCCCTGGAGCTCTAAACTCGTCAAACACAAGGTTCGGGCCTAAGTTAACCCCCTGCAAGCTATGTCTCGTCCCCCCTCAAAAAAGAAGCGTCAAACTTACGCCGTTGCCGACAAATGCAGGGTGCGAGAGGGCATTGTGAAGGTAGCCAAAGGCGTTGCTCCTGAGGGCAACCTGCCCCAAGTTGCCCGGGGGAACGTTGGGCAGTGCCCACGAGCGCACCAGAAGCCATGCAAGCAGCAGTGGTCCGTGCACCCCCTGGACCCCCAAGCAGGACATGCTCCTGTCCAGGGCCTGCGAGAAACAATATTTCTTTCCCCTCGGCTCCCTCCGCAAGACAGCTGTCCTTCAGAGGGCACCAAAAATCTCGATCCGCCCTCCCACAATAGAACTCCCAGGCTTTTTCTTTTGATTTGTTACGAGGCATTCCAGTCTTTTAAACGAGCGGGTCTACACCAACAATAGACCATTTTCAAAAGTGTGTGTCATCTATACCCCGTTTACCCCTAAGCTGACGGTGCTGGGAAAGCTACGTGTTGGCTGGACTAGTCGTACGTCCACGTTTCTTCCCTTGATGACGTTGCACCCAAACCCATGCGCAGAGAGCGGGGTTGGGTGGTGAAAGAGAGGCGGTTAATTTGTCCGGCAAGCGCGCAGCTTGTATTTTGGGCACGCACCCCGAGCATGCACTTGCCAATTGCTGATGCGGCAGTTGCATCAGCAATTGGCGAGGACTCGGATCCAATCGCATGTTTCGTGTCCGAGAAGTGGCGATCACCGACATTGCCCAATGAGGTTTTGAAAAGGGTCCATCTAGTGGTTTTAAAACAGACTCGAGACACGTTCAGTTTACGAAGTAATAATCGGCATTGGCCAGTACTCCGGGGTAACCCTGGAGGTTCCTCTTTCGAGCTATTCCTACCGGCTTCGGCCACGTTCACGTTTTGTTTGCACTCTTGTACAAGCATAAACGAAGTGAAGAAATATTGGCAGCTTTCTATTAATACGAACAAACTCACATTCCTAAAGCCACGCAGGGTTGCCATATGGCACAATCAAGTCGACGATTAACAGCTCATGAAATAGGTCGAGAAAAAATATGCCGTAAAATTTTGCAGTAGGCTTTCTAGACATAACGCATTAACAAATGCGAAAAAGATTAAAGTGCAACTCCGGTCAATATTTTCTAATTTGGGATTATGACTGTTCTCAGCTAAAGAAGTGTCCCTCAATTACGAGGTATAATTTCTTCTTCAATATTCTGTGGAGTTTTATAAATATCACGGCTCAAAGTTTGGTTTCGGGCATCTACGGCAAAATCGGAACTATCTGCTAGAGAGATGGAAACATTGATCATCTGTAGTCTTGTGCGAATAGTGGATTTTGAGTTCGAAGTGAATTCAAAGCGAATAGTGGTTTTGACCGAATATCTTTGATTCGAATATCGAATAGTTTTTCCACGCCTTTCACTGCCTTAGCATAATGCATAGACAAAAACCGAACTTGTGAAGGTTGTTCCACTTGTTCATTTATAAGCCAAGTTTGATCTATCTATATTTATGAACTGCGACCTCACAAGGTCTGATGTCTTTGGATAGTAAGTAAAACACGGGTTTGACATAAAAGGAATCCTAAAGAAATGGCTAACTATACCTAATTGAGCGAATTTACAAATCTTAAATATTTTCTCTTTAATTTCGAGTTAAAAAATAATTAATTGCGCATGATGAACGGAGGTTGTAAGGGCATCTCTGCCTAACATATACTCTTGCAAAACAGTCAGTTTAATTTTGAAATTTTTACTACAGTGTAGATACTGTAAAACCCTCAGTGTACGTGAGCCCTTCGTTTTTGCGAATTGAAAAATTTGTGAAATTTAAAGGCATGCAAAAATTTAGGTCCTAAAGAATTTCAATGCAGGTCCCTGGAATTCGCAAAATTTAGTGCCGTAGACTATGTCCTCTGTGACCGATTTGCGAAAAATAGGGGCCCAGAAATAAAGGGTTTTACAGTATACATATTCACAAAGTTTCCATTTATTTTCAAATACAACCGGCACACGTACACCATCCCTCTTTGAATGTATGGTTTTCTTCCAAGCACGCAATTGCGATATTCATACTTTTCCAAGTGTTTATCACGGCGGGTAGCCACATTGAGTGCGCTTCTTACCGAAAACCGATGTAATACCCGCGGAGCTCGCTTCTGCGGGTATTCCTTCTCGGCAGTGCACCGGTGCTAGGTAAGAAGCGCATTCAACGGGGTTAACCCGCCATAATCAACACTTCGAAAAACGTGAATAGTGCAGTTCTTCTAAAAGCGAATATCGAATAGGATATAATTCGAAACTATTATTCGGAATTTCAAATATTCGCACAACCCTAATCATCTGTCGTACAGCTGCGACGTGACGTCAAAAGGTGCTGCGCCAGTGTTCCTTAACTAAAAGCTAACCCGCTTGCCACCTGCTAAATATTATGTGAAAAAGAAGCTAACCCTCTCCCCTTTTACGTCATATTTCGGCTCTGATCATATTTCGTGCCACTAAAGCGATACCAGTAATTTATTTTGGTTTCGTTTTCGACCAGAGATGCCCTTTAAATGGGACCGCAGATTCCATACTCTCAATGGAAAAGAAAAAGCTTATTTTTTTAACAGCTGCCCGTTTTAGTAAGGTCGTTCCGATGCACTGGTCTGTATTCGAGGCTCGAATCTCGATGCAATCAGAGTGACCTATCGGGTACCTCTAGCTTCTCCTTGTTGTCTTTCAAAAGCTGATGGTCCGTCCTGGAAAAAAAAAAAAAAAGATTCGAGCAACTCGCAGCATTGCCAGAAGACACGGCCTCGCGTCGTGAAAGCACGGCTTACATGCTTTCCAGGTGACATCTGTGAAGCCAGTCCAAGTCAAAGCTCTCCACCAGCACAAAACATTCAAGATGGCTGAAATTAGACAAAAAAACAACAAAATTTAAAAAAAAGAAAAAAAAAAGAAAAAGGTTGGAAATTTGCAAGTTTTTGAAAAACCAAAACGAGAAAGAATTCATCTTGCCTTAACCCCATTACCTGCCACTATTTTCCTCATTAGTTGCCCCAAAGCAACCGACTCACATCCGGACTTACGTGAATGACAGCCATTGTAAAGTCCTGTCAGGGTGCCCACTCAAAATAAATAAATAACTGGTGAAAAACATGAGGTGGACCATCTTTGAGGACAAGACAGCAAAACTTTAACAAAAATCGATAATAAATTTGGGGGCACCCGCTACACACCACGTGACGCAGGAAATAATGACGCAGATCGCGGACACTGCAACTTCACAATTCACGATGCGATAAACACGCGGGCATTCGCTACGAACGCCCGTGTCACGGGAAAGGATGGGGCAGACTGTGGATGCAGCAGATTCGTGTTTCACGGTGTGACAAGCACGTGGAAACAGGCTACAAACTTAAAGTCACGGGAACCGATATTACACATGGGACAGAAAAATGCTGGAACTCGTTACGAGCTCACACGTCAAGGAAACCGATACTGCACATGCAGGTCGCGGACAGCAACGAGAGAACTTGCTGCGAACTCGCTCGCCACACGTACTGGTACCACGGATTGTGCGGTCTATGTTAGTCCGGTCGGACATCGCGTGATGTCCGACGGGAACGGTCTTTGAACGGCAGGCAAAAACGGCAGGGCGATGTTTCTGGATTTTTATGATGCAGATGTTTAGCCGGAAGAATGGGATGGACGATCTCTAAGGGGAGGGTGCACTTACGAGATTTTACGGTAGTCCCGTGATTCGGCCTTTGATGTTCTTAAGAATATAAACAATTTATTGTGAATTTTCAGGACACATCATAATTCAAAGGTCCCTTCCAATTTTTTTTATAAGCTCCCGATGACCCAATACGTCAATATGCATGTGGTCAGCTAAATCCTAGAAAGCTCGTGGCATCATCGTGTCATTTATTTCTGCGTCCATAAACAATGAATGGCCCGTAATGGGAAACGAACAATAAATAGTTCGGGCCCTTTCCAAATGTCAGCACGTCAAGTCTCCCAATGATACAAGCAGTTATTGAACGCCTGCTAAGCCCCAGATTAAATGTGTGAACTGTAAACTTCTCCATGAAGCTTCTTAGAACTTCGACAAATCACAGGGAAGACAAGTGTCTGTACTTAACCTGATCAAGTCCAACATTGAGCCGTGAGCTTCGTTGAGCAGGTGCCTATATGGATGTCTCTGGCCAAAGCTGTGTTTCTGAAAGAGGAAAACTTAAATTGATGACGCTGCCTAAGAAACCATTGAAACAAGAGGCTTCCAAAGCATCACAGCTGTAGCAAAATAGGCTGGTGCCAGGACGACAGACAGCGAGAGCCTCGTTCAAAAGTTATTGCTCTGTGGAAAGCTGCAATTATATTTTATACTAGTTTATGAGCAGACATGCCAGAAGCTTTTCTTTCAAATGAGAAGTTTGGAATGTTAAATACAAGTCAAAATCTGGGACCTCCTACATGGAATATCTTGACAAACTTTAAAAACTGGTGGATTCAGTGACCTTGAATCTTTTTAATCTACTCAGTCAACAGATGCAACATTATCTAAAAATGTGAAGGCCAAGAATCTTTTAGGAACTTTGGGGTTGTTAGGCTACTGGTGACATTTTTAGCATTGTATCAATGCTCGGGCGACAAAGGAAAACCATTTAGCGATGCTTTCACTGATTGAACAAGGAGATTGAAGTTCATGACCTCTTAGAAAAATTCTCAATGTTCAACTTTGAACCTCTCAATGTTCAACTTTGAACCTCCGAAAGGGATGCAATATTCGAGCCATCCAAACTCCAAAGGTTTGTGGCATATCTAGTGGTGACTACCATACTTCAATTAACTTTTTCAGAACTTAATACAAAGCATTGCAAGAGAAATGCAGTACCTGAAAAATCTTCAAGAGCTGGATGATGTCATCTAATTTCGGCTGCATTTCCTTGTAGTAGAGCAAGGCAATTTGCAACAGTTCACACTAAAAAAAGGTAAAGAAAAAAGAAAGACCATTAGACCCTGCATAACTTACAATAAGAATTTCCAATTTAAAGAACTTATCAGCAGAAATGAAGTTACATCCAGAAGGATAAAACAATAATGATCACCTGCTCCTGGAGGGTGTAGTTAACCCATTGGGCAATCAATGCATTGGTCTGAAAGAACGAGGCATCATGCAGATAACCGGTTAATAAGTAATGAGCTCAATGCTTTTGCAGTAAAGCAACTCCTTACCATGTAAGGTCCGTGTGTGTCTCTCGCTGGGGCTTGCAGCTCGATCACTACTTCAAGCTGCTCAATCACCTGAAGACAAGCGTGGTGATCAAAGGTTGATGAGTAAAGACGGGAGAGATGAATAAAACAGCAAGTTGTCACCTTTTTTATCACCACCTCGTTGGCGTTAATGCTTTCGAGGAATCCATCAAAGAGTTCCTAGGTGACAAGACAAAAGATGTCCATAAGATTAACGAAAAACAACAGCTATGTTCTGGCCCCCAGAAATTTCCAGCAAATGGTACACATTTCTTTGATATTGTAAGGCCTGCAAAATGATTTTCCAAAAAAAATAATAAGACATTGATTCAGGACAAAAAGTTTTCTTACATATAAAAAAATTCATAAACTATTTTTTTTTTTTTTTTTTTGGCAGATCAATGGAGTTTAGGTGTCCTTGCCATGTATGGATGAGCCTTGTTCTGCCAATTCTCCAGGATGTGCTTCAGACAGAAGAGGCTGAACAGGCGCTCGGTACGGTAGAAATTCCAGACCTACGCAGGACCGACAGGTTGAACGCGACGGCGGCTCACAATTTAAGGCCGGTCTCGGCTTCACTAAGCTGAGCCTTACCTCATGCAGTATGTACGGTATGTTGCGTTCGCTAGAGAGCGTGACCTAGAGCAAAAACGCTTGGTAAGCACAGAAATCAAGTACCTTCGTTCGTACACGCACTCACTCATTAGTGAGTTAGGAGCACCAATACCCTTATCCAAAAAAAAAAAAAAAGGAGAGATGAATACGACAACTTTACCTTCAAGTCATCATGAGTGCCTCTGTACTCGTACACCAAGTACGAACAAAAAAGCTCGTAACTACGGTCTTTGTCCAGTCCCTAAAAGAAAGAAAAGGGAAGAGGAAGGGGGAAGGGGGGGGGGGGGGGGGGGGGGGGGCCACACGACGACATCCTCATGAATCCTCAAAACCACTACGAAAATATCTTCCAAAATCACTAATGAGAACTCACGAGCAGAGTGCTGAGTTTCGTAAGTAGTTCGGGGTGAAAATCATTCGGTGCTCGACAGGGGTCCTTCCTGGAAACGAAATGACCATAGTGCAGGTGTGAATACTCGGTACCAACCCGTTATGCGTTCGCCAAATAAACGTAGCGAATTGTAGATTACCGTTTTTCTGTAAAATAGAGGATTCCGTTAAGAACCTGGTCGGCATTCTTGGTCAGTTCGGTGCCAACGAGCTCCTAGGAATTTAAAGTAAGTGTGATTAGCATGATATAACGTCATTACCGGAAAGTTCCGCTAACACTCCCTAAAAGCGTTACTCACGTTAGACTTTAGGACTGTGTTTCCAGATATAATCACCCACAAATCCTTGATTGATCTGGAAGAAACCACACCGTTTTTATGATCACTGCCGCGAAAGAGGTGCACTCACTGGTATGCCAGGGTTAATAGATGTGACAAATCGTGTTGAAAATGATGCTTAGGAGAGATAGCTCTCTTTCAAATAGAGAGTAAACCAAAAAACTTCGTACTAATTCGTAAATCCATCGATATTCGTAAATTTCACTTCAAAAAGCAGCACGCACCTTTGAATGTCTGCCATGCTTGTTATATTCCGTTTGTTTTTCTTTTGTTGGTTGAACCAGCCGAGCCGTTGTTGTGAAGACGATAAACCCAAAAAGTAAAAAAAAAAAACAAAAAAAAACGCTGTTTACATTTATAAAAAAAAGTACATTAATATATATATTTTATTATTCTCGAAAATATTAGTCAATTATCTGGCTCCGCAAGTGATGACGTCACGACGCGGCGTCGTTGTGCTTCAAACAAACTGTTGCTAGGGTCGTCCCGCAAAAATCCGGAGTTCCCCAGGGCTCAGTCAGCTCAGTCAAATACGGCTCTTTGTAGACGATTGCGTAATAAATAGGCTCATCGTTACAAAAGATGATAGCTTAGTCCTCACCACTGATCAACGCTGCTAAAACCCACAGTTGGGAAACTCAGCCTTGAAACCTGGGTCACTGGCGTCCACCGAGATCGAGCTAAATACGATAACAGCGCCACCCTTTAGCTACGAGTTGAAACATGAAAGTAGCTTTACATAGCTACTGCGAGATGGCGCCACCAGACCTTGCCCAACTCGACGTGCAGTTCCTGGAGTGGACGCTGCGGGAGAAATGGCGGCGTTGCGATCGCCATTAGCTCGGTTCTCAAGTATATGGTTCGGAGCCACTTTTTTAAAGCAGGCTCTATGGCAGTTTCCCAACTGAGTGGTTCTAGTAACGTTGCCATTGATCTTTTCCCGCTTGTTCGCTGCAGCACAAGTGCGGTCAGCGGATGGCCATCTTGCATGCTGTTTTTTTTCTTCGTTCTACTAGCGTTGCAGAGACCGGCGGCAGCCTGCTAAAGACACGTGTTCTACTTGATCGTCGTCATTCGCTGAAGACATCCTTTAAGATCCTGTGTGAGCCGTGATACTTGCCGTTGAGGACAGGTGGAAAATTTTCCGAAAGCGCAGTGCAGCAGGAAAAAGGCACAACTCATTGAAAGCAAGTTTCGCCGGTCTTGAGGCGTGTTCCCAGTATCGTGTCCGCAGACAAGCAGCGTGTCGACACAAAACTCCAGACAGCTACCGCCATCCATAAGCAACAACGGCAGCCAGACATCCGGCTTGCCGGTTGTCTGGTTGCCGCTATCACTCATAAATGGCGGCAACCTTTCCACTGGTTTTCACCAGAGTCGAAAGGCTAAATTTCTCTAGGCAACGTATTCGAAGTCGTCCTCGAGGTTGTCCTAGAAGTCGCCCTTGAGGCCGTCCTAGACGTCGTCCTTAAGGTCGTCCTAGATGTTGTCCTCTAGTTGTCGTCCAAGAAGTCGTCCTTGAGGTTGTCCTAGACGTCGTGAAGATAACAGCCTCGCTGGTCCTCCATCTTCACATGAAGTGGAAGGGCTCTACATTTCTTATTATTACAGCAGCTAAGGCAGTTTTGGCACAGCGATGAAACGGTGCTGACATTGGCAAAAGGAGCATCACAGGCAGCAGAAGACGGGAAGCGAGTTCCTTGAGCAGACGACAGACAAACAGCGCACACAGAGAGAAAACAGTCAACAATTTCCAGAATTCTCGTTTAGTTCACATTTACATAATTCGCAGTTTCTTTTTTTTTCGATTTCCTTGCTATAGTCATAAGTGCAGAACCGAGGGATCCTGGGTTCAATCCCCACCTTGCCCCTTTTCGATCTGGCTGAGCATCGTATCTGCGCGAGGTTCCATCCCACATGATGTATATGTTAAAGAATACAAGGTGGCAGTGGCACTGTACTGGTTGAAAATCTCCCCTTCAGCAGAAGCACCAGACACTGATTGGGGCCGACAAACTTCCTGCTAAAAGTGGAAGGCATCTCAAGGCACTATTTCATTGATGCTCATTTTTCTTTTCAGTTTTTGTTTTAATGCGTTCGCATTAGTGCTTTGGTATAGACCTTTTCTGCAAGTGCGCCGCCATCTTGAATTGACGTCACTTTCAGTATGGGCGAAAACATTGTTTTGCCTTTGCCACGCCAATAGAAGGCATTTAGGATAAAAGTGTAACCGTCACACTTTCTCGTTTTGCCTCCCCTTTATTTTTTCACTATTTGCAGGTTGAAACGTTGGATTATTTTTTCGTCGCCCATACCGGGGGGACGAGAGTACACAGAAAAGGTCTATATGTGTCAAACTTGAACTGGTTGGCGAACACATGTTCAAATAACCATAATAATCCGTGGAGAGAGGAAACAAGTGGGACAAAGGACAAACACAAATCTCCAAACAGCTAGGTGACTGGTGTGCTCCAGCCACCTAGCTGTGTTTGGAGATTTATGTTTCCCCTTTGCACCCCCTCTCCAGGGATTATTATTGTTATTCTTGTCCAGCTCGCGGCACCTTTGCATTAATTGCATTAACATCAGAATGTATTCAAAGCTTGCAACGTCTCCACGGGATGGCGCCACAGCCCCAGGTAACACCTAGCAACCCAAGATCGTCGTTGACGTCCCCCTTTGCCGAAGTCGGTGCCGTACAATGGAGGACGGCGGGTTTATTTTTGGGAAGCATGTCAACCCCCCCTCCCCCGCCCCTGTTCACACCGCTTCGCAGCGACACTCTGTGGATGGCTCATTGCAAAAAATTATTCCACCTTGGGCCGCCCGTACATGCCCTAGCCCCGCTGTCCCCCACTGCACATTAGTTGCTGGGTGCTACGTCATGCAGTCGGCTTGCGGGTGTGCGGTCTCTACGCCCTGGGAATCTCCTGCCGCCGGCTTTGGAGACCCGTGTATGAACATGGGTTGCAGTTCCGTTCTTCGGCCTGCCACACCATTTTTGACATGCAGACATTTTACCATGTCACCAGGCCATAAGCGCACGGTGTCATTGCCCCTCTATGCACAACATGTATGCGCAACAAAATGGCTGTTTATTTTCCGCACATTGTGCCCAGGTCCTCCATGCACACGCCAAGTGACATGATTTGCTTGCACCAGGGGGATGAGGAGTTTCGGGAACGTTCAGCTTGCAGAAAACTGCCGAGAGGCTGCATTCACCATGATTTCTTGTGTAAAACCGCCGCGCGAAATGTGAACGCATTTCTTTGAGAATCGGCGTGGCAGTGATTTCGGCCCATCCTTTTTTTACAGGATTGCCTTTACGTTTTGTCTAACTCTATATGAAACTGAAGGAGCTCGAGTGCCACAACGAAGTCGTGCTACTGGTATTTGACAAGAGGTTCGAGTGCTACGGTGACGAGTTCATCTTTTACGATGACGATCCCTTGGGATTCGAGGAACGCTGGAAGGGCACGTGCGACGCGGTCGTGCTCAGTCCTTCCTTTTTGTCTGAAGAGTGGCTTTTGGTTAAACAAGGAAATGACAATTTCCAGAGATCAAGAGCATCGGCTTTATTGCACAATCACACTAGTTCTTTCATCAAAGCACATGTACCAAGCGTCCAGCGTTTCCGAGTTGTACATCGGTATGAGTTCAGTGGACATTACGAAGGATTTGTTTCTTATCGACCTATCACTAAGGGATTCAGCTTACCAAGGGTACCTGATTCATTGCAAGATGTACAGACCTTAGTAACAACAATTATATAAAAAAGTTCCTTGTGGCTTTAAAGAATGGATGAAGGGTGGAAGAGAGGTAGCTATAAATAATGCACCTATATCAGCTGGAAAAAAAAGTAAAAAAAAAAAAGTTTAATTTAAGTTGAATGGCTGGTTTACTCTAAGGTGCTTGTGTTCGGAAAATGGCGTGGTGCCTCGGATGTCGGGCACCAAGGGGTTTACGTAGATGTCTCCGTACATCTCGCTGAGAGGCACCTCCTTGCCGGCCTTGGCTGCTTCTCCCGCAGCATCCACTTCTTGCTTCACCTCTTGCTCCAATTTCTGGAATTGAGGAGCAAGTCAATCCGTTGCGAGGGTCGTGCTCTATAACTTCCGCGTTTCTATCGAGGAAATGCTGCTCCACCCCGGGACCACCTACGGTCTATGACAGACTGAGAACGGCACGGTGTGTCTCAATCGTCTGGCCTCCGGCACGCGCCATGCTTTGGGCGCGTGCTCGAGGTGCTGGAGACTCCGAAGTGCCGTCCGGGGTAGGAAGCCCGCACTGGAGGCGGGGCAACTGAAGCTCCTCCCCGATGCCCTCACCTTGTCAGTGACTAGAGCAGGGGTGGCCAAGCTGCGGCTCGCGAGCCGCATGCGGCTCTTCACTTGTGAAAGTGCGGCTCGCGGCTCCCTGCCCTACCTCTCCCCCCTCCCACTCCCAAAAAACAAACAAAAAAAACATAAAATAAAAATGGAACGCTTTTGAAATTGAAAGACAGTTTGCGGTTTGGTAGTCTTGTGCTACTGCTACCTTACGCATAATTGGACTGCTTTTGATTCGGATAGTTTGAAAGTAGTCCGAGTTTCGTTTATTGCTCTAAACAAAAATTTGCCCTCCCCCCCCTCGGCTCTTAGAAGTTTCGTAGTTTTATTTGCGGCTCTTAAGTCGGGTCAGCCTGGCCACCCCTGGACTAGAGCAAGTTGCGTGTACAGACGTGGACTTCCAAAGGGGTCTTGATTGCACCTGCACTACCACAGTTTTAAAAACTGCGGGAGTGCAGGTGCTCTGAATATTGGGATTCAGTCCTAAAAAAGAAAACAAAGCCGTAGCTGTCGTTACTCGTCTCGGATAACTTTGATTTGCTCACGCTTCTGTTTACTCAACGATAGAAATAGCTAGTACCGAACCGACATACTCGATTCGAGTTGCGAAAAGACCGAGTACCACCCGTGACAAACGAGGAAGTTTGCTTATTTTTTCTCGTCTCCCATTACGCTTCACCTTCGGTACCGAATGAGGTGGAGGCTACGGCAATTGTGTGACGCGGCTCGAGCTTGGGCGGTTACAATTAAAGTCTAACGACCCCCGGTATGGGTGACCCCCGTGCTTAGTTTCTCCCAGCAGCGGTGTCGTCGGAGACTTGCCTTGAGCTCCTCGCTCGTGACCAGCTCCGCCGTAATTATCTTGTCTTTGAAAGAGGTGATGGGATCCCTCGTCTGCCTCACTTCTTGAATCTCCTCGCGGGTACGGTAGCTGCGTGAGACAAGAACGAGAAAAGATAAACGATAAAAGCTGGAAAAGCTAACGGATGAGAGGAGGTTAATGTTGCGTAAAGCTGGCACCAAGTGAAGTGCCCAAAAGCGCCGAGAGGAGCATTTGATCTGCAGATCTCCGAAACTGTCTAGTCTCCTGTGCGGCTGGGGCATGCCGTGCGTCGAAAAGACAAGAAAACGGAGCAGGCAACGCTATTCCTCGAGCAAATTAATTGAGTCCGATAATTTAGCGCTCCGCCGCGTCATGCAACTGGAAACTACTGTGGCAGCGTGCGCTCGTGTGCAAACATTGCAAAAATAAAAATACCCGGGTGCTTGTCCTGCTTGACGTTTGTTAAGGCTACAATACACATCCTCAGTCCCTCTAAGAGCAAAAAAGCATGAAACTAAACTAACCTAAAAAATGCCATAGCCACGCCACGAAATCCAAAAAGCGGAAGCACAACCCAGACCTGTAACCTCTGCAAGCGTGCCGAGGGGGCACGCTTGCAGAGACCTGTGAGCGTGCCCCCTTGGCAAGGTATGAAGTGACCCACAATTTGTAAAACGCCGCAAGAAAAAAACTTCAACCCGAAAGGGAGTGAGTCCGTACTACTAGATTACACTCCATGCGTGAGCGAAGCCGCAGCTACGAGTGCATAGCCCTGAACAATGCTCGTGTCCACAGAGCAGGTATTTTTTGTTTCTGGATAAGCTGAAAGTATGTGAATGTATAATTGTAAGAGATTAGTGGAAAAGGGGAGTTTTCAAGGTGCTGAGTGCATTTAATGAGCCCGAAAGGTGATATTGACAAGAAACATTTTTGAAAACACGAGGTCACACTGCAAATGTGAGGTGTGCGGTCGGGGTTTGGGTGAAAACTCCCACGGAGTCGAATCCACTATTTTTACTGGCCACTCTGTCGTGGTCGCGACTGCAGTCAAAAGAAAGTTTGAGGGCGTTCTGAATTTCGCCGTGACAACATCACACGCGTTGCTCTTTCAGTTACGAAGAGCCGCAAATTTTGACTCTAGCCCACTGAAATGAAGTACTTGTAGAAATTCTAATTGGAGGGCATTTGTTAAGCTCGTTGCCTCAGCTAGGAGAATATATGAATCTAGTGATTCGGCACAGGAGCTGTCCCTCATTGCGCCAAAGGTCATTGAAACAATTTCGGTGAATGACGTGTCCTAATTTTTGCCCTATTCTTACACTATAATCAAATTTGGGGCTTTTACGTGCCAGACCTACGACGGGCATCTGGCATGCCCCAGCGAAGGACTGGGAATTAATTTGGACCACCTGGGGATCTTTTGACGTACAACCGAAAGCTCGGTTAGACGGCGCCTTCTCCGCAATAAGCCTTCGTCATATTGCGGGCACCTCGGTCGGGATTCGAACCCGCCACCTGGGGATCCGTATGACCAACTCCCTGCATCCACCACGCTCGAGCTCATAGCGCGGCAGTGTCTACAACCCACCTGGTTCCCGGGTCGCTCATGCTGTGCCCGTGGTACCGGTACGTGGCCACCTCCATGACTACAGGTCCCTTTCCCTTCCTGCACATGTCGACAGCAAAGCGGGAGGCCTCCCGCACTGCCAGCACGTCCATACCGTCCACCTGAAACCGGGACCGGCCCTCCTTCTATGTCGGCCCTTTCCTTCGTACGAGCCGGTACGGTGCCCGGAAAGTGCCCATGAAGGTAGGAAAATTCTGGAGGCAACATGACGCCACCAGAGGTGAAGTCAGAAATGTGGAGGAACATGCCTCCACCTATTACCAAAACCAAGGGACGCTATTGGAAGGTGGCCTCATGTCACCTCCACAAGCTTCCTACCTCCAAGGTTAAAACCTCTAGGAGTCTCTTACAACGAGAGACCACACTAGCACAACCTGTTGGGTGACTGTGGAACAATAACCGTGCATTTAAAGTTTTTTCGGAAGTTATTATTATTTTTTTTTTTGCCTGAAAAACTTTTAAGAATGTTATAAACAACCATTTCTTGTTAGACAGTACACAGGCAGGATCTTGAAAATACTGCAAAACCTTTGCCCTAGTAAGACGCAGTTTCAGGAGAGATTGCGAGAACTCGGTCGTAACCAAATGCAAACGTGTGCATGGGCCTTTGTGCCATCCTGTGGTACCGACCCATATGCCCGGGATGTAGTCGCCGCGCGTGTAGTAGTCGGTGGAGGCGGCGCCTCGCTCGGCGCTGGTGCCCATGGCAAAGCCGTTGTTCTCGCACACGAACACGCAGGGCAGGTCCCACAGCTTGGCCATGTTGTAGGCCTCGAAGACCTGGCCCTGGTTGGCCGCCCCGTCTCCATACAGGGTCAGGCACACTCGGTCCGTGCCCTGGTACTTGTGGCCCAGGGCGATGCCGGCACCCAGGGGAACCTGCGCGACGTGTAACGAACCGGCGGTCAAAGGAGGTGCGCGAAAATTTTAGCGTACAACGAATTTGCAGTTCATATTTTTTACACCTTACATCTTGGCACAAATGAGAAAAAATGCGCCACCTTTCCCCAAAATGCTGCAATTCAGCCACGGAATTGTGAAGGAAGAAACACATTTTTTCCCAATCTGCAGGCGCGTGTGGAGGTCTTCGCAACTACACTGCAACGTCGTTCGGAGTATGCAAGTTTTCTTGGCGCCATCAGTTGGAGGTCGACAAAACTGTTCCTTCTCCGTTGCTTCCCTTCCTGTCTTTTGTCTCGATTGCTCGCAGCAGCCTTAGCTGAGGCTTAGCGGCCGCGGCGCTCTACTGTAGTCAAATGGGACCTTGAAAAGTCTAAGACTGCGGAGGAAGGCTGGGAGCCCCGAAGATGGAACCGAACGTGGTACTCTGAGCGACATCCCTGCACACCTCACTTCATAGAAGGTGAGAGCTGAGAGGTAATTAAGTTCCAAAGCACTGTCTTTTTTCTCTCGATTATGTTCCTTTGCAGCCGCTCCAGCAGCTGCAGTGTGACCTTCGAAGGGAGGGGGTGACGCAGGGACTGCCCCAGTGGTTGACGTGGCTCGTCACGGAGATCACAAAGTCTCCCCCAACGTTTTGTTTTGTTTCTTGTTGTCTAGTGCAGGGGAAACTATGACAAGCCTGGCCCGGCGCCTCTCTGCTGCGTCGGATTAAGGTAAAGGTGCAAGCTTTCGGGAGTTTCGAATATGCGGTCCGTTGAATTAGTAGCAAGGTGTCACCGGTGACTGGTCCAGTCTTGGTCACATGACAACGCCGCATTTGAACCGATTGGTCGTTTTGTCAGTGAGAGAGTAAAACATTGAATTTTAAAGGAAAGAATGGTGGAAGGTTGGGGGGGGGGAGGGAGTTGGGTTGAGACTCTGGACGAGTAAGGATGGGCTGGAGTCGTAACTTGGACGTGTTAGTAAGTGTACATACTAGTAAAATACAAGCATTGAGCCGACCCGTCACTCGGTGATGTTCCAGCCACCATGCTCCAGACCATCGAAGCAAAACTTGCCTCTCACAACACCGGGAGGAGCAACAAGTTAATTGAGGTACTCCAGCCTTTGACTTGTTTCATCTTTTTTAAAATAGAAACTAGCGCACGCAAGAGAATATGGTTTTCTTTCCTTTATTCTATAGACCCCTTGCGAAGTACATTCTCTGAGTGCGTACTTGCACTATACTTAAAGTATTTCTTCCTGGTACTTTCCAAGGAAAAGTACAACTCCCGATTTCAAAATACAGTCCCCAAATTTGAAAACAAAAAAACGGTGTATCATAATGTGAAAACATGCTATTGTCTTTTGAGAGGTAACCTGGTCATTTTCTGAGTGAAGTAATGGCAACTATAAGACCCATACAAATAAGTGCCTTATAAATCGATAGTGTTAAGTTGTTTTAGCGAGAGTAAAAAAACTGTGTGTGCCAACTATAGTCCGTTGCAACCTAAGAACGAAGGGCAAGGGTAAGACGGGCCGGGGAGAAGGAAGCAGACGGAACGCTAAAGAGAGAAGGAGGTTTCCCCCTCTCTTCTCCAGCGTTCCCTCTGCTTCCTCCTCCCCGGCCCGTCTTACCCTCGCCCTTCGTTCTTAGGTTGCAACTGACTATAGGCTTGATCCAATATTTGGCGCTATTTCCAAAAATATTTTATGCATCCCCAACTATCTCTAAAACAATGCCTAACAGTTAAAAAAAAAAAAAAAACACTGTTTTGGGGAATGAAAGGGCATCAGAAAGATTGTGTTAAAAAGCACTTGCACTTAACTTTGGAAGTACATTGTATTTGTAGCATTTTACTTCAAGTATATTGCACCCAGTGAACTTGCCGCTTTACTTTAAAGGGAAACTGAAGCGGTCCTGTATTTGAGAAAAAACACTTCAATGGCCTTCATTCTACCTCCAGGATCAGGAATATCGAGATTATTTTTCAATTTGGTGCACAGAGGCTTCAGGAATTAATTTTTAAAGTATCGCCGAAGACCCTCCTTCCCGGAGCGTGACGTCACACTAGGAGTTTTCGGAATCTCTGCTCTTGCGCATCTTCAGCGCCTGTCAAAGCTATGCACGCGCACTCTTGCTATTTTCAAAAAGGTCAGAAAGAGACGTCACGACTGCCGTCATTGCGGAAAAATATACCTGGCAAGCTTTCTATTGCACGCACTGCCCACACGAGCGACACGCGCTTGGCGGCCCAAAGATCCTAGTATGACGTCACAACTGGTCGGAGGTTTTTCGCGTTTTCTCGCTTTTAGTTGCATCTTCAAGGAAAACGAATGTGATATTCAGATTCACGGGATAAAAATAAGCCAGAATTCACTCCTAACTCGTTTTTTTCAAGAAGCGTTTCAGCTTCCCTTTAAGTACAGAATCTTTCATTTAATTTGTACTTTTCTTCAAGTACTTTTAGTAGTACAAGTTTTAGGGTACTTCAAGTACTTTATGTACTTTACCCGATATTGCATTATGGTGTCTTTTGTGCACACCACTTTTTAGTATCTTCAAAAAGACTGTAGAGGGCACAATTTCAAAGGGGGGACATGAAATAATTAATTGGCCACAGTCCCAGAAACTTTGCACTGCCGCTTTAAGAGAAGGGCCTACATCCTCCAACATATAAAAACAATTTGTGAAGAACAAAAACAGAAGTGGGACATATAACGTCCCACTTCCTCCATTTTTGTTTTTCACATATTTTTTCAGAAGAAACCTTCTGACGTTCTAAGAGGCCAAATTGAAAGTGGATCCTGTTCCAGCACTTCAACTAAGGATAAATGGCACTCGGCTAACGTCATACAATCTCTGGCCGTGTTGCACGACGGCCGCGATTGCTCTCGTGTCAAGAAAATGGTTGCACCTTACCTGCGCTCCGACAATACCGTTGCCACCAAAGAATCCGTCGCAGTAGAGGTGCATTGAGCCACCCTTGCCACGGGCACACCCAGCATCTCGGCCTGGAGATATGCACAAACAGGCACGTACAAATTATTTTATGCGAAGGGGTGAAGAATTACGCAATCCAAAAGTATGAAGCATAAAGGCATACCGTAATATCCCGAGTCATTGCCCACCCCCCTGCTGCCTAAAATTCATAAAAAAAGTGGGGTGGGCCGTGTCTCGGTAGGTAAGCACAAAAAGTTTAGAAAAAGCTAAAAAATAAACACCAACTTTAGTATGTATTTAGCGCAGCTGCATAGGAGATACAATAAACTAAAAACCCGAATTAGGTTCATTGTTTTACAGAATAAATGCTCCTGAAAGAATGTTTTACTATAGCGAAGTCCATTGCTTGCATACGCGCGATGAACACCCCTGATCGGCATGCAGCGTAAATGTTTGTTCCGTCAAAGCATGTTTTTAAAACCGCTACGTTCCCTTCGATAGGCTTCCTGACCTTTGTTTATTATCAGATTAAAAAATAAATGAAGTAAAAAATTGAGTTGTTCCGTGAAAAAGTGACGAAGAGCGATGCTGAGGAAGCGGGAAAGCCGGCGATCGTGTTGGCAAATACTTTGGCATCGGGCCAAGATGGGCGCCTTGTTAATCACAAGGAGCAGGCTCTTGTGTAACCTTCTTGTTCGGTGCATACATGCATGCACCGAACAAGCATGAAACACGTGTTGATAGCATGTGCACGGCGTGCTATCAACGCGTGTTGAGGCGGCGTTTCTGCATGGTGTGGACGGAACCATGAACACTGAGCTCGAAATGGGACGCTTTGCAAATGCCTGTGTGGCGTTCCATCGAATTTTTATTTAACTGCTTTGTCCGAAACATTGCACAACCTTACTAACTGTGGTTGCAACATACCGGGAGAAGGAGTGGATTTGCGGTGACCTTATTTCGGTGAAGACGGACTTTGACCTCGCATCTCTGACCTTACACTCCATGGTTACTTTCCAGGATATGGGGCGTTCGCTGAACAAATGGGTTACTGCTTGTGCTATATTTCTGTTTTTTTTTTTTTTGGAATAAATAATAAATAAAGTAATTTTTTGTAATAAAACAGTTTTATTCTGTTATACCCATAGTTTTCCTTCTGCACGAATGTACTCTGACTTCAGGGTCGCAGAAATCGGGGAGGAAATGCGTAAACAAAGTGAAGTGCCTTTCCCTTCTTCATTTTACATTGTCATGGACATCCTCCAACCCTAAGGTCTGCGGCTGCGGCATTCGGATAGGAAAAATATTTGCGGATCCCGGAGTCCAATTTGGGGCATTTTTAGGGGTGGGTGATGGCTCTGTTTTTTTGGGGGGAAACCAATATTTGCTCAAAAAGTGGGGTGGGTGATTACTCTAGATATTAAGGCAGCTTACACTGCTGCCGAGGCTACAAAGTCGGAAGGGGCCCTGCAGTTTGTTGTGGAAGAATAGTGCAAGGGATCAGAAAAGCAACTTCAGATGTCAAGGACAGAATGTGAGGTATGGAGTGCACTTCAAACTAAATTAAGGATTGCGAACGTTAAGCTGGGGGGCAAACAGCACCCACACTTAATAGTCTGGAAGAGTGAAGAAAAGCGTATTAATTGAGCCAAAAAAGCATGTGATAGGCCACCAAGCAGTTTTGTAGGGGCTGCTTCCCTCTTTTCCAAAAACCACTGGCAAGGAAGCCAAATCCGAAGGCACTATGCTGAGACCTTCTGTTATTGCATTCATACCCCAAAGTTCGTACAAGACTTCTCTTTCCTGTTTCCAAACGCAAATAAAAGCAATGATTCTTGGTCCCACTCAGAAATCTTTTGAGGGTTAACCATCAAAGACTGTGCTCCTTAAAAAACACATTTCCAAATGCTGAAGATAAAACTGTTGCTGAGTGTTTGCTATTGGAACCAAGGCACACAAGTATATGTGGCAACCAATAGCAGCTCAAGAAGAATGACAGTGAAACGAAGCGCAAAAACTAAACCTGAATCGTCCACCCACCGGTCAGTTCGGCCAAGACGCCGGTCATGCTCACGCCACGCAGGTAAGCCCACCCGTGAGCACGATAGGCTGTAATCACGCTGTCTCCTTTCTCCAGCACCGCTTGCATGCCAACTGCACAAGCCTCCTGTAAGCAGTTTCAGGAGTGCATGAATAACGTGGCTTTTCCATGAAAACACTTAATCCGTCACTAGGCATAAAGGGATCCCTAGTCATAACAAATTTGCTTTAGTGACTAACTTTTTAACTATTTTAATTACAGTGTTACTTTAGTCATTACATCAGAGGCACTGGAGTGTGCTAACAGGTATAAAGGTGAATGCTTCAAATCAAAGAAGTCTAACACTTCCTTTCAGCCGCCGTGGGATATACACAAGGTTTGCTTTTGGTGACAGGCGCGACAAAGAGTGTGGCTGTGGTCGGCCTTCCACGGTCAGCCAAATGCTCACTGTGATGTTTTGACTATAATGAATTCTATTTTCATTTATAAAAATAAGAAAAAAGCCAGACTGCCCTCTTTGATGGTGTTGGTTTAAGTATGTGATAACTGCAAGCTTCCACCAGACTTTTTAGACACAACATTGAAACTGTCACTGGTAATGGAGAATCCTGGTCGTGATGACATAGATAGGAACCATAAGGAGCAACAAAAACGTCTCGTCGGCAATACTGAAATATTTAAATAAGCCTTCACCATCCTAGCACTATTTAGATTGGGTGGGGCCTTCGTGCTGGGGGCTGCACAGGGCGAGGCCGTAACTATCAGCACATTTGGCAAGCCTTTCAAAATTCTAATTCTAGCTGTAGATAGCTTAAACTGGGCACGCAAATGTTGTTGCGCAAAAAGTTTTATGGCTATTTTTTGTAGAGTACATCTCAAGCTGGTGAAATTTTAAAGATAGTGCAAAAACACTAACAAAGCTGAAGGTACGGACAGAGTTGAGATTTTAACCGATTTCCGAATGCTGCATTGGCCATAACATAGTAATAATTCACAGTATTTTTGTATTTACATCATGTATCGGCCGTAAAGCGAAACATACTTGTAGTTTACACAGGACATACCTTTAACTATTATTTAGAGTTCCGTCGGACGCGACTGATTTTCATATTGGGATACGTCGGACGGACGTAACTTTAATTTTCATATTGGGTTATGTCGGACGTAACTCGAAACCTTGGGGTAAAGTTACGTGGGACGTAACTTTAATTTTTATGGCAGGTTCTGTCGGACGTAACGCTAGAAACTGCATACTTATTAACATTTCATCCCCTCCAAGTTGAGCTGTAAAAAAAAGTTAGACGAAACTTCTCGCGAAACGGCGTTCGCGTGGCCAGTTTCGGGCATGTACGTCTGGAATTTGAATTTTGGAAGGCGTGCTTAATGTGTTGGTCCTAACGGGTTCGCCCTGTAGGAAGGTTGGTGAACTACCTGGACATCCAGAAAAAGTGAGAAGGTACAATTAAAAAATATTGTGCCACTTTTACACCACATTTGATTTCCGCGCGCTCTTACACCCCCGCCCTCTCCACCCCCTCCCCTAAAAAAGATAATCTGTTCCCGTCTTTCCTTACCTGTCCCGAGTAAAGGTGACAGAATCCTCGGATGATCTTGGCCTTGTATAAACTGTTGGCTGTGCCCTCCATGCGACGAATCGCGAACATCTGCCTGTACAGCGTGAGCGCATCCTCCCTCGAGCAGGTCACTTCCGTAGAAGGCCCCGTTTCTAGCCTGTGCAGTTTGTACGGCTGAAAACGGAACAGAACGGTCCGGTAAAACGCGCTCACCCGTCCACAAAGCATATCCATGAGGGAAACTCACCTTCGTTTGGAAGGGCGCCTCTGAAGCATTCCGTTTGCTGATAAACGAAAAGATGCACCTCTGGAAGGAAGAAAACAGTTGATCTGGCAGTAAGATAAGGAAAACGAAGGGAAATAATTGGGTGGAGATGGACACAGAGGGAACACTCGAAGTGGTGTTGTGGCGGGTTAATGGGACGAAAAGATCAAAGAGGGGTCATACATCGCGATCTGGGAATGGGTCCATCGGGCACTTACCTTCTGACCGGACACCACCTCTGTGAGGCACCTTGCGACTGATGAGTGCATGCTGACGCGTATGATTTGGACTTGATTCTCCCGAAAGTCTCCTTCAGTTGAAGTGCGATATTAAAGTCCAACTAGCGGCATTCTCGGAGGGACAGTTTGTAATCGAAAGAGTCGCTCTCACGTTTACCCCTGACGAGCCAAGTGATCACCCACGAAAATCTGGCAAGGTCGATTTTTGCGACCCGCGGCGCCGCGGCCCCCTGGTGGTATTTTTACTCGACACATCGCATATGGACGATGGCGGCTTCGCTGTACCGTGCCCTTGTAAACACAGCGGACAAATTCGTCCCGGGAAAATTACGACCGCTATGGGAGCATCCGGCAGGTAAGAGTTTTCTTTATATAAATGAACGTTCACGTTGTTGGTGTCGTGGTTAGAAAACAACAAAATAACGAGAAAGCATCTCATCCTCAATCTTCCTTGAACCGCAACTCTTATTTCCGACGTTCTCTAGTAAATTTGCGGAAATCACTCGAGGCAAAACCTTGCCACGTAGAACGCTTAAAAAAACGTGGCTTACTTCTCTGATCGCAGGTCCAAAGACTGTGTTCTTTTGGGCACCCTCCTTCAAATGGGTAAGTTCAGTTTGCGGTCTCCTCGAAGATGGAGCTACGTTGGAATCTTGCTACTCTGGCTGCTCCATCTGCATATCTTGTGTTGATGGTACGGTGTTTCTGTGACCAATCATGTTTTACACTGACTGTCAAAGTATTCCTCGCCCACAACTAAACGTTTTATTTATTTATTTTATTTTATCTTTTTTTTTTTTTTGTGAGAAAGATCATGATATAGGAGACTGTAGTGTATCAAGCAAAGGCCCATTTTTCTCATTGACGTTTTAATTCATTTTCTCAAGGCCCTCGTGGTGGCTGGGATTGGAGATTTGGCAAGGCCTGCCGATAAGCTGAGTGCTTCCCAGTCTACGGCTCTTGCAGCCACAGGTTTGTACGCCCCCAAATTGTAAGAGAGCTCCATACGAGCCGGATGTTGCTTTGCAGGCATTATATGGTCGCGGTACTCGATGGTGATCATCCCAAAGAACTACAACCTGTTCAGTGTCAACATCTTCGTGGCACTGACCGGTCTCTACCAGCTGCTCAGGATTTTTAGGTATGAAGCAGGTGTCTACAAACTGCAGGCACTATCCCTTCTAGAAGTTAACACACACTTTCTGAAAGAAATATCTCACATGTGTATTGCAGCGTTTTCTTTTTTTTGTTAATCACTGATTTATTTATTTAAGGCCTCCGATAATGTGCGGTCATGCGTGCTCCACTTAGAATGGCAACATCAAATGTGACCAATTATTTTTTTTTCTTTTCTATAGCGTGTGAAATAGTGTCTTCTGGCACGAGCTCTTGCATTGACTGTACAGGGTGTCACAAAAGAAAATTTACACAATCTTTTTTACCGCAAAAATAAACTAGGCATCACTGAACGCTCATTCTCCGCCCAAAGGTAGAGCTAGAGGTCACAACCAGATGCCAAAGTTTCAGCCCGATCCAATAGCTTAATCAAAAGTTATAAGTGATTTTCTGAACATTTCAATGGGAAAATGAAGCCCATTTTTGATAGTTTTCGGTTTCTGGTGCCATAGAGCCCCATGTGTTTGAAAACTCCGTCGGCCGCCATTTTCCCATTGAAATTTTCAGAAAATCACTTATAACTTTTGATTAAGTTATCGGATCGGGCTGAAACTTTGGCATCTGGTTGCGACCTCCAGCGCTACCTTTGGGCGGAGAATAAGTGTCCGGCGATGCCTAGTTTATTTTTGCGGTAAAAAAGACCGTGTAAATTTTCTTTTGTGACACCCTGTACTATGGCGACATTTTTGTATTATTGCCTTGGAGCGCATACCTTGGGCGTCGAGTACCACAGAGCATGGCATCACCCTAAACGGAACATTGAGGCACATTACCCTTCTACATTGTATGCTGCGTCATCTTCTTTTGCAGTAACCACATTTCCTCAACTTCTTTTCAGGCACCAGCAGTCCTTGAAGGAGGGAAACAAGACATAGGGCTTAATGTTTTCTTCCTATAAGTAGGCTCAGATCCACGGTAGACAAACTTGCCAAACTGCTGGTCTTAATAACTTTTGTTCAGTGAGGCAATAGAAGTCTGTTGTAATCAAGATACTCCTTTACTCGGGACATGTTTTCAAGTAATAAAATTTAAAAAAAAGAAGACTGCAATACTCAAGGAAAATGACTGGGGACTCTTAATTGCTTGCATATTTATTTTTTGTATGAGAGCAATTCTCAGCTGCAGAATTCGTCCATGTTATAGTTTGCAAAGCATTTGAATTCATTGCCCAGCTTTCTTGTGTGTGTTGGCTTAAACTTGCACGGACGAAGGTCCAGAAGGCTTTGAGCGTACGGTTCCATGACGGCACCTGCAATTGCATGGCAAATGCTGTTGTGCATGGTTGCAATTGAAGAGCCTGCAGTGACCCACCTGTGCATAAGATGATGTACTTGGGGTTGAGAAATTTGACCGTTTGGGATACCTTTGTGAGGCACTCTTCGGACAAAAAAGGAGGATCAAGCATGACCACATCGCATGTGCCCTTCCAGCGTTCCTTAAATCCCAAGGGATCATTGTAGTCATAAAAGATGAACTCATCACCATAGCACTCGAACCTCTTGTCAAATTCCAACAGGACGACTTCATTGTGACACTCCAGCTCCTTCAGTTTCCGGTAGAGAGTTGGACAAGATATGCAGACAATCCTGAAAAGAAAGAAAGACATCGGACACGAGAGAAGTCGCGTTTTTATGTACTTTCCAGTATCTCTGAAATGAATCGTATGTTTGGACAGCACGAAGCTACTTGGCCCCAATGGGCATCTGCTGTGCCTGGTGCTTCTGCTGTAGGTGAGGCTTAGAACCAGTGCACTGCCACTGCTAGCTTGGAGTCTATAACGTGCATTACGTGGGAGAAATACACGACCAAACGCCGGTACGATGCTCGGCTAGATCGAAACGGGCAGGAGTGGAGGTTGAACTGAGGACCCCTGTGTTCTGCATTTTTCTGAAAGCTAAGTCATTGTGTTGAACACAATCCACTCAAGACGATAGCAGCGAAATCTGAAAAAAGGAACTGCGAATTATGTTATTTTGAACTAAACGAGAATTCTGAAAATGTTTGACTCGGTGTTTTTCTTGTGTACGCTGTCTCGTCTGCTCCAAGTACTCACTTCCCGTCTTCTGCTGCCCGTGATACTTCTTTCGCCAATGCCAGCGCCGTTTCATCGCTGTACCAGAATTGGCTTAGTTGCTGTAATGTTAAAAATAAACATAAATCGCCCGTTAAACTAAACCAACATTCAAAAACAGACGTACCCAATTTTCTTCAATAACGGCTGGATTTTGCCGCTCCGATCTTTCTCTAAGGAACTCTTGAAGCGCCTGGCGGGCGTATTCAGAGAGCTCGGGTGTATCCTCGTATTCAGGTTCACTGGACCTAAATAAAAATAAAAGCTATGTAAAGTCTCTAAAGGACTAATATTTGCGTGGCAAGTTAAAAGATGCCCTTCCCACCTCATTATTCGAGTTTATGGTCGCCGCCATCTTTGTAATGCCGCATCACTTTTATGCAAGCTCCGCAAAAAAAGAGGAGAATATTTTCAATCTGTAAGGTTTAAAATTCACATATTAATTTAAATACTAAATAAAAATAATTAATGTTTTATAACTTTATTATTCAATGCAAAATGTATTTTTGTTTTTACACAGTATCTCTAGCTTCTTATTGGTCAGTTTTATTTTGAGCTTCGAGGTGCCAGTTACAAATAATGGGAATGCTAGATAGTTGCGCGTGAACGTTATTAGCTCATTGAATGTGAATTGGCTGACACACTGAGAAGCCTTATAGGCCTTTTTCGCATCAGGACGTACGCGAAGTCCCAACGCGCCAGTCTAACAATGGATTCCAACGTGTAAGTACCCCACCATTTCAAATCGGGTACCGCCCGTTAGTTGACGGTTGGCAGTGGTCGTCGTAGCCTCTTTTTAACTATTCGTGTTTTAAAGAACACATTGGCTGGTGGCACGCCTCCCATGCTCTTTTGGATGATGCCTGATAAGTCCCTAGTTCAAACACAACTGTCTAGCGCATGAACCTGTTAAGGCTGACCGGTGCTGACATTTAGAACATGCGAAGAGTTCACTCCTTTTCTGAGCGTTTGAAGCTCTTTGAGGTGAGGTTTACTGAAGTGCACTAAGAAGTCTAGGTATTTCATCAATCTGATTCACAAAACCATCAAGCTACTTGTGGCCCCGAGACAGCTTTTCTCGGGCAGGGGCGTCCGGTGTGGGCCTTTAACCTCCCTCCTGGGGGTTAAATAAATGTTATAGTTACTTCTTCCGCTTTTTGTGGCGTTTCGAATGCTTCGTAAAACGTCCTCCTTTCTTCGGCCCGGTCTGTGTGATGTCACCATGCAGTGTCGACATGTCCCGTCATGTGTCGGCGGACTTTCAAAAGACTGGACACGAGCTGGTGAGCCTGTGGAAGGAAATAGGCATCTCTGAGGATGAAATCATCGACCGCCTCAACAAGCTCAGAGACCATCTGCGGCGGCTCCTGGGCGACAGCCTCGCGGGGGAGGTGGAAATGCGGGACCGCCTCCTCAAGAACATCGAGGAGTATGACTCCGAACTCGCCGTGCTGACGCGCGAGCTTCAAATCGATGCAGCGAAGGTAAGTTTGCAGTCGGGCCATCGTCTCGTCCGGAGTTGTGCCCTAAAAAAAGAATTGTTTTGTAATTGTAAAGAAACTATGCATTGTCGAACGCTACGTTTTAGGCCAAATTTAGCTCTAGTGACCCGAACCAGGTGCCATATTTTCAGCACGAGCCACTGCCTTATTCGACCGTTCTTAACGATTTTCAGAGGTTGCTGACAAAGACCACAAATATGTGGAGCTGAATTATGCAAACTACCGAGAACGACTGCCCATTTTTCCATTAGAAGTTTCAGAAAGTCACAAACTTTTGGGCAAGAGAACAGTTCTGAAACCTTCACATTTGGTTTGGACCGCTGCCCCTAGATTTGGAGGGAGACGTGCTGTAATACCAAGGTCGGTCAGCGTGAGCATGCGTCGCCAGTAAAAGGATGTTGGCTCAATGCCTAGAGCATTACTTTTGTTGGCCTTCTGAGCTGCTTGGCCACTGGCGTATAGCATTCATGAACTGGAACAAATTTTTTTGGCCACATGTTCATTGGTGCGAGAGAATCTGCAAGGTAAACTCCTTCATTCCAAGGCCAGGGATTTGCTGCCTTCTGTGTAGCCATTCTAATTTGGGTGGCTTGTTAGGTGGCAACTCTCCCAGCTTTTTAGTTTCACAGACATCGTCAAGAATGCCTGCTATACTCTTTCGCTCCAAAGCTGTCGGTGCGGTGGAAACTACAGGCTTGTCGGACTAGCCGTGCGTCTTTTGCCACTGGGTCACGCAATGAAAGGGAGGCAGCTGGTTGGTCCCACAAGCACAAAGGTTGTTGCTCTGCTCCAATCTATGTGCTTGCTATCTATTCGCACTATCTACTTAAGGGCGAACAGAGTTGCAAGGGAATTGCATGCTGCTTCCAGAGCCTTGGAACACCTGAGACTTGGGAACAAAAAAAACTTCTAGGCGCTCGGGATGCTGAAAGTTCACCAGCTAGCCTGCACGTTGTGTTATTTTCATCGTACTATGCTTCTCTTGTTTTGTGGAATGTCAAAGTCTTGCTTTTCTTGCAAACGTGAAGCTTGCCTGGTTCTCCGTGACTTGCAAGCGTCCCTCGCATGATTGTGGGGCAATGAAAGATTGATAATTCTGAGATTGTGGTCGTATCATTAAATGGGCATTTCTAAGGGTGCAAAAATACCTAGCGCAAAATTCCGCCTAGCATGGGTTGACTGTTTCTGTCATGCTGATTTAAGAAGGAGTAGTTGGCGTAAATGCATCTTGTAAATGGTACTCTGAGGCCGAACTACACCACACTTTTGTGGCCTTGGAGTGCAAATCGGGTATACTGTATTTTTCGGTGTATACTCTGCGGTTCCTACATGTTTAAAAGCAGAAGTTTTACCCGATGCAAACTATCTGTAGGTGTTCACTACGCAACTATTTATTTTTCTATGTCGTTCACTGTGACAAGACTTGAAGGATTTTATGAATAGCGGAGTATATTAAAGGGACACTGACAGCTCCTAAAATTTTGGGAAAAGCCTGCCCAATCAATAGTTTCCTACAGCATTCCTACAACTGCTCGAAACTGGACTGGGGAGGAAGAATAAATATAGAGGAGGAGAGTCGGGGTGTCTAGCGACCGGGAAAACAGGGATTGGTCAGGGATATTGTCAAAAAGCGAGCCCCGTCAGAGAAAATGAGCCGGAAATGCCATTGAGTGCCCCAAGCATAGACTTGGGGGCAGTAAAATAGGCAATAAATTCTGCTTAAGAGCGGAGTGCGGGCTCTCCCCACCTGATGTAGCGTGTGCTACCCGATGCAAAGGAAACTGCCAACAAATCCAGTCCAAGCCTTGGATTGGATTGAGGACGCGACACTAGGCTAGATCCAGTTAGAGCGTCGTGTTTTCATCGTGTTTCCGGTAGTGGCCTCTTCACTGACGATCTCGGCAGCAAGAAATTGCTCGTTTTATCTGGACTGGACGAGCCCAAATATTTCGGAATATACAAGTTGGATTAAGCCCGTGCAAAATGATACTCAGTGCCCAATGCTCAATGCCTTGGGTTGTAATGGTCTTGTATATTTAACCACCTCTACAGTGGTCACGGAATTTCACCTGAACTTGTCAGGGAAAACCTGGAAAAGTCGGGGAATTTCAAAATATTAATTTACTAGACACCCTGTCATGTCCAACTTTGTCCCTTTCCGAATGCAGCCAGACAAGACCCTGTCCATTCTGGAGAGGGAGGAGCTCCTACGTGGCCAGGTGCACGAGTTAACAACCCTGAAGGTGTCGCGGCGGAGGAAGCTGAAGGGCCTGCGGGCGCAGGAGCGCCACCTGTGCACCCGCCTGGCAATGCCCCCGCACCAGCTGGACACCAGGGTGCCCTCTGAGAGCGAACTGCACGAGCTGGAGATGCACGTGCAGATGCTGAAGCAGGAACAGGTGGGGCACCTGCATTGCTTGGTTTGCACACAACCCTCTCGAGGCTGGCGCAGTAGAAGGGACGGTTCTATCACAAAATTCCGGTCCAAAATCTCGACGGATGCCGTGTTGAACTTTTGTCTTACGTTTTTTTACATGCAGAGGCATTGTTTGCCACCTCCCTTAAGCTTTTTCATGCCGTGATCCAATATGCCAGCCAGGGTAGTCGGGAACGTGTAATAGCATTCGCTGATACTGCGTGTACCACTCTTTATTCATACATGATCAAAAAGTTCACCTGTCGGCGGCCGACATTGCCCCGGCAGATGCTGTCAAAGTGACTCCGAAAGGAGAGAAAGTGAAGTATGCACCAACCACGATTAATCATACTTACAGAATTCTGTTGTCAACAGAGCCACTTGTCATGCTCGTGCGTTTCACCAATGCTAAGAACGACTGCAATAACTGAGCTGGTCACCACCGTTCCGGGACTCGGTCTACGCCCTGTAGTCAATGAAAATTTGAAAACCCATTGGAGCCTCGGACTTCAGCGCAAACTGTCTCGCGCGCAGCCAAAACCCGATGAGAGGCAGCAAGCGCATGCAGCGGGCAGAGCTTGTACTTGTTGCCAACTATAGACAATTCTTGGTGTGTAGAGTAAACTTTTGCAAGAAATTTATTGATGATAATGATTTTTGCGGTAGATTGAACCTGTGAGCAGTTGCGATGTATGTGCTATTAATGATCTGGCATGTCGGGCCTCCACCATTCGGGTCTTTCACCCACAGCTGTCTTCTGACTCGTTCGGTGCCTGGCCCTTGCAATGCCTTGGTCTGAATTAATGTGAAAGAAGAGACATAGTAGTGGCACTACCTGTGAATTTCTAATGATTATTGTAAATACTACAAGAAGTGTTCAAATATTAGTGTGGGCATTGAACGCTATGGAAGCAATCTTATTGCGATCGCATGTCTTAGCTATATAGGGGCTTGGCATTGCCTCATATAATATTGAAGTCTCATGTTTTTTTCTTAATTCCCCTGTTCCCATCGAACTTACCTTGAATTGTTTCTAGTGATTTCTTTGTTAGGAATCAATATGCCAATATAACATTCAAAAGATCATTAGCTCGTCATGTGTGCCGGCATACGTTGCTGATGACATAGAAGCTTGGTTTTAGTGACTTGTTTTTTTTTCCACTTTTAGCGATTTTGTGTAAACAAAACTGTCCTGTCTTGCATGAAAGAAGGTAAAAGCTCAATCTTTATTTGTACTGGCTGTTTTTTTGTTGTTTTTTTTTCCATTTGAGAAGCACTGAAGTGCAGTGTTTTCTGCCTCGTAATGCACTCTGTGTGTGGCACATACGCTAAGGTAAACATTATATTTTGAATACTCTTCTTTATCTGTTTCATACCCCCCTAGCCATCTATGGCCAAGGGGGCTAAGTACTAGTTGGGCGGAATGTAATAGACCAGTGTTTGAAATCCTAGCCCCCAGCAATAAAAATGGAAAATAATCTCAAATGCGGGCTCTTTGTGAAGAGGGGCTGCACATAAAACAAGATTATTTCTTTTTGCAGTGCTCTTGGCATCAATGTTGTTCTTGGAGCTTCGTGATTATGCATTTCTGAGGTTCTTGCACTGCAATATATGCGAAAGTTTCTAAAAAAAATGGAGTCTTGCAAAAAGCTCAGCCCGCCTACTGTGTCGTGGCATCGGCATAGAGAAGCATGGCAGTGGCCATGTAACGGAGCAAACGCTGGTCTATATGCTCTAATATTGCGCTTCACCTCACAATTTCTATGGAAATCTTCTTTTATTAATACTTTTACTGAAGAGATCCAAGGAACCTTGTTTCATAAGGCATGCCAGCTGAGATTTTCTGACCCTTTGACATTGAACCTCGATAATTTCTAGCGATTCTCGATAGGTTGCAATGCATTCTTCCCCATGCAGGATCGGCGGGAAACAAAGTACCACAACCTGCGTGCCGAGGTGCTTGCACTCGTGGAGGAACTCTCGGCGGCTCCCGAAGGTTCCTTCCAGGAGAAGGTCGTAGACAGCGATCCTGCCAGCTTCGGGCTCTCGACGAGTAGCCTAGCTGCTGTGGCAGCCTACCTGGACGAGGTATGTTGAGTCTGTAGGATACGTCAAAAGGGACTCTAAGGAATTCGCTGTATGTTATACAGTTGAACCTCGATTTAACGAAGTCCTTTTTTGAGCCGGGGATTTCGTTGAACCGTGAGGCTTTTGTGGACACCAGCTGTGCTTCCCGACCCCAACGAGTCGCTGTGATCCTGTACTTGATTGTGCGTCTTCGACGTGGGCGTTTATTGCTTCTGTTACAGCTCAAGTCCCTGCATGCCGCACGGGTCGCCGAGTGCACGCAGCTGCGACAGAGCATCTCGGAGTTCTGGAACCGGCTGGAGGTTCCCCAGGACCAGCAGGAAGCCTTCACCTCGAAGCACACCGGTCTGGGGGATGACGTCGTTGCTGCGGTATGTCGTGGGCCCTGCCTTCGTTTTGGGCAGTGTGTGGCAGTCTTTGTGACAGCGCCTTTTTGAGCACAGTGTTGGGATTGTTCGTGGGTCACAGTTCAGTGTTCTTTATTGTACCAGTCTTTTCAGAAAGATGTCCAGATCGAACATAGAGCTAGATGACAGGAACCTCTTTTGCCCAATAAAATGTGAAAATTTACCATACACTAATATACAAGGTACAAAAGTTATCCTCAAACTTGGATTTTTAGGCGCTTTATCGGTGCCTTGGCGATTCCTTGCCTCAATTAAGTTTGTAAGCTTTGCTAACACGTGTCTTGCGTGCAAAATCACTCTGCTATTTTAGACGTAGACCACTGCCAGTGCTTGGCAAAATGCGTGCCAGTGATGAAATTGCCTCGACGTTCACTCTTCATTTGCTCTCTTCCTTGTTCCTTGCAGCTCAAGAGCGAAGTGGCCCGCTGCGAGGTGTTGAAGCGGGAGCGCCTTCAGGAGTTCATTCAGAAGGTCATCGCGGAGCTCCTCGAGATGTACACAAAGTGTGGCGTTCCGGAGCGCAAGGCTCGCCTCGAAGGAGCTTGTGAAGCCGAAGGTGGGTTGGCCTGCTGCTATAGTCGATGACAGGTCAAGAAGGAAGTGGAAGCTTCTCCCACCTCTTTCCACTTTAGCAGAACCAATACTGGAGAGGTCACCTCCTTGCCAGCGTTTGCTCTGCTATAGTGGAAACGGGTGGGAGGAGCTTCCACTTCCTTCTTGACCTGTCACCGACTAGTAGTATCGGATCGAGGCTTTTGGGCATGTCGCCAAGTTGCCTTGTAACTAAGTTGTCTTGTTCCACCAACACTTGCCTCATATATGAAACTAATATAATCATATAATGCAACTTTTTTTTTTTGTGTGTGTATGTGTTACTGCTAGCTTTCTTATGACTTCTTGGGATAGTGCATTTCTGACTTTGTTTTGTCACGGCTAATATGGTATCGCGGCGACGCTATACTCGGACATCGTGACTCTGAGTCAAATCTATGGCTTATGGTTCAAATCCTGGCTGAGCTGCCAGAAATTTGATGTAAGCTTATCGCGGTGGTGCCGTGCAACATAGATTTCTATTGCATATCCAAAGAGCCTCATGGGATCAAAATTAATTTTCGGTGCTTTCCTGGGGCATGCCAGATGCCCGTTGTATGTCTGGCACGTAAAACCTCTTAATTTTATTATAGTATGTGCACTTTGCTTATGGGCATAGGCTGCATCAAGCACACGATTTAAAGCAGTGCTCCGGCAAAATTTGTCGCCGATTTGCTTCAAATTTGCTTGCACTTAATAAAGGACACATGCAAAGGAAAAACATTTTTTTTTAGACAGCTTAGATGAAAAAAGGATGTCATAAAACGATTTTACAACAAAGAAAAAAAAATTTTAGAGCTATATTTACGGCGCTATACAAATTTGTAGTTGGCGCTCGTGGGAGCCACCGGGGGTCACGTGGTTTGCTCGCGCGCCGCCGCGATGCGTCGCCACCGCACGCTGATCGCTGAACGAATGCCGCTTCAACGCGTTTCTCTACGACGCCGTCGCCGCCGCCCCACAAGTTCGTCTGCTTCGGGGCGCCGCCGCCGTCGTCTAGACGGCGCACAGGTCTATCACGTCTGCTTGCGCTTTTTCAGGAGTTTCCTTTGGGCTCTAAAAGTTACTTATTCATCTTAGTTTTTGATATACTTCCAACAAAAATGAATAAGTTACTTTTAGAGGCCATAGGAAGCTTCCAAAAGTGCGCAAGCACCACATGACAGATATGGGCCCGTCACGTGATAAACAAGGGCCACTTTTCCGCGGCGGAGCTCGAGCTGCCTATTGCTAATGTTTACACGACATTGATGTCGCAGCAAGATGTCTGACCAGTAGAGCTGCAAGTTTGTTTCTGTTTTATCATGTTTGTACGGTTAAAAATGATGTAGAGGTTTTGGTGAAATTAACCTGCTGCTATAGACTCGGTTTCTTGCACTCTTTCAGAGAATGTGGTTACATGAAAACATTCAAATTGATGCCGGAGCTCTCCTCTGAGCTCGTGCCGGCAAAACAAAGACATGAGCAAAATGCGGCATTTTTGGAATGCCTACTTGACTACTGGAAAGTGCGAGACAATTTGAATGATGAGAATAATCCCTGGAGAAGGGGAACAAGAGGGACAAAGCACAAACACAAATCTTTGCCCCTTTGCATTAAATTGCATTATAAATACAATTTGAATGTTGGTTTTGGCGTTGCCTTCATTGGTTGGGTAGCTCGGAAAACGGCCGGGGTTCCCCTCTAAAGTATTCCTCGGCGTTCCCGCAGCTTGCACCGAGGAGCATCTGAAGTCCCTCGAGGCGGAGTTGACCGCTGCCAAGAGGTTCTACGACCAGAACACTGCCATCCTGGAGAAAGTGGAGCGCCGCGAGGTTCTCTGGGGCCGCCTCCTCGAGTTTGAGAGCAAGGCGAGGGATCCGGGGCGCTTCAACAACCGCGGAGGAGGGCTGCTGCTCGAAGAGCGGGAGCGCAAGCGGCTCGAGAAAGAGCTGCCCCGGGTGAGTCGGCCTTCGCAGGCGTCTGCGCAGTCTTTGAATTGCTGCTGTTGTACTACAATGCCTAGAGCGCGTCCCTGCCCATTGGCGTTGCCCCATCCTCGAATGGGGGTCCTTCGATCTCCCCCCGATGATGTCGCGGGAGCGTCGTGGCATTGCCAGCCTTTATCTTGGTGGTGGCGCAGTGGAGGGGGTGGGGACGCGGCAGTTGCTTGTTCGACTGCGGGTTGCTGTCCGGCTTGACTGTTTATGGAAGCCCCTGCAGCCAGCAGTTGGGATGCTGCGACAACCGTGACACTCTCATTTGCCCTTACTCTTTTCCGGAGCATCTACGACAAACTGAGATCGCGACATCGGACAGTGTGACATGCTGGCTCCTGCGGCGTCATTTGTGGCCACTTCAGGACCAGTTTCGATGCATAGGCTAGATGGAACTGTAAGCACGCCACTGAAAGGCGCTTTCCAGGCTCCGTAGGGACACTCTCGCCAAGTCTTGAACGCTTTTGGGCAGGTTGATTTCTTCTGTCATGATGGGAGGTGCCGGGGTTTTCGAAGTAGCTTGGCATTTCCTATGGGTACAAAGGAGGGAAGGAACTTGCGGCGCATTGTAAGCGTAAAGAGTTGGTGAATTAATTTTGTTGACTTGCTAACTTGGTAGTAGATATAGTATTTTAAGTTTAGTTCTTTTGTACAGTGCATGTTGCCAGTTTTTTCATTTCCAAATTCGGCAAAGACTAAGCTGAGGCCTTAAAAAGGATTTCGCCACTTCTCACTTTAATTAACTCTGGCATTTCTAGAGCCCAAAATGTGTGGCAACCCTGTTGTTGCACCCCATTATTTTGACATTGCGGACATCGTTAGAGGTCTTGCGCAGAATACTTTTATGCAAGGTTGAATCATTCCAGATTCTTTCTTTCTTAAAGGGCCATAACTTGGTCGAGGAGTCTAGACCAGCTACTCTCCTTTCACCTTGAAGCCGAGGCTGCAGCCACCAAAGCTGCAAGTGCAAGCTGGCCTAAACTCGTGGCTTTTGGGGTGCGACTTTCTTTCATGAGCGCTCGTTTTACGGTAGAATGTTTCAGAGCACCGATATTGTGCTTGTGGCTTTGGCTGCAGTTTCATCTCAAGAGTGAATGGAGTAGAGTTATTCCGAAAGCTTTGTGCACTCTGCACTTTCACTGTTGGCTCCACTCGCCGCGGAGCAGCTTCGGTCGAGGCCTTGTGTATGACGGGTTTCACTTCCAATTCTGCCCCTTCAGCTGGGCCGGGAGATACTGGAACACATTGAGGCGCACGAGGCCGATGGCTCCAGCCTCTTCCTGGAGTGGAGTGCCGCCTTCAAGGAGCACCTGGATGCCCAATACGCCAGCTACCAGGAGGACAAGGAGAATGAGCGCCTGGCCAGGGTGCGAGCATCTTCTTCGCATTGATTGTTTTGTTAAGGTCCCTGCTTAAAGAACAAAATGCTAATAAGTCGCACCGTTGTATAAGACTCGCACATTCCTTACAAGAAACTGGGAAAAGAAAAGCTGAAGCGCTTTAAGACGTACGAGTTGGGAGCAGACTTTTATAGCTTTTTGTCCCGTGAATTCATATTGTTTACCTTGGGCAGAAGTAAATGTAAACTGCATTTATTTGGGAAAATATGTGCAGCGATTGCAGCCGGTCTCCTCTCTGCCGCCTGTTGTCTGTCCCGTGCATTGCAACGTTGTAGTCGGCATCCCCGCACCAGCTTAATGGCGAACAAGGGTCGTCCGACTTCACCCCCGACGTCGCTTTTGCTAGTTTTTCTCTCCGCTCTCGCGCTTTCCTACCCTCTGCGCGCTGCAAGGGTAGGTCTGCGTCGAAGTTTTAATTGGCTATTACGACGCTGCTACAGATCAAAAGAAAACTGTACTACTATGTTCCAATTTGAGGATCTCTCCAGCTTCCCTTTAGCACTTGTTTGTACACTCAGGTTTGCTTAGGGCCTGGAACTGCATTTGACTAGAGCAAAGGATTTGTGGTATTTGCTGCAAGATAAGACATAACATATATACTATTAATGAGAGATGATTATTTTCTTTTATGCCAATAAAATAGGGTGATGCGTGAAAAAAAAAAATCTATGGAAATGACGAGTGTTCCATGACAACTCTATAACAGCTCCATTGCGTTCTCTTGTCGTAATAGATTGCGAGGAGTTTTACTCCTGGTAAGCTAGTTTAGTAGATTGCGAGGAAGGTAGTACTTTTGGCGGTACTTTGACACCTTGTCCCTCGTGGCGTCTAGGGTATCCTGCTCACCTCGCTTGTGCTCCTTTTTTCAGGAAGCGCGTCGCAATATGTCGGGGTCCTCTAGGAGCGCCAAGAGGGGAATCTCCCCCGCAGCCCACCCGTCCAAGATGGCCCGCACGGCCACGGCCAGCGCATCCTTGGCCAGCCTTCGGCCGGGCACTTCTGCCTTGGCCTCGCCCCGGTCTGCCATGAAGAGGGGCAAGGTCATCTCGGCACGCCGGAGGTCTATCAGGGTGAGCGACGTCGTCCTCGAAGTACACGAGTCTGTTATGCAATGGGACTGCAATGTGGCACTGATCATGGTGAAACATTGTGCTTAGTGCCACAGCACAAATTTTTTTGTAGTTATTACACATAGAGATGCCAGCCATTGACTCGCCCAATTGCTTTGCGGGGAAGTAGGCGCTCCAGATTCCTTGAGGTGTGCCAAAGAATACCATAAAATGATTTTGCATTTTCGAATGGATTAGAAAAAGTAACGGGACGCTCGAGCACATCCGATGATTTCCGTCTGTCAAGGAAACTCGGCTCGCCTTTGTGAGCCCTTGGCAGTTTTCGTTTTGTGGGATGGGAGCGAGTAAGATTGCTATCTGCCATGATGTCCCATTTCTCTGCTCGTAACTTTGCGAACATCCGATGTTTGGATCTGCTCGATCGGAAATACGCACAACAGAGTCAGCATATTTGTGCGCATGTTCTACTGCAGTCTCATTTGTATTTTGAATTCTTTCAACGGGCAGAGTTGCACCCTCTATGTGCGTCTCATTTTGTTGAGGTGCTTTTTGGAGCTATTAAAACTTGGTTGCAAACGGTCTGTTCACTTCAGACACTGCAACACAGAAGCATTTTTTGATACAGCCCTCAACTCCATTAAACATACCAGCAGAATTTTGTGGAGTCCGTTTGCCTTCCATGGGTTGCAGTCATTAATGTTGGCACAAGTGCACATATCATACTGGCTTATGCACCATTTGTAAGTGTGCATTCTGGTAGCCTGTTGCACTTGCCAAAAGGTATGGTTCAGATAGTGGCTTTAACCAGTAGTACTTGCTTTTCAGAGGGCAGCCAAGGAGACTCCAAGTGGGGCCTCTTCTACGGCGAGACGCCAGCCTGGGGACAGCACCTTCTCCACCTCTGCTGCTAGCCTGGTTTCCTACAGAGGCTTCACGGTATGTTCCCTTCATTCCCTCAAAATATAAAACAAGCAGTTGCCCAATATCGCGAGACAATGGACCCTTTGTGATACGCCATCGGGCAACATTGGACGGTGCCATTTCTTCGGCACTGAGCTCTCGATTGAATCTGCCCTCGTCGAACGCCAACTCGGCACTCGTTTTCGATGAGAGCCGAACGCTGTTGTAGCCCTTGTATCCAATCCATGCTCGCAATATGCACCCGAACAATGGTGGACTTAGATAATTGATGCTGCACCTAGTACTAGATGGTGCGCGCTCTTGAAGAGAGCCATTTTCAAAGGGGATCATTTTTTTTGTTTTGTTATATTTTGGTACATTTGGGGACATAGTGCTGGGTTGGTGTGTTCCTGAAACATGCAGCTGCATGATTGACACTCGCTGACTCAGTAGTGGCAGATTTGTGCAGCTGTTGCTCGGTTTTTAACAAGGGTCTATTGCAAATAAATTTGAGCTGGGACACTTGCTGGAGTCTCCTTTTTATAGACAGTAGTTTAGGCACTGAACTTGATGCAGTTGGCATAAACATATTGCTACTTTTAGATGTTATTTTGTCGTAATGTTGATTCCCTGAGTGCATCCAGGCACCAAACGAGACTCTAAAGTTTAGTGTTTGGCATTTTCTCTGGCAGCACTTCGTTGATGCAGTTTACATGAGCATGTTTTATCCTTATTCAGGCCACCAACTTTAGCGGTAAAATTTGATGCAAGTTCATACCCTGCCTTACTTATAAAGGCAAAAAAGTGCCGATGTCGTGTTCATGCCAACTCTGTCGTGCATTGCATACCTATGGACAAGTGTGTGAACAGACTGGCTGCAAGTTTGTCTGCATCTCGCCATAGACTGTTTCTATGTCAAACTTTTGTTTCTGGTACAAACTGGCACCGCAGCCGGGTTTGATAACCGGGCTCTACTGTATACATCAAGGGGCTTTGAAGCCGAGCGTCTGCTACTAACAGATGGACTGGGCCCGAGTTAGAAATATATATATATATATATATATATATATATATATATATATATATATATATATATATATATATATATATATATATATATATATATATATATATATATATATATATATATATATATATATATATATCGGTGTGAATCGAAAAAAATACGGGTTCGGTTACGGTTCAGGTTTAGGTAAATTTATTTTGTTCCGGTTCGACTGATTCGATCCGCGAACCGGTTCGGGGTGCTGAACTGGTTCGCGAACCGGTTCGGAAATTATAAATGACAAATTGCAACATCAAAATAAATTACAAATAAAACATCAAAATAAATTACAAATAAAACATCTGAAATCAGCACATACGAAACGGGATACATCGTAGTGTAAGGCTCAGGGATTTCTACCATGAATGGTTTCTTTATGTGCGGTCAAAGGTTACCTCACCGACGTTTACGCATTCGAACTTCATCTAATTGGGTCCGACGCAGTAGCTGTAAAATCCGTGACCTCCTTACAAACCCACTTACAAGTAGAACTCGCTAACTATCCCGCCACCTCGGCGTGTAAGCAATTGAAGGAACAGTGGGGAGAAAATACAGCTTTCTTTATTTGAACTAGCCTTCGGTAACTCAAATTAGACCCTTCAAGAAGTTTTTATTAAGCAAGATACGGAATATGAAAAACACTTCACCGAACGCAATGCCAGAAGGACGTAATAGGATAAATATTAAAATAGAAGAGTTGGCTGTCTCACAAATATGTTAGCTTCTAAGTGCCTATACGAAACCGGCTGCATTATTATCGAACTCCACAGCCTTTTCTTTTATCATTCCGATGGAAGCAAGCTTCAAGAACTCGCGCGTTCTAGAAACGTGTTATGAAATGAGCACACAGCAGCATTTAGGATTTACGAGATTGTAGGAAAATGAAATCCCGTGACGCGATTTTTTTTTTTTTTTTTTCACAGCCTTTCAATTTTTTTTTTTTTCCGTGCAAGCCGCGACCAGCACAATACTGGTTCCTATGTCAAGATTCATGGATGCAGCGTTTGTCAAGATTCATGGATGCAGCGTTTATATTCCTAAGACTGAGTGGAGAAGAAAAATATGTAAGCGAGGTGTGTGTCAGTTGACGGCACGCGTGGCCGAACCGTTTTGACATGAGCCTGTAACCGTTATTTTTTTTCCGGTTCAGTTCCGGTTCGGGTTCATCGCGATAACAATATAACTGTTCGGGTTCAGTTCCGGAAAAAATACTGGTTCGGTTCCGGTTTTCGGTTTGGTTCGACACCCTGATATATATATATATATATATATATAGTATAGACCACTTACAACGTAACCGCTTATAGTGCAGGACCGGGTATAACGCGGTTTTTTTAAACCACCGGTTCGTCTCCCATAGAACTCCATGTAATTACATACCGCTTAAAATGCAGGCGCGCGAAGGGAAATACCGGTTATGGTGCGGTTTCTGGCACAGCCCGCCGGCCGCGCCGACGACCGGAGCAGCGAGCGCGCTTCCCTGTGCGACACTAGATAACGGCGCTGACGGCGCGAGCAGCAAGCGGCACTCGCCTGGCAGTTGCTCCAGAGCCGAGTTGCTCGAAGAAGCGGAGCGAAAGGCTTCAGTTGCCATAGCGACGGAGGGACGCACGCAAGTGTCGTTCACGTGCGTGCGTCCCTCCGCTGCGTTGGAAACAAACAACCGCAGCGACAGACCAATCGCAGGTCGAGGAGAAGTGTTGCGCGCGTTACATGCCGGTCGCAGGCCGGCTGCTGCGGCTGCTTCTATCCGCAAACACGGCGTCGGTTGTGATCGTCGTCGTAGACGGCGTTCATCTCATCGTTCCGCGTAAAAGCGCTATCCTTGACTGTGAATTTTCGTTGTGTGTCGCTATGATAACCCAGCACGTACTAGAAGGGAAGATCCACCTACTCGTGCGGCGATGTCGTGGCGGCGATGTCGTGGCGGCGCTCTCAAGACGGCAGAAACGCCCGTGTCGTCGTGTTTGTTTACTTCGACTACAGTGGTGCTTTCTAAGCATTTGTGTTTTCGAACATCGCCCGGATTTCTTATTTGGAGCAGTTCATGCCTGTGCTCAAGTTGAAGGTATTACTGGCGCGTACCGTGTGAAGGATGCGAATTTTCACGCGTTTTCATCTCCGGAGAAAAGTGATTAGGGTTAGCAATCCTGAACGCTAGCAACGTCCGTCCGCAACCCGCGACGCCGTTAAAAGGCTGCGCCAGGCAAAAGCTGCTCATTTCTTTCAAAATGTGTAACACACTTGAGACAGAACTGTACTAGTCAGGTGAAATAAAGACTTTCCTCAAACTAAGCTTTATTTTTCATCTAACCTAAAATAAATTCTTTTCACAAGTGTAAGTTGTCTCATGGCATGTATTTTGGCCTGAAAAATTGATGTTTTGGTTATAGTGCGGTACCGCTTATAGTGCGGATTTTCGCGACTCCCGCGACATACGTTATATGCGGTCTACACTGTATATATATGTGCATGCATGCATGCATGCCTCAAGTCATCTTCACCTTCTTCCTTCATCATCAGGCCACCATTAGTATAGCCCATATGCCATTTTTCAGATGATGGTGATCAGTGGCCAGACTGAATTCCGATAATCCCAGAGTTTTTCCCGACACACATTGTTGGACGCCCCTGTGTAGAAGTGGTATCCATAACGTTCTTACTGATCCGTGCCACCTCTATACGTGGTGTGGTGTTGAAACAAATGGCTACCGCCAATATTGCTAGATGGGATTTTGAAAAGGGTCTGGTGTAGCGAATTCTTAGCCCGAGGCTGTCACACATTGCCGACCTCTGTTTTGGATGAATTTGAGACGAGGAGACGGGGAGTTGATAATGGTCAGTGAGGAGCCCTTTCATTTCGTTTGCAGGCGACCCTGCGAGACCCAAACAAGGTCTTAACCAGCAGTGTGCTGGAGGGCCCTGCGGCAGACAAATAGCCCGCTCTCAAAATCTCTTGTCTGTTTTCGTCCCTCCCGGGTCACCCATCTGCTCAGGCGGGGCTCAACTCGGAAAAGAGGCGCCCTTCGACGCGAAGCACACTGCTGCCCTTCACCGAGCCCTGGAAGTCGTCTTTCAAGTGTGAACGCACCCTGTCTGTGGCCAAGGCCGGACGACGCCTCCAGTTCTGATCGCTGGCATTGGAAGATTTTTTTATACTTATCCTATTTTTGCAAGACAGGACATTGATGGTTTTTCTCAATATTTTAGAAATACCTTTGATTTTAAAGTCTTGCTGATGGTGCATTTTTTTTTTTCTTTAGCAAGACTTACTCTTTAAGCACCATTTTATTGAACAATTTTTTTTTTTAATTGACAATTTTGAAAGAAGTGACCAGGGTCATGTGACACCATATCGGTTTACCATTAAAGTCCTGCCGATTGTGCTTAAGTTGTTTTTTATCCTTAATGAAACAGAGCAATCTTTAGTTTATTTGATGCAGTCCTTTTTTTTTTTTTTCTCTAACCTGCGCTTTAACTTTTTCGGATTTTAATACGTTGCAGATGTCTTTATTCTTGTTTTTTAGCGAGAGCCAACCTGCGGGCACCAATATTTTGGCAAAGGAAACATTTAAAAAAAATTGACCAGGGTCATGCGCCAGCTATAGTCTTGATGATTGTGCTTGGGTTGTCCTACTCCTCTTTGAAAGAGCAAGAGTTAGGTGGCCTTAGTTTATTTGGAACAGTTTCCATTTTTTATGTGCATGTATATGTTTATGGTTTAACTTTTATTGCCACGATCAACTTATTGCTGGTTAATGTCGTCTAACAGTATAGTCGGTTACAGGTTAGGAAAAGTTTTCGAGGAAAAGGAAGGCTGAGGAGGAGGAAGCAGATTGAATACTGGAGAGAGGTTTCCTTCCTCTTCAGCATTCCGTTTTGCTTCCTCCTCCCCAGCCCTCCTTTTCCTCGAATACTTTTCTTAATCTGTTTTGTTATGGCATTTATATTTATTTCGTGAACTACGAAAGACAGTTTCATTTGTGCAAAATGCTCTTCCACCAGTGATGTTTTGAGTGTTTCCATCAGGTAGTTTGTGTTTGTTCCATACTGTATGCATTTAAAGCGAGCGACTTTCGGTTTATGCGTGGAGACCGGCATGTACTTGGTTCCTGTGGCAACTTTTTTATCGACTTTTATGGGCCAGAGATTTGATTCTGTACATTCTGTAAATTTCTCTGCAATAAAGTAATTACATGGCTTGTTTTGCCACCCACTTGTCCAGTTTCCTCTCCTGTTCGTCCACAAAGCACTTTCCAAATATTTCTAGGAACAGAAGTTCCCCCAAGCTACAAACTCGCTGCGCCAACCCTGCCCCGAAGTTACCAAGTGTTTTTTCCAGATTAATTACTGCCTTGGTAGATCAGAGCCATCCATTGATGCATATCAAACACTCGTAGTATGTGCATTATTTGTTGCAAGGTTCGTAAATGTTTGCATTGCGTTATTGCATCAATTCTGATACCAGGAGGGGTTCTTTAGCTTCCAGACCAGAGGTTTGATCAACATTTAGGAACCCCTTGTCTACACCAGAGTGAATTCAATATGTGACACTTTGGCAGTTGCTGTTTAAAGTGTACCTGGAGAGTTACTTTTAATGAACAAGGACAAATCCAATTACTTTTAAGTTTTAACGTACATAATGATGCCGTGGTTTGGTTCGTATGGAACACGTCATTGTTTTATTTGGCGCTGCTGAAGAATAATAAAAAGAATCGCAGGAGGGCACTTAAGACTACTTACGTGTAGGAATACAAAAGGGCATTCGTACACGCTGCGCACCCTGCTGTCCTCTGCAGAGGCCAGCCAGGCCTCTGTGCCAGGAAGAGGGCTTCTCTGTGGGGCTGCGTTCCTTGGAACGGTGACGTGTCGCAGCCAATGGGAAGTTATTGCTCGTTTCAATTGGCCAAAATTTAGGTGCAGTTTTTCGCCGTTGCAGACGCCAGCTACTCTCCATGGGACAGTTAATGCTTTCGCATTATGTTGCATGTTTATGCAGTCGGAAGTTAGAAGGCCTCAATGGGCATTTGGCGTCTCGGCTGTAGACGAGCAATTTAGTCAGTGCAGTGCGACCGCAAACCGATCAATGCTCGTGCAGATCGAGACTGGCAGGGGTGGGGAATTGAACCCAGGATCCCCGTGTTCTACAGCGCGAGCTTTTACTCCACATGCTCCGAGCTGGTGTGCGCTAGACCATTCAGCCACCGATCCCCCCCCCCCATCAAATGGGAAACACGAACATAGTTTCGGGATTTTAAGAGCCAAGCTCTGAGGTACCCAAACTTGGGAATTCTGAAAATTATAAGTTGCTTGCCCGATTTGACCGGACAAGTGCCCTGGCCTAGATTAACGGTTTTCAGTGGAAGTAAGGTGGGCGCTTCCCCTGAACTTTACGGTAGTGAAATATCAAAACTAAAGCTAAATTAGAGATTGCGGCTCGCTGAACACAGAAATACAGAGCCATTAGTAGAGGCTAGAGATTAGCAAGATAATCGCAATATTTAATACTTTAAACAAAATATATAAACAATGGCCACCTGGGAACCAGCTCACAAACCAGTGTGCAGATGGCAAACATCCAGTAGAAGCTATAGGAAATGCACCACTGCCGTTTTTGCTCAGTTTTTAATATTTTATCACCTCAGACTTTTGCAAAACTATGTTCAAATGCTTAATTTCAGGTATGTACATTTGGACTTCGAATTTTGCAAGGAGTTCCAAATGTGTTGGTCCTTACGTCCCCACCCTGCTAAGGAGGATACAAGCATGCCCGAGTAGAATACAATTGTAGATCACAAAAGAATTCGCCTACATAAACCTCCTGCCGTGTTCCCCGTGCCTTTCAAGCTCCACATTACGACATGCCACACCACTATGAGCCACGATAGTCAATCAAGCATTGCACACGCCTTCATGCTCTGCCAGACAGGAGGGGTAAACGGCATGCCCATTTGGTGGTTCAGTATTTGCAGCTCCAGCCCGCCACTTGCCCTCTGGTGAACGAACAAAGAACCGGAGTGGGGACGGTGGCAGGGACTATCGGCCCCGATGCCGCTGCTGCTGCCACATAATTTTGGTCGGCATGTTTGTGCATCAAGCAGTTGTAATGAAAACAAAAAAGCATGTTAAACTAGGTACGATTTTGTTTCTCTTCGCAACCTTTTTAAGATCAACATGCTCGTTTTCTCATTAAAAATTAAAACAGCGCAAGGACACGGACACGAAGGTAAACGAATGAGGCGCAGATTTACAACTGAAGTGCGGAAAATTGGCACCGACTTGCATCATTGAAACACAGAAAATTGGAAGATTAGGGGAAAACTGTTGAGTCAGGGCGCTCCTTCACTATCTTTATCCGAAAAGGAATGCTGCTTTCTGTGGCGCCATCTATGTGGAGCACTACAAACTCTCACTCCGGGTGGGTGACCGGTGCGACCAGTTAAACTGACGGAGATGGTTTCTCGTGGATTTTCAATGAAGGACTGTCGTGCTCTCGGTTTATTTTGCGCACTCTCCCATAGAGTTCAATGCAAATTCGATTCATATCTTTTTCTTCTCGCCGCAGCGCCATCTGTCGCAAATCGGCGGTACACAATCCGGTAGGCTTCTATGGGCCGTTTCCCCACCTGTCTACCTTGCACCGTGGTCGAGACCAATTATCACGAAGTCAACATCAATGAGAAATCGCTTCGCTATTTTGTTATCAACGACTTCGGTTAACGAAGTGCAAAAGGGAATGAGAAATTGTGATCGCTTCGCTGTAGCCGCCATTTCGTTATAACCGGTCTCGACAGTACAAGCCTCAGCACCAAACACAGCATTGGGGTTACAGGCACAACAGTCAGCCTTTAGAAATCCCGGCCTCCATGCTCTGGCTGATTGCATCCACTTGCTGTGCACAAGGCACCCAAGTATTGTCCAAGGTAGGCAGCTCACCCTGGAGGGATAACTGAAGCTTATAATTATGGAGTTAAGAGACAGCAGTGAAGACGGGAAAGTAGTCTCAAAGAAGCTTCTTCCCCTCGTTCACAATAGTCAGGGATAAGCAGTATTACAAATACAAGTTTCAAATACTTTGTGTATTTAATTACAAACTGGGTAATGTATTTGACGTGTATTTAAATACTAAAACATAGGTATTTTAAATACAATTTTGTGGGGGAAAATATATCCATCAAATTTATTGTCACTGTCCAAAGCAGGAAGAAAACTATGTTCTGCACTGAATGCAGTCTCTCAATCAAGTACAAGCGTTTAGTGACCGATTACGGTGCTAGTCCAGGGCAAGTATAGTGACGAAATGGACATTCACAGGCAGACTGGCTAAATAAGTGCCTGCAACAACTTGTGATGCTTTCCATCCATATTTTTGCCTGAAACATTCTAAATGCGTGGATCGTCCAGATTTTCGTAATTGGTGCGAGTGGCAACAATAAACAATTCTCTAGCTAGTGCTGCGCGTCTTGGTCGTCTCGGTCCTTTGTTGGTCTATACAAAAATGCAATCGACAAAAAAAGCTGCTTGCTTTCTACTTTTTTCACCTATTATGTCCAAGCCGATTACATTTTTTTTTTTTTCTGATTACATTTCCATTGCGTTACTAGAGCCTTGCACACACTCCCGAGTATGCGATGCAAAATTAATACGATACCCAGAAACCCGTTGCAGGTGCCCTGAAGTCGCCAACGCAAATTTTGAGGAATGCATTTGGAAAAGTATTTGGAGGAGACCAAATACATTTGGTTGTATTTGTATCTTGTACTTAAATGCTTTTTTGGAAATGTAATTAAATAAATTTTTGACGAAGTATTTTGTATTTGTATTTCGATACATATTTGCATGTATTTGAGCAGCTCAAAAAATGTTCAGTACTCTGGGAACGTTCAGCAGCCCTATAACCATGTGCAAGAATATGAACAGACTAGCGATCACTGCAGCTTGCCAACAGTAATAATACTATCTGACGAGCTCATCCTGGCAAGTTACATTCACCAAGCTTCAATGCCAAACACAAGCACCGCTACATAGTAAAGAAAAGTGCACAAGAAATGTACTATCCAGCTCTCGGATGAAGGAGACACATGCCACCTGGTGCCCTCCCAGCAACTTTATTACTGAACAGGTGATCATCACGCCCGGTAGCCATAGCTCTGAATCACTTTCTGCATTGGCTCTATCTGCTTCGCTAGCTGAACCTTGGCTTCGGCAAACAGTTTCTGCAAGCAAAAAGGAAAACAGTGTCATACACCACTCTCCAAAAATCCTTTTACTCAAACTATCCAATTATTCTCAGTGAAAGTTTGACATCACAGCAGATCAAACAATGTAGGTATGTAAGCATCATGGAAAAACGAAATGATAAGGCAAAGAGATGTTCCCGGGTACTGACCACATTCACACTAAACAAAAATGTACCATAGGCATAAAATTAAATCTGCAGCTGGAACACGTGGCCTTTGATGCATGCTGAGCTACCCATACCTGTACAAATCCTTATAACATGAGCGACAATGTACTGAAGGCAATGCAGCTTGCATTGAAGGCCACACATTCCGGCGTTGCTTTTTGTGCCCCATAGTACACACATCCTGATAACATGACTGACATAATATTGGAACTAAATAGGATGCAAAGTTGCATGCAATGCTGCTATTGGCGATCATACTGAATACGTCTAAAATGCAAACCACACGCCGCGATGCAGCCGCAAGCACTTCTAACTTTGATCGCAGTACCCACTAAAAGGAAGACTTTGGAATGTCAGGCCAGCACCCCATGAGCATCCAGGAACCCTACGAGATGGTGCCACAAAAGTGCCTACCCTGTCCCTCTTCTTGTCCTTGTAGTACAGGGCTGCCTTGGCTTTCCTCTTCATTTCCAAGGACTCGATGACGTTCTGGTACTTCCAGCCCACCTCGTGGCCCAGACGGCCCAGGGTGCAGTACTGGGCAGAGCACAAGGAGGACGCACGTCAGACTCCACAATAGCAAGCAACCAGATCGAGGAGCCGTGCCAAGGCCCATCAGTTCGAGCATTGGTTTCACGGCCAAATGGCTCAAAGTAGGTAAGGTTTACTACTCATCCCAAAAGCACTCAAAAGGCTGGAACTAGCTACCGAGGCAACACATCCTACGGGCACAGTTCGTAAATGTAGCCTTCCGTGCAAAATGCTGGCAGTAAAGGCGCACAAACGAAACGAATGCAGAGCAGCTACCTAATCGCAGTGATGGCGGGAGACCACCAGCACTGGATTTTGTTCAAATACCTGTCCACACACCCCTTTAATCACTTGAGTTGTCTTAATGAAGCACGGTCATAGCAATAGCTATGACTGTCTCGGAGCTGTCGGGTGACAGCTCCCAAACGAAAGGCGGTAGTTCAAAATTTTTGTCTTCACTATTGGCAGCCAGCATGGGGCAGTGCTCGTCCTCACTAGACTCTGGTTCAATTGACAAGGACACGGTGGAATGCCATCAGGTAGCCGACACTCAAGATACAGCACTAAGCCATCGCCACCTACGGCTGGAGACAAGAATACAGCAGAAGCTGCACCTCCAGGAAACGCCAGGCTTTGGCTTATCATTTTCATTTGCAAACGACCACTTCCATAGAAAGCTGTAATACTCCTCTTATCTCCACAAACAAAAGCCAAATCCATCGTACTCGAGACATCAACCACAGCAAGCGTTTGGCTAATCATGGAAGGCCTATCGCGACGATGCTTTTGGTCGTGCACGTTGCCAATAGTAGATGCTGGTTTGGGTTGCCGAAGTGGTTCCAGCCCAATTGGACGAAGAGCAGAGGAGGGTTGGGCACCTTTCGCCTGGGGTTGAGCCGGAGGACCCGCAGGGCCGAGGGCACCACCATGCGCTTCTTGCGGTCGTACGGGGGAGGCACGCCCTCGAACATCTTGAGCCTGTCCAGGGCCAGGGCGCCCCGCTTGGTCTTGTGGGGCACCATGCCCCGCACCGTGCGCCAGAGGATCTTGCTCGGGGCACGGAAGTGGTACGGCCCACGCTTGGGGTTCACATTGCAGCGCTTGCGCAGGAACGACAGGTACTTCACTGTAACACAATGCACGAGGCAATGTCAAGGCAAGCTCCATGGGAAGGAGGAGCCTACCCACATCAAGAGATCCAAACACAAATCTGTTGATACATTAGAAGCCTAAGCATATGCTAATACCCTGTGGGGACCACGTGTTTCCCGTCTCCCTATCTAGGCCTAGCACGAGCAGGCCGTGGGAGCGTTATGGCGACGTCATCCCGGATACGGGGGTAAGGCCGCATTCCTCGAAGAGGGCGTGTCTTCCCTCGCCCTTTTGGGTGAAAGTGCCTCCGGCGCACCCTTCGGAAATGATTGTGGACGCGGCCCATCTGCGGGATAAGCCACACTACCTACCCCGGGCGCGTCCACTTTCCGCTGGCTAGATAAGCGGCCGCGAACGGCGGCCCTGACTCTCGTCGGGGAAGGCTCTGGGCCACGGAGCCTCGTTCTTTTTGGAGCTTTCCCCTTTCCACGATTCTGCCTAATGCGGCAGCGTGGGCCCCCTCCAGGTGAATCTGTCTAATGCGACAGCGCCGACCTTTTTCCGTTCTTTTCTTTTATTAGTTTGGCCGACGGGCACAGCGTGGTGGCACAACAGCCAAATAAACCCGCTTCTTCAGTATCTTTGTGTTTTGGAGTGAATCCTCTCCTCGGAGTCCACGGCAGCCTCCGGACGGACCCGGCCGTAGCAGTCCTCTACATCGAGCTACGGAGTGGGATCGACCTCGTGGTGCAGCAAGGCAAGTCGAATCCCACAACCCTTACATAATTGCACTAGAAAAAGAAAAAGGCGCCTCTAAAAGCCTCCAAAGATGCAGCACTGGGCTGCATGTATCAAGGTTCAGCAAAGTTTACTCTGATGAGAGTTCAGTGTCACTTGAATACCTTGTGACATATTTGTGGTAATATCTTGGTGCTCTCCAAAGCATGCAATCAAATGAAAAAAAAAAAATTTTACGCGGTGAATGATGTTGACTGGAGCGAAGCTCTGGTGGTGCATGTCTGCGTAGACTGAGCCGCAGCATGCCGAGCCTTTCGTTCGTTTTCATCCATGTCATGGTGCAATCAAATACTCAAGTGCGTATATAACCACGTTCCATACCACACATTCTCTTTCTGACATCGGTGAAAACGAACGAAAGGCTTGGCATGCTGCGGCTCACAGTCTACACAGACAAGCACCACCAGAGCTTCGCCCCAATCAACATCATTCACCACGTGGAGATGCGGTTTCCCGCCCCCTACACAAGCACGGGAGCATGTGCACCCGACGGCGGACGGACATGGCTAACCCCTAAGGAGCTTCGCCCCTAAAAAAAAAAAGAGGCTTTAGTGAGATTGAATGAATTTTACTAAGCAGCACTGGCATGAAGCTGTACTCAGTCACCCTACGATGGACTATCGCATTTGATAGAGTACGCTGCACCTCTTCTATCTTGGCTTTAATCAGCCATTTTGGTGCCGAAAAAGATATGGTGGAAGGGGGATGCGAACCCCAGTCTCCGCAGACACGCCATGGATTACTACCGAAGTTCGGACGCACCCCAGATCGGAACGCGCTACCTGAAATTACGGCGCGAGACATGGTTGTATAAAAAAACAATACTAATTGTGCCGCAAAACCCTGTAAACTAAAGATTTCAAAAAGCATCATGTGCCTCCCATTGTACTAATTTCCAATAAAGGTTCCTACAATAACAGCTTTTTTTTTGTTTATCATTACACAAAAACATGCTTTCTACGCTTATGGTGACCACAGTAAAAAACAAAGCTTGAGCCACCATCTTGGCACCTCAAGCCTGGGAGTTTTGGTACTCTGGGAACATTTTGTGACTTTAGCAGTAGCCATATAAAGCAACTTTCATGTTTTCACTCGTTGCTAAAGGGTGGTGCTGTTATCGTTTTTAGCTTAAAGACCCTCAATGTGTTCGCATTTGTCTTGCAAGTGCCGTCAAATGCGCCAGTACACGAGGCCAGTGCCTCGAGCAGCCCTTAGAAGAAAAATGTCTGAAAAACATTGAATTGAGCGGCACCTGGGAAGCAAATGGCGGTGGAGCACCCGCTTGCTGCACGAATCTTGCACGTTTCCACAACAATGGTTGGCGGTACTTGTAAAAAAACATCAAGGGGCTTTAATTTAGCTCTGTCTCGGTAGATGCCAGCGACTCAGATTTTCACGGCGAGTTTCCCAACTGAGTGCCTAATGGTGAATTCCACTCGTAGATCTGGAGCGCTTTCCAAAATCCGCGAGGGAGGCAAAATTCCGCTCCGTGGGACCCGCTCCGAATCGACGAGGGGAAGATAAACTTGCATTTTTGGAGCGACCTCCCCCACACCCCTTCCCCCTCCGCCGTACAAAATGGCAGCTGCTCGAACTTGACCAGCCCACCAACGCCTCAGCCGGCTGATCTGTCCGACGACCAGTGACGACCGTCACTGCTTAGCTGCAGAAGTAACACGCGACACAGGCCGGGCGAAATTATACACGGCGCCCATGTCACAAATAACGAAGACTTCCGCGTTCGGCTCCGTCACACACCTTTCGGCTGCCTCGAAGCGGCGGGGCACGGACAGCGATTGCCAGCGGTGGAGTTCAGATTTGTAGTAGGACTTTAATAAACACAAAGGTAAGAAACCATCACTTGCGCGGTCGTTGCCTAACCACTTCTTGCTTTATTTCACGGTAAAACGCCGACGGAATGCAGTGTAAAAAGGTAAACAATCACTGGCTGCAGAATGAATAGGCTTAACCTTGCGTCTGCCTCCGGCTTTTCTGTCGTTCTTCCTCTCACGATCACAGATGTCAGCGCTTACGATTTGCCACGCTCCACATTCCCGGTTTTTTATCCCTGATCTACGCGAGGTAGAAGCGTTCGAGCCGTCACAATCAAGAGTAAACAACCAACGCACCCAAACAGAACCAACTCCACGACTCGACCGGCCCGCTAATCTCTACAACCTCGCCAGGCATGCGCACCACCGATTTAGACGGAAATCACGTGGGCCACTCTGTCAACTTCCGGAGAGATCTGTGAAATCCCACAGAGCAAGTTCGGCGGAGTTTGGGGCGCTCCGTGGAGCGGGCGCTGCCAGAGATCTGCGAGCGGAAGATGACCAACTTGAGCCAGATCTGCAAGCGGAATATGCGCGCTCCAAATGGAGCGCTTGAGATCTGCGAGCGGAATTCACCATAAGTAACGTTGGGTGAGACGGAGTATAGTACCATTTTTGCGATGAATTAAACTTCAGAATACTCCTGCACACCAGTTTCATTATGCAATTTGCTTCCTTCAACTCGCTCAAGTTGGTGAAAAAAGAAAACCAGGCGAACACTTGCTAGTTTAGGGGGGTAAGAAAAAAAAAAAAAGGAAAGATAAAGGAGCAGTGTAGGGGCACTTACGTTTACTCCTGAAGAAACTGCCCGAGATGCAGATGCCTTCGCATCGCACCACAACCACGCGCTGGCCTGCAAAGCAAGAAGCAAACCATTCCTGAAAGCACAACTCAGACAGAAACAAAAGTAAGAAAAAGAAACATTGCACTCTCAGATGGTGATGCATGATACGGGTATAATCACACAGCTTCATACCGGTGGATGGGATAGTTTATCATCATGTTAAAGACTTGTGGAGGTTGAATGATTGCTACAAAAAGGACTCACCGTGGAGGAGTGTCTTTGCGATCAATGCCGAGAGACGGCCAAGGAGATGGCCTTGGCCGTCGATGATAATAGGCTGGAAAAATTCGAAGAAAGTTAGATCGAGAACTCTTGATCCATGACAGCACAGCCCTAAACAGTGGTGCGGCAAGTTTTACAATCACATTTAATCCGAATAAAACTCATGTGCCAATGATGTAGCCGAACACTTTACTCGGGAAACTCTGCCGTTCGCCAGCAAGGTATTGCGAGCTGGGATTTCAAATTCTCGCTGCTAATCGAAGCCGGCAATTCGACATTTCGCAGGGTAGGCCTAGCTAACACTGCCATGTGTAGCCGCGACAAGTTCGTTTTTAAGAGTTTTGGGAGCGGCCCTTAAGACTGGCATGCCTAAAAATATATATTACCAGCAGAATCAAATTCGCTGGGTAACATTCATTACGCCGAAAATGTGAGGAGGTGGTTTCTTGAACACATGATCTTGCTACATAGGCACCGCCACGTGAGAAGCACACTGGTAGAATTGTTAAATTACGCCGCAAAGAGATCGGCTTAAAAGTCAGGACGAGCGGTTACTGTCAGTACAGTCATGCGAATAAAACATTTCGTAAAACAAGGTTCACTGTAAGTTATAAAGGAGGACAAAATTAGGAAGACGCATACCTTGCTCGAGATACCAGTCATGATGACCGGAAAAAGAAAGACCGCGACGGGGTTCTCCGCGGAAGAGGCATGTCTTTTTCGTTGCCAGACGGTCTTTGCTTGTTTTCGTACTTCGTAAAATAAAAGCGCGTTTTGCTTTATACGCCTCACTTACTTCATAAATACTTCATATTATATATCTTTTATTGTCGTAAAATGTTATATTATAATATAATTTAAATTTTATACGAGACGGTATAAAACATTTTATGAAACGCCGCCTTTGTTGGCGTCAAGCTACGCTTGATCTGGAACACTGGGTGTCGCATGTTTCGTTTCATATTTCGTGGCGCGGTTGTTACATTTGCGATATTGCCTTCGTTGTTGTTTTTCCATGCATTTCCTAATAATGCATAGTTTGTTTGCGTGTAGGTTATAATGGAAGACTTTAAATCTATTTCGCAGGTAGGTCAGACGAAGTTGGTCTCATTTGGGTCTGGGTTCAGTCAACTTTCAGCGCGCCAATGTTTGCTTTGTTCTAGGCTTGTTTCGTGTCTTTACCACGAACGAAAAAGCATAATAAAAGCTCTAGGGAGCCGAAACGTGATATTGGAGAGCGATACACCATTTACCAAGAAACCTGGACGCATTTGGAAACAAGCATCCAGGTGTGATAGTCCGCAAACCGAACGACCCAGTCGCCTAGAGTGTGGAAACTTAAAAACCGTCTGTTTTTTTTTGTTTTTTTTTTCTCTCAGAAATGCCAATGCGATGCGCATGTCGACGCGCTGAACTCTGTCGTGTCGTACGTGCAAGCTCACAACCCATCTTTGAAACAAGCTCGCGAGCGAGTCGAGATTCCAACGGCAGCCCTCATCATGGGTAAGTATAACCTGTGGGGCATGACGTCACACCGTAATCGCCATCCAGTTCTTTGCGGAAAAGTTCTTTGGCCATGTATTGCTCCTTCATTCCTTCATACCCCAGTTAAAGTTGAACATTGTCGCTTAATCATAATTAGTCCGCCGAGGCCGCCTTCGTGCACTTTCTGAATAGACTGGTTTTCATACATTCAGCGTGTCTTGTGCCCGTGTGTAAAATAAACGCTGTATTCCAGGTGTCAACATGTCAGATCATGCGGAGGTTTTCAAGCTCCTGACTTGTAAGCTCCGTGCATCCGTCACTGACATGATTGCCACTGTACAGGTCAAAGATTGCAGCTCGATTTCCGTCCTGATGCAGAAAGTGGTTTCGGACATTGTTCAGGTGACTAGACTTCCTCAGAATTTAGTTGAACCATCTTTTTAATCAAAGTGCCGTTCCATATTTTTATGGTAATGAACTTTCATTAGACTGCGTCATCTGATGATGTGGTACTGAAGAAGAACCTGTGCACAATGTCCATGCTAGATTCATGGTACAAGTCTGCCATGGAAAAGGTATGTGCTCCAAGTTGTGTTGAGGGAGACTGATGTTTCTAAATCGGATTTTATTTTCGTAGGCACCGTGTTCACCTTCAAAGAGGCAGAAGAAAACAGGCTCGTCAGTTCGGAGAGGAGATCCGATTGTTGTCATACTCGAAGATTTGGAGGGCTTTAAGCCTACAGTTTTGCAAGATTTCATTCTAATATGCAGGTATGTAATAATACGACCCCAAAGTAGTGTTTACCAATATGTAGGATCTAGAAAGCCTAAACTTGTCACCTAGTGACGGGGGAGTATTGCAAAGAGACTCCCTGAGCATATGAATCTGAATTTAATTAGGCCTTTGTAAGGGCATCTATCGCAGGACTGACATATTGTTATCATTATTGATTGTTTTACAATGTTTCATAATAAACCAATTATTCAGGCAACTCTGTTAAGATAGTTGGGGCTTTTAAGAACGTGGGTTTTAGTTCCGACGTATTTTTGCCAAAATATTGACTTGCGTAACAAGAATGCGGGGTCATTTTTTGTTCATCTAAAATTTCGGTTAAAGGGGTCCTGCAACGACTTTTTGATTGGTTCTTAATTTGCACCGAACCTGAGCGCACCGAGCGTAGTAACTTAGTGAAACTTTTCTTTTCTCGAAATTCGCTTTATTTTAAAGTTATAGGCAAATTAAAATTACAAAAACAAGCAAAAAATAACCTCTTTCATGATATCCCTGGTCCTGGCTCGGGTGGCCAATGGTAGAAGTGAAGCAACTGGCCAATCGGCTGCGGCTTACATTGATGGTCGCTTCCTCTGCAGCTGCAAGCATGTCAACGGCTCGTTGCTTGCTTCAGCCCTTTGCCGCACTTGCCGGCATGAATTTACCGGGTCTGTCGAAGTTGGAGCTTTGAAATCTCGATAGGAGTGTGGAGCTGGGGGTTGTACCGTACGAGAACGCTACTTGTAAGCGTCCAGAGCATGCTGGCGAAGCCTTTCGATAACACTCAAGTTTCGGGTGGGTCTCCTGTGATGGGAGACCACGGAAGACAAATTCATACTTACGCTTCTTGCAAATTGTGCCCCCAGCGTCGTGTATTGTCTGCTAGGAACCGCGGGGACGCCTGTGCCAGCCTGCCCGACTCTTCCACCGCTTGGTGGCGGATTTGTTGACGGGTCATTGCGTGTTAATTCCTGTTTCCGTACTTTCTGAACTGCATTTGTTTCTTTTCTCATTTAAGTTGCTGAACAAAAACTTCTTTTATACATAATCGAAACGGTTCGTGCCATTTCTATTACGTATTTCGACTAAAAAGAAGCTTTTAGTGGCTCTGAGCAGTACCAGTACCGACGACGTCACGAATTTGTCACATGTCGTGCACATTCGGCACCACGGGGCATCCCAGTAGGAGGAAGAGGTTTCTGCATCCTCCAGTTAAAATTTGACGCACTGATATTTAATGTCTCTCTGTGCCTGCTGGGTTCCCCGAATCACGAGAGATGTGGAAACAGCAAAAAAGGTAGACGCTTAAACAGGATTGCAGGGCCCCTTTCAGACGTCTCTCCTCGGTAGACGCTTCCTCTGGATGTCTTCATTTTTGCTTGTCTTACTCTTTTAAAACCAGTTTTTTCTCAATGCTTTCCTCATTTGGTTTTTTAAGCCTGCAGCTGCTTCGGAATGTTTTTATGCTAGCCATTCTGGGGTCATGCTGCAGGCATATCCAGAGCTGTATAGAGATGTCATTGCGGAGAGCAAGTCGTCTTGCTTCTTGCGCAGTGGTTGCGGTGACGTCAGAATGACACCAAGCTCCGAATGGCTTTGATTGAAAGGATAGTGGGTAGACCTCAATGCTAGATGCCTTGTGGTCTACCCACTATTTTTTTCAATCAGCCAACAAGAGCTCGGTGTTCTGACATCATCGCAACCCCTGTGCAAGAAGCAGACAAACTTGCGTCCTTGAATCTTGTCGTTCACAGTGACCTTTGTTGCCCAGTTGTTGTTTCACTGATGGGATAATTTTTGGGCACCCTCCGCCTCCAGCAACTACATCGACCGACTTCCGCTCGTACTGATCCTGGGAGTGTCCACGACGGTGAATACCGTCCACAGGCTGGTTCCGCAAAGAGCCTCCTCTTGTCTTGCCATCGAGACGTTTACTTCCATCCCTGTGACGGAGTACCTGAGCCAGGTGTTTGAAAAGGTGGGGCATTTGGTTCACGCAGCCGCTCTGCACGATACCGCGAAATGCCTGGAATGTGTCTTCGACTCGCGCGTTTATCATTCTATCCCACCTATGCATCGAAAGTGTTCCCAAGGGGGCAGTAATTTGCATTGGAGGAGCCTGTGAGTCATGCCGTCGGATATCGCAATCCTGGCGGTTGGTTGTAGAAGTGCTGGCGAAAAGGCGAGCAGATGTGAGGGCCGCTTTTGTTGTGGCGTCTGCTTTTGTTTTCCTCATCTGTCTGGCTGCAGAGCGACCTGTAGCTGAGCAGGTATCTGCCCACATCCACCTCTGCTGCTGCATTGTTTGCCAGGATCGCAAGAGGCAGTAGCATGACAGTTTCATAACATCATCAGGCGGAATTGGAGGGATCACTTTTGAGGATCCGGTGAACACCAGTCGGATACGTGCTTGAGGTGCTGTAATGATACTCCAGTGCCCCACGTGACCACTGCATTCCTTATAGAGGAAGCAGCTTAGAAAATTTAAACGTTTCGTCACTGGTTGAGACATTTAAATTTTCTCGTTGATACACGTCTGTCGGTTATGTGTTGGACATAGTGGCCAATAGACCGATCTCACTAAGCGTTCGGCGCATGCGTCACGCCGCCATAACTTTAGTTCTCAGGAGGCAGACGGCCGTGCACGCAAGGGCTCGTGCCTTCTCGTGCTTTACACGCACAGAGCTCCAGCGAGGTTATCGCACGTGCAAAAAGACTAAAGTTCCCTCGATGCATTGCGGCAGCGGTGGCGTAGTTAAACTGGCTGGTGAGATCGGTCTATTAGAAGTTGCATTGTTTTACCCTGAGCAATGCCTGATGGATTCTTGTGAGCGGTGAGAAATTTCGACATTTCTTGCAAGGACAAGAGACTTTCATTGCTTTTATATTTGAGAATCTTTATTCTGATTGCAGTTTAGTAGGCTTTTCATCTCAATTGGTAGGCCTCAACCTCTCTTCCAAGATAAATAAACCAATGCCGCTCCCGTTAAAATCGATCACCCGTGATGACGATTTGTGAGCTCCGTTGCAAAACTCCATTGCAAAACCTTCAATGCTTTTCTGGACAAGTTACGTCATCTGGCGGTTAGATTCAACATTTTATTTTAGTTTCTGTATACGTAGTTCTTTTTCTTTTTGCCCAGTAGAGTGTGACATGTCGTGATCAAAAGCGCAGCCATGGAAGAGCTCTCTGCATTGTGAACATGGCGTCTTCATCACGCGTCGCATCTTCTCCAAAGCGTTCTTGGTATCTGAGTGCCTCTGTGGTCTATTTTGTTGATGACGCTAGCACGAGTCAGTCAAACAATTATGGCCGATCATATGATTTTAGTTCCGACAGTGATGATTCGTCAAATCAACCCGGAACATCAACAACTGCGCGTCGGTAACGCTTGTGTTGGTTTTGGCTATGGTTTTAAGTCTGCCAGTTTTATGTGCAAGTCCCGGCGGTTTGTGTTTGTAATCAGTGCATCTGGTGGCTAGATTAGAGGCTCTAGTTTCAGTTTCTGTATAGTTCTTTTTTTTCGGCGAGATGATGATTTTGTGTGATCAAGAGTGCAGCCGAGAAGATAGTGCTCCAAGGAGGTAGCACTCCACATTGCGAACATGGTGTTTATATCATGCGGCGCACCTCCTCTGAAGCAGTTGAATTCTCGCTATTCGGGCGTGTCTGCGGTTGACTGTGTTGATGACACTAGTAAAAGTGAATCGGAAGATGATGTCAGATCATCAGATTTTGGTGGTTATGGAATCAAAAAGTATTATATCTTCAATGAAAAGACTTGCGCATGTTATGCATGATCAGCACTTTTTTATACTGTCAACAAGCACATGCTTGCAAAATGGAGAGAAACGAGAAAATACATGGTCACAAATCTTCATCAAGAAGCTGCAGCTTGTCAACGACTACAATGCAGGAATGCTTGGAGTTGACAAATGAGACCAGTTGTTCGGCTTGTATAACATCCTGATGAAGTGCATCCATAGGTGGAAAACTATTCTTTAAGTGCATTGGTATCTCAGTTGTCAACAGCTTCATTATTTTTCCAGTACACCATAAGCAGCATCCAAACGTTCTTAAACTATAAAATTTAAAAGCGCTAACAAAGACGAGGACAAAAAAGAAAGGCGAACAGGACGATCGCTTAAATTTTAACAAAGACCCTCGTCTTTGTTAGCGCTTTTAAATTTTATATCATAAACCAACTCGCCCGTTTCACCACTTTAGTTCAATTCCTAAACTGTACAGAAGATTGCGCTTTGATCGCCGGGCGTTCCAAGCGAAGCTTGCCCAACAGCTTCCTTGACTTAATGTAGAGTATGTCCGTCCCCCCTTCTGCCCCTGAAAACCTTCATCAAAAGCTCCAAAATATAGAGAAGCGGTGCAACTGTAGGATGTGTTACGAGTGCAAAGTTGAGTACAAGACCAATGTCATCTGCAGTACCTGCAACGTTTACCTGTGTTTTACGACATCACGAAACTGCTGTACCGCGTGGGACACACGCCACAATGGTCGAGACTATGTGGTAGAACTTGATGAGTTTTTTTACCTTTAGCGGTACAATTTGCATCCTTTCTTGCTATTGAAATTTGGCATTTTTTGTATATTTTGGAATTTTTCACCTGTCATTTTTTGCCAAGATATCTGCATATCTTTCTCATTTTTGTTGTGTTGGCCACAATAACTTGAGTTTTCATAAATTAAATCTTGTATAATATATGAAACATAGCATTGATAAAACAAATTTTAAAAGCTCATGTTTTCCTCAAAAAAAGATACTGCGGCCATCTATAAATTATTAGTTTTTCCGTGATAAGGAAAGAGCTAAGCTATGACGAGCACTGTCTACTTGTGACGCAATAAGGTGCGCTTAATGTTTCATGATAGGAATTGAAAAGAATGTGTTATTGTGATGGTATTGCAATTAATGCAAACGTGCAAGCGAGCTGGACAAGAATGACGGTAATTACCTCTAGAGAAGGGATTGCTATCGTCCTGGGATGTGTCATTGTGTTGTCTTACCTCATTTTGGTCCCTGTCATTTTTATAGTCTTTAGAATGAACCAACTAGCCCAATTAATCACTTTGCTATTGGTGACTGCATGCTTTGTTTGCAGAAACTGATAAGAGGATGGTAGTCATGCACCAGTGTATAATCAGTTAATCAGACATGCCCAACTTTTCCAGTGTTTTGTTGGACCCTTGTGGCTGCCACTTTGCTGTCCCCATAATTTTTTACCACTAATGTCTTCCATCATAATTTTCCAAACAGTCCCAACTTTTAGTTTTGCTGTTTGTTCTGCCCTTATCATCTAGGTATTGCTAGATCCGTCAATGCCTTTCAAACTGGGCCCTCGGGCATTCCAGTTGATCGTGGACGTCGTTCTGTTTCATGACTTCTCTCTCACAAATCTGCTGCAAATGTTGAAGGTGAGGGGAAATTCTGTAAATACTCTGGAAAATCAACTATTAGTTTTCTGGAAGTTTCATTAGCACAGGATAACGAACTCTGGTTCTAGCAATGCTGAGCTACCAATAGTGCTTCTGAAAGATGCCAGCTGAACGTAAGAAGGTTCACAAAAAGAGAGAGAAAGAGAAATGGGACGAGCACACTGCTGCTGAAGCTGCAGCATTATTCAAAGTCGTCATTGTTAGGTTACTAGACCAGCAGAAGGAACTGCTGAAGGAATAAAAAAGAACTCTCGACATCGTCGCATAATTCTTGTCACCGCGCATACTTTTAAATTCCATGGCAATAACCTTTTGACCTGGAGTATGTATTTATATGCAGTATTTGTTTTAACAAGGTGCATTCTTGGGGTAATATTTATTTTTCTCATTCAGAACACTTTCTATAGTTGGTTTCTCTATCAAAATACAATCCTAGAAAGCGGCATCATAATACTTTTTATTTAGCATGAAAAAATGTCTTCTAAAAAGGCAGATAAAGGTGCCTATCATTGCTAGTACCGCTGAGCTTTGCAGCATCAACTTCAAAATCACATCGTAAAGGAAGGTTACAATTTTCAGATGTGCATATTTGAGCATTACTACAGTAACAGTGCCTCCATACTGTGCTGCCGGCAAGAAGAACTCGTATCTGTTGTTCCTGCTCTGTCACGAGACAAAATACAAACTGTCACAACTCTGCCATCATATCAGAGGTAATTTATTCTATCCATACTGTGCTAATGAATTGAATTGATACTGTATATAAAGCTGATACTAGCTGTATGTGCATAGGCAAGCAACCGCTGCTGCCTTTTTCTGTAAACAGCTTCTGCCTCAAGTAGTTACAGTGAATTATTTTTTTTTATCTCAGTGTTATGATTTAGCAAAGGCATAATATGCAGATGCATAGTTTAGTGAGAGCTCTGCTGCACAACCATTCATGTCACAGAGGCATGCTTCATATTAGAACATTTGCTCATTTGCTGCTTGTTTGAGCTACAGTAAACACAGCCAGTGAGAATCTTTGTCTTCTGTCGCAGAGAAAGTACTCGCATTAAATTTGTTTCTTCAGGTACCTCCCCGAGAACAAAATGTCGCCCGAGAAGACCTCTAAGGTGTGTTCCTCAAAGATCCAACCTCGTCACCACTTTATTTTGTACCCGAGAAATATTTTTACAAGTATGCAAGTTCTTTTCACACTTACTTTGTGACTAACCATCCTCTGGAAAACCATTTCAGAAAATCTTCTCACTAATTCAGGACCTGCACAACCACCACAGAAGTAGCCTGGTCTTGCTTCAGGCCCTTAGTGAGTTCTCGAAGAAGCTTCCTGGCAGCCCTCTTGGAAATCATGTGGGTTTCTAGACTTCCTTTAGCTATATAGTACTCAGTTTCACCTTACCACAGCAAATTCTACAAGCCATATAAGCCAATTGAGTGTTAGGAATGTGTTCTGTGACTACACACCCCACGCATTGCTGCGCCCCCGATGAAGGTCACATGACATTCGCACAACATTGGTTTAGTTCGTAACGTCCTCTGTGGTCCATCGTAAGTTGAAATCGAGTGTAGTGTTAGACTTACACGGAAGCTATAATAGCTGAAACGAGTGTTTCTTTTTAAGAAAATTATTATCTCCTTTCTGTTTATCACTGGGAAGCTTTTAACCTTTCTTTTATTTTGTAATAGGTCAGACTGACCTTTCATAGCGCGACAGCGTGAAAATCGCAGCGCATGGTCTAGATCTAGAAACTGTTCTTGCGTGCATTATATGCCGTGAAATCGTGTTGCCACTTTTATACTTTAGGACTTTAAAGGCATGTTCACATGGGGACAACAGTCGGTGAACCAGCAAATGGCATGTCTCATTGTTTTTATTAAAAGCCATTGATAAGCAGTGGCAAGGTAATCAGTGTCAGATGGGAAGAAAAGTAACAGAACAGACAGGCACAGACTTCCCTGTGTGATTCCTGTTACTTTATTTAGTGTATTGACTTTATTCGCTGGGTTGCATTCCCTGATGATGAACTTGCTTTGCAGGACCACTGCAAATGGAAATTCACCTGTACATGCTATCTTCTGTTTCAGTTTCGAGAGCTGTACATCTCGTACCTTGAGTCGCCCCTCAGTGAGACGGAGGGCTTTGCAAAACTTGGGAAATTGATCAGGTAAGTTTTACGTAAATCCCGTCTGCAGAATATTAAAGCAGGTTTGTTCTGAAATAGATTACTTTAGTTCTTTGCCTGTTGCGACTTTCCAGGGTTATGTCCATCGATGAGCTCCAGAAGAGGCTGGGTAGTGCTCTCGTCCCTTTCGACACTGTAGGCAAGCAGCTCTTTGAAACGGGCCTGCAGGAGTTCAGGGACGGCCTGGCGTCTTACAAGAAACGGCTGGACGACATCTCAGGTCATTATCATTGTGCTGCAGATTAGAAGGATACAGACAGAGTAATAGACTTTTGAAATAGTACAGCTACAAAGAGTGGTTCTAAATCAAAAAGAACAAAACATACAGCTGTATGAATTGCTTTTTTGTCTCCCGTGTTTATTCTTTTGCCTGCCCTGCGTTCAGCAGAATGCTCTCCAGTTAATTTTTAGATGCTGCATTTTGTATTCTATAGTTAATAACATTTGCCTATAAGTCTGGCAAATCGAGCCATTGCTACATTTGTTTCCAGGCAGCATAGTGTAAATGTTTTACTCAAATGTGGCAGGTTTTCGAGGTATGTTTCTAGCATTTAACAATCAAAATTAGACGTAAGTTAAAAAAAAAAAATAGATATATATACTTAAATATGGAGCAGGTGCTGACTCCAAATTTAGAGATAATTTTGGAAAACTGAAGGATGGATGCTCGTTGGATTTCTAGAGTAAAAATTGACTGCATGTTTGGTCATTCTTTCCAACGCGTTTTAATGCAGTAGCTTTTATAAGGTGGCTGATGGCTCTTAGTTCAGGTGGTGCCCAAGGCAGGATGATCCTTAATCTTCCAGTGCCTGGGGTGGGTGGTGCTCTTAGTTGAGGTGGTGCCTAGGGCAGGGTTTTGTAGGGAAAAACGAATAAGTCACCCTATTGTCTCCTCATGACGCTGCGTGCGCTTCCCTGCAGCGCCACCCAGATGCAAAGCCTTTGCACTGAATTTTCTGGGTCACCGAGAAAGGGGAAGCACGCTTTCCTGCCCTTTCCACTCCTCTTTTCGCGCACTCTTTTCACACCACCTGTTCTTGCTCCTCTTTTTCTTGCCCTTTCTAATATTCCACTCCTCCTTTTCCTGCAAGCTGGATCTGTACCTCACTGAGCAGTGCACTCTGCTTCCATGCCTGTGACCGTGGTTCAATCCCTGCATCGGTTGCCGCTATTTCTTTAAAATCGTTCGGCGGTTACAGACTGACCAATCTGCACATTTTGTGCTTAAACACAGCTCCTGAGGTTGGTTGGCCCTATAAAGCTACCGCATTAAAATGTGGAAGGGCAATTGGTAGGGTGGGCTTCACCTCTTTGCATGGGTGCATCAAGCTTCACCTCTTTACGTCGAAACGGGCGTCAAACAGAGGCATCTCGGTTAGCTAGATGGGCTTGGGAAGTTTTTGGTCGGTGTTTGACATGTCCCTTGCTCATTTTTCAAATGTTTCAAAATTAGCAAGTGGACACTTATTGTGACATAAATGCTTGCTCAATATTTTACAATATGTTTATTTGCTAAACTATCTTTTTATACATTGTTTCTTGAACATTCGACGCAAGTTAGGTATTTCCTTGAATTATTTGAGTTCAGGGTTTTTATATGAAGATATAGTCATGTCAAGGTGACTTCCTTATGCCTACATTGTCGCTAATGGGGCTTAAGTTTAGCCAAGGAAGCTTTGAGATTAGAAGAATGGCTGTTCATCTATATTTGCTAGGGTGTATAAAGAAATGCCTTCTGCCATTTGCTTGCCAGCTGCATGGCTTAGAATGGTTATTATCTCGAAGTGCAAGAATAGAGTACAATGTTTTTATTCTACTTTTTCTACTTATTCTATTTCTACTTATTCTATTATTCTACACCAGCCAGATTATGGTTTTCCTGCCCAAGTCATCTTAATTTGGTCAGCCGGATGACAGTAGATCTCCATGGCAGCTCTCTAGTTCATTTGTCTGTGCTAGTATTTTCACCTTAGAAACACTCTGCTTCAGGTCAGAAAATTGAGGATGCTGAAATTGACGAAATCCAGGAAGCTTCCCCTCTTGACTGGGGTGACCTCAGGAGCAGGTCTCAGTTCAGAGAGGTAAGCAGGAAGACTTTGTGGATTCCTCTTGTTCCTGGTAGTGCTTCATATGCACCTGTTTTTTCTGTTGGTAACACAGAAATTGAAAGATCTGACCAAGACAAAGAAGGTTTCTCCCTTTGAACTGCTGAGGGAGGAATTCGCAGGCTACTTTAGAGAAGTGTTCAGGTAAGGTCAGTCTGGAATTTTTTTTTTTTTGAGGAGGTTAAACATTTTGTTTGTTAGCAGTCGCAGAAGTAATTGAATGTTGCAAAAAGAAAAAGTAGGAAGGTCTTCGAAAGGGCCATGGGCCATAAATATGAAAGCTCCACAAAGGTGAAAAAAAAAATGCTCTTCAGCCGTAATCCTTGTCAGCCAAGGTCATTATCACTCTTTTGCATGGTTATAAGTTTTTTAATGCCTCTGAACTCTTGTTTCATATTATGAATTTTTAAAAATCCTATTGGTTTTAAAGGGGCAGTCAAGTGGTTTTTGAGTTCGTGTTTTGATAATGACAGCTGAATTTAGACGCCTTAAGTATCCCTAAAAACCAAAAAGTATAGTCATACGGTGATTATTTCTTTAATAAAAATGTAATTGAAGGCCGCCAAACCTCGGATCCATCCGAAAACGAAACCACTCTCATTGGTCGTCGCACGCTTATCAAAAGGATCTCGGGCCAATGGCGTTGGACGACGTTCCGTCGCGCAGTGATCCCGAGGTAGCCGCATCGGCCGAACCTCTTTGTCATTCGAGCTTCGATCATGGCGGAGTTCTCTACGCTCGAGGACCTGACGCCGTTAGAGGTTGAAGTTCTTCGGCGGACAGCCGACCTGGGGATGATTTCCTATGACGCCACTCCGACGTGCGATGTGGACGATAGCAGCGCTTCGGAGTCATGTTCGGGTTCCGAGGACGACGAAACGCAGACCTTTTCGGGCGTTCTTCGATTTGCGGTTGGGGCAAGTCGTAACCAAACCAACGTTTGACATCGCAGCGTTACCTCTGGTACGTGATGTCAAACGATGTCGCCACGTTGACTTTCGCCTCGGGAGAACGGGGGGAAGGCTGGTTCAGACATGTGCAACGAGCGTGTACCTACGGCTGCGTCCGTTGCAACCGGAACGACCGCACTCCGCCGCGCGTACACACACCTGTAACCATTACAACAAGCGCAGCGGGTCGTCAGCACGGTGACCGCTTCTGTACGCCGCCGTCAGCTGTGTCAGCGGCCGCTCTAAAAAAGGGGACGCACTGCTACTCAATGCCGTAACAGAATATAGACAGACAGTTTTCTAGTCTAAAGCTTTATTATTTTTTCTTGATAGGCTTGCAGGGTACAGCGAATGAAAAAAATAAAATAAAAAGATGCAGCGCCGTCTTGGACGATCACGACTCTAATACACGACATTGCAATAGAACAAATATCGCCACACGCCTTTTCTACGATTATAAAAGACAATGTAATCTTAGCAGCGATATAGCAACGTAGAAATATGATTTCGTGATCAGATAGACGTTGCGAGCGTTCAGGATTGCTAACCCTAATCATTTTTCTCCGGTGATGAAAACGCGTGAAAATTCGTATCCTTTATACGGTACGCGCCAGTAATACCTTGAACTTGAGCACACGCATGAAATGCGCCAAATCAGAAATCCGGGCGATGTTCGAGGACACAAATGCTTAGAAAGCACCACTGTAGTCGAAGTAAACAAACACGACGGCGCGGGCGTTTTTGCTATCTTGAGAGTGCCGCCACGACATCGCCGCACGAGTAGGTGGATGTTCCCTTCTAGTACGTGCTGGGTTATCATAGCCAAACACGACGAAAATTCACAGTCAAGGATAGCGCTTTTACGCGGAACGATGAGCTTTCACCAGGCCGTCCATTCCGACGATCACCACCGACGCCACGTTTGCGGATAGAAGGAGCCGGCCGGCCTGCAACGCGCGGAGATACGTGCGCTTCCGCGCATCCCTGGGGAACGGGACATTCACCCCCCGCGGAGGAAGGCAAATAGAAAACGTAGTCCCTTGTTTGTGAAACGATAATTGCGCTATCGCGTATTCTAAACTAGAAATATTTTACGTCTTGTGAAATTATCATGCACAACATATTTAAATGAACTGAAAATTGTTTTTTAGCGAAACTTTAAAAAGACCGCCAAAATTTTCAAACATACGATAATTTCATTGGTCCTCGCAAGTACAGAAAAGAGTCCGCACGTATTTTATTCCTGCGTGATTAATAGGCGTTTCTGCCTTCTAAAACTGAAGATACTCATTCACTGACACTTCCTTAACACCACCGCACCAAAAAGTAGCTTCTCCAAAAACCGCTTGAGTGTCCCTTTAAGCTATGTTGGTTCCGGAGAGTTTTTCAAACAGTGCCCGAGCAGACTTTTTGAAGGAATGTTAGAAGGGTTCCATCAGACTACAAAAATAAGACAAAAAATTAAGCAAACTTACACTTAGGTTTGGCATCACTAGGTGGGCATCACTGATGAAACATGTTTGAACACTGTAGCTTGGCAACATGTGCTGTTTGCTGTTGATTCCAACATCATTAGTTTAATTGCTACCCAGCTTTGCAGTTTCAACATCGGTGAACATTGTGCAGGCATGCATATGTCTAGTCACTTATGCATGATTTATATAAAAGACCCCAGGTAAACAGTCATATTGCATTGGCCAAAATGCCCTCGTAGAATGAAGAAGTAAGACATAATTTCAAGGCAGTCTGATTTTCTGACCAATCAACATCTGTGTAGCAAGTTTGGCCTTACTAATAGTTTTAACAACATGCTTGTAGCTAGTTGAAAAAAACAAAAACTGAGAAAAATCATCTAGAGTCAACAGTGCAACTGTTTCGGTTTGTATTATTATCCATGAATTCACTCTGGTTCTCTACTGTCTGAAATCTTCAGTCAGCTGTGCCCTCCATCCCGACTGCCTCTCCACGAAGTGCTCTACTACGATGATGCTCCTTCCTTGAAGCAATATTTCGTCCCATCACCAAGATCTGTGCTTCATTCTGCCCTTGCCAAACCCTACACCTACCTGAAAGTGAGTTGTCCCATGGATGCTTGCTGAGTGCACCCTAAAGGATTTTTTTATGTGAAAAGGCTTAGGAAAATGGAATTGCTAACCCATTGTACTCTATGTGCAACATTTCGCAGTACATTTTGTGTTAAGCTTCCTCAATTAACTCTTTTCCTACTGCAGGAAAAAAGCTGTTATAAGGTGGTCTCTGTAAAAAAGGTATTTAGCCGCCAAATTCTCTACCTGGTGTAGCAAAGCATACCAACATGTAGCTAAGAGAATTCTTTTTTTGAAAATGTAAATGTCAAGCAAGATAGTTAATATATAACACAAGAAAAAGAAAGGTAATGTCAAATCTTGTTTAACCAATGCAGAAGTCTTTGTTTTAATTCAATGTGCTTTGCAAAGTATTAGGAGCAAAAAAAAAAAAAAAAAATCAAAGCTATGCATTTTGTACCTTACTCTTCTAGAAACAAATCCTCCAAGTTTGAAAAACGTCAGTGCAAAACTTCTTGTTCTGTGGAAAAAAAAGCTAGCCATGATGATGACTGTACCTTTCGAGGTCGGGGCCAGGCTGCCTTTTTGAAGGAAACTCAGCTTGTTTTGCTGTTGATTGTGTAAAATCAAGTCTATACAAGGTACAGAAGCAGAAGCAGAAGCCTGCAGAAGAAAAATAATGTGTTTGGAACAATACCAGTACAGTGAAACCCGTTTAGAACGAACCCATGTACAGCAAATAATTGTCAATATCGAACTCATGGAAAATTTAAATAAAAATGCATGTAAAAAGTACTTTGTATAACGAACACCATATTGGCTATATCAAACTTCTCTCCCCCCCCCCCCCCCCCCCCCCCCCGAGAAGGCTTCCAAAAACGTGCAAACAATCGTCTTCTAGCCTGTCCCTTCCCCCTCTCAAAAAAAAAAAAAAAAATATTAGGAAAGAAAGAAAATTTTGAAAGCTCAAGCCACGAACAAAATTGAGCAAAGAGATGCGATTCAGAAGGGGGGGGAAAAGCTAAAAAAAAACTCTCTCCACGCATGCAAAAAAAAAAAAAAAAAATCGAGCGAGTTGTTACAAGGCATAAGCGGAGAGATGAGAAAGAAAGAGAAGCTCTCGCCTTACAACGAACGGATCGCGGAAGCTATATCGAACCGATTGTAGCGTTTCCTGCTGTTCGTTATAAACGGGCTTAGCTTTGTCCACAGAAGCTCACGGAGACAATAAATTCCCTCAGCGTGCAAAACGAAACATACCGACAGACACCTGTGGATAATCTCGGCTGGTTCGACCCACTGCCAGATTCGCAACTAAAATCCAACGAATGGACGTCATCTTCTGACTGACTGCTGTCACTTTCATTGACAAAATTGTTTGCATATGCACCAGAATTGTGAATCGGATGATGTTTTGTTCCGACCAGCCACATTAAGAACTAGGTTGGGAGCTCAAACTTTACTTTACATAAACACCTTGCGTCAGTGCAGAAGAGGTGCATTGAAGCCTTCTCGTATGATTTTATGATCGTTTTGCAACTTATACTTAGGGTCCTTCGTTTTCGGGTAAAACCCGCTATTTCCCGATAATTGTGCCTTGAACGTGTTCCTTGAAAATCGGGTTAAACTCTATTTTCCCCCGAATTCGAAAATTAAATCACACCATATTCTAAAGTGCTCTGCTCTGAAAATATTTTTTAAAAAACGGATATGTAGGAACATGTGCACTAGCTCCAGACCTTGGAAATGAACCTGGATTCTGTTGGCTTCAGGGAACTTCAGTGGCATAGATCGAACCCCCAAATGTCACTTTTAAGCCCATTGCTAAATATCATGTGTCCTTCACTTTTGTTTCACCCCCCCCCCCCCCCCCAAAATAAATAAATAAATAAATAAATAAATGAAAGTGGAATTGGAAATTGCTCTCAAAACTTTGTTCTGACGGAAACAGCTAGCTTACCGTATTTACTCGTATAGTGAACACATTTTTGTTTTCTGAAAAATTGACCCATATTTGGGGGGAAGGTATGTTCATTACGCGGGGTAAAATTTTTGCTTTTATACACACTTTGCACAAATGTCAATTTAGCTGCCAATATGACATGGCAGAGCACTGTTGCACGTCTCCACTGACGGAGGTGGACCCATGGCCGGCCACAGTTATCATGCTCTATAAATTGCAAACCTTTTTTAAGGCACTTTTGGCGTGCCTTTTGCCGAAGAAAAAGCGCCCTACGAAGGTTGCTCAGCATGGAGAGCGATGCAACCATTCTTAGGCCTAACCACTTTCACAATATCACTGTTCGAAAGCGTATCACAGACGGCGGCGTGTTTGTTGACATCAATGCATCCGATGGGTGAAGCACGTCCGGGGCCTGGCAATTCCTCGACCCCAGCTTCGCTAGGCGTGCGCGCCGCTCGATTTCACGATTGATGACTTCTGCAACCCCGCAATTGCAGCCATTACGAGAGCGGCTTGGCTTGTCTTGGCTTGGCCTGGCCTGGCCTGGCCGCTTGGCATCAAAAGAAAATTCGAGGGCTTGGTGCCAGCCGGCTAGCTAAATAGACGATTTGCAATTTTCCCAAGCGCCCCGGCCCGCGCGCAAGGAATTGTGGGAGAGAAGTCTCTCGCCTGGCCTTTCTGCCTTGAGATCACATTGCCTTGTCGCTTGTCTCCCCTTAATCCTCTGTTTTTCAATTCCATTACCTATTTTTATCTGTTTCAGTGTATTTTTTATTGCTTCTAAGTGCTTCTATTCTCCTCTGTGCGCAATGTTTCTCACATATATATAGTATTTGTGTCTTTATTTTGCCTTTTTCGACGGGAGTGCCGACGGACAACACGCCGCTTTGCGCGTCGTTCCCCGGTTGAGTACTACCGTTGCTACCGATTCCTATCGTGCTGTAAGTTGTTCATTTTGGTTCATTTGACCCACGTGCAGTCGAGAGGGACCGTTTATGAACACCTGCGCACATGTCATAGGGGTAGGCAGAGCTCTGAACCAACCATTGCGACGCGAGAGCCGAGTGCGGTGCGATTTAGTTGCCTGCGCTCGCTTTGTTGACTCGCACTGTAGTGTGTGCCTTTGAGTGCCGCTTACTTGACTAAGATACAGCCCGCCGCTTTGCCATCGTGAACCATTTGTCCGAATGCCTGCAAAACCGTAACACCGTTCGGCATATCCAACGCTGCGGCGCCTGACGACTGCATGCAGTTGTCTTCACCCAAGCGCTTTACAGGATGCTGTCTTTTGGAAAGTGGTGCCAGGAAACATGCTGTGCGCTGGCAGTATTGTTTGCATAGCCTGGCACACAGCAAACTGTACCATGCGGGCATGTTGCTGCTGGAGGTGACCTAAAGAAATAAAATATCTTGAGCTGACATCTTGACTACAAGTTTCAAGATGACTGCCTGGGTGACAGCACATCTCTGCACTTGAAAAAGGGTGTTTGCAACCGACAACCGCTTAGCAGGCAGATTAAGAAGGCATACTATAAGCGCATACAATCTGCGACGTTGGGCTACCGCTGCTTGCGAAGGGCTCGCGCCGCTGCGTGCAGTTTGTCAGGCACCGCAGCGTTGCATATGACGAATGGTGTTACGGCTTCGCAGGCATTCGGACAAATGATTCGTGGCAACTCATCTCTGCACTTGAAAATGGGCGTTGGCAACTGACCACCGCTTAGCAGATAGATTACGAAGGCATGCCATAGGCGCATTCAAGCCACGACATTGAGCCGTCGGTGTTTGCGAAGGGATCGCCCCGCAGCGCGCAGTTGTCAGGCGCCGCAGCGTTGCATATGCCTCAGCTTCGCAAACATTCGGACAAATGGTTCGCGGCGACAAAGCGGCTTGCTGTATCTTGGTCAAGTAAGCGGCACTCGAAGGCAGACGCTACAGTGCGAGTCAACGGAGCGAGCGCGGGCGGCCAAATCACAGCGCACTCGGCTCTCGCGTCGCGATTGTTGATTCAGAGCTCTGCCTACCCCTGTGACATGTGCGCGGGTGTTCACGAACAGCTAATAGCGTGATAGGAATCGGTAACAACGGTAGTACTCAACCGGGGAACGACATGCGAAGCGGCGTATTGTCCGTCGGCACTCCCGTCGAAAAAGGCAAAATAAAGACACAAATATTATATATATGCAAAAAACATCGCGCACAGAAGAGAATAGAAACACTTAGAAGCAATAAAAAATACACTGGAATACATAAAAATAGGTAATGGAATCGAAAAACAGAGGATTAAGAGGAGACAAGCGACAAGACAATGCAGTCTCAAGGCAGAGCGGCCAGGCCAGGGACAGTCTCTCCCACAATTCCTCCCGCGCAGGCTGGGGCGCTTGGGGGATTTCGCAAAAGGGCTATTGGATGCAGTTCAAGACTTGCAGAGCTGAAAATAAAAGTGTGTTCATTATGCGAGAAAAAAAAAAAAAAGTAAAAAGTATTGATGGCTGTTATGGGGGGTGCGTTCATTATGCGAGTAAATACGGCACATTTTTGTCCTGTGTCGAACTGAAGTGATATTGTGCATTGCGGATGTTTGCAACCTGTGGTGTCAAGACCAGAATGGTCTAGGATGGAGACAGATGCTGCACATGCAGATGATTATGTGCAGACGATATTAATTCGGAAAGCCCATGTAAGGTTTTATACCATGTTGCAATTTAAATACTTTATAACTTAATTGTACAAAAAAAAAAGAATAAAAAAAATGTTTATTAGGGTTATGTGAATAGTGATTTTTCAGTTCGAAGCGAGTATGAAGCCAATGGTTCCTTTGAATGAATACTTCGATCCGAATAGAATATTTTGCAGCCAATACTTTCATGGTAGAAAACACTTAAAACTTGGGGTCAAAAAAAAAGCAGAAACACGACAATGTTTGAAGGGTTCTCTGTCTCTACCATAATCGTTCACCAGCTTGCCACTTGCCTGCACAATTACTTTTATTTCAATACAGTCATGTCTCGTTAATATGGGCACTTCCGTTGCCCAGAGAAATAATTCATAATAGTGAATCAAGGTCAAGATCACAATTAATGAACAAGAAAAGTGGCCACAGAAGACATGGTTTATTTAGATGGAAACCAAATGCTGAGGCTGATTTGCACAGAAAATTTGGTGTTAGGTATTAGAAATGCAATCTGCAATAGATTCAAGAGAGTAGACATGTTGGTACCATTTTTATAGCTACTTGTGTTCCAGTCTTAGTTGCTGAACTCATTTCCAGTGCGTACTGCACACTGTTTCTGTTTGTGTTTTTAATATATATATATTTTTTTTTAATAGCCTGAATGAGAAAAGAATGCTATAAATTCAGCTTTTTAGAGCTATATTTACGGCGCAAAACGAATTTGAAGTTGGCGCCCACAGGACCCGCCATTAGTCACGTGGTAGACCTGTGCACCACCGCACTGCCACCGCCACTGAGGTCCCGAGGACTCCCACGCCGCCACCACACGCTGAGCATGACGCGCCGCCGGCTGAACGCATTTCTCCCCGCTGCCGCCGCTGCCGTCCATTTTAATGCGAAAGCATTAACTGTCCCATGGAGCGAACCGACATCATCAGCTTTTGAAACCGCGCCAAACGGCACCTTCCCCTGTCCCAATGGAGCGAAGCCTCTCTGTAGCAGAAATCTGATGGATAGGCTCCCATTGGCAGTCGTGCGTCATAGTTTCAATGAACAGGGCTCCCATTGGCTCCCGTGCGGCGTAGTTCTAGGGAACGCCACCAGAGAAGCCCTCTCTGTGGCAGCGCAGCGCACGCAGCGGCCCGGTTGCCGGTTAGAGGGAGCACCTGGCCGCAGAGCCTGCACGGGCAAACTTTGGAGATGCTTCACGGCCGAGCTCAGCGTGGTGCAGCCACTTCACGAGAGCGCGCGATCGGCCAGCCATCGGCCGCTGCCTCGGTAGTTGTGAAACGTGGCCGTCCATGCTAGTACACCGCAGACAAACTAAAGGAGTGGAAGAACGACATTCATGCTTTCGCATTCACAACTCATAAGAAGTGCTTAGGTGTCCTCAGACAACAACACAGGACTGTGTCCTTTGTCGTTGTTGTTCTACTCTTGGTCCCTGTTCCTTTGGCGCTTATTTCCCATGATGTACCAACTGGCCCATCTAAGCATTTTATTGGTGTCCTCAGAATTTTTAGACTGGCACACCGGTCTGTCACGTGGTGCTTGCGTTCTTTCGGGAGCTTCCTTTGGGCTCTAAAAGTTACTTGCTATACTCCGCGACAACTTTTCTTGGCAATGCAGTGGAAGGTACAGGCCCGCGTCCCCTCTCCCATTTTGTGTGTACGCAGGCTCTCCTCCTACCCCAGAGTAGGAGGCCCGCGCACACTCAAAATGGGAGAGGGGACGCGGGCCTGTACCTTCCACTGCATTGCCAAGAAAAGTTGTCGCGGAGTATAATCTTCCTTTTTTTCTTGCGCTTAAAACAAAGATTTATTAATCTTCATTTTGCTATCCGTCAACTGTGAAAATTATTTAAGTTGCCGAAGAGTTCAAACTTATAATTGAATATGGCATTATTCACTTCATATTCGAAAGTTTCAAATATTTTTACAACTGTAATGTTTTCTTATTGTTAACTATGCTTATATATATATATAGGTATAAATATAACCTGAACAACCCAAATTTCGGAATAATTTCTTTAAAAAGCTGATTTCTACCCCTATAACAAAGCATCCAATTTCAGCCCCCATTTTTTTTTTTTTTTTTAGAATTTAGGAATTAATGCTACTACTTACATTTAGCCATCAGAATGTGAGTAAAACATTGTGCAATGCTGTCTGCTTGCAGAATAACAACCTTGTGAATCGGAAATCCAAGTTTGGGGTGTTATGCGGAGCCCAAACATTCTTTTTGTCTTGCCTGGTACATACTTGAACACTGTACAAATGTTGCATGTAGATTGTCATCAATGATATTGCATCATCGCGGACATGAACGGGTACTCTTTTGGCAGTGCGAGTGCTGCCAAAGCATCGGTGTAGCAGAGATGTCGCCATCGCTACCAGACCTGAGCCTGAGCTACAAGCTGCACCTGGAAAGCGGAAAACTGATCAATTTGTATGACATGATGCAGGTGAGCCGTGCAGTCATTTCTGCCGTTTCATTCTTCCAAAGCTTTTTTGGCTTTTCAAATCTCATTGTTTGACATTGCATTGGTCTCAGGCTTTCCGTGGGGTGAAGATGACGACAGGACAGAAGAAGCTGTCTGCAGAAGAAGAGAAGCTTATTGAGTATCCTTTGGTGAAGTTTTGCTGTGTTTGGCAGATAGTGTGACAGATTGCATATACAGTAAAACCTCGTTATAACAAAGTTGAAGGAGCAATCGTAATTATTTCGTTATAACCATTAGTTTGTTATAGCCAATGTCCATTTCTTCCCTATTAGCAAGCAAGGGGAATTATGATTGCTTTGTTATATCCATTAGTTTGTTATATCCCATTTTGTTATAACGAGGTTTAACTGTACAAGGAGTTTTTTTTAAGACCCATTCACATACTTGCACCTGCTTCCAACCGGAGAGGTTCAAAACGGGTTTTAAGCCCTTCGTGACGGTTTACAACTTAAGCTTTGCAACGGTGCAAAGTAGCTGCAAAGCGGGCCATAAGCCGTCGCAAGAGGCTCAAAAATCGGTCGTGTCAAAGTCACACAGTTCTGCTGTGTTTATTTTTGCCTCTTTTGTTATTGTTTCTTTGTTACTATTGTATTATTCGACGCCCATTGCCCCCCCCCCTTAATTAACCTTTCACAAGTTGAAAGGTTAATAAACTGTTTTAAGTTTTGAGAGAATTTCTGACCCTCAACTGCTTAATTTTTGTCTTCAAAATGACATTTGTTGTCTTCACAATCAAGTTCAAGCCATAAACAAAATGGAAGCAAAATTGTAAAAAATTCAGTGCTGCCATCTGTTGACAGAGCTTCAAGCTAAGCCGTGAGCGAGCCTGGTTCGTCTAATACAATTGAGTGCGTGAATCGGGGAAAGCAGACAAGCTATACTGATCCTGCACGGTTTGGGGATGGCTCCACGTTGACGAGCGAAGCTTGTCCAAAACGGCTGAGGGGTTAAGGAGGTTTAGCTGATTATTCAACTTATCATAATGATTAGCCCCATTTGTGTAGCTTTTGTAACTTAAACCAAATCTGTAAAGCCTAAAATAAACAAAAAGCAGCCTGTATAAGACTTAGTAATTTTGTGTTTATTGTGATGCCTAAAGGCCTGTTCACACATAAGCAACCTAATAGGACCGACTCAGACGAGGCCAGTTTTTAAGCCTCTTGCGATGGCATAGGACCAGCTCTGCAGCAGTGCATCCAGTCTTAAGCCGTCGCAAGAGGCTTAAAAACCGGTCTTGTCTCAGTCAGTCCTACTCAGTTGAAGGTGGGTGAACGGGCCTTTAAAGCCCATTGCTACTCCTTAGAACCGAGCGCCTTAAAACTTCTTAAAATCTCTTACGACGAGAGAACACACTGACACGCTGGCACCATCTATGCGGTGACCCTGCAACTGCATTTTACTAAAGCGAAGGTTTGGCGGTATTTGCGAGGTCAAATGTGTGTACTACTTATGAGAACTGTTTATAACATTTACAAAAGTTTTTCGAGCTATGAAAGAAAGAATGATGTGGGAAAGAAATAGAAAACATATGGGTCCGCCAAATGTTCCACTGATACCCGATAGGTGGTGCCATTGTGTCCTCTCATCGTAAGAGATTTTAAAGAGGTTTAAAGGCACTTGGTTCTAAGATATCACAAGCGTGTGAACGGGCCTTTATGTACACACATTCGAGTCATGGTTGTTTGACCCGAGGTTGCTTCAAGAGCGTTTGGCCGTTTTAGTACTGAATTGCAGTGAGGGTACGAAGTTCCTTAGAAACGTCCTCAGAGCCCAGTTCTTCCGGTCGGTTGCTGAATTGCAGCTACTCGGGCTGGTGAAGTCGACGCAGAGAAAGACTGACCACGTGGCACGCATGACGTGGGGTTCTTGTTGACGACTGAGGTCTGAGTGCTGCTTGAGCAGTTTTTTTGCCTTTGTTCTTTACTTTTTGAGCATTAAATGCAGCTGGGAAAAGTGTTGGTGCATTGACACTGAGTTGTATCTGAAGGCTTCTTTTGCTTTCTGGGCCAGCCTCTGCTGCGTCGCGCAATGACAGCGCAGCAGAGGTTGTTTGCACTATTTCTCCACGGGGCGCGGTGCCGTTGGGGCCGAGATGCGCTCCGATATTAATAACCCATTGAATTTGTGTCGTTTTTCAAAAAGCCGTAAAATACTTCGCATGCCTTCTATCGTTCTGCATTTTGTTGATTTAGTGTTTTTTGATGATGCTGAGCAATTTTCTAATTGAAACCATGCCCTTAAACACAATATTAAAAAAGTTAATTACACAAAAATAATTAATTATCCAATTATCCCAGACTTTAATAATTTTCCTAAGCAGGCCCCTGGCCCAGGACCGAAACGACACAAGTCTTCTTTTGTTGCGGCGCATAGTTTTCGCAATATCGAATTTGTCCACCTTTTGTAAAACACCCTGTATAATCCCAAGGTTTTAAGCAATTTTCGTACAGTTTTCACGAGGAAATGGCGGCTAACAGAGTCCGCACATCCATAGGTGTGAGGCGTCTGCTATCGGGAACGTGCCCCATTATCATAGTTGGAAATATCAGGAAATGGCTTATAAGTTGAAAATCGGATAACAGGAAGTTTAGAGACTTTGGCATCTGGTTCCAACCATTAGTGCATAGTTTAGTTTTACAGTGAACACTTAAACACAGTTTTATTTCCATCCTGGTGGGTTTCATACCTGCTTCTGCCTTTCATTGGATTCGTAATGAATCTGGAGGACGCTGCAAATGTTCCATTTCGTGTACACCTCAAAAGATTGCGGTCATGCTGTACAGCTGTAATCAGTCATTTATCCCCCCCTTCCCGACCTTCTCAGAAGATCGCAGACCGATAAATTTCGAAGTCATTCAGATTTTTTTAGAAATCGCATAATCTGGCTGTTTGGGCAGAGAACGCGCATGCACTATGAGCACTGGCTGACATGGGTCTCTCGCTTGAAAGTGTGCCATGGTCTCTTGTCAGTTCATGAAAGGAAATTGTGTTTTCATTAAAGTATCTTTCAAACATTGATTTCATAAAATTTGGATTCAATGCAATCCTAGAAACTTGTATTTTTCTTTTTGTAATCTACAGGTTGTTTTCGAGACAATTCAGGCATAAAAAAATTGTATAAGCAAGCGAGTGAACAGAGTGCCACGGAACTTTGCACTAAGGTGTTTTTAGGTGGTGCATTGATCGTACTCAAAATCTGCAAGTCTCGTAAAAATGAAAAAAAAAAAAAAAAAAAATGAATATCTTTTCTTTTTCTATGCTTGGTAGGAAAATGGAAGCAAACTGTCGGGTTGACGCTGCTACTTACAGATCGCACCACGATACAAAAACTTGAAAGATTTTTTAGAGATTACGACCCTAAAACAGATTCAGAAAATCCGTGCGTGTGTGGTACCATTCACGAATGGCAGCATCAAACCGATGGTTTGTTTCTGTTTTTCTTCCATGCATAGAGAAAAAACAGGCTTTTTTTTTTTTTTTACTTTATCCCAGCTCATGAAATTTTAGTATGATACAAGCACCACCTAAGGGCCCTTTCGTGAAAAATTTCATGGCACTCTCTTCATTGGCTTATTTATGCAATTTTTTTTACGACACCCTGTAGAGTCAAATAGAACTCAGTTTATATGCTGTTTTTCTTTCCATGAATCTTAAAGGGATACTTCAACAAAATTTTAAATATACCCGTCGTGTCGTGCTCATGCTCCCTACAAGATCATAGAAGATTAACCCGTCGCTCAAAATTCACACAAAAGCAGCTTTGTGGTTAGTTGCGGTGGCCGGATCGTTGGCGAGCTTCGACCGCTTTGGTGGCTGGAACGGCTAGGGCATCCTTACGACGTCAGCCTTGCCGCAGCTTCGCTCATCCCGAGACAGACTACGTCATGATTGCGCCGGATGTGACGTGCTCTCCTTGTTTGTCCTTGTTCATTCGGCGCTTTCCATTCAAACATGCTCTCCGCTTGCTGCTGTCCGAGCGCTTGCCAGAGTTGGCCGTTTATAACGAAAAATACAGCCATCGGGCTCAAAATACAAACGTGCGATTGTCATTTACGGATATTGTGGATCATACTCAGCCTATTTCTGAGCACGACGGGTACATATCTAACTTCGTTGAAGGATCTCTTTAAAGGGCGCTTTGATTGTAGTGTCGTTCATTCCTTATATTGATGTTAAATAATCGGTTGAAAGCAAACCATTCTTAAGCAGTTTGTGACCGCGCCGGGCGCGTACAAGCCCATGACCTCAAGCATTTGTAGCATGCCTTGAACAGCTGAGTTATGGCGCCATCTAGTGGAACGACGTGAAATTATATTGACAAATTAGGGATCAGCGCTCCCCATGGGCGCGGGCGCGCTCCGGGTGGCATGGTCGTATATAAAAAGTTGGTCGACCACATTTTCCGCAGTGGAAACATGTCGTCCATTTGTACTGGCAGCTGTTACTTTCATGGCTCTCGGCTTCCACAGTGCTCACAAACCCTTGTGTGTTGTTGTGGCCAAAGTATTCCGGATATCTTTTTTTGGACTTTCATCCTGAGGACTTCCGAAGGTTCGTCTCGGGTCATTCTTTTGACGGCCAATTCAGCAGCTTCAAGCAGCTACCGCTAGCACTTCTGCATCTGCTAATGTCAGTTCCCTTTTTGACAGCAGTTGCTTCCGAAAGTTCTTTGACCGCACGCCACAGACGATCTTGCCTCCCAGCATTTTGACGAACATCGCCGAAAAATTACAACTAGTATCCACTATTCTTTGGCTAAGAATTCATGAACCCACTCTCCCTCTTTTTGACAATTGAAAAACCTAAAGCTCTCAAATATCTTGTTGGGCTTCGGATCGTAGTGCGCATCTAGTGCTGCTACCACCTCAGCACATGTTAGAGACGTTAGGTTTTTGTGGACCCACTCTTCCACTGAGTACTCAAACTGTTTTGGTACCTAGTGCCGCTACGAGCAATGCTAGTCTTTTCGTGTCTTTAATTACCTCATTGCCCTCAAAGCTTAAAAAAGTACATACTCCATTTGTTCTTGTCTTAGTCAAACTCTGGCAGCTGGTGATTCATCTTTGAAAACCCTGCAGACTGGTGCACTCCTAGGATGGCCGAAAAATCCTCCTCACTGTGGGTGGCTTCATTGTCCTGGCTCGTTGCAACTGTTATAATCTAAGACTTCGGAGCTGACGAGGCAATATGGAGACGCATATCGATTTCAGAACACAATCCTCTTCCTCTTCATTTTTCACATAACTGTCTATGTCACGAGGAGCCATTCCGTAAATATGAAAACATCTCGGGCGACATTGACTAGTTTATAACCATCGCTTAATTGTATTGATGGCCACGTATAGTACCCATTGTGACACTGGGGTAGGTTTCATTTTTTTATATTTACAGTTCCAGAGATAATCTGAAGTTTCCTTCTCAGTGTTTAGCCTGTCTTAAGGACCACTTTAACCAGTCAAATCGACCTTCTAACAGTGGGAATCTTCTTAAAATTATAATGATGATATCAAAATTTCAAATGAAAGCAACTTACATCTTGTTTCGAAAACGCCCTCCGAAATGAACAGACTTGCAGATAACAACTTCAGGAAAATAGGGGCAGATATCCTAGCCTGGTGCTTAAACTCCAGAGTGGTTTCTTAGAATTATCTTCAAGATGAAGAAAGACCACCCTTTGCCGCTTCAATTAAATATGTTTTTATTTTATTTCAGCTGCTCTTTATCCTGGGAGCTTAGGAATTAACACTTTATGTACAGAAGATGCAGCCAGTGTGCCCTGTCAAGCCCAGCAGACAGAGGCCATGGCTGCGCGCGCTGGGAGGATGTTACGAGGCACAACATGAGGTGGGGGGGGGGGGATTGGTCCAAACTGATTGTCACCACCGGGAACGGAACCAGCGCTCATTTTACTTGGCTGCGGCTGCCGTGATGTCTGGTGACTGCGTCGTGGTCGGATTCGGGTTCCGGTGTCTCGCTTGGCTCTTGTCGGGCGTGGAGCCCAGCGGGGCCCTTATCTTGGACACCAGCTTCCGCGTTCTCAGCACTTTCTGTCCTGTGTGCTGGACGGAAGCCGTCCTGTTATGCGATCCGGAAGTCTGTGCCGAAACCCTTGCAGAGTTGTAGTTTGGTATTCCGCTTCCATAAGACGCGAGCATCTGCGGATTGTCGGAGGCTGGTTCTGCGACGCTGAAGCTCATGGAACTGCTGTACGTCGGAGGGTGCGGCGCTCTCGTGGTGCTCACGTGGAGGGGTGCAGGAGGGCTGGCCGTGTTTCGCACGGTCTGGGTCCATTTGTAGTCCGAGTAAGAGGGCTCGTGCCCGGCACTCTGAAGCAAGGTGGCATCCTTGGGAACAGCGCAGTCGACGTTGTACCACCACTCGCACATGGACGACCGTTGGTTGAAGGCGGTGCCGTTGGGGCACCGGAAGCTCTGCTGTGCCCCACTGCTGCTGCATTGGTGATACACCTGTTGGTGAAGAGGGTCATATGGGATTTTACTGAATGAGCGTGAGTTAGAAAGACCTGCCGAGAGCATGTCAAGAACGGTCATTTGCCTGCGACGGAAAGTTGGAACGATTTATGAGGTAGTTGCAGTAAATTAGCCGGCACATGATCTGCATATATAGTTGGCTTATTGAAGACTACAGGCTGAAACTTTGTTGAAGCTGTGCGGGAGGAAGGATAAAATTTCCAGCTCGGCATCGAAGCACCTATTGGCACTGAGAAATTTGGGGATTGCCATGTGGTTGAGTTTTCTCACAACCTAAAGTTGTAAGCATGTTATGGCAAGCTATGCACTGTCAGGTGTGGGAAGGTGATCACTGACATCATTAACATTCAGTAGCCGAATTAGCTCAAAGGATGCTGCATATGACTGCTTTTAAACCTTTTAGATGGGTAGCACTTGATCTGGTCCTCGCTACACAAGTACATTTGAATCCACAAGTTATCCTCAGCATCCAAACAGTTCGGAAACTTGCATGTGCTCCTAAAAATGGTGATTGTAGCTTGTGGCTACCAAACAGGTGCTGTTTTGATTCTGTATTAGTCCGGTCCTATTGTGCTACTAACAAAGAGGTAGGGAAATGGATCTTATAATGTTTCTGACTGAAATCATCTGAATGTTGCAGATTTCTAAATATCAAAATATTAATTTTTGTTTTGACTATTAGTCTAATATAAATCTTATGTTGCACATAAGTTCTACTGTATTAAAATATTAAGATGCATTGCAGGATGCTTTTCAACATTCTCTTTTAAATATGATGGTCGTGCAACATGGTGCACAAAGTTCTACAGAAAAAGCAGCCATGCAAATTGAACTATTGGAGTATGGTCAATACTAAATGACTTGCCTGGCATCCTTCTTTCATGTCGGCATAGAATCCAGGAGCTCTGTCATAGCAGGTGAAGCTCATCTCTGGCACCTCGGAGTGTGGTGGATAGCTGGTTCCGGGGCCGCTTGCCATGCTTGAGTAGCTGGACATGTACTGAAGTTCACCCAGGGAGCTGTCGATGGCAGACGAGTGTTTCCGTTTTGCATGCTGCAATGTGACTGATGACCGGCGCTGTCCAGAAGACTTCTCTCCAGATGAAGCCACTTGAGCGGGATTATGCCTTTGATAAGAGTAGCTAGAGGAGCCATCCGTGCTGTGAGATGGCTTTGAGGAGTATGTTGTATGCTGTGAATTCTGCTTTGAGCTGTAGACATCCAGAGGTGATGGCATTTGATAGTAGGAAGAGCCTGCTGTGCCATGTGCAGTTTTTACAGAGTTGACCGCAGAACTTGCTGCAGCTTTTCGCTTGCTACTACTAGAGGATGTGATGATCTGTGAAGAGGTTGTGGGAATTGGAATGGAGTAGGGAATTTTTGGCACGACATACTGAAGTTTTGTTTGCTGATCTATGTACTGGGGTGGGGCACCCGGTGCCGTGTTTGACTGATGCAATGGCTGAAAATGGTTTGCCTCTGTAGGCTGGTAATACGTATTGACAATTGTGCTCGACCTAGAGTTTGGAGCTTGTGGTGATGCTCCACCCTGATCATTTCTTGGGATGGCAATGATGACCACTTTGCTTTTTTTCTGCTCTCCACCTTCCCTGTGACGTGTTCGGACAAGTTGAGAGTTTGGCTCATTTGCCTGTGGCACGTAAGGTCCCCCTGTGTTTATGCTTGTCGAGAACACTTCTCTGCTGGTTCCATCCACAGGGTTCCTCACAACAATGCGAATAGCTGTTGGCTGTGGGTAGTTTGGTTGATAGGAATGCTGTAGGCTGTTGTCATTCGACTCGAGCAGAGGAGGTGGCCTCACATATGTTAATGGCAAGAAGGACTGCGCCGCAATTGGGCCAGTTTGTTTAGAAGCTCCATCCCGGTCGTATGTTTCCATGGTCTTACCAGATTGTTTGAGCTTCCCGCCTAAGGGATCATCTCTTGGTGGCATAATTACGAAGGACTGTCCTCCAGGGCTTTCGGTGACCTTGACTTCCATTGGGTTAAAGTGGATCCCACTGCTTCCTCCCTTGTCTAAAGTTTCGTCAGCCATTTGGTTCAGGTTGCCTTGTATTGGTACAATGAGGGCTTGCACATATTTGTCAGGGTTTGACGGACCCTTGCCAGGAAGGTGGAAGACAAGTGGTGCAAGCTCTTTGATAGGTTGGGTCTCTAACTGATTGGGAAACAGGTGCGAGTTCTCGTTGCGATCACCCATGGACTGCGTGCTGTCCAGATGTGGCGACAGTACCATTTTCGGGTCCTCCGAAAATCTGTGCATTCCATGTTGCCTGTGCTGTGCGAAGAGGTGGTTCAGCTCGTGCATCATTCCCGGGGACCCCGTATAGAAGCCCAAATTCCCAGCGGCCCTCATGTTTGTCCTCTGTTCCGAAGCCATGATGTTATCGAATCTGCTTCCTTCCGGTTGAAAGAAGCGACTTGCGCTTGTCGGATAGCGAAGGAAGCTCCTGGTTCCGGAGGTCATGTCGTCCATGAGGCTTTCCGAAGGCTTAGATATGTCGTCTTCGTAATTGCGGGTCCCGAATGGCCGTCCTTCGGGCAGTTCCTCGATGTACGTAACCGGCCTCTTCCGGCTGTTAAACAGCTGGTCGTCCTGTTCATCCACGGGCCTCCTCGTATGCGCGCGGTAGGGCTTCCGGCCACGAACCACGATAGGCCTCCCGTCGTCTTCTTCGCTCGAGACGTCTTCCTCGATCACGATTGGTCGCCTTCTCTTTCCGTGGTGATTCTTGCGGCCACGGATAATGATTGGGGTGTCATCTTCTCCAGAGTCGTAGTTGGAGCTCGCTTGCGGTTCTTTGTCTGCAAACACTACGTTCGGGGACGCTGGGTGTCGTTTTTGAGGCTTCATCGGCGGGGGTGGCGGAGGAGGAGGCCGAGGTGGTGGGGGCATGATAGCGTAAGGCGGCGGGGGTGGAAGACCGCCCATCATCCCGTTTGGCTTTCCGTAGAACGGCCGTATCGGTCCCGGATAGCCAGCGCCCATGTGGCCAGGAATCGGAAACACTGGAGGGCCGTAAGGCCGCATGCCTGGCGGTGGAAGTCGAGGCATTCCGAACGGCTGATGCATGTGTGGGTGCACGGTCGGGTACATGTGGCTTGCCTGTGGGAATCCGTGATGTCCTGGTACTGGGGGCCCCGTAGCGTATTGCTTCAGAAGAAGCTTGTGTAAGGTGGGCATCCCCGGTTGGGCTCCGTGTTGCAAGAACTGTGTCAGGTCTGTTTCAACATTGTGTCCATTTGCTGGGGCTTTGCCTGGGCTCTTGCGGAAGAAGGGCAGCCGTAACCGTCCGGAAAGCCGGGGAAGCTTGATGAACTGCACGTGGGAACAGTTCCGCTTTGTTACCAACTCGGTCGGCATTGATCAGATTGACCGGAATGCTCTCGTCGAGAAAATTTACTACAGTTTGTTTACCCCCTGTCGCGTAGTTAAATGAGTGTTCCGGTTTATACAAGGTAAATGCTAAGGTCAGTTGCCCTGGAAATAAGGCTCTCCTTCACAGCTGTGCTCCACGAATTGAGGTCTGTACCATGACGACCCAAGGCTAGCCCATGCTTAAATGGTGCAAATTTTGCAAGAACCTCTAGGAGTTCGTCTTTACAAACTAGTTATCGACTTTACAGTGGATAACTACAGGGGAGCGGCCACTTGATCACGAGGTCCTCTAAATCGCAAAACTTGCTGGATTGCCATTCTGATCGAACCTGGTCAATCCTCGAAAGCTTGTTCTTTTTGGTGAACAAAATAATGGGATGAGTATAAAAATAACATTTTCCCGCGCATTTTTTTTTTTTTTTATTTGCGTGTAAAATGAAAAAAAAGAAAGTTGGGGTTTTAATTTTTGTTGTGAAGGTGGTTGGACAGCGAAGCTGTGGTATTGCCTGCATCGATTGTCCACTGCACTATAGAATCTTGTTATGGAAAATGCTACCAGGTAGTGCTCCAGTCTGGTGTCCCAGAGAACTTCCGGTTTATAAAAAGAATGAACAAAGGCCACCTTAATACTGCTGCTTGAAATGTAGATGAAACGTCTAACCACCTATTCTCAGGTGAACGCCAAAAGAACGAAGAAGTGCGAAATCTCTTAAAACGTTTCGAGTATTGTAAACCAACTTGCCTCCTCCAAGATGTATTATTGTACAGCGAAAGGTTCTCGTTAAATCTCCAACTTTGCTGTCCGTGTAGCAGTTATGCTTTTTAGCATTGGTGGCATAAGCAAGCTGAACAGGCTTGCAAAGATGGTGCGACCGGAAGTCGCTTGCGACGAAAGCGGCAGTTCATGCTTGTAAACAGCAATAGGGTCTATACCCAATGATTGATGAAAGAAAAGTTAATGCACTGTATCAAAACATTTTTTTTTATATATGAAAGACTTCGTACGCTGCCGTTGCAGCGGCAGCTTATACAACCGCAATCTTTACCGAGAAACGCATGCGGGGAGCGCTACGTGCTTCGCATTGTTCGAGCGCTCCTTATCTATCAAGTGGCTTTTATACTTGCTTTGTGGTTTTCTTAGTGAGCAAGTGTCAAAACCACATGATAAAAGATAAAACGCGCGCGATGGTTTTCTGTTGACTACTGTTCTGTCGACGAACACGAAAAAACCTGACTTACAAATCATAAACAACTTCGCTTTAAAAAAAAAAAAATACGAAGGATACGAGGGTTGGACACGGAAGTGAGTTTTACCGCACTGAAGAAAAGCAAAACGACTAAATGAACGCACGCGGACCTCCAGAAGGAACTCTAGTCCAGATTTTATTGGGTCGCATCTGGAAGCAACCCAACAAGTTGAGGTAACCACGCAAAAGACTAAGGCGTGTACGCACTATAAGAAAATGTTGCTTTACCGCACTACTTGAATTGACACGCAACCGAGTTAACCACCGACTGAGAGCAACAGGAACCAAGCAAAAACTCACCTGCGCGTTTGTGTCGCTGGGCAAGCACAGCAGAACCCCTGAAATAGATAGACACACGTGTTCACCACAAATAAAGTTGTTTTTATCGTGTGTTGTCATTCTGGTCGCCTTGACAGCCAGTGCTTATCTCGGCGTCTTCACGTCATCGGCAGACCGCTCCCGCCTCCTCCCCCTAAATTTGATATCCGTAAATGCGGGGTCTAATACCGAACCCCCGTAAAAAAGAGTTGTCCTAGATTCCCATTCAGACACGCTGTGACAAATTAACCAGGCGGGGTCAGATCCCCCGTGGCCGAATGACAGGTATATCTTACGCCACTACTGCAAAGAAAGAGAAACGAGACGCGTCTTCATCGTTGGAGGATCGAGCGTTCCCGCGCGTCGTTCTTCTTTGGCTTCATCACATTCCGCGGCGGCGGGGGACGCATCGGAGCGCGAACTTGTTTTCGGCGAGGTATGTGTGTGTAAGTACAAGGCAGGTCCTGCTGAACTCTCTTGGCTACGGCGGGTCGCGGCCGTGGCGGCTCCCTCCGCTAGGCCTCGTGAGGAACGGGTGATCGCATGCGCTGGATGCGGCCATTAGCTGGGATAACGGGAGGAGTGGGGGGAGGGGGGACCAAGGCAGCACGAATTTGGAGCCGCTGCTGCACGCGAGCCCACGCCGACCGAAGACCCGTGAAGCGTGCCTGGCCTAATGACTCGCCGAATGGGACCGGCTCCAGCGGGCCAAGACCGCTTGGTTAGCTGAGTTTCGAGTCGGAACTCCCCGCCGACGAGAAGAGCCGCGGAAGTTTCTTCCCGGTGGCGGCAATCAGACCTTGACATTGGGCGGCCGTGCCGATTTGCCGTCGGAAGAAAGGCGGGGTCACGCCGCTGGACGGAAGGCTGGCCGAAAAAGGGAACGATATAAGGAATGTTTGTTGTTGTGTGTGTCCGTTTGGGTTTTTGGATCGCGTACGCTTTTCTTCATATGGACACGGACGCGAGAGATAATCGATAATAATTCTAATTACACCTAGCCAGATAGAGTCAACTGGTAAATCTTAAAAGTAAATGGCTGATTCCTTAGAAAGTAACCGGTCTTTCGATTGACCTAACTACCATGGCTCTTCGTTTTATTTGATCAGACGCTGCAATACGTTCAACACCGCGTAGTAAATGTTTGTGTATCGTTGGGAATGTTTTTGGTCTGTCCCATGGCTAAAACCTAAGGGTGGTGGCGTGAACCCGTAGCGTTAGCATAAGGGTGTTGCTGAAAACCCTTAGGGGAGTTCCACCACAATGTTTATGCACGTCTGTAACATTGTTTTGAGGCTCAAGGAATATTTCTCAATCTGGAAGGCTCCCGAACACGGTCACTTACAATATTACTAACTTAGATGTGAGAGAATTCTATTTCGGTCTCAAATATGAATGCAATCATTTGACGAAAAAAGGTAGCGACGAAGTATAAAATTACTAACGGAATTATCTACCGCCAGTAATCTTTGCTGCTCCATTTGCTCCAACCTTCTACAGTTCCACCAAAATGTGAAGAATTTCCGACAACATTGCGCGAAATTTCATTTTCTCAATGCTAGTAGCTTAGGTACCGCTACACTGCTGAATCGTACCGCTAAAAGCTTTTGCGAATTAAAAAGATCGGTTGTCGTTTTGAATAACCTACTATTCCTTTCAATCATCGTATCGAAGACTGACAGTATCCGCAAGTTCTGCAACATATATTAGAGAGTTTTGGGGAACTGTTTTTCACACTTGATACGGCACGATACGATACTCCGGTACGAAATGCACATG